AATCATACACGAAGTGTGCTCGCTATTGTGTAGTTGGAAGATGCTATCGCGTAATTGTTTCATCCAAATGTACGTAGGAAGGAGAGATATCGTCATTTAAAACTTGAATGCGGAAGGAGTTGTCAGAGTTACAACGGCTGTTGCATGAAGGGAAGACTGAGGGAGTTGGAGTTTGGAACATCTACTAATACTGTTCCGGTTTTGGTACCACTTGGTGTCGCAATACGTTGAAGTAAATCCTGTAGATCCAGAAGTAGTGGTTGTTGTTATCCAAGCAGAGGGAATGTCAACTAGTACAGTACCAGCGGATGTGCCGGTAGGGGTGGCAATAGTAGAGGTAAATCCTTTAGAGCCAGAAGTGACTGTTTCAGTCACCCAAGAGGGAGTAGGACCAGGAGTATCAATCACAACAGTACCAGCAGACGTGCCTACAGGAGTAGCAATAGTAGAGGTAAATCCTTTAGAACCGGAAGTTACTGTTTCAGTCACCCAAGAGGGAGTAGGACCAGGAGTATCAATCACAACAGTACCAGCAGATGTGCCTACAGGAGTAGCAATAGTAGTTGTGAATCCTTTAGAACCGGAAGTTACTGTTTCAGTCACCCAAGAGGGAGGAGAGGTTTGGGGAACAACGCTAGAAGTCATCGTTGTAGAAACGACAGATCCAGAGATAGTAGTTGTCGTGGCGTACGTAGATGCCCAGGTAGTTGTAGACGCTTGACTAGAAACAATTTCCGTGCTAGAGGCAGATGAAATTACAGATGTCCATGCACTATTACCACTAGTCAACGGAACAGAGCTTGAAGGAGCAGGTGTAGTGCTTGAAGATGCGGACGTGATTAAAGTAGAAGAAGGGGCAGAAGACGTCAACTGAGAACTGCTTGTGGCGACAGTTGAAGTCGGTACAGCAGGAGTGGGAGTTGAAACACTTGCATTACTCGTTGCACTAGTAGAGGGAGGTACAGACTTCGAGGTTGATGTCACGGGAACGCTATTACTAGAACGAGGCGTAGAGTTGTTCACCGGTGAAGAACCTGAAGTCGGTATAGCAGGTTTATATCCAGATGGTAATGATCCAGAAATAGGAGTGCTATTATTAAAAATCACTGATGAAGTACTTAATGTTCCGGATGTTAAAGTACGATAAATAGTTCTCGTATCAGTTTCCCCAGTTGTAGTTGCCGAGACAGAAGTTGCAGTAGTTGTAAAGGCACTGGTTAGGTAATCAGTTGATATACTTGAAGGGTAAGTAGAAGAAGCGGTAACGGTATTGGATGACAAGGAATTTTCAGTGTTAGAGGAAGCAGTAGTCGTCTGAGAGGTAGGAAAACTTGAAGTACCAGTTGTTGAAGCAACAGAGGATGTACCGGAAGTTACGTCTGAAGAAGTGGCGGTAGTTGCAGTGGTAGAACCAACTGACTTGGATGATTCAGTTGCGGTGGACCTGGGAGTGGAAGCAGAAACGGTGTTTCCATTAGGAGTCGAAGTTAAAGGTGGAGAAGTAACCGAACTGGGGCTTGAAACATTGCTCGACGGCACTGTAGCAGAAGGAGTAGTTTTGCTGGAGCTTGAAGAGTCAACTGACGACGTAGAAGGAGCGGGACTAGGAGAGTTTAAGCTCGAAGACAAGTATGTCGAAGCTGATGAAGAGGGAACTTCCGCTCTGTGGACGGTGGTGGAAGCAGTTGCGCTATTCGTAGATGAAACGCTCGTCGAAGGACTACCGGAAGAGCCAGAAGCGGTCGTAGAGATAACATTCGAAGAAGAGGATGAAGGAGTGACACTAGCGACAGAAGTGGATGAAGCAGGGCTTGCAGGCGGACCACTAGAAGCTAAAGAAGATATAACGCTTGTAGCAGCAACGCAAGGAAGATGCGAAGTGAATGGTTCATAAGCAGTAGTTGTAATACTAGTTGTTACAAGAGACCAATAACTCGAAGCAGTAACGGTTTGTTTTGCTGAATAAAGAGTGACATCAGAAGACAAGACATGGTCATAGGTACAAGTGGGGATATCAAGGTTAATACTGACAACATCATTGTTAGTGGATTTCGAGTAAAGCGTTTTCTTGGAAAGAGCGGCTTCCTGTTGGTCTTCGAATTTTGCCAAGGAGGAAGAAACTAAAGAGAAAAGAAAGAGGGGAAGGAAGAAGTACGTAACTAAAAACATCATAAAAGAAAGTAAAGTTAAAAAAGCGAATGTAAGGGGAAATGCTTATAAACGAAACGGCAGTAAAATTGTCTAATTGATAAATACTCAAGCAGAGAACGAGTAAAAAAAGCAAGAAAGATTCTTAAAAAAAAAAAGAAAAAAGAGCAAAAACTCTACAAGAAATGAACAAAAACGTGGTCTTTCAAAACGTAACCAAACGAAGGTTATGTGTCTATAATTAAAATGCAGAAAAGGGCGTAACAAGAAATTTAGAGATATTTCATCAAAAGTGGATGCAAAAATTAATGGCAAGAAAGATGAATGGGATAGGAAAACCAAAACCCAATGAACGAAACAACTTTAGAGAATCAGAACAGACTCGACAATGATTCACAAATGTCTATTTCGCTTAGAAGTGTTCGTAGGCTTTCTATTCTTACTGAATCTTCAGCGGCTGTAGAACAATGGTCTATTGTGTGCCATTGTCTCCATTATATATACCATTGATTTTTCCATATTGTTTCGTATTGTTTCAATGTTTCAAAAGAAACAAAGAATCCTTTGAAGCTCATAAAAATGCATTTTTTACATGGTACTATTTTGGGCCTGTTATGGTAAAGGACAAAGCATTGATTTCCCAAACGAAAGTATCTACCAAGGACGCGACGCGATAAGTAACAGTATATTACATATCAAGGAACAAACAACGTAAACAAAAGAGAAAACAAAGGAATGAGGATCCAAAAAGAGATAATAACAAAAGCAATTAAAGTTTCATAACAATAAAAGAAACCAGGGATAGACCGAGTCAATTTACGCAAATCAAAAAGTTTAAGATGCCGAATAAAGAGTTTATTAGACATTGTAAACATTAGTCCTCGAAAAGGCGATTCTATGCTAAACAAAAGGATCCTTCGGAAAGATGAGGTTGTCTTCAATCCTTATCTTTTCTAACAAAGGAAACTTTGAAAAGATTAGTTATTGTTTCGAATGGCCGAAAATTAGCAGTTTCTACTCAAGGATTTCGTAGCATACAAATGCTCAGGTCAATGAGTCATCAATGAATCATTAGGAAATTCGCTTTTCAAAAAGCATTCATAACGCACGAAAATCCATTCAGTGGCATTTTTGTTCGTAAATTTTACAGCGTCGTAAATGGATATCCCAAAGGCCTTCCAGTTGACCCTAGTGCAGGATTTTCTTGCACTCTGGACGATCTCTAAATAACAGTAACTTCCTTTTTGAAATTACCATGTCAAAAGGTCTCTACTATTACTCTCTATAGACAAGCGATTGAGTTTAGCGTCTACTGTCATACGCGAAATTGCTTTAGTTATTTTCATTTTAATATTCCTTTTATTATTCAATAACTTTTTTTGATAGTATCTTTACAGAAAACGGAAAAGAAATTCAACGTACTTAGCGTTTTTCCCTTTCCACGCAGAGCACGAATTCACGTATCTTCATACGCTCTTTAACAAACAGTTACCAATGCATCCTCAGCTTGATATCAACAAGCAGAAGCAATGCGCAGAACTTATTTTGGCTTTAGACGAATGCCATAAACATTACGGAAAGTTTTTAGGAGAATGCAACTCTATAAAATATAACCTAAAATCTTGCTTAAATAAAGATGTACTTACACACTAACGCACATTATAACAATTATATGAAGGAAACTAACGTATATTTTCTAGAGGAACGAGAAAGCAAAGGTCAATCGAGAAAAAGCTCTCCAACAAAAAAGCTCTTCTGCAGAGTATCGACGAAAGATGGAAGAAGAGGAGGCAGAAAAAATTCGTGAGTTATTGCAGAAAAGTCGAAATAAACCTTCTTCCGATTGACACTTATGTTCATTCTATTACAGACACAAAGAACCAGAATTAAAAAATTAAAAATAATTACTGACTGGAACGGTTTATGCTGATCTAATCTTGAGCTTAATAAATAATAACACTTGGATATGGATTGTGCTGGCTGCTTCTTGCATTGCCTTGCTGACGACATTACTCGCGAACAGGTTCCTGTTCCTTCAGTTCTTTCTGGGATCGATTAAAGCGTTTCTTTTTGAAGAGCTTTGTAAAGGAACTCTTACTCTCTGTTTTCATCCTCGCACCCAGTCTGCCGTCGGAAGAGGAGGATGGAGTTTCCGATGAATTTGGATCTTGTTCAGTCCCTGCGAGTAACGGTTCTATAACTCGACTAGTGTAGCTATTTAGCTGCCTTTGTAATTGCTCTACACTAGATTTTCCAAATGATTGATACATTCCTAAGCACGGTCGTTTGTTTTTGCTTTTCCCTAATGCTTGTACATAAATTCCAACTTCCGTGAACTCTTTCAAGCAATTTTGGAACCTCTCTACAAAATTGCTTGCTTCAATCTCATATCCATCCAAGTCTCCTTGATCTTCCAAGTCTTTCATCTCTAGTGCGTCTTGAATTTGATAGTTCGTGATCTGTAGTCCTTCAATTGCACACGATAACGCAGAAAAGAAATGACGAAGCTTTACATTTTCACTTTCTTCAACTAATTCTTTGAAAAGTCTTATTGTATCTTGGTGATTAAATCCTTCTCCCTTAGCTGAGCCAATTGGAACTTTTCCTTGGTTTTCTAGGAATTCATGTATGGAATCCAAAATCATAACGAAAACTGCGGATATCAAAACACTGGTTTCTTTACACCATCCATATTGATTTTCAATTAACTTGTAACGGCTATCATCTGCATTTTCTTCAGGTATACTCTTGCAATACTGTTCTTGCAAATGATTAAGTAACCTGCCGGTTAGTTTTCCATTATTCTCTGCCTAAAAGTTTTGCATACGTAAACATGTTTTCTATGTCCAAATAGTTAAGAGTCTCATTTTGACCTTCTTTGTTTGAACTGAATTCTGAACTCTGAATGCTGGACATATTTGCTCTAGGATGTCTCTGGTTGCGCTGAAATGAATTATTTATCTTTGTTTTGATTACATGAACTTTTCGGATAAACAAAGGCTGTAGTTTGTTTGTAAAGTCAGTGCCCCGTCACCCCTCCCTGTTCTTTCAAAACAAAAACAATTCAACATTCTTTACCAACTTCCTTCTTTTTGTTTAAACAAAAATTAATTGAAGCTTTAGAGAGTTACTATATGAATACTTTTTCATTATACTCGTTGTACGCAATGTAAACAGATGACTCCCATAAACCACTAAGACATAGAATTTTTAAATTTCAATAAAAATCTAGCCAAAAAAATCTAAAGTTTAGATATTAAACTACTCTATATAAATCGTCATTAAACAAAAAACAAAGGAAACTTTTTGCTTTCAAATAAATGTAAAGCTACTACGGCACAATGGACACCGGCTAGCATTAGACGATTTGAACCATTTATACAAACAAGAAGCATGGAATTTATGCCTGCATGTACTACAACGCTTGTTTGGTAGTGTTCTTTCAACCGACAGTACAGAGTAGCAAATAGCACATTCTTCAACACCTTCAAAGTGCATCGAAATGTTTCTCTTTAAAAGTTGCAAGGCATCAATTATCGAGCCATTTTGGGAAGTAAGAATACTCTGAGAAGCGAGAATCCATGCGCGCCATTGTCGTTCATTCACGCCAACTCTTTCAATTCCCTCCACCTGTACTTGATGAAGAGGGTAAGCCAAAGGTATTCTAATCGCCATCTCAAGTTTATGCTCGTCAACGTGATATATAAAGGAAATTTCTTTCGTATTCCTATTCAGTTTTACAACGGTATCTCCAGACGTTTCAAAACTTGAAGAAGAAATCGCCTTCTCTACATCATCAAGTGAGGCAGAAATCAAAAGTGGAGATACATTAGACTCAGTGAATGACTCAACTGTGTATGTAAAAGCTCTATTCTTAATTTCTGACCAGTATCCTCGAACTGCTGAAGACAAATGCCTCAAACATTGATAATATATATACGTACACAGGCATCGAGTTCGATCTAAAGGAGAAGCATAGTCCAAAAGATTATAGGATGTCTTTGGATAATTACTTACATCGACAGGTCTGTCATAGGACAACTGGAGAATTTCTACTATGATCGCAAGCAATGGCCTCACTAGATCCATCGATAACAACTGTTCGGTGAGTGCCAGCTTAATTTGATAAGTCGTTTCTTCAAAATGATGGAAAACAAGATCCCATGCTAGAAGATACGATCGTAGAGCAGGCTCTATAGTGTCTATTTCACCTAAAATATTTAAAGGATTTTCAGCGTAATTAATAAGTATAGAGAGTAACTCTGGAGCGAAAGAAACGTCTGGTTCAGAAGTACTTTCAACCATATAGTATACCGTCAAGTCTTTAATTTCGCTCGAGATTTTATCCTGCAATAATTTCATGCACATGGCCTCATTCGATAAATCCAGAAAGCCAAGCAAATTAGGATAAAGTTCCTGGTAAGGAATTTTTGCTATAGCCTTATGCGAACAATTGTCTAATAATCTTACAAGGTAGGTGCTGCAAAGTCCAGCGGTCACTGAAGATTTTAGGTTGGATTCATGGTAAGAAAGGAAGCTCTTCAGGCCAAGATATTTTATATCATCATCATGTTCAACGAGTCCATCATATATATCGTCGTTCATTTCCGCTATCTTTGTAAGTGTAAGATATAGACGTAGTGCGTAAAGCTCCATAGACTTTACCATAGGAATATCCACCGGAGAAAGTTTAAGTGTAAATTTTATTAATTCAAAAATTCGGTTCCAGTAAGAACCGGCAAACTTCTGGACGGAGGGAACAAACCGGTGCAGAAATTGAAATAACAGAGACAATGATAACAAATCTAAAGATTTTGTAGCGTTATCAATTGCCCATTCAGTAAGACTTGTTAAGAGTAGTGGACAACGGGTAATGGGCAAAAGTGGTTTTGAATCATCCTGAGTCGGTGTAGATGCATTCAGTGTCATCAAAGCTTTGGTTACAGAAGCACTTGAAACCAATTTACCAGATAATTGACTGGCACTTCTAAACCTTATCTTTTCAACGATTCCTGAATCCAATTCAAGTGGTTTAAATCCTTCAAGTAGGGCTACGACTAGGATGTCGGATTTTGAAGCGAAAATATCCAAGCTGCTACATAACGTTTCGAATTCATCAGAGCTTAAAACAGATATTGAAGAAGCTATCTTCAGTAGATTTGTGATAGCTTGACCGGCACAGACACTCATCACATCAGAAGAAGAAGTGATTATCTTTATCAGCTCACGGATAGCAAGTCCAACACTGCTTTGATGCTGAACAAGGAAATTTGAATAAAAGGTAAGTGAATTGTCCAAAGGTGCTAGGCTAAACAGTCTCCTGAACAATTTCTCACATCTTTGACAAAAGTCATTAGCACTTTCAATAGGTATGTCAGAGAAAATTTCAATTCCATTTTGGACATAAATTAAGAAAATTGCATGCGACAAAGATATATACAGCAAAAGATCAGAGCTCATTTCGTCGTATTCACAAAACACCAACGAGTAGAGCGAAGCATGAAAAAGTTGTGCAATTGCTTTACTATCGACAACTTCATCAGACTGATTTTTCTCAATCAACTCTGAGAATCCAAAACAAGGTGCTTGATCAATAAAATAAGTCTTAGCAAAATAATTTACAGATGGAGTCAATGTGGAAATCCAAAAGTTTTCAGTATAGAGAAACAAAGATAGGGGAATTTTGCTTTTATGCGACTTTGCGAGTTCAGCGACGATTTGCGCTGCTTTATGTGTATCAAATTTGCCTTCTAAAACGGTCTTACGGCTCCAGTCGGAGACTGCTTTGCAAAGAGAGTTCGTAAAACCGTCATTCATTTGACATTCCGCATTGAAAAGCCCAATTAAACTATCACGCAAATGACCATCAATGCTAGAGAATTTGGGGTCTATCAATAGCAAAGGGTATAATAAATAAAGGCTTTCATTTTGTGCAAATATTTCAGCCAAGTCATGGCGTAATGATTTGAACGCGCAACATAAAACATTTAAGTGATTTTCCAAAACACTCAATGGTAATTCCACTTGAAAATTATTAGAGGTCAAGGTTAAAAATTTCTCAACCAATTTAGCAGGAATGAGAATGTCTTTTGTGTCGATGGTAAGTTTTATTAAGTTCCAATCGTAATGCTTCTCCCTAATCAAATTAGACACGGTCTCATCGTAATAAGAGACAAGGGAATCCACCAAAGGAACTTTATCACGTAAGCGGGGATCTGAAAAGCTAAGAGGAAGTGAATTGAGGACTTCGGTGTTCAATGGTTCGGTCATCAACTGATCAATGACGGAGGACCAAAGATTATCGATATTATCAGATTCTCTAAGTAAATAGACAATTTCGTGAAGCAAATCCAAATATGACGGCTTCGTCTGTTGAGTCAATATAATAGATGGCAAAAAGTTTACCAAATACTCGCTTAAATCCGACTGCACATATTGAGTAAACTTTGTTTTCTCAAAAATGTGACAAAACTTAGTAAGATGCGAAACAGCAAGACTAGCAAATTGAATATTTTCACTAGCAGACAGCTGCATCAAAAATTGTAAACAAGGTCGGACATTACGTTGGTATTCTATATCGTAAGACCTGTTGTTATTTTTGTAACTCAAAGCAGTTTGCACGGCAAGATTAACAGACCTTGAGAAAACTTCAAACGACGAAGAGTCAGGTACCGGATGGGATTCATAGAAATTGTAAAGTACCTCGTTCCACAAGTTGGAAAAAATTTCACTTTTACGAAATATGCTCTGTAAACACTTATCGAACTCAAAAACAGGACATTGGGGAATCATGGTTCCTTCAAAATAGCCAACAAACATAGACTTGAGAATTTCTAATACTGTATCTTTAATTCGAGAATCCAAAGAAGTGTTAAAGACAAAAGACAGGAACTCAAAATGACAGCTATAAACTTCAGTTGCAAAGACACGCTGTTCTTGTTGAGCAGTCTCCATAAAGGCATTGGAAAATTCGATTAAATCATCTGTGGAAGGGACAAGCTGTTCAGCCGAAAAACGAGTCATAAAAGTCATAAAAGTTGTGTAAAAGCCAGAATTTGGGAGAGCTAATCGTTTACGAAGAAGATTCTGCAAACATTTTCGCATAGGACGTTTTGGGTGATTTGCTAAAGTGGCAGAAGAAGAAGGATAAACGGTTAACAATGAGGACATCATCTTTAACAAAGACACGCACGATATACTGTCGGAACGGGAAAATATACGCGGCACGAGATTTAAAATTTTACCTTTGTAAGAGGAGAAAAAGTCTTTGTCGAAATTCATAAGATTTTGCAAAAATTGAAACAAACGGAGTTTAATGATTCCATGAGAAGAAGAAGGGAGCTCCCATAATTGTTTAGATTCAAGCAATACGGAGATTGCCTCTAAGTAATGTTCGTGAAAGCTTTGTGACTTAGTATTCCCATCGGCAGGATGGACGCCGTTCATTAAGTTTTGATTGATCAAGAAAGAGAGACCAGAGAAACAGCAAGCACAGGTGCGTTCATATTTAGATTCTGCGTCTTCGTTTGAAATAAACCGTAAATCAGACATAGAATCAACAGTTTCATACATAAGGATATCAACAATATTATCAACAAGAACATTCCCGTATTTCATCCAAACATGCGGCCACTTATCCTCTGAGAGTAATTTGCTGAGTGAATTACGGGCAGCAAAGGAGACTGTTTTATCAACATCAAAAAAACCCATCATCCAGGGCGTGATGTAGGCTTTTAGCCAGGGAGCAAGTTTCTTTTGAAAGTTTGAAGATAACAGACCAGTAAATGTAAAAGCATATTGTCGTACTCGTCGATCTGTTTCAATAGCCAAACGAGGAAAGTAAACGGCCCAGGCGTCCAAAAATTGTTCATTTTCAAACTGAGCAATTTTGCTCCATTGAATTAAATCTTGTAGTGCGCGACACTTGGTTGTGATATCTCTTTTTTGGAGACTTTTAATGACTACTAAAAGATCCGCGTCAATGGTAGTCAAATCCGGGGGTTCAAAGATTGTGCTAACCATTGAAGTATTGGTCCCAGTATCCATCTGCAAAGATGAGAAGGACCCAGTGAGAGATTGCATCGGAGACGAAGTTTGTCTATAATAGTTAGCCTACGAGTCTTTCACAGCATAAAACGTCCTGGAATCATGTTTTCTTATAGTTGACTATGATTTACGAAACAAACGAGAAGCATTCTGGGCAACCATGTCCCGTAAATAAACGTACTATATTTTAAATCCAAACAGTTCTATGAACTCACATACCCGTGAAGAAATCCAGATTTCTTCATTATTCTAACAAAGTATGCAATGAACCTTTATTTTCTCTCACTATCCACCAGGATAAATTTTGTTTTTTCTTGAATTGTCGGCTTCTGACATGCCTTTAGACACGTAATTTAAAATGTTCGTGTAGCATTACGTTAATCAATTAAGACGCTTGAACCCATTCTCCTAATACGCTCTAGGGTATAGCAACACATTCATAAGATAAGTACTTAACTTGCGTTCCGTATTCTTATAGGTGGGAAACTGCAGACGGTGGAACAGGCTCAAAGTGAAGAAAAAGAGAGGAAGAGAGCTGTGTTATCGAGCATTTACTCTTTACAGGAAATATTATTTTCATAAAGGATATGAAGAGACATCCCTAGTATGAATCTTTCCGAGAACGTTGCTCTTTTACAGTGTCTCGATTTAAAACGGCAACTTGGGGATAATGAAGAAAAGATTCTGAAACAAGTATCAGAGAGTCCGTTTTTGCTAGAGCCTCTGAACACAGAAGAATTAAAAAGGATTTATCATCAGACTTTTACAGATTCGGAAACCGGAGGGAAGACTGGTAAGAGCAGCTCTGTTACAGATGATGAAACAAAGTTGGACAAGCGATCGCAACTACGACAGGACGTTATGAATGATCTATTCAATGAGCTAAATAATTGTGTGAAATCTTATGATGCAATTCTTGAGCAACAGGCGGAAGAGAAATCGAAAATCAAAGAAAAGGAAGAAAAAGCCGTACAAGAAACAACAACTGTCACAGATTCAGTTTCCAAAAACTTACGGTCGAAAAGAAAATCATCGGAACCGTTACCTGAAGAACCAACGTTATCTAATGCTCCGGATATAACTGCTGCTGCTTCTGTTCCTGTAGCTACAGGAGCAACAACTCGGGCCGCCAGTAGACGACAAACTTCGCAGGACGAAGAAAAGACCAATCTCAAAAAGTTCCAAAATGTGATCCTTCCCGTTTTGGATAATATCTCCAATCATCGGTATGGGGCGCCTTTTAGCCATCCCGTCAACCGGAAAGAGGCTCAAGACTATGATTCGCTAATTTTCCACCCTCAGGATTTGAGGACTATTAAAAATATGGTTCGTGAAGGCAATCTTACTACTATAGAAGAAGTTTACCGAGAAGTTTTGCGCGTATTTGCAAACTGTAAAATGTACAACGGGGGGGATCCAAGCAGTGCAATGTCTATTTGGGGAGATGAGTGTTTTCGATTCTCAGGAGAATTATTTGAGATGTTTAAGCAAGCAAGTATCAAGCGATGAAAAAGAAAAAAAGCCTTTGGGTTTTGGTTACATGAGAGTTTTCATTCTAACACTGTATAAAACCATGTACATATACATATACATAATTTATTTCTTAGACGTGTTCAGCACATTATGTTAGGATACCATAATACTACCTATATGATTCATTTTAAATAAAGCATAATAAATCAATTTTATAAAAACATACAACAATGTTCGGCTAAATGTGAATATAAAAAGGGATTACAAATAACATCAATCAATTATATAATTTTTAGTCGTAGATAAGCTCATTAACCTTTGGTAACTTAAAGAAAGCTGAAAAGACATTTTTCTTTGGCAGCGGAAAACATATCCATTAATGTGAACTCCATTCAATGGTACTGAGATCAACGCCTTCTTGCACTAGATCCCACAAAGGACTCAAATTTCGAAGGAAGTTGATCTGTTTATGAACGTTATCAAGAGCGTAATCAATTTCAGCCTCTGTAGTGTATCTGCCAATACCAAATCGAATAGAACTATGAGCATCTTCATCATTTTGGCCGATAGCCCGAAGGACATATGAAGGCTCTAAAGAAGCAGAAGTACAAGCAGAGCCAGAAGAAAGAGCAATGTTCTTAAGACCCATCAACAAAGACTCACCCTCGACATAAGAGAAAGAAATGTTAACACAGCCAGGGAATCTTGATTTAGGATCACCATTTAGAGAAGTAAAAGGAATAGCCAAAAGACCATTAATCAAACGCTTCGAAAGTCTAGAAATATGTTCGTGATCATAAGCCATTTCTTCCCTGCAAAGGCGGGCAGCAGTGCCAAAACCCACAATTAAAGGAGGTGCTAAGGTACCACTGCGAAGACCACGTTCCTGACCACCACCGCTCAATAAGGGTGCAAGACGGACACGGGGGCGACGGCGAATGAAAGCAGCGCCGACACCCTTGGGTCCATAAATCTTATGGCCGGAAATTGACATCAAGTCGATATTCATACGGTTAACGTCAAGGGGAATTTTGCCAAAGCCCTGAGCAGCGTCTGTGTGGAAAAAAACTTTGTTTGCGCGGCAAATCTTACCTATTTCTTCAAGAGGCTGGATAACGCCAATCTCATTATTGACTGCCATGACACTTACGAGAACAGTGTCGGGACGAATCGCTTTTTTCAAATCGTCGAGACTAATTAAGCCGTTTGTTTGAACTGGAAGATAGGTGACATCAAAGCCTTCTTCCTGCAAAGTACGCAAAGAATCAAGTACACACTTGTGTTCGGTTTGAACAGAAATAATGTGCTTTTTTCTATTTTGATAGAAACGAGCAACACCTTTGAGTATAGTGTTATTGGACTCTGTAGCACCAGAAGTGAAGATGATCTCACGAGGATCGGCGTTGATGACCGTAGCAACCTCTTCACGAGCTTTTTCTACGGCCTTTTCGGCCTCCCAGCCATACTCGTGGGTACGACTATGAGGGTTTCCGTACACGCCTGTAAGATAAGGAAGCATGCTATCCAACACGCGATAGTCAAGGGGAGAGGTGGCTTGAAAGTCCATGTAAATGGGGTGTGTGCCAGAAATGGCCTCTAAAGCAGCTTTCGCTTTAGCAACAGTGGGTGTCTCCATAGTGGTTGTAGCGGTAGCGGGAGCTGCTGCTGTAGAAGCAGCTGCCGTGGGAGAAACCGAGGATTTAAGGATAGAAGGGTCTTGGGAAGAAGGAGAAGTAGAAAAACGAGAGCAGCTCGAAGAGAACAAGCGTGAGGAGGCGACGCCGCCAGCTCGAGTCCAAGGGCGGTTCAAACACGAAGACGTCCTTGGAAGAGCTTTTTGAGAAAGAGTCATAAATCTACTGAATCTCGACATAACTTAGGTAATGGAAATGATGGACTGAGAATTCGAAATGGACCAACCGATAGGAAACACAAAAAGCAAATATCGATGAAGCAGAATAAAGAAATGCTTCAAAGAGAATTATCACAAAAAGTAAGGAAAAACCAACAAAAAAATCACAAAGTAAAGAAATAGACAAGAAAGCACTAGAAAAAGCTTCAGCAATGTCTAACTATCAGAGAATTATGGTCTCTGGGAGGAGGCGACAAGTCCTTTAAAATACAGGATCCGTCAATCCCACAGACGACGTTTGTAGCAGTATTAAAGAATACTTGCTTAGTAATAGTGGTTCACTCTTTCTCAAGAGTAAAAAGGACTTTTAGCACAGAAAGTGCAAAACGAAGCCTATTTCAATAAAACAATGAAACCAGCGATAAAAATGATGAAAGTATAATCAAAGAAAACAATCCGACGAAAAACCTCGCTTTTTTATAAGCACGAAATTTGGAAACAGCAACGAAGCGTTGTCCGTCGAGAAAGAGTAGAAGTAAAAGGAATTAGCAGCGAAATAATTCCAAGAGCGTTATGCCTATATATAGTGAGACACACAAAACAGCCAAATTTATTGGAGCCAATCCAAACGCTCAGCGGCACTCCAGAGTCAAATGAAAGGCAGAGATTGTGGTTTGAAGTAACATTATGAGCTCTGTGAGGTAGCAAAAACAAACCTTGGGGCTAAAGTTGGGTGGCTAAAAGACAGAAAGAAAAAAACTCGAATCTTCTGAATTAAGGAAAAATATTTTAATAAACAGACTTGGTGGGTTAGCTTTTATACAGCTTTCTTGGCATTCGCTGCTGATATCCACCTATGCATAGTTGATACTGTGGAACTGAAAGTATGGAAGAAGAGTTTTTTAGCCACTACGGCAATAATCATTATAACGCATTGGAATTTTTGCGATGGTTTGTTATTTTGTATGTCACATGTATCTTACACTGCGTTATAAACATTTAGGAGATGAAGCAAAGTTTGTTGAAGTGCGTTTACCGATATTGTCAAATACTTTGTTAATGTAGATAACGATAGGAAACGTAGTACCTGATATGATGAGAAGGACAAGATTGGAGGGAGGGACGTACATGTTCCTCTTCCCATCGACAACAACACCCAATTGAGACATAAACTAGACAGATCTGAATGAGCTGGAAAGGATTTAAAAAGTCGGTGGTCCGTGCACCACAGACGTTTCGTAGTAAATTCAACATTGGAGAACATACGAAAGACCCAATTTACGAAGATGCGGGACGACGATTCAAATCACTTGAAACAGAAGCCAAGAAGCTATCGGAAGACACAACAAAATACACAGAAGCAATTCATGGATTATTGAATCATCAAGTTGGGTTTGCGGATGCTTGCATAGAAATATACAATCCTATTAGCGGTCGAGCCTCTGACCCAGAGTCGTACCGTCTGGAGGGAAGTGAGGAAGGTGTTCAGGCAGCAGAAGCTTATAAAGACATCGTCCACGAGCTGGAGTCCAGTTTAGCGTCTGAATTGGAGGTTATTGAAACCCGCATTGTTCAACCAACGGCGGAATTGCTCCATATTATCAGGTCAGTCGAAAAGTTTCTCACGAAGCGTGATCATAAACAAATTGATTACGATCGTCATCGTGCTACCCTAAAGAGACTACAAGAAAAAAAGGATCGCTCGCTTAAGGATGAAAAGCACCTTTACGAGGCTGAAACCTCCTTTGATCAAGCATCCCAGGAGTATGAATATTATAATGATATGGTCAAAGAAGAGCTTCCACGCCTTTTTGAACTTGAGCAAGATTTCATTGCCCCCCTTTTCCAAGGACTCTATTACATGCAGCTCAATATTTTTTGGATTCTTTATCAGAAAATGAGTAACTTCAACATTCCCTATTTCGACATGAATTCCGACATTATCACAGCATACGAAGAAAAACGCAGTGATGTAAGAGACCGTACTGAGGCTCTGACAATTACTCGATTCAAGACAGGCAGGCCTGCTCGCAAGCACTCTGGCAGCTACACTGGTCATTCTTCGCCATCTTCTTCTTCTTCCTTTTCTAACAAACGTGAAGATGTCGCTGGTGATGCTACAAGTGTTTCTGCTTCTTCCCCTACTAGTAGTGCGGCGGCAACCTCAGAAGTTCCCCCTCCTTACACCTCAATTGGTGCTCAACCGTCCGCCATGGCTGCTGCTACTGCCCCCGAAAAGCCTGCTAGTTTCACAGCTTCTACCGCATCGGCTCCTCCTGCTCCACCAATAAAGCCCAAGTTCAAACCGGCTGTTCCACCTGTAGAGTACGTTACTGCTTTGTATGATTATACAGCACAGGCTGCCGGTGATTTGTCCTTCCATGCCGGTGATCGCATCGAGGTAGTTTCACGATCTGACAATCAAAATGTGAGTAACCCTTTTCTGTTCTTCTTGACTTCCTTCTGTGGTTTCAAATTTACTAACAAAAGATATAGGAATGGTGGATTGGTCGTTTGCACAATTCTGAAGGCCAATTTCCGGGCAATTATGTTCAATTAGATGAAATATCCTAGATGATTTTTCACGATACATTCTTTTTGTATTTATTTCTTCTGATTTTTGTCACGTAGTTCTGCTACATACGAAACTGGGCGAAACAATAATGCGCAATTAGAATACTTTCCTTTATGTATTTTTGTTACAATCTTTCTTTTGCATGATTTGCATCATTCGAATAAAGCACTAAGAAAGATATGCTTGTTTCGTATTTTTTTTTTGCCTAAATGCTCATTTGGAATGGATAATGATTTATCTTTTAAAAGTGTTTGAAAATGATGTACTTGAATATGCCCCTATTTATGCGCCGTTTGTTTACGATGTTGTCGAGACAATACTTACCCTCCGAGAATTATAAATTGCGTCTATAAATTTTCTCTATACGTTCATTTTCCTAGTTTGCAAGCACAACCACCGTCTTTTGGTCTAATAGTGAAGTAATTGGCTGATGGAAGAAGTTTGCATGCTTTTTTAGCTGCTTTACTTTCTACATGAAAAGGACTGTATATTGAATAATTAACATACAATAAATGGTCTTTATCTTTTGTTAGGCAACCAACAAACAAATCGAATTAGTATATAATTTTTAAGTATCTAAAACGCTGTTTTGTAAAGAACAAGAAAAATGAAACCTCAAATTGTTTTCAAACAATTTATATGGTAATAGAATAAACTTTAGATTCTATTTTTGTTGAAGGATAGTGTGTGTCGAAGAATTGCTGTGAAGTAGTCTAGCAAGATGTTGCACCACAAAAAAAATTTGGTAACAAAAGATCCTAGGTGTTAGTTATATGATTAAAAGCTTCATGGGTCGCCCGAATGCTTCAGAAGATGTTGATTCTATGTGGAATAAATTTTGTGCCGATTTAGAACCTATAAAGACGTTATTGGGGAGTCAAAAAGAATGCCATGAAACGGCTGAGGATGAAAAAGCAGACTTGGAAGCAAGGATTGAAGCTTGTCGGCGTGGTTTACAAGCAACAAAAGACCAGAAAACCCAATTAGATCCTGCTATACAATCTTTAGAAGTAATTATCCACATCTTAGAAAAAGCAAATGAGAAGTCCGCAGCCTCTATTATGAATAGCCCGTTAACGAGAAGTCGGCGAAACCGAAGCGCTTCACAAATATTTATTCCTCCTGCACTAACCTCGGGAATGTCTGTCGCTTTTCGCTTGCCACGAACTGAAGGGGGTGAATGGATTCAATGTATTATTGTCAAGGTGACAGGGGAGGGTTCTAAGCAGAGGTAAGTTGGTACAAATTGTTATGTGGTAGACTCCATGTAGCTCCTTTTTCTGGTAGAAGCAAATTTCAATGATTGTAATGCATACATGGATCCAGTTCTAACCTTTCTTGACATTAGGTATGAAGTTCAGGATCCCGAACCAGATGATGACGGCAATGCAGGCCAAGTATATAAAACCGTTGCAAGTAATCTTATTTATATCCCACCGAAAACAGCTTCATTGCCCACTCTTAGTCCTGGAACGGCCGTGCTGGCACGCTATCCAGAAACAACCACATTTTACAAGGCAGAGGTAATACGAACATTACCGAATGGTTCCTGTAAACTTCGTTTTGAAGGAGAAGAGGAAGCTGGTAAGGAAACAACTGTGGAACGGCATCTCGTATTGGAATATAATGGATAATTCTACTATTTTTTTATGGGATATTTAACTGCCCAAATACTTCCATAGATATTTCATGCCTTTAATTATTATAATTACGAATATTATTGAAAAACAACGCTTAAATTAAACATGACAGTTCCCTTTCTTTTGGGATATCTTCTCGCCTTTTTTTTATTGCTTGCAAAAGTGAAGCAGCCTAATATGAATGTATTTTTTAACTTAAGTGAACAGAGAGGACAACAAATTAATAAGAAGATACTTTAAATAAAAAAACAACTAGGATTATTGAAAATTGCCCAAGAATGTATTTATTTACTATTTAACGACCTTTTGCATTCCTACGTTATTCCATATGTCGACAAGTTACGTTGTTTTGAAGCAGGTAGAAAGCACTTACCCTTTGTGTATACCTACCTCAGTTGCTACAAGAAGAATAGAAAGTCGGCTGAAGGTGGTGTGCCTTCCCATTTTATTTTTTCTGTTGGTATGTTCTTTTCTGAAGCTTAGGTTCGCATAGTGTATTTTAATTCGCTTCTTCCAATTGAAGTAATTCTTTCGTTTTCTTATTCTTTTCAATATGGTCGCAAACAAAAACCTTTTTTTCTCGTATTTGGTGTTGTCTGCTTTTGGAACTGTTTTCTTTTTTCTCATCATGTACCGGTCATGGTGCACTGAAACAAAGACGGCTTTACTATTGGAGGAGATGTTCCTTAGTCCTTTATATACAAACCAGAGCACGGCTCCTCGTCCCTTACGAATGTGTTTGGGCGTTTTCTCACATGCAAACAATGTGGAACGAAGACGTCTGTTGCGTGAGGACTACCACCACTACATCAGGGAATTTGCTAGCAAGGACAAGATTGACGTCAAGTTTGTCTTAGGTGTTCCAGATACAAATGAAGGATTGGCTGCTATTCGTGAAGAGCAGCGAAAGTACGGTGACCTTGAAGTTCTCCCTATTGGGGAAAACGTGGATCGTGGAAAAAGTATTGTATACTTTCAAACATTTTTGAAGGGATATCGATCATATCCTTTGCTTTCAGATGTTGCTGATGGTCATCTTTTAAAAAACATACAGTATCAGGGGGGAACGTTTGTCTATAATGAAACAATTGAGACCCATGAACTTCCTGGGATGAAGGAATTTCAGGATTTAGGTGCTCCGCGAGATGAATATGATTTTATAGCAAAAGTTGACGATGATGCATATGTCAACTTACCATTGCTATTCTCAGAACTTCGTCCTCACATTGGTGAGGATGAATTTTACTTTGGACGAGATTGTACTCGTAAAGAGTTGCCGACATCCGTCCGTGAGTTCCCTTATATGTGCGGTTTTGCTTATGTTGTTTCACCAGACATCGCCCATCACATCGCTAGTGGTCGTGAAATCGTTTATCCATGGGAGGATGTTCAAACCGGTTATAATATTTATAAGTCTGGCGATGTTCAAAATATTAAGTTTACCAGATACAATCTGTACGATCTAGTTTTGCATAGCGAAGGCTATAATCCTCGCCAGGCTTTCCTTCGTTTTGACGCACTTGTTGTGCACAAGCTCAAAACAAATCAACTTTCGGCTTCGGTAATTGAATGGTACCGAAAAATGTACGAGCATCGTGCTTACTGTCAAACTTTGTCCGGCAATGAAAAGCGGTTTTGTATGAAGGCGTCTTATCCTTTGGTTGCTACCGAGGGTAACACTTAATCATATAAAGCTTTGTCTTATACTTGTTTCTCTTAACTTTTTTTCTGTATATTGCTCATTTTCTTCTATTTGCATTTTCATTTCTTGCAGATTAGTAAACCTTTACTTGTCTCTCTTTTCTTCTCTGTTTTTCTTTTTCTTTCTTTAATGAACCGTACTGCATTTTCTTTCTTATGTATATATTATGTCTTTTCTGATTATCATATTCTCATTTGGTATTATTAAGTCTTAATCTACTATTTCGTTTTATATTTTGTTTTACTTTTGTTTTATTAAATTTTATTCTCCTAATAATTGTTGTTTTCTTTCCAATTTTACTGTTTAAACACATCGTAAACAGCGCATTACGTAAATTTTCTACAAAGAAAAAATAGTCACAGAATAACCCTACCCTAACGAGAAGCCGACAAAGCTATAAAAGGGCGTGGATCGCACCTTGTCTCATTGAATCAAAAATGTAAGAGGTCAGCCACGGTAAATATGTGATTCGATACGTATTTTACTGCCAGAGTCATATTTTTGACTTTGCGACCTCGAGATAAAAACTCGTTGACAAAGAACCCTGCTCTTATGACCTATTAAGTTAGGCGATTGGCGTAGGGGCCGACGATGCGAGAAATTCTTTTATAGTAGTACTTCTTAGTTTATACCTTACAAGAATATTAGAATGAAATTGATATATATATATATATTTTGTGCTGAAAGTTTGTGTGAACGGTAAGGTTTTAGAAGTAGGAGGTGAAAGCATGATTTACCTAAAAGTGCCGTAAGAAAACGTTTATTTATAGTGAAATAAGTCATTTCTGTCTATCAATTTTTCATATTTCGTAAAAATTGTATTTAATTATCGCTTGCTTATCAGACTTCGAACTAAAGGTACTTGTTCGTCTTAAGCCATTCAATAATGTCGTTCAAGGACTTCTCAATGAAGCTAGAGCTGGATGAGATGCTGTCCAAAGACTGTTGAAGAGCACGTTCATACAGCTTGATATCTTGGTCAGCAAAGAACTTTTTAATGGTGTCGATATCTGACTTATGAGTAAATCCTGCGGTAATGATTCGAACGATATGACCACGCATGGTACCGGCAATGGGAAGTCGCTTCAATAGTTGATCCCAATGGCTCGTTGCGAATTTCCACATAGCGAGGACACCTCGCTTGTGTCCAGACAAGCTTGACAAAACCAAGTACAAATCTTGATCTTTAACAATAGGATCCAAAGCAAGTTTGAGAGTCTTCTCAATGTATGCATCGTTTTCAGTGTAACCAAAGGCTCTAAGGCAATTAGTGCGAACATACGGGTCATTTGACTTCTTGTATATGTCCAACAATTGGTCCCAACACTTAGGCTCACCATGGCGGACTGCAATAATGAAAACAGAAGAGCGGAGATTGTCGTTGATAGCTTTTTGATCTCCTGCAGCGTATGCTTCAAACATTTTGAGAGCGTCAGAGACAACCTTCTCGTCACCGTTGACACCGGCAAAGCCAAAGACTGAGCTCTTAAACTGGCGACTAATATGATCATCTGAGCTGTCGAATGTCCATCCAAGTTTGTGTGCCTTGGCGGAAGAGATTTCCAAAATGAATTTTTTCAAAGCATCAACAATTTCAGGCTTTTCAAAGCGCAAAGTAGACTTTATACCGTTGAGACGAGCTAAAATTTCAGTAAATACAACAAAGCTTGGTTCTTCTTTCCAAGTCTTGGCCAAATCGAGAGTGCTGCTAACATGACCATAGCCAGCTCTGGACAAGGAGGCAACATCAGCGATCAAACCAGCACGGTCTTCGACACTAAGAAATTCTGGCTTTTCAACGGCGACCTTAGCAAGTTTCTTCAAGTGATCAGCGGTGTATTGTACACGATAGATACCAGATTGTTCTGAATTGAGCTTGTAAGCGTCATGAGATTCTTGAGAAATGGGAAGCTCAACAGATCTTTCTGTCAAGACAACCTTCTCATCCACAGTGGGCTTTCCGTCCTTGAGAGTCTTTAACTTCAAGGGAACCCAGTAAAGTGTCTTGTCCTCTTCAGGGCTAACATCACCGGTAGATAAGAATCGATGTTGCTCAATGCGGAGTTTTCCTTCTTTGGTTTCTGAGACGCTAAGTACAGGATAACCGGTATATTTGGTCCAGCAATTCATCATGGTAGAAATATCTTGACCAGATTCTTCAGATAAGGCACCCCACAAATCTTCGGTGACGGTGTTATTGTAGCGATGTTTGGAGATGTATCTTTGGATGCCTTTGATGAAAACATCCTCTCCAACATACTTACTAATCATACGAATGACGCAAGAACCCTTGGAGTAAGAAATGGCATCGAAAATTTGGTTAATTTCATATTCGTGCATGATGGGAACTTCAATGGGATGACTAGAGCGAAGAGCATCCAAAGCGAGAGCGGATTGAAGATTGTCGGTGACATATGATTCCCAGACCTTCCATTCAGGATAGAAATTGTGGCAGCTAAACCAAGACATCCAAGTAGCGAAGCCTTCGTTGAGCCATAAGCCGTCCCAAAACTGCATGGTCACCAAATTGCCAAACCATTGGTGAGCCAACTCGTGTTGAACAACTTCGGCAACGCGCTCAATGACGGTGGCAGCAGAATCTTCAGAAACCAAGACAGCAGAGAGACGGTAAGTAACGAGACCCCAGTTTTCCATGGCACCAGCCTCGAAATCGGGAATAGCTACCATGTCGCACTTGGGTAAGGGGTATGGTTCGTCGAAGACACCAGAAAAAAAGTCTAACGTCTTAGCACCTAAATCAGCGGCAAACTTGCCCTGGTTGGCGAAACCGGGAGTAGTGTAGACACGAACAGGCAAACGAGGGCAGTGTTTACCAGGAGTAAAGCACTCGACATATTCAAGTTCAGCAACGATCCACGCCAATAAATAAGTAGACATGCGACAAGTCTTAGCAAAACGAGCAGTTTTCATGTCATCCTTGACGACTTCTTCAGTAATATTCATATTGCTTAGAATAGTATAGTTGGATTTCGCGGTGATGTCAATGCTAAAAGTGGCCTTTAGAGCAGGCTCATCCCAGCATGGGAAAGCACGACGAGCACTTGTAGGTTCCATTTGGGTGGTAGCAAGATATTTGGTGTTTCCATCGGCGTCTACGTAACTAGAACGATAGAAACCTTCCATACCCTTGGAGATGACACCAGTGAAAGCAAGCTTCAAGACCGCAACAGCATTTGCTGGCACAATAGATGAGAATTGAAGGATAATGCGTTCATCTTTATAGGTGATGTTATTCGTCCAAATGGTTTGATTTCCCCATTCCAAAGCAGCGCTCAGAATGCGTAGATTAATACCGTGCAAGGTAATCGTGTCAGAATCCTCGATTACATCCAAGGAGACTGCGACGTTACCGCCGTAAGCAAACGTCTCCAAGTCTGGGTAGAGACTGAGGTCATAATGGATTGGCTTGACGTTTTTTGGCAAAACGTTACGATTTTCGTCCTTTGAAGCAGAAGCAGAGGCAGCTCCAGGTGCTGGTACGGTTACTTGCATAGTGGAAAGCAAAAAAGAAAGCAACTGAGTAAGTCGTTGATTAAAAATTGAAAAGAAAATAAAAATCCAAACTAACGGGCTCTCAACAAGGGTTACTAAGCAATTAAAACCCCTTTAGTATAGTACGAAACCTATTATTTCTGTACAAATATGTCACTATCACCTCTTCAAAAGGCTTCTACTGTGAATTTTATACTTGAAATCACAAGCCAAGATTCTAACTGTGCAAAATGCTTTTTTTATGAATATTTGGGATACTGATTACTTGGACGAGGAGAGTTGTTGAAGTCAGGTTTGTGTTTATGTAAGTAGATTAGGGGAACACAGTACTGTGATGCTGCTCGCAAAGGTACGAGGGAGGGTATCAGGAATGTCTGATAAGAGAATCTTACAAGAATAATGCTAGCATAAGGTCATGAAATTACTAAAAGGGACTTAATGGCATATTACTATAAGCCCTCCATGAAAAAACACCCTTAGTGTCAGGAATGGATCCCATAACTTTGATTAAAGTGTTTAATTCAATTCGTAATATGTAAACAAACAAACGAAGGATTAAAATATAATTCAGTTAATAAAAGAACAGACAATCCGCTTTGAGGAAAGTTATAGAATTTTTAAATATTTTTTTGCTTGTCTATTTTCATATCTTTGCTTAAAAAGAAAAAAAAATAAATAAATAAAGTGACTTTTCTCTATTCACTAGACAACTTGAAATCAATTCATTGATAGTCTTTGATAGTAAATTGTAAAATTAAACTGAGAATGAGCGATCAAAAGCGACTCCTAAATACTACAATTGTTGACTTTCTTCTTCCTGGGTGAATGGTTGGAATAGACAACAGTCATGGATATCATGAAAATCAGGACGAGGAAAGAAAGGAAAACGTCGTCAACGTAAGTAAGCATTGCTAGTAGGATTGAGCCGACACCAAGACTGAATTGAGACATGCACCTAGTACTATTCTCTCCTCTTTCGTCGGTTTCCTTTTCAGCTGTCCTACGTACCACCTCCATATACGATAGACCCACCCTAAATGAACACTCGCTAATGCCACCAAGTTTAATCAGTATATAAAAAAATACAATGCTAGTAGAAGGTACAAGGAAAAAATCAAACAGAAACCAATTACTCTCCTATACTTCATTCTCTTAGCACTACTCGTTGATATATTGATTTTGAAATAAAAAATTTCTTGTTGATAATATTGTTAACTATTAAAAAAATCTATCTATTAGACATTTCTGAACCACCGACCCACAGTGAACAGTAGATTTTTTAAGATCACTGTATGGGTACTTAGACGTCCAATTGACTCTGGCCCACGTTTGACGCTCAAACCATTCCACATAAATAAAACGAAAAGCGAGCAACACGAATGTGGGCGTCGGTATATAACCGCACGATAGTGAAAAAGGAAGCTCTGCCATGGCTTTTATAATCAGTGTACGTGACTGTTGTTATAACCCTACCCTAAAATCACTTGAAAAACAACCACACGAAGGAAGATTAGGTACATGGGAAGAAGGCTGGTTGTTTATGCTTTAGTTGATGGAATCTTGAAAAAGAAACAATTTTAATACAACCATGACAGAGAAATTCCTATCTAGAGTTAAATTAGATAAAAGAGTAGTCAATTCAACATCGTAATGTTGAAAGAAATTTTATTCTCACCTCCTTTTGTATTTAAAACACGGGAAATCAGCCGGCAAACCATTCCACGTTTTCACCTTATATGATTTGTTTATACGTTTGTTTCATAGCATTCGCTTAATGTTTGAGCTTAAAAAGGATAAGCTATTTTCGGTTACGGATGAGGAAGGAGATGTCGGTTGCTTGCCTTAAGCCTAAAACGTTTTCACACTTTACCAATCTCTCAGCATTCTGTGGAATTGTGAAGATGCTACGTAGGAAACGTGATCGTAAAAATGCTGCTAAGGAAAATGAGATGGCAATCGACAAGCCACTTGAAGCCAAGAGAACCCCTACCAAGAATCGGTCACATCATGATCCACCAATTTCCGTGGTCATTACGGGTCATTCCAAAGCTACAGAAGACGATTTGATCAGTTTCGTTTGGAGAAAAGCAAAAGTGCGTCTTATGAACCTCGTTTTTACTCCCGCTTCTGCTACAGCAGTCGTGAAAAGTCAGGATTTCTCCAAGCTAAACGGCTTGAACGGTACAGCCTTTGCCGGTGATCGATTAGCCATTCGAAGCATCACTGGTTCTTCTCCAGCTGCTTCTGCATTGAAAAAATCAAAGTCAAAGCGAACTCGTCGCTTAGCTACTTCAGGATCACCGTCTGCCTTGCGCTCTCTCTCTTCTTCATCTTCTCAGCCTTTGACTCCATCAAAAGACAACGCCACGTCCAATCCTTCATCCACAAATGAAACTATTGAAAAATTAAAGCAATTTCTTGTTTCTCGTTACCATTCCGAAACCAAATTCTTGGACTTAGGAAACTTGCAACAGGACCCTCTTTTAAAACAAATGGGAATTTTGGCAGAAGCTTCTACGAAAAGCAAAATGTTTCCGGCTTTAATGAAGGTCGCTTCTATTCATTTTTCTGATGTCGTATCTGTTAATTTATCAGATAACAACATCGAATCTGTAGCCTCTGTCACCACTCTCTCCCAAACATGGCCTCATTTGTTAAACTTAAGCCTCGCAAATAATCGAATTTCTTCACTCAAAGATCTGGAACCCTGGGCCCCCAAAACAAAATTACCGGATTTGCAAGAGCTGGTACTAGTAGGCAATCCAATCTCTCAAACCACATTTGCAAACCAGTCTCTACAGTATCAGATGGAGATGGTTGCAAGATTTCCTAAGCTCCGATTACTTGATGGAAATCCAATTCACCCAGAAGTTTTGGCTGCTCATACTTCTCTGCCTTTCCCGGCCTTCCCTCCCTTCTTTGACAAACCCGAAACCCAGCAGCTCATTTATCCTTTTCTGGAGGCTTTTTTCAAAGGATGGGATACCGATCGTACAGCACTTATCCAACAAATATATAGCCCTCAAGCCACCTTCTCTGTTTCTCTAAATTCAAGCAATATTCGATCCAAGGTTGTTCCTTCCAAATCCGATTCGCTAAAATGGGGAATTTACAAAAAGAAAAGCAGAAACTTGTTACATGTCCGCTCAAGTGATGAACAGGCATCACGGTTGTACGCTGGGCATGAAGCTATTGTTGCTGCTGGAAACGCGTTACCCCAAACTCGGCACGATATGTCAGATTCTTCCGAATGGTTAATTGAGGGATGGAACTTGATGCTTCCTTCTATCGGCAGTTCCATAAAAATTATTATACACGGAAAATTTGAAGAGCCCCAAAATAAAAACCTCACAAGAAGCTTCGATCGTGTTATGATTATATTACCTGGTGGACCAACAGGCGTGTTAGTTATCAACGATATGTTGACTGTCCGCTCGTATGTTGGTTCTCTTTCTTGGATTGCTCATGCAAATTCAGCTTCTACTCCGAATGTGGTCCCCGCGACAACCAACGATCAGCAGGCTGGTCCTGCTGCATTGCCCAACCAAGATATGCAAGAACAAATGGTTTTAAAGTTAAAATTGGAAACGGGATTAAATGATCAGTTTGCTAGAATGTGTTGTGAGCAGAATAACTGGAACTATTCACAAGCCATGAGTTCATTCTTAGAATTAAAAAACCAAGGAGTCATTCCAACAGAAGCATTTGCTTAAGCTTAATTTTTTTTGGTACCAAAAATATTATATCCTTTATTTGGGAAAAAGTGATGATATATTTATGAATATCTATTTACAACAATGGTCGTAATCTAAAATAAAACAAAATTATGCAATAATGTGAGAAAATATAAATAACGTGGAACCCTGTGAATTTTTTTTTTTTTTTAAAGTAGAATATTAATTTGATCTTCGTCCTCAATTTCTGTATTTTCCAAGCTGTCCTTTGGGTCTAACCAGTCTCCTTCAAATTCTAGCCGTATGCCTTCATGAAATGGAACCTCTGTTTGCTTACAATACTTTCGAATAACATCTTCAATCAAAGTGTCTACAGGTATCGAAAGGTGAACATCCTGTCCTTTTTTCGGTCGAACTAAAATAGATATGTGTCGTTTTACGGGAATTGTTTTTGGCTCTTCCCGTGAAAGAAGTTTTGCTTCTTCTTGCGACTTTTGCTGCTGCAGAAATTCATAATCTGCTTTGTGGAAGGCATGAATCACCAAGCGCGTGTCAATTTTTAGCATTCCAGCGCCTTTAGGGGTACCAAAGTCCCAGAGCCGTCGATTTTGGAAGACAAAAACAACATCTTCAACTTGTTTTCTTACTGTGTAAGCATTTCGGACGCGACGGAACTGCTGATTGGATTTTACCTTGAAGAGAAGCGGAGACTCCCAATCAGCAGGCAGGAACGTGCTGCTTCCAGGAACCTTTTGTCCTATCACAGCCAACTGCAATACTACAGGTACATGGTCTATTTGAGGCGAAGCAAGGGGGTCTTCTGCTGCCAAGTTGGAGGAGTCCGTTTGCGGTAAGCTATGGGATCTCAGACCGGCAGCAGCAGCATCTTTGGAAGGGCTGGTATCACGTAAGACAAGATTTACATCGATATCCGTTTGTTCCTTCGATACGTTCTGAAATTCTTCCACTTGACGATCCAGCTCTTGAAGTCGTTTCGTAAAGTCATCATCTAAGAAAGGCGTCTGGGGTGGAGTATCAATGGTGTTAAGACTGTTGCTTCGGAAAGCAGAAATTGCAGTTCTTGTAGCATAAGGATGAGGTGTGTTTCCCGAAGACCCTGATGAACGTACGTTGCTCAAAGGATCATCCTCTTCTTTCCTTGGAGAAACAGCAGAAGGTAAGGTAGACGAAACAGAAGGCTCTGCCTTCGTATTGGCTAGAGTAGACGTCCTAGAGGAATTTTTACTTTCCGAACGAATGTGCTTTAGAGGAGGCTTTTCGACCGAAGGCTCTTGGTCGGAGTTTTCATCTAGAGACTGTTAGTAAACGACACTTTTGAGTTGCAACGTTCAAAAAGGAACTGACCAGAGTCTGACAATGGATGACTTAACCGTTTCGCTAAGTTTAAAGGAGGCTTTTTTATTGGTTTCGTAAAAAATGCTAAATCATCCTCTTCCTCCTGCATCTCAAAGAATTGAACAAAAATACTCCATACGACAGTAGCAACCTTTTGACAATTAAAGGGCTGCAGTGAGATGTGTTACTTTTTATACGAAGGTGCAAGGTGGATACGTAGGTAAACAGTGAAAATGAAATGAAATCAGTCAAGGAAACCGATGCTCCTCCTCTCGTCATTGAGGCTTTCGAGTCCTTCTGTAATGAAACGAATTCATGTTATTCTTTGTCGCTTCTTATACGGTGCACGTTTAACGTACTTAGAAAAAGGACTGACAAGAATGGATGGTGATGGATTTCTTTTATTTTGTCCTTTCCTGAAGTTACACTCCTACTCAGCACACGTATGTATACTGTTCTAGTAAATTTCTCTCACGATTCCTTTCTAGCAAAGAGAAAACTCCTCATCGTACGTCTGTTTATATTGTTTACTAGGCCAACGTACCGTACTCCGTAAAAAGAACAACGAGCCTTACTAGCCATGTACTGCAGAACAGTCACAACCAAACCAAACCGTACGCTACCTATCTTTAACCAACTCCCTTTTACCAAGCAAATATGCCTGCCCAAGGACACAGATTATACGTTAAAGCCAAGCACTTGTCTTACCAACGCAGTAAGCACCACATTCAACCAAACACCTCTTTGGTTAAGGTTGAAGGCTGCGATACCAAGGAAGATGCTCAATTTTACTTGGGTAAGCGCATTTGCTTTGTTTACAAGTGCAACAAACCTATCCGTGGATCCAAGATCCGTGTTATCTGGGGGTAAGTATACTCGTTTACACAAAGTCAAGCATGGCAGCCCGTCGTTACACTGAATGCGACGTTTGCTTTCTTATACTGGTCTGGTCTTTCAGGGCTTGTCTCTTTTGTTGCTATGCTGACTTTTATCTTCTCTTCGTGAACGAAGAAGAAAATAATACATAAAAAATCACAAATCACTAACTATGATTAGTACCGTTTCTCGTCCTCACGGAAACTCTGGTGTTGTCCGTGCTCGTTTTGTCCACAACCTTCCTCCTAAGACCTTCGGTGCATCTCTTCGTGTCATGCTTTACCCTTCTAACATCTAAATAAAATTCATGTTGCGCTTGGTAAAATGACTTAGCTTTTTTTTTTCTTTACAACCATATTTTTTTCCGATTAACATGATATACTTTTAAATGACTATCATAAGTATTCGCTGATGATCTGATATTTTTTTCAAAAAAAAATACTATTGTACTTTTGTACTTTTGTATCTGGGGTGGTAACTTCTGCCAAGTCACGTAGAGGTATATATGCTGTTTGAAACCTATGTTTGATGAAACTCGTACATTGTACTCAACCATTCTGCAATGGTTCAAGCATAATTGTCGATGATATGTTAAGCTGCTTGAAGATTCTAAACGTAATACATGAGTATTAGCCTTGTCGATCGAGGAGGAAATTGCTATGGGTAAAAATTCGACTAAAAAGCTAAAGTATTCATTGTCTACTGAAATCGTTCACAAATGTTGAGAGTATTATCATTAATAAAAATCATGACTATTTGCATTAAACTGATTCGTGACAGGTGCATATTCATCCAAAAATTATAGCAAAAATAAAAGGTAAAAATTAAAGTAAGATATTCCAAGCGCTCTAAGGATCCTCGTTAATTTAGACTCTTCCAACCATGCGATAAAAAAGAGTGCTTATAAGAGGTAATAAGATTTGGATCATCATTTGCTAAATTGTAGCCCATACTCTTAGCACGTACACTACGACTATGTTCGTCTGCCTTTTGCAACATACGTGACCATCTTTCTTTACGGTCAACAAAAGATGCCGTTGGTGCTTCAAATGAAGAGTCCGAACTCAGACTTGACGAAGATGTACGTTCCGTATAGCTGGACGATTGTATCGTCATGGGCAGGCGTTCAGAATAAGAAGAGTCTAATTCCATGAACACATCTTTTTCTTTGGAATGTTTTTCGGAGGTCAGGGTATCTGATTCACCTGTGCCGCTGGGAAGAGTAGTTTCAAGCGGCTGTTCATCACCGTTGGAATCACTGAAACTTATATCAAATGCAAGTTCTTCACTAGAATTGTAATCGTCTTTTGTTGGAGAGGAAACTTCTAAACCATCATTATCTTTGTTTGACAAGGCTTCTAGAAATTGCGGTGCATTTAAGCTTTGTTTATGGGATCCAGCCGGTTCAGTAGGGTGCTCTTTATCAGAAGAGATTACTTCGAATTTATCGGTAAATGCAACATGCTTCTTAGATTTGCTTCTTCGAGTGCGATGAGAGTGTTTTACTTCAGACTTGCCATTAGGTAAACTTTCACGAAATGGAGACACAAAAGCCTTCATCTCGCCTTCATACCGAATTTTGGGTTCGTGTAAGGTATTTTGATTTAAATTAAATGCCTCCCGTCTGAGTTTTTTCGTATACTCTTCATAAGAATTCTGCTGGGAACGAAGGAATGCCAGCAATGCTTGTCGGTTTTCCTTCTTTCTTTCGGAAACAAGGTTGTTAAGACATGTATCTATTTCCGGGTCCAGTTGAGTTCTTAAATTTTCTTGGTCATTACTTGTAATGTCTTGAAACGAACTAAGCATGTCCATACGAATTCCAAACTGAGATACAGTTTTTGTATCTTTGAAGGTAGAGAGAAGCTTTGCTTTTTCGTAAACGTAAATTTCTACATTAACATCTTCTTTTTCTTTCAGATACAGCTTCAGATCGTGTACTACTTCCTTCACGACAAAAAGTGAAATACAGCATCCCTTACAGGCAACTATCGATTTCCCTTCTATATGATGAACCTGAGATAGGCTATATAATTTCTAAAATGTTAATTTTTGCCAAGTACTGGTGTAAACTTACAATACGAATAAGGTCACTAGGAACAGGAACCCATTTCTGTTTCGTGTCATTCGGGATTCCTAGGATCCTTAGATTTAAACAGTTACAGCTTAAACCATCTCCAAATGAGAATTGAAGAGGCATGATTAACAATTACAGAAATATAATGCCCAATTCACGATCACAATATGTAGGCGGTGGGAATGACTAGTATGATATTCTCGTAAATGAAAAATTAGAATACCAGAAATCGAAATTATAGAAAAAGAAAGAGATTCCTAGCTAATATTTTACATTGAATATTTCTTTAATAAACTTTTAAAGTTTCTTTCGCAAAAGTGCTGCCAACGCTTTTACATACACTGGTACTTTTTCCAGATTGCAGGATCCCATAGGCTTGGCGTATTGCCGAATCAACTGTACCTCTTTTTGGAATGAAGATTGAAGTTGTTGGTTTTGTGTCATGATTACCAACGTTGACTCTAAATCCAGTTGTCGAGACCGACTTGTATAATTCGACGAGCCTATCGTAGTTAAAAAGGGAGTTGACCTCCCAGGATAGGTAAACCAAAATCCTAGAATGTTAGTTAAAAGCTTTTAGTTCTTATTTACCTTTAGCATGATACGTATGCCCTGGTCTTTGCCATTGCAGGACATCGATATCTTTTCTCATTCGAGTCGCGTCAATCAAAAACTTCTCAGCAATGTACTGATAAGCAGGTGGAATCATATGCGAAGGACCCTTCGACTTGTAAAAGCCATTAGCTTGTTGCGACGCCACAATTGCTTCTCCTGTCCCCTTACTTTTTAGTAATTGCCTTCTTAATTCCGGATAAACATTAAAATAGCCAGCTGTCAGTGTCCATTCAATCTTTTCATTCATTATGAGGTTTCCAAGTAAGTCCAGCACTTTATCTTCGGTTGATTGTACTTGTCCTGTCAGCACAGGCATGCACTGAAAAAGAGGATATACAATGGCGGTTCGTTCATACGAGTTTTGGTCCATTGCTTTATTTTCATGTTGAGTATCTTCCGTAAAACTCGACCCGTATGATGAAGTAAGAGGTCTTTTGTAATCTCTTTGGTAAGTATGATCTTGACTACTGCATAATAGATGTTGAAGTCTATTCGAAGCTTCTTTAATGAATTCCCTAGAATTAGTTAGAGGATTAGGAACATCATTATTCCACTCTAGTCTAAACTGAGATGCAAGGCTGTCCTCTATTGTCGGCAGAAATCCATGTTTACTGGGTAGGCAGTCAAAAGATAATCCTGCAAATGTAGAGTGAACGTGAAAAAAGAATTCAGATAGATTTTTATCATGAAAAAGATAGTAACGATCTTTACGATTGGTAAAGTAGTCTCTTGACAAGTTTGCACTAGAATATAACTCATCAGAAGAAGCACTCAAAACGAATACTTACCCACTGATAATTAAGGAATCATCTGCTCCATAAATTTTCATATGTTGAAGTCCCCAACCTTCATTAAACCTCTTTGGAACCAATCTTTTCTTGAGACCTCGTAAGTTTGGAGTGTGATAGAGTTTTATTTCACATCGTTCAGGAAATTCTTCCCTTAATTTGGTAAGCAGAGAAGCGGAAGAGCTGAAAGGAAATTCTCTCGTTGACCGCAATTGATCTGCCAAAATAAACACTTGTAATTTTGGCTTTGCAATCATTGCTTGTCGAATTACGTTTACGAATTCATTTTCTTCTTTTCCAATGTATAATGTAGAAAGGAAAATCCTGTTCTCTGCATTTTTTATTAAGTCCTTAAGAGTCTGATAAAACTCACTCGGTTCATGAAGGACCTGAATATTCCCGGCATCAATATAGAATTTTGGACAAATTGCATCTATTTTTGTTTCCAATTTGGTGAACAATTGTCTTTCTGGTAAAGAGATCATTGAAGACTAAAGCTGTAACAGAAAAGGTTCGTCTGAATCCTTGAACATTAATTGTTTTAGACAAATGAGCTTTTTCACTTCAAGCGGAGCTACTGTTAACGAATTTTGATTCAAGTTTTGAAACAATTTCAAATATCCTTTTATTTAAACAAAAAATATATGAAATTGTAAAAACCGTGTTTACTAGTTGTGTACGTTGTTGCATATTTGTTTATAGCTAGAGAGATGACAAGATGAGTCAAGAGGAAATTCTATTATTCTATCAAAATTAATTAATTTAAACCGTAAAGATATATTTCATTGGTTCGAAAAGAACAAATCCAAACTCGATTTCTTCCTTTCTCAGCCAAATTTGTGAGTTTCGTTTGGAGTCTTTGCATATACTCCCTTTGAGAAGCAGGACAGCTGTCAATCAACTTTTTCCAAGAATTATCATCTTTAAGACTTGTACTTTTCAGTCCTTGCATGGCTCCAGCATCACAGTCTACTGCTAATGCCAAGGCGTCTTTGGTACTATCGTGTATTGCTGATTGTACAAGGTCATTGACTTTGTTCATTGCATTTTGCTTATGCTTCCATTTATACTTTCTGTCACTAGCACCTTTCAAGGGAACAAGCTGCACATCCAAATCAATATCAGATGATGAATCATTGTATTTCCCATAGTCTTGGATATCGGAATCAATTATCTGCCTTGTTTGGGATAAATTCTCATTTCGCTTCCGCTCATTAATTTCTCCTAGGAGCCAAACACCAATCTCGTCTATTTTAATTTCATCATCTTCATTTTTCATTATATTCCGAGCTTTCACAGAATGTTCCATTTGCGTGTTTTTTTGCCTTACTACTAGAACCCAATTTACACCTTCACTTTTGAAACGCGTAACTATTTCTTCCAAACTAGTAGCTCCACGTAAAACAATATCAGCGCGAATGTTCAGGGACCATAATTCCTGAAGTAAGGCACATTTTTCCATTAAAGAGTCTTTACCGATACTGGTTACAAGAACATCTACTCGCCGAGGTAACCAGGAGCCTAATGTTTTCATTATGGGTGACGGTGTTTGCACTTTGGATTGCTTCCTAGAGTGGAAATGGATATACCGCGATACTGAGGACACAATACTCTCTAATCCCAAACTCATACCAATAACATGTTTTCTTCGGGTCGTTCTCATTAATGGAGGATCAAATAACCTAACAAGCTTATCGTATCTTCCTCCTACACATAGAAGCTCGGCTTTTTCGGCAGTGTGTATTGCTTGAAACATTACTCCCCCTTCATAAAATTCATGGTTGTGGACGCAAAGAGGAACAAAATAAACCGGATGTGAAAGTTTAAGCCCTTTCAAAAAAAACATAACTTTCTCTAAATATACTAATGCATTGCGCATTTTAATCGTCAGCGATTTCCCAAAAATTCTCCTTATTTTATTTAAACCTTCCTCAAAAGTCATGAAAAAGTCAAACTGTTTCAAGTCATCTAAAGTCGTCGAAGGCACTAAAGATTCATTTCTGAGTTGGTTTCGAATCTGCGAAAAAGAAAAACCTTGGTTCTTTTGACCAAGAATTTGACTAGTGCGGTTTCTTTTTTCTCTAGAAATTTGTAAATAGTCAAGGATTCCAGAAAAAATATCAGCATGATTTACCCAGATACAACTGTTAACTAGTGATGGAATCTCAAGCAGCACTTCATCCAAAACTTTGATTGTTTCGGCGTCGTACCAGTCTAAGTTGTCTGAATTTGTAGTTAAATCAAATGATATCTTTTTTATAGCTTTTGGTTTACCACCACCGTAAGATTCTCTAAAGACATCCGCTATTAGAAAAGTTTTTTCTTCTTCGACAGCGTTACGGGCTACATTCCTTGCATATGGCAACGCAGTATCGTAGGGGAGTTGTAAAAGTGCTCCAGCTCTGTCTAATAATGAAACCACAGCCTTATTTTCACCATACTGTGTAGACTTTGGAAATAACGTTTGTGATTCTCGCTCCTTTGCGCCGTGTCTTCGAAAGACTTGAACTATATGATCCCGAACCAAGCCAGCAAGAAGACTATCCCATCCTCTTTCTAAAACCCTTGATATGGCATTGTTGTCTTCTGAAAGATTGAAGTCATATGTGTAATCTTTATGTCTATCGGGGACTTGACCAAAAAGAACTTTTAAAAGTTTTGAATAATACGGACTATTTCGATTTGATAACAACTTCAAGCCTTCTTGTATATATTCTTCGCCAACTTTAGGAGGTATAGCCTCACTTTCCAGCAATTCTTGACTGGAAGGTCTTTTAGTAGGATCATGTTGCAAGAGGGAATGAATTACTTTATATTCATGACTCGTTAGAGAGAAGGGGAAATTTTTAGGGAACAAGATGGAAGGAGATCTGATGGCATCAATCAACCGAATTCGCTCCATAGATGTTGAAAATGACATACACATTTCGAACAGTATAATACCTAAACTATACATATCCACCTTCGCATCATAGTGTAATCCACTAGTATTTTTAAGAAGCTCTGGTGCGACGTAAAGAGCCGTTCCCACTCCCGAAGTAAGTTCCCCATCAACCGTATTCTTATCCTTTAGTTTATCATTGGTGATCTGACTTGGCTCATTTTCTGTGGCTAAGCCAAAGTCTCCTAACTTAACATTTCTGTTTTCATCTAAAAACACGTTTCCAGGTTTGAGATCCCTATGCATCATTCCTCGACTGTGAATATATGCCAATGCTTCCAAAATTTGTCTAAAAAGGCGCCATATTTCGTCAACTGGAAGTTTTTCTCTGATGATATCCTGTAACGATAGCTTTTCACAGTATTCCATTTGAACATATAAAGTAGCGTTAAGAATTGGCTCTTGAGTTTTACTTGTTAAAATTGTCGCTTTATCGCTTTCACTTTCACCCAAATTGATATCATCGGAAATATTGGAAGCAGAATAAGAAGTTTCAGAAGACAATTCAGGATTTTCTGGACTAGAAGTCTCACCCTCAAAATGTATATCAAGATCTGAAAAATCATCTGTGGTGTACTTACTTGAGCGTTGAATATCGCTAGTTATTCTTGATGATGGTGCAAATGAGTCTTCCTCGGAATCAGATTCCTTAAAAGTCTCACTTGTATCAGTTTCCACCCAAGCGGTATAGTATCGAACAACGTTCTCGTGATGGAGACGAGAAAGGGTCATTACCTCTCGTAAAATTCGACTGTTTTCTTTGTCATTGTTGTGGAGCAAGAGTTTTTTTATAGCATAAAAACGACCATCAATACGATTTTTTACTTTAACCACTTCACCAAATCCACCTTTGCCAAGAAATTCAATCTCCTCAAAATCAGTCTCATAGCGGGAGACACTTTTTCTGTATAACATATCGATTATTCCGTCTTGCCCACCATATGACATACGGGGATTTCTTCCTGATGATCCCTGCTCAACTGTAGACAAAATAGATGTCCCGAGTCTTATGACTTGACTTGAAAGTAAATCCGTAGCTGTCGGCCTCTTTTTGGGATCACGCATTAAGCAACGCCGAATAAGTTGTTGATATGGTCCAGGTAGTAAAGGAATGACATGACTGAACAAAAGCTTTATCGAAGAGAATTTTTGCAAGACATGCATACCACAGAGCATTTGTAAGACTAAGAGACCAAAGCACCATATGTCTGTTTTGCGAGAAGCCGACATAAAAGAGGTTTCACTGACTTCTGGAGGATACAAATCTTCTGGCAAAATTCCAGGGATACTCTCTGATCCTGTATCAAAAGGAAATAACGCATTCATATCTCGTAAAGTCCTTGTAAAACAAAAATCCATAAGTTTAGCAAAGGTTTTGTGACCCGATTGAAATAAAATGACATTATCTAAATGAAGGTTGCGATGAGATATTCCTAGTCGATGAAGTTCAGCAAGCCCTTCTAAAATATTATTGGAAAAAGTTCGGACAGTCTCTACATCCAGTGTCACAATAGTTTGTAACAAGCCTGCCAAAGTGAGTTTATTAGAGTATTCTTGTAATATATACAGACGCCAACCATGGCTTTCTAATTCACGCTGCAATTGATACTCATAGATAGAAGCCAGCAAATCATGTCGAATGACTTTCAAGTTTTCTAGTTCACTTTCCAGATCTTGAATTAATTTTTTGCCCGCTTCAGTACTATAATAAGGGTTCGTAAACCGTATCATTCTAAGCATGAATACGCAATCTGGTAATAGGACTTCATCGACATCAGCTTTTGCCAGTGCTAATTTAGAAAGAGGGGAACGGGATATCGTGTATAATGGAATTACTTTATGAAATTCGACGAGAGAATCTTGGCAGTTTTTTACAGAGATGGAACAGTCGAAATAAACAGAAGAAGGCAGTCGATTAAAAGACAATTTAATGGTGTCATCCGACCTCTTCTCCTTGGGCGATTGCGGAGAATCATAAGAACGACGCTGAAGCTCGTCACGAATTTTATTTTGTAAGATTTTTTCCTCTTCGTAGTGAGCTTCCTTCTCTCTCTCTAATTTTAGCTGTTCGTCTATTTCAGCACGCTCTCTATCCTGTTGAAGTTGAACAGCACGCTCTTCTTCCAAACTAGAAAACTGAGAGGATAAGTCCGACTGCCAATCATTCAAGTATTCCTGTACAATACTAGCAAGTTCGAAAATCATTTCCTCACCCAGTAACTCTTTCGTCTTTTGATCCAACTTTTTTAACAGGAAGCGCACCTGAGACTTCAGTACATTTTCTCCATTTTGAAGCTTCACTGTTGGTTTGACATAGGGATAACTTCTTCCCAACTCTATATAGAGATCGACTTTTGCAATGCTTTTTGCACTTGCACTACGAGAACATAAATGAATAGCGAAGACCCGGCCATTTGATACCTAATTACAAAAGTTCAGCTAAAGCAAAAATATTAATCACTTACATTCCAAGCATTTTTGGATTTCAACTCCTCAAAGTCGTCCATGAAAATTGCCTTCAAAGCCGCGATTTCATTTTGCTGTATTTCCTGACATAATTCCAAGCGTTTCGCAGTGTCCATGAACAATTCTTTAAGAAGAATGTCAATTGGAAATAATCAATTGTCCTTTAACTGCTGTTTAGCTCTAATGTTCAATTGACACTTAGTAGTACGGTAGGTGGAAGAGATATAATCCCAATGTATTAGAAACTTACTAGCTACACAAATTCTTTGACTTCCTAGTAGTTTTCATAGATATTTCTAAAAAAAATATGTATATGCTATAAAATTTCAGTAACTCTTCCTCCCCTTAAAGACAGATTGACATTTTTAATGAAGGATCAAAACTCGTAACTAATGACCTAGAATACTAAAGCATTTTGAATATGTAATAAATACCAATTTAAATAGACCAATCCAAAGAAAAAAGCTCTCAAGCAAAGTCGGGGTTTAGGCGAAAATAGACTAGTTGAAAATGTTCGTAAGTTGTTTTAGCATGCTGATCTCAATTAATTTCATATCTTGAATTCATCCCATCATAAAAAAAAACGTAATTATCATCAACCGAAATTATGAGCAACACCTGACTGGTGAGGGCTGGCAGGCTGCATTTATTTCATTTTCCCTGAATCTAGCTATACAACTTTTGGCACAGGATTCTTGATATGTTATCCACTGAAACTAGTAGTCATGTAGGAGTGGAAACAAACATATGCATGTCAGAATGATGATACTAACCATTATAATACGTTTCGTGTTACTACGCCGGCGCAGCAGAAGAAACGGACTAACGGATTTCAAAAAAGAAGCGGAGTAAGCTCAAATAGACCTACATCTAAATAAGAGTTCCAATGCTCATAATAAACAGCAAATGTAAAATATACTCAGCGTAAACAAACCAATTTTCACTTCATAGTAAGGGTAATACACGAAATATCGAAAGAATGCCAGCAGGACATTTAGAAAATTCCAACTTTGTGCCAAATTAACTATTCAATAAAACATGGATGCTGCAGAAGCCTTTGAGAGCCTTGCTAATCTTGAACAAGATTTCGGAAAGGCTGAACTCGAAATCTGTAGGTTGCTTGTCATAACAATACATAAAGCTCAATTATATATTTCTAACCGGTTTTACAGTAAAGAAGCAGAATGAAATGTTCAAGCCTCTTTTCGAGAAACGTCGTGATATCTTGAAAAACATTCGCAACTTCTGGGTGGTTGTTCTTGAAGCTGCAGGTGATGAAATCAGTATGTTCGTTGGAGTCGGTTTGTTTTGTAAACCGTTGCTAACCCTTGCTTAGGCCAATACATCACTCCTGAAGACAGCATCCTCTTGGAAAAGTTGGAAAACATCTATGTCGAAAGATACAATAAGGAAGATCCTCGTGATGTCCGCATCACCTTGACTTTCCAACCTAACGATTATTTGGAGGATGATAACCTTAGTTTGGTTAAGGAAGTTCGAGTGAAAGAAAGCACCACGAAGGACGAAGAGGGTTTGGAAAAAACCAACACCTCTCTTGTTTCAAAGCCTGTCGACATCAAGTGGAAGTCTGGAAAGAGCCTTTTCCGCAAGAACCAAGATAGCCCTCCAAATTTCTTTGACTATTTCCGTTGGACTGGTGAAGAACATGACGATGATTTTGACGGTGCTTCTCTCACCATCTTTTTGGCTGAAGATTTGTTTCCCAATGCTGTCAAGTACTTCACTGAAGCCATGACCGAGGAAGCTAGCGATGAAGAAGGTTCAGTGGATTTAGAAGAAGAAGATGATGATGATGATGAAGGAGAGGGAGAAGATGAGGCCGCACAAGGAGATAGTAAGTCTAGTCATGTCATATCATATCAAGTAGTTTTGGTATTTTTACTAACCTTTACAGATCAAGAGCCACCCTCTAAAAAATCCAAAAAATAGAGTTACAAACAATGGGGATAGATTAATCTCATGGGTTTCAAATTCCGTTTAAGCGACACTGTTGGATAAAATACATGTAGCGTGAATCCATGTATGCTTGATTATCATAAGGGTCATTGCACGTAAAACCGTTTACAGAAGAACAATGAGTACAAGTAAAACTATTAATATAAAGATCAAAACAGTAATGCAACAACCTGACTTTGAATCTAAAAGCGTATTTCCGTTAGTACAACTTTCCAAAATGGAGATTCTTACCGGCACTGGCAACTGTAAAATTCTTTAACCTTTTCATTCCTCGACGCAGTTTATGATTAGTATTTTCTATAGTGTGATCCAATGTGTCTATCAGGTTTGATTGTTCTCCTAATTCTTGACCCATCAATTGAGCTAGACTCCGTATATTACCAACAGTATCATAAACACCGTCCAGCATAACATCCTGTTGTTGATATAATTGTTGCTGCACCTGTCTTCGAGAGTGGCGGTCGTCTTCAGTCAATGCTGTTTTCGCCATATCTGTGCTATTTGGTCCAGGCTCAATATCAGTGCTTGGAGCGGCATTCATTTGTAGAGTTAAGTTGTTTAATTCGACGTCGAGGTCTGTAATAAACTTTCTTCTCGCTTTCAATTCTTGTTCATCCAAACCGTATCGTTCAGAATTACTCATTGCAATCTCAATAGCTCCTTTCAAGTCTTCTAAAGTTTCATTCAGCTCTTCAATTGCAAACGAAAGCTCCGTGTTAAGTGCTGGAATCCCTGCATTTCGACTCTTCATGAAAGATTCAAATAGTTTACGGACATTTTCCATTTGAGCCAAAGCATCGCTATCTCATCGTTAGTTCTATTTCGGAAAACAAAAAGTTTCATATAACAAGGAAGGGAGCTCAAACTTACGCTTTCACTTCATAGAAAGGGTCTTCCATTCTGCCCAGATGCAAGTAAAGCCAAACCTTTTATGAACAAACGGTACTCTTGATAAAGATATAATAATTGTAGTATTGCTTGTAAATATTACGAAAAGGAAAATCCCATAGAGCCGGGGAGGTTTTTGCCCTTAGTGTTTGTTTAAATAAGTCAGTTTGTAACTACCAAGTAAGCAAGTAAGTAACATTGTTATACATAAGTAACACTTCGAAATATAAACAAACAAAACTCTGGTTGGTAAAGCAGATTTCTTTCTCTGTTTCTGTCTCTTTCAATACATTCTTCTCTATTCATCTTCTAATGTAGACATCAAAAATTAATATTCTTTTTTGTTAACGCTTTCATAAAGTCTGCTTTATCAACGAGATGTAATTACCTTTGTATTCATGAAAGTTGAACAAGATACGGTGGAAAATATTACTTTACAATAACCAACAAAAAAGTATGTAGCCTTATTCTTCAAAAAATGCGTGAAAGGACTGAAATTGGTCTTGAAAAAAACAAAATCATTCAAGACGCGTTCAATCATCTTTAAAGGATATAATTTCTTCTTATATGCAAAACCACAGCTTTTTCTATCATTTAAACTCTGGTTAATACACTGATTCCAAGAAGAAGACGCGTCGCGAATAGGACCATGTAAACATAAACTCAACGCCAGAACAAACTTGCTCTTTCCCCATCACAAAAAAAGCAATTTACCGTAAATTAAAATGTCTGATTTAGTAAATCATTTACAAACAGAATTGAGCAATCGACACGCGAATTTTGTTTCACAAGCTGTTATTTCTTTCAGCAAACATCACGATCGCGTCCTTCAATCGTATATCATTGAATGCCAAGCCAAGTATGAAACATCAATTGCTTCAGAACTAATAAATTAGAGAAACAATTCTTCAGCATTACCAGAAAAATCAGTCTAAACTTCAGGGTATTCAGAAATTGTATCAAGACTCGTCAAAGACACTTTCCCTGTTACTATCCGAGTTCAAGCAGATTTCTTCTAAAATAGAAGAAATTGAAACTGAAGAAGAAAAACTCTTACAAGAAAACTGTACCGTTAATGATTTTCAGCAACGCGTAGATTGCTTTCAAGTCACTGTAAGAGACCACTGTCAAGCCTCTCGAGAGAAGCTTAACCGTGCTATGGAGGTAAGATTCACTTGAAAGAAAGAATCAACTGATTCATTCTTTGTAGAAACTCAAATCATCTGAAAGCTCTGCTCAGAAAGCCCTATTGGAAAACCTTTGATAACATTCCAATTCGCTTTGTTTATTACCTTTCCTAAGAAATATTGTTCTTATCTTTTTTTATGTTTTTTTCTTAATCTTTTGATAGAACAGCCGCTTATCATTGAAGACCAACTTTATGTTTGCTTCTTCGTGAACCAATTCTGTCTTCTTCCTGCCACTTATATATAAACCTTGCCCATTCTGCCAATTGTACTATTTCGGCTTTTTTTTTCAAAGAAATTGTTATTATTTGAACTTATATACAAATTTGATTTAACTGTTTAAGCGATTGACTCCTGATTCAATCCAATTTTAATTCTCGACTCATAGTTTAGCTCAATCAAGCTAATTGGCAGTTTTGTTACAATAAACCGAGAAGATCAACTACTTACTTACATATATATATCTAGATATATATTTTTCCGACGTTTAAAAAAATTACATGTTGCCGTCTATTCAATATGAGTGAAAGTGAGTCAGCATATCCTCCTACCTTGTGTCGGCTTCTTATAAATACTCCCGCTGCAGAATGGCAAGCAGATGAAGATGCTGTTTCTTGTCCTCGTTGTGAATCTGCTTTCAACTGGTTTCGACGAAGACATCATTGTAGATGGTGTGGAAAGGTATATTGCGCCAACTGTTCTAACTATACTGCCGAACTTCCTTCAGTAAGTATCTCTGTTGATCCAACGGAGCCACCTGATCAATCAAACCTTTTCGATGAGATGCTTGATGGGGCCGAAGATGATGATACAGATAATTCTCAAGAAGATCCTGTGTGGTGCACTGTCCGCGTCTGCGGCGATTGTCATCGTCAATTATCAGAACTGAAAACTCTCGATATTCCTTTTCCGATACCTACTTGTATGGATGGTGAATCAACTCCTCCCGTTCTAGCCTATACCCGGTTACCTCTGCCTCATGGTGAAGGCAATCCTTCAGCAAATGACGCGAATAACCAAGATGACTTGGTAGAATGCCCAGTTTGCTATGTTTCTCTATCAAAATTCAAGTCACAAGAGGAAAGAGAAGCGCATGTTGCTTCTTGCTTCAGCCATAACGGATCTTCTCCACCAAATATAAAGGAGTTTCTAAAGCACGCTCGGCGGTATATTAGTGTCCAATTAACGGACTCCTCACCTTGTATTGGAGAAGAATGTATAGTCTGTTTTGAAGAATTCTCCCCAGGAGAAAAAGTTGCGCGAATTGAATACTGCTTATGTATGTTCCACTTAAAATGTTATCGCGACTGGCTAAGCACAGGTGCTGCCGGATGCCCTGTTCATGCTGCTACCTTTCATTAGATATTGTTTACGTTATAATGTTGTTTTACACTTTTTCCTTCATTTCTTCGCTTAATATGTATCCTATGTTTATGATTACTACTTTATAATCCTCGTTTGAAACGTTTATGATCCTCCTTAATTCGATTAGAAAATCGAAATGATTACTTAGAGTGTAATCTGCTTACATTCAATAACTTTTCCGTAGGAAGTTTGATGATATCGGATTCTCATCCTTCTTCATTGCTTTCGTTTATCAAACACTGGTTACTTGCTATTGGTTTTACACTTGTTTCACTTTTATTTTACTTTTGTTACTTATTATGTTTAGCTCCTAGAAGTTAATTCAATAACAATATTATACAGCCTATTTATTCTAACAAAATCAATATCCAAAACTTCCCACTATTTTTCTTTTCTCATTTTCTGCTTTCTACAAAAGAATGCTATTTTAACCCACATTCTCAAACTGCTACATTCAATTTCTTAGCAGGAGCTTCTGAAACTGGCGCTTCTTCGAGCTTTCGTTTAGTCACAGACGGTTCTGTAAGAGGCCGAAAGTAAGGTTGGACGCGCCACCAAGGAATCTTGGGATATCCTAGTTCATCCTTCTTCTCCTCATTCGGTTCTTCTTCATCACAAATTTCACCCTTCTCTTTGCATTCATCTAAACGCTTTCGGAGAGCAGCTACCGCACGAGGAAAGCTCTCAAAATCACGAGGCGTACATTCAGTCGCCAACATGCTTCGGATATCCGTGTGAATGCTCAATAAGGGTCTCATTAACTTGAACATATGACCTTTGATGCCAGAAAGGGTGCTATAATCTGTATGAAGATCGAATTCACGTATAATGTTCAAATATTCATCACAGATGTCATCGACACGAGGATATAGTATATTCAAAGGGGTATTTAAAGGGAGGAAAATTTTTGGATTATATAAGCTTCCCTCCGCCGACATAACACCGTCTACACCAGTAGCTTCAATGCATCGGTCGATATCACTTGCATGGAGAATATTGCCATTGGCAAACAACACGGTATCAGCAGGGAGGTTTTCACGGAGCATACTAATTTGCTGCCAATCAGCCACTCCAGTAAAATGTCCTTTTTGCTCACGGAGACGTCCATGAACTGCTAGGAATGAAGCACCGGCATTGAGAATCATTTTTGCATATTCCAACGTCTTTTTGGGATCAGGAAAAATGCGAATTTTGGCGGTTACAGGAATTGGTAGTTCTTCATGAAGCCTTTTAATTATAGATTCAATTACGGGCCAGTTGTCTTGCAAGAAGGACCCATATTTACCCTTTTTTGCAATACCCTGGGGACAACCCAAATTCAAATCTACAGCATCACAATAAGGAGCTGCTAACTTGGCTGCTTTCAGCATAATTTCTGGATCATTACCGCAAAATTGAATTATTAGGGGTTTTTCTTCAGGAATGTCTCGAGTAGAAAACATTTTCTTACGGTAATCCTCACTTTCACTGAACAGCCTAGAATGAAACATAGGACTATAACACAAGTCGGCGCCTGATCTTCTTGCCAATATTCTCCAGGGCAATTCACTTTGATCTACCATTGGAGCCAATATCCGCTTGGGACACCCAAGTTTTTTATAAAATTCCCTTCCATGAAGTTTTTTTGCTGCTGCCATCATTCAGAAAATATTACTTTAATAAAAGAAATTCCTTGTTATGTTTGTATTCGCTGTAAATAAACTTTTGCCCCAATTTGACACTGACTCCAAGTGCTTTGCTCCAGTCAAAAGAAATCCTGTGTTGGCAATTTATGGCCTTCCGTTCAAAAGATGTACAATGAACATAAACATACATATTACATGATTTACTATGATTTTATTTGAGTCTTATGCACATTTCATGGATTGGCTTCCATAGACCTATATATATGTATAATTGGATCCAGCATAACATTCACATATTACAATTAGAAACATTTATAGACTATAAAGACCATAATACTAATGAGCTGTAAAAGTTCAATCCATAATTTATATGTTTCTATTATCAAAAGAGTGCCTCAATTGGAAAACTCCAATTCGAAAGTATTCCACAATTAAATATGCTATGAAAAAATGAAAGTATCGCAAACCAAGTAATTGTTCGCCGTTAAGTAAAAAGATTCCGTGGCCATATACAAATCTTTATTCCTATGCATAGACTTGCAAATTATATAAGAACGTAAAATAAGATTAGAAAGCTACAACTGGAAACAAACAAAAAAAAGAAGAATGGACTAAAGGACACTTCTTGGCGGAAATCGGTATTTTTTTTGCATCGTTAGTGTTTGGCGCATAATTACTCATCATCTTCAGAAGTATCTGTGTTGAAACCATTAGCATTAGGATCATCCTCTTCGTCAGATTCTTCGTCATCATCCTCCATGCTTTCAGCGCCATGCTTAGGGTTTTCGAATGAATCATCCTCAGCTTCAGAAAATTCATCCTCTTCAACGGTAACGTCTTGTATCACCGCAGCGTCTTTTACTATAATTGTCAAATTGCTTACAATGTCTTCTCCAAGGTATGAGTTGGATACAACATGCGTTTGAAATTTGAAAGTACCTTCTACCGGAGGTACCTGGAAAGGTATACGAATGGTTCGCGTAGTGCGTGGAATATCCGTAATGCTGAATGGTGGAATAATCACTCTGTTTTGACGGGGATCTACCACATACACCCACCATGCAGTCTTGTGATATTGCGTGAAGTGAGGCGCCCAAGCATGAGGAAGAACCTCCAAATCTCCCAAGACTTCATCCTTTTCCATATGAATACGTTCCGCATCGATTTTGTCTTGCTCAGTGGCAACTTCTGTACCATCAACACTAACTTCTGGCATAATTTCTTCCCCATAAGAGCACTTTAAACGCAAAACGAAATTCGCAATCGCTCCAGTAGTGACAACATCATCTCCGTCCACTAGTACCTTAGCATCCAATATTGAAATACGGGGAATGTTGCTGGCAACTTCTACCATTTCTTGAACTTGTTTTTTAGAGTAGCCTGATAAACAAGACATACTTTTCTCGTTTTGTGATTGTAAGAATTGAGGGATGCGAGTAATACCCCGTGAAGCAAGCTTTTTAGCATCTTCAAAATGAAGATGAGGCAATTGCAACAAAGGAAGTGGGGTATCTAACGGAACTGCTTGAACAATATGCTGCCAAAGTTTGAAAACATTATCGGTTGGTTTAGAAAATCCGTATGCAGCGATAACCGATACTAATGCATTCATTACCAAATCTGTTTCCGAAAGCAATCGTTGCATATCGGGATTTGACTTATCCTTCCGATTTAGATGACTATTCATGAGTTCTACGACAGTCTTTTTTGAAGCTTCCGGGGAAGAATGAAAGATTTGAAGTTCCTTGCTAGAAGCTAACAGCTGCAAAATGTCTTCCATTTCCAAATTCTCGTGAATCTTAGGAAACCACTCATCTACGCTTCCAACATGCACTTGGTCACGGGTATAAGTCCTGCTACCATACCACCAACGACCGACACTATAGGGCAAGAAAATACCAAAAATGAGGCCATAGAAACCAAGCACGTAAATGCTATTGTTCTTGTCGGCAATCCAATTTGGAAGTGCAATCCCAATATCAATGTGTTGAGGTACGTCAGGAGTTCCATAAAGAACATAATTTTCACGAGTTTCCTCGTCCGTCAAAGCTCTATACGCACTAGTAAGTTCTATGTACTTAGCTTCAACCTCTTCTCTAGTCGTATTGACCATGTTTCTAATTTTATCCGGATGAAACTTGATAGAAAGTCGCTTGTAATGACGGCGAATGTCGTCTACTGCCATGCTTTTCGGTATACCCAAAATTTCGTATGGATCCCAGACGTTGAAGCTCAACTTGGTATAAGCAATGCGATAAGACAAATACCCAATAACGACCCATCCAATTAAAATAATAAAATGTCTATAAACCAAAGGGACCAATTAGTTTTTCATCAACACGTTATTTTCCTAATTTTACGTACCGTAATCGAATTTTGGGTTCCTTCTTTTTCAAAACATCTTTCGGACGATATGCGGTAAATGGATCCGAAACAGATTCATTTTTTTTAGACGCTACACATCCGTGTATGTTAATAAAGCTGATTCCCTCATAGTGTCACTTACTAATTCGACCAAAAAAGGTAGAAAAAGTCATAGGAAGGATGAAGCAAGACACACCTACCAGCAAAAACACCGGAAAGAATTGTCCCTGTTCATCATACTTGTACTCAGACGACATTGCGAACAGAGAGTGTGGTAAAAGACAGCTCCAAGTACCACATCCTCTATAGTAGGAAAGTAACTAGGGATGTACGCTCAAGTGCACTATATGTGAATGGGAAATGAAAATAAATGCAGGAAGAGAGAGTTGAAAGATTCATTTTGTGAGTTTGATAAATAAAAATTTATTAATAATAATTGGGTCTAAAAGGTGCTAGTCTAATGAACCTGAACAATCATAAATCCTTATTGAATAAGCGGACGAAAAACGTAAAAGACAAAACCAAATATAGGAAAACCACAAATTATTTATCAAGGAAACATGCAAGAAAATCCAACCAAAAACCTGAAATTGCTGGGTATAAAATGATCTAAAAGGAAGGGATAAGGTGAAAGCAACCCAACAAATCATGAATATGATATGTAAGAAGAAAGACCAAAAAATTTATTTATTAGATGAAGTCAAATGAGATATCCCCGTGTATGAAAAAGAGAAAATGAAACAAATGAATCTTGTGTAAATCTTTAGGAGGAATGGTTTTGCAAAAATAGGAACCGGAAAAAACCGTGACGCAGTATCGGTGGGAAAAACTTCTCCCTTTTTTTTTTCTCTTTAAGAATAGGGCATATGGACACAAGTCTGCTCCAGATAATGGCACCCAGATAAAGTAGAAACGAACTGGTCGTCTATGTAAACCTCAGCTACTAAATGTTGCAACCACACGAAGACGTAAGGAAGACCAGCCCAAATAGATACAATGTCTTTTGCCCATTTTGGAAAAATGTTTAAAACATCGGTAATGCTTTCAATTTTTTCTAGATCTGCTGCCAAGTGCACGCTGACTGGTTTCCCATCGAACGTAAAACCTGAGAGAATGCGATGAATATGGGTAGGTAACTGGTATCGTATTCCATCCACCTGTAAAACACCTTCTGTGGTATATTCGTTATTTAAAAGAACGGCCACCAGCTTCCCATCTAAAGTCAAACTAGCTTGAGATCGAAAAGTTTCAGCTGAATCACGAGGAAAATAATGTAAACAGGTTAAAACATTCTTTCTGGACGCGTCAAACAACAAACTATTTTGCCACGTATGTCCCAGATTAGTAAACTTTTCTTTAAAGAACATTGCATCAATGAATACGGCGGTGCCGGTAACCTTTTTTGTACTTCCATGTGCAGTAACCGTTCCTTCCAGGGTATTTACTGGAAATGTTTTGTGCTCCATGTAGCCCTTTATATCGTTTTGGCCAAAATCCATTAAAGAAAACCCCGTATCTTCCATATGTATTGTAAGATCATACATTCCTTCAATCATCACATGCCACGCTCGCATTTTCACATCAAAATGCATAGAGTGTTTTTGAACATCAACGCTATAGCGATCCTTAGAAACCTTCATATTCCTATATAGATAAGTAGAGCTAGCAACTATGGGCACCTGGACCGTTTCATTTTTTGAAGGATAGTAAGTCCATCCTAAGGGAGCAACCTTTACGAACAGACCAAGATTTCCGTACGCAAATTGAATATACCCAAATGATCCATCGTCAAAGCACATGTAAAATGACTTGTACTGAGTCGTTAAATGAGATCGTGAAAGATTCCAGGCCAATTCTTTACAATGGATTAGCTCAAACTTATTTGCATTACTGCTATAACTACTCGTAGGCATATTCAAAATAAAGAAAGAGATAAGAAAGCAAGTGTTCACTGGAAAAGACAAGACCAATATTCAATCCGATGAGAAAATCTGCAACTTCGATAACGCAAAATAATTGTATCAGTGAAGACTACGATGAAATGGCTGATATGATCAACTTTATTAGAGATACAAGGATTGTAAGTCTTCAAAGTTCAGCTTTAATAAAACATCCAGAGCAGGCGTGAAAACGAATATGATATGAAATTTCAACTCCAAAAAGTACAGAAAAAATTAAATAAAAAGATTCCTTTGTATACCTTTCCTATAGCCTGAGACTGAACCTTCTGGTGGTGTGTTTCCTAGGACCATGCAATGCTCGTCTGATCTTTGCGGTTGAGATCATCTAACAGTATATCATTCGACTTAGAATTTTCATTCTACTGCAAAAAAAAAGAAAATAAAGAAAAAAACAGTTTACTTATATTTAATTTAGAAAGTTAAATTTTGTGGACTACCTTACCTACTTAGTTTCTTAATCATAGAACGACTTACAACAACAGTTTTCACAGTGAATAGACATGAAATGAGAATTTTTGTAGACATAATGAAAATACTAAAACGCTATTAGCTCAAAGACGCAAAAGCTTTTCTTCATGAAATCTGTCTATTATTGATACTACTAAATAGTTAGTTCAACGTTAAAGTCCATTAGCAAGTGAAGGGTTTGCACCCATAATGACTTCGAAAGAAGCAAATACAATAGCGGAAGCAATGACTACTCCTAAACCGAACGTAGAAGCAGTGATACCGGCAAGTAAGCTCAAACTGCTCATTACCAAAGCAGAGATGCGAGCAGCACTAGGAACGATTTTTTCCAATTCCTTTAGCATGCTCACTTCACGAAAACCAGCTATTATAAGTTGGTTTTCCTTGAAGAAAGCAAGAATATCACGAGGTCCGCTACCAGTGGCATTCATCCAAGCGAGAGAAAGATACACAGATGTAGAGTACAAAAATACAGCATAGACAATAGTGTGGATTGGGCAAGTGATGGTTTCCCATAAACTCAAAGGAGGAACAAAGTAGTAAATTAGTCCACCCGTAAGACGCAGTTGTCGAATAGGATCAGTTTCGTATTCCGTGTATTGAACCAAAAAGCGAGTAAAGACAGAGTTAGGGAACATACTGTGAATGAAGAAGGCCAAAACTAAAAGATGAGAAACAACAGAATAGATACACAAGAAGGGACTGGCGGAAGTATAGAGCAATCTCAAAGGAAAGTTTTGACGGAAACCACGAACACGGGAAGAACGAATCGAGATATCGATTCTCATGCACAAAAGGTAAATGAAGCCAACAAATGCACCTACGCAAGCCAACAGACTAAAGAAATTTAAACGCTCAGTGCGGAAGAAAATTGATCGAAGGGCATAAAATTTTTCCTTATAAGAAAACAGGGAAAATACAAAACCAACAAGAGTACCTTCATATTGACTAATGTCTTCGGTCAATTGATAACGGTTGAAACTCAGTATCTGCCAGAACAAAGAAGAAACGATATGAGACGACAAGAGAAGAACAGGTCCGGAGCCTAAGCCGTATCCCTTTTCAACGAGTTCGCATAAATAAATACATATGATTCCTGGTATGAACAACTGGACTACGAAAATGAGAGATAAAGTAATACCAAGTTCAGAAACGTGGCCGTAGTAACCTGATACGACATATGCGATGGATAAAAGGAGGTACAAAAAACCAGAGAAAACTAGGTATTAGCCAACGGATTGAACCACAATTCTAATTACAAACCTTTTTGGGTATTTTGAAACATGACTCGGTCGCTGATTAAATTAAAATTAACAGCAATTTTACGACCGGCAGCCAAAAGTTGCATTAGAAAACCAGAAAGAAAAATAGGGGCCAAACCAGTGACCAAGGCACCACTGCTATTGTTAGAATGCTGATAAAAACCCCCAAAAAAGAATGTTGTCAAATAGAAAGAAGAATCTGGTTCGGCTGGAAATTATAAACGTTACGAAGATTCTCTGCTTCCTCTTCTAACTGTAGGAGGGTAATCGACATCTTTTAAGAATCCATAAAAGCGAAAGCAATTCAAAAACCCCTTTTTCCCTAGTCTCTTCCCATCCAACATTCAAGACTTTGTTTACTTACGATGCAGAAGAACCATCCAGCACACGCCATACGCTATAGAAGAATTAGCATTACATAAAATGAAATAATTTTCATGTATCATACTTAATAGGGTCCACGAAATCGCGTTTTGCGGCACCGTAAACAGGCATGTTTAGCAAGACCTGGTAAACCACAACACAACCGGCCATCCAACCCAATTTTTCAATGAGTTGATACTTCAAAAGTTAGCAAACTACTGTTTTGTTGTTTTTCCATAGGACGGTTAGGGCCTCAATCAAAGTTACATACGCGGGTCTGTGGTCCTTCAACTTCTGGTAATAAAGCGCTTAGCGGCTTCATAGTGTTTAATAAGCGAGCTGATTTTGATTAGTCACAGTTATAAAGCAAACTCTAAGTGATTTTGACTCCTTACACCTGCTCATTTTTAACGTCTTTGATATGCGCTTATCAACCTTGAACTACCATATTCTTCCTAACTGATCTGAACTCGGTGAACTAAGCTCTATAGGTTACCGATCTATCTTTTGAAAATGACCGATGGAATTCTCCTAAACTCCGAAATCACCGAATACCAAGTAGAGAGGAAAAGCTCGACTCAGAAAGAATATACCAAGTTACAAGGACTTAGTTTCTATTTCTTGGGCAGTGAGGGACATTGATGTAGCTAGCATAGTAGGATGAAAAAGGCATTCAAAAAGGGTAATTTTATTATACAATGCAGTTGCTGAATGCAGACAAAACATTTAGAACCTGCTATGACCATATTTATTAATCATTATATATACACATTTCATGTATAACATTACAAAAGAATTTAGAAAATAAAACACTTCCCAGACTTCTCACAATACGTTCCTTTCAACGATGATGCAAAGTATTAGCACGAGTCCATAAATTAAATAATATTGCTTGTTACCGACCATTCCCTGTTAGTATTGGATTTAGGGAGTGATCCTAAAGCAATACAGAATATTCGAATGGTTTTTTTAAAAAATTTTATAGGCCTCGACCTTCGATACTAACTCCACTCTTCTTTGCATTTTTACTGCGAACAGCTTTCATCTTCGCCTTCAATTTACGGACTTGTTCCGTATCAGCAGGCTTCAACCGGCCAGCGACAGACAACCCGGATTGATTGAGACGCACTCTGGGTGCAACTTGGTATCTAGAATCGATGGATCGAGGAATAACTGTTTGTCCAATCCTACCGGTGGGATTATTGACATCATCCTCAGCAATGGCAAGATCTCTACGACGTCGCATGTTTATAAGCTCAGGGTTCAAGGTAGCAATACCCACAGCGCGATCGCGGTAGTTCGCACTCCTTTTTATGATTGGACGACTCCATTCACTAACAAGGCGATCTGCAATGCGCTTGATGAATGGCTCAGGCTTCTTGGAAATTGTGTAAAATAAGATTACGCGGCCAATTTTGCTTTCACGCAAATGCTCTGTTTCAATAGGTAGCTTCGTTAGAATATCGAGCAATGATTGTTGAATATTTAGGGCAGGAAGGGATCGATCAGGCAATGGTTCTAACCACATTCGGACGGAATCCAACAAATTGTTGTCGAGAATGGTATCATATAAATGAGTTTTTCGAAGCACGGAATCTACAAGCGGAAGCATTTTCAGTTTTTCGGTAGCAGGAAGGCGTTCTGAATTCAGTTCTGCATCCCGTAACGCAGCCAAACGCATTTGTTCGCGCAAACGAAGCACTTCATCATCTGCTAATTGTTCAATATTATCTTCGTTGGAGCGCTTTTTCTGACGAGTTGGTTTCAAAACTGCATCTATCTGCATATCCAGTTGTCGCTTAGCGGCCACAGTAGGATCCATAGGAAGCTCTTCTTCGGCAGGACGGCGGTCTCCTTCTTCCAACCCTTCAAGCTCGTCCAAAGCTCCTCGTTGAGCAGGACGACGTGACCTACCCCTCCGAGCACGTCGTTCTTTTTTGCTGCTTTCCACTTTACTTGGTTTGATATCCTCAGAGTGTTGCTTTTTTCTAAATGAAGGTAAATTGTAAATGGTAGGTTCATCATCGGCTTCACGACCAATTTTCGTTTCATCAAAATTTTCGAATTGATCTTCATCCAAGTCTGAAAGTTCGTCTTCAGAAAAATCAATGTCTACATTTTCACGAGCACTTTCACCCTTTTCTGTTGAAGGCTCTTGCTGCGCAGCATCCTGATTCGCCTCTCCTTCAGCACTCCGTACTTCAGCATCGTGGCCATCTAATTCAGACATCTTCCAAACCCTTAATGAACTTACTTCTTAGTAAATTAACGAGAAGATGAATTAAAATCCAACGAATAGTCCAAATTGATTGTTTCCTTTCCCTCCAGTTAGTCGTTGGCAAAAGTATCGTTTGCCGACTTGAAACAGGCGTCCATTGTTGAATCTATATATCGGGAATCCTCACTATTCATTATAACCTTCCATAGGCTACAATCTGTTATCCTCCATTTACCGCATCAAAACGATATCTACTGAGGTTATCGAATCTACCTAATACCACAGGATATATTTCATGCTCCATTAGTTTCTTCCACCAAAATTCCCTAAACTGACATTTTTGAAATTGCGAAATGTTCTCTGGTGCTGGTCGTCCTTCTAAAGAACAAATCAAGCAATATGATAACCTTGCTCTTTCCGTATGTGATCATGTCTTGCGAAAAGGATACCTTTTGGAAGGGCATCGGACAGTTGAATTAACCGGTTTTATCTAGGAAATAAAGAAAGGTGCTTCTATTGCTGCCGTTCTCGCTTTGAGTAAGTTTGAATGAGAAAGCTATATTCTCTCTGCAAATATACATGCTAACTTTTCTTTTAAGCTCCTTTTGTTATCTCCTTTGTCAAGAACTTACGCTCTTAAAGCTGAAGCTATTCACAGGCACGTTTCTGTAACAAACAACACTTAAGATTGCTTGAACGCTGCTTATGTGTGTAAAGAATTGCTCGGATGATGATGGCAAACAATCAATAAAATTCAATTTTTAACACTTTTCATATTTTGTTGGGAGTTCACATAGGGGATTCAAGGTGATGATGCCTTTAAAAGTAAACAGCTTTCATGATAACAGTGCGGTTCACTTTCTTTAATGGTGTAAAGAAAAGATTTTTAAATTCAGGGCCTTTAATGATATATGGATTTTTGTGATAAATAAGCTTGCATAATAAAATTAAAAGAGCTGAACTGCTAAAGTCTAAATCATAAGTATTAGATGACAGGATGTACCAAACAACAAGCAGAAACATAAAAACTATCAATTCATTTCATGGGAATAGTAAGGAAATAATATGACCACCGACTTGACAAGGGAAAAATGGGAAAGCAAGCCACCCAAAATAAAATTACAAAACCACAGTACCTTTGCTCATTTCATAGATCACTACTGGCAGCACATGATCAAGAAAAGAAAAACCCAACAATACCACTATTGAAAAAGATTTACTTTGACATACTTGTTTGGTCATCGAGTTGCTTACTCAAGGTACCCAAATCCTCCTGGATAAGCTTGGCAACGTACGATAATCCATTTTGATGATCACGTAAAACATCCGTGATGGTTTGTAGTTGATCACTGTTTTTAGTCCAATCAATTACGCCTTTCGCAAGGGAATTCCGTTGTTCATCTGAAATCTTCTCTCCCTCAAAGATTAAAGTAATTCGTGCCCAAATCTCATTCAAACGACCAAATACTTCAGGATTGTTTAGAGATTTAGCAAGATCATCGAGCTTTTTCCTTAGGTCTTCTTCATTGGATTTCAGAGCATAACCACGATGTCTTAAGACATGCACTTTAATGGCTAAACGAAGGATACGCTCAGACAATTGTATGTGGCGATTCTTTGCTTCCGCAAGTTTTATATTGGAGCTAAGGTCATGCTTATTGCCCAATCTTTCAAGTGTTTCAACAATCTCTCGCATACGAATTCGATAAGCGTTTACCTGGTTAATCTGCATGTTCATTCTCTTTTGAACGTCAGGAAATCCCACAGCGAGCACTGGCACAACACTGTTACTAGGCCTGTTCGCAACAGCTTCATCCCATTTTTGCTGATTATGAGTAGGAGGTTTGACGTAAAGAGCTGCCTGCTCAACGGGAACTTTATTATAGAAGTACCTTTGGAAAGCACAGTCAGGATGTTTCAAATTCCAAGCGTTCAATATTTTTTGTGTTTGTTCTTCAATGGAAGGGGGTTGTGCAGGGCCATATTGAGCATTACTAACTGCTGCGTTTGGAGACATGGTAGAAGATAACAAAAATCCATTTGGATTTGCAGATGACATGCCCATTTCAGAAGGCTTTGCTGTCGCGGCATTCGTACTCCAGGAGAAAAGAGGTTGAGACGAGGTTGCACCTGTGCCCGTCGTAGTGTTAGAAGAAGGGGGGACCGCAGTCGTAGTAGCACTAAGTCCGCTTAAAGGTTGTGAGCCAAATGTGGAAGAGCCGGTGATACCACCACTGGCGGGTTGTTGCTGTTGTTGGCCAAACATTGAAGAACCTAATCCTCCTGCAGGAGGAGCACTGGAAGGATTAGGTGCTGTATTGGCTCCACCAAACAGAGATCCAGAACCTAAGTTCGATGTAGGGGTATTTTGTTTTTGTTGACCAAACAACCCTGTTGTACCAAAAGAAGGTGTATTTGACGACGATGCAGGTTGGCCTGGTGAAGCGTGTTAGTGCAATGTAGCTTTAGAGTTTCAAGTACTTACCAAAAGAGAACGACATTGTTATATGATGGGAATGCCTATCTTGATCAACGAATATGATTCTCGTAGGCGCTCCTCAGGTAAGAGGTGCAGGTAGAAGTAAAGTGCGAAGGGGGAAACTGCTTCGTAGTTTGGCGCTAGTCACTGTAATGCACAATGCACGATGTATGTTACTGAACTGCACTGCCGAAACTCAAGAATTTCTAACAGAGGAAAGGAACACTATTTACAAAAATTATAAAATAATTTTAATAAGATTCAATATAATGGAGCTAATAAAAGTATGCAAATAGAATTTCTTTCATTACAAAGGAGCGAGTAAATAACGTGGTTCCTACAAATATCCTAACAAGATAAGCTTGCTAGCATATGCTTAAGTGTATACTTATTATATGCTTATATAAGCATATATACGCTAATTTCATAAGTAGCGCATATAGTCATATGCTTATAAATTAGATTAAATGCATCATATTGTCAATATATGCTTCTCTATTTAATAATATCCAAATATGCTTACTATTTGATAATATGCTGGAGTTTCGAAATGTATTTCATTTTATTTCATTTCCTAAAGGAACGAAAAAAAATATGAAATCAATTTAACAGCGTTCGAAAACATAACCTTTTTACCTGTATAGGTTTTAGCTTGCAATATTTCTTACCGAGTTGGAATGGGTCGTTATGCGATTGAAACCCAAGAACGACACCAAATTGTAACATAATTGAAAGCGATTTGACATCTTTATGTGAATCGTGTAATCTTGTTTGATACTAAAATTATATCTTTCGTTCCACTTATTTATTTATAGTTGGTTGTACCTGTACAATTGGCAATCTCCCAAAGGAAACCCTGTGTTAGTGCGGATACCTTTATTTGATCGTTTATATTTCGTTTTCATGCAATTTCAATATGATTTTTCTGACTACAAAGCTCATGACTTTGACCCAAAGCAACAGGCTAGACGTTTGTTAGCTTCGGTCCATGCAGCATCAGACGCAACAGAGGACAAGGCAGTCGCTAAAAAACGGTTAGGATATGCTATAAAGGAAATTGAAAATCAGAGAAAGGCTTTTATCAGTTCAAATGAACAGAACCTCGCAGGGAATGTGGAATCCATTTTTCAAAATCAATCGAAACTAACGGAAGTTCGAGAAAAAATGAAGCAACTCACAGATGTTTATGAAAGAATGCGTTCTCTGGTTACCGTGCCCTACAATTCTGCTTCTCGATTACATGACTCAACCGTGAATCTTCATTCGACTTATACCAGCTTATACTGGATTCATCACTATTTTGACCTGCAGAAATTATTAGTAGCTTTTGCAGATAGTGTTTCTAACGAACATGAACGGTATGCCCTTTCGAAAAAATCTTTTCATCAATCCAATTTTGTTTCGTATGGCTAATTGAATCAGATTTGAAAATTATTTTCGAGCAGCTACATTATTACAAGAAATGGACCAACTGGTTAGTCGCTATCCCCTTATTGTATGTCTTTTGTTAGTGCTTTGCAATCAATTAACCAGTTTTAGAAGCGCCAGTCTTCCGTACAGTCGTTGCATAAATCAAATATTGGAATTCACTCTAGGATGCTAAAAGAAACGTCGAGTTTTTTGTTAGCACAAGAAGACTCGAATGTATTAACAGCAAATTCCTCAACTTTTTCCAATGCTTGCGCTACTCTGTTTTTACTAGACAAATATCTATTAGAGAGAAATCTGTCTCAGATGTTGAGCTCTAGAAGCCAAAAAGCAAACGCTTGTTTTGAGTCTATATTCCAATTGTCTCCTACAACTCGTAGGCTCCTACATTCATCTGCTGATTCCACCGCTGCCAATTCTACAATCTGGTCTAAATTTGAAGATGGATGGTATCAAATCTCAAAAATTGGATCTCAATGTGTTTTTTGGGAGAAGACACTTAAACAAACTACCGTTTGTCAACCATATTATACTAACTTATTAGAATACTTTCAAGCACAACCCAATTTCATTCTTGACGGTGCTACAATTAGCATGTTCTATTTTAAGGAACTGGCTATTTCAATTAGCACGAAAATGCAGAACCTTGATCGTCGAGATCCCACCTTGCTCCAAGTTTTTCGTAACGATTACCAAAGAGTAACCCATATAGTTGAACAAGCTATTGCAAAATCATCTTCCGAGATTGTTACAAAAGATACCCGTGAGTGTTCTATTGTGATAAACAGTCTTAAAGTATTATTCCCAAAAATTCCTTAGACATTAAAATAAAATTATATAAATAACCCAAACCATTCAAACTCAATAAAAAATAAAAAATAAAACTCCTGAAAAAGGCGGACGCTTATCTTCACAATTTTACTCTCTCCGAAGATCACCAGTAACGCATTGTAAAGGAGCTGGCACAATTTGTCCGCTTTTCAAGAAAAAAAGTTTCATGTTTCGAGCTTTATCCTTCAATTGAACTTGATTACGGTGCTTTAAAACTTCATTTTTTTTACCACCAGGTCCGTAAAGCTCCAAAATTTGACTCCAGCGAGGACCCTTTACTAAATCGAGTCCATCTAAAAGAGCTTCTTCCTCCTCCTTAGTCCATGTCCTTCTATTTGCAACTTTTTTAGCTCGCTTACTGCCATTACCGGCGCTAGTCATGTTTCGAACTTGATCGTATAAAACAACGCTGGAAACATTATGAGCTTCAGAAGTTGCATCCAAAGTGGCGGTTGGAAGGCCAAAAGCTAACCCATCTGTCAAGTCAGAACTAGACTCTGATGGAGAGGAATTTTCGTCACATGATTTATATCTTCCACCTTGACTTTTTGCTTTCCGTTTTACATGACCATTGGGAACAGGAATAGCTGCAATAGATGAGTGATTGTTGTGGATATAGCAGGCTATCTCGTTTAAAAATTTTCCCCAAGGATAAACTTCGTTTAATGCTTCCTGCGGAGTAAAACTCGATAATCGTTCTTTCCGAGCAGCACACTTTTCCAAAATTTGTTTCTCAACATAAGTAAGCTTGTCGTCTATCTTGGCATTACGACGCAGTAAAAATCGCTGAGCCATATCGGAAGGGAAAAGATCGTTTAAAATATCTTCCTTTGGTCGTTCTGCTTGGGCCATGGCAGAAATGTAAGCCTGTGTTTTTAATTCCATGTACAGAGTACCTTGATTGGTAAGGATGTTGGCTTCATCAGGAGCGAACACTTCAAGAAAATTTTCGTTTAAATGAAAAAAACCAATCTGAAGAGCACCATAAACGGCGGACAAGAAAATCGCCAAGTTTGCGCGACGAACGGCACTTCGCTGAGAAGGAGTACGCATGTTGATAACCGCGGGGTAGATAAATGAATCATCGGTGTATATGTCCTTGATCATACGAAACATGCTCATTAACTTTGTAAAAGCCATTCCCATTTCTGAAGCGGGATTCGTGACGATGGCCGAAGCCTCCTGAACAGGCTTTCCAAGGATAGACAAAATGATATTGCTGAGATTCGCCAAAGTAGGGACTAGTGAACTGCGAAGTAGATATTGAGGAGAGGCAACAGGATTTGGCTGATTAAAAGCGTATTCCATATTTTGGTTCATTCGCAGATAGAAATCTGGGGTCATATTTAATGGAATGCCAGAAAGGTCAAACCCAAGAGGAATATCGCCATTGGAAGCCACATTAGGGGAATCCAAATCAGAAGCATGTTCAGACAGCTGTTGCAACATTTGGCGATCGTGCTCAAGCGCACACTCAGGATCAATTTCTAATTCCTTTTGGGTCTTGAATTCATTAGAAGTATCAATCGATTGCTTCGACATTTCTCTTTGAATTCAATTATTTTCAAAGTAATCTATATTTTCTGAAGCAAAGCAACACGCATCCAATGGCTACAGAACAGCAAATTTGAGTGCGAAGATCACCTTGCTCGTAAAGGTTGGGATTTTGTCTCCAAAAAGAAAAAGCGCATCAAATCAATCACTTCCCTTTAGGATTGCAAAATTTTTTTCTTCTAATATTTGATAAATTACACGAATTCCTTCAATTCTGGTAATTTGCGAAACTGTTGGAATATAGAAAATATGAATAGTTTAGCTTGCTTTTTTTCATTTAACGTATTACTAGCAGGTTCCTGTAAATCTAATTAAAAACTCCAACGCATTTTAACAGTTATACAAACGAGAGGCCAAATAAAAATGGAAAATATGTAGTATGATTCTTTTATGACTCATAAAAGATTTTCTTTTGTATTTTTTTTTTTCTTGGGTTCGGTTGAATATCCGTTTTCTTCTTCCTTGTATCGCACAAAAGCATATATTTGTATCTGAATTTAAGCATATGCGCTTAGGATTATTTTCTTCTGGGATTATGCTTTAGTCTCTTTATTCCTAGGAAGGTACTTACTTCATTGGAAAGTTTCCACTAGGGAAAAGTGTTTCTTAAATTTATTTCGAAAACAAAAGGAGACTTTGTTTTTTCGTTCAATTTTGGTCCGTATTTACCAGCTTTTAAGGTCGTAGAAGCAATAATTCACTGATCGTTTGCCATTGATTGATTAGTTCAGTCAGATTCAGTGTCTTCACTCTGTCTATTCTGTTTCTTGATTTTCCTCAATTGTTTTCTTTTCATAAACTAAGACAAAATGGATGTGTTTTGGGAGAGAATGCTCAATGACCCAAAGAATGAATTCTCAGAAGAGCAAAAACACTTATTGTACGAATCACGATCGAGGGTTCGCCGAAATAAGTTTATTGGAATCATTGGAGGATTTTTTATCCCAATCGTTCTGGGTAAGGTTCTGTTTTCGACATTTGTATAGTGCTGTTGCTAACTTTGAGCGTTGTTTAAGCACGAAAGCGCAAAATCTCTCCCCTTCGATTATACGCTACGTCTGTCATATCAGGTATAGCTGGAAATGGGGTATGTCTTTTTTGTAATCGGCGGCCATGTTCACTTCACTGGTTTGCTTTGTTTCGTCAGCTTTTCGTCTCGTCTTCTTTCTAACGGAAATTTTAATATAGATCGCCCAGATCGTCACCATGGGATACAATGTATCTCAAGTGAAAAAGCGCCCTGATGGTCCGGACATCTTACGGAAAATCCAACAAGCACTTATTCGACAGCGTGCTATGATGCAAGAAAGAACAAACTTTCCTCCTTCATCGAATATTCCTTCACCTGGTCAGATACAGAATCCATTGGGAAATGGAAAACAGGAAGCTTCTTCTAATGATTCAAACACGTTAGGCATATCCATGCCCCAGGATTCTTCCAACCAGGAAGAGTCTCCCAAATCTGCATGGGACCGTATTCGAGAAAAGAACGCTTTGAATCGTACAAATGGAAAAGAACAAAAGGATTTCTCTTTCCCTGTCGAGGATGAAAATCAAGAGAAAACGTCCTGGGATTGGCCGAGAGATGCTACTGACTCAAAGGTTCAAAGCGAAGAAGAAAGAGAATTTCAAAAGCAGCAAACTGAGTTTGATAAGATGGTATGGGGCTCCGGCGGTTCTTCGAACAAGGATCTCACGACTTGACATTGGAAAGAGCCTTACTAAACGATCCTTAAACTCCCCAGTTATTTCGAGAAAGCCTATAATTTATTTGGCCCCACAATCGTCGGTTGAATTTATATTTATTACTTAGTTAATTCCAATAAGCAAAACTGGACTGATGTTATTTTCGACATTCGAAACTATGAGCTCTTCCTTTGTTTCCATTGACAAAATGAAGACAAAAATTTATTGATTTTATTTAGTCACTTATACTTGTTTATGAATGAAATGCTGCAAAGATATCTAATATGCAAGTTATTCAGATGCTACAAATTTTAAACCAAAATATTCAGTAAGTTTAATAAATAAATAATCATTTTGCTTTTTATAAATGGAAAAGGAAAATATCCTTACGCTTCATTCTACGCTGCTCCTTCGATCTCCACCGTATAGTAGTAGTATGGCTCTTAGTTGCTCTTAACCACCAACGTCGTAACGAGACAGAAAACTCGAAAAATGTCGTTTTTCGGGTTCGATACAACCCTTCCAAAGGAGGCGTTGTTTCCTAAAGATGGAGCACACGATGAAGAAGGGTATGAATGCTGTTTTCAGCTTATGCGATAACTAGACAAGTTTTGGCAAAAAGCTGACTGTGGACGTTTAGAATTGATTTTGAAGAAACGTACGACGACTTAGCAGACCGATTAGTAGAGGAGGGAGACGATTTGAATGACGAAACCTTTGGTGTTAGCGCCGGAAATATTGGTATGTAAATGTGATAATGCAACATCATGGCGTCGCTTGTTAACAAGTTAACCTTTATTGTTTTAACGCAAATATCTAACAATATAAAGGTCGGGACTTTGATTTTTTCAATCAAACTGCGCAGGCTTCTAGCAAACTGGAAGATGAACAGGAGGACGATTACAAAAGTCCCATGGACAAGATCATTAGTGAAACCACGCAAGCTTCTTCCCTTCCTCAAGTCAATCCAGTTGCTGCTTCTGGAGAAAGGAATGTCGAGGAAACTGTTGATACTTCAGTCAATACTAATATGCTTTCGGATTTGAGACCCATGGCATCTATATGGGACAACATTGTACCTGAGAAGCCTATTGTTCAACCAGCCCCTCCGGAGGTTTCTGGGTTTCAAAATCGACTGGGTGCGCAAACCAACGAAAAAGTTTTCAGCTTGCAAGAGCTTGAGGAACAGTTATTCAATTCCCTTAATGCGCCGGGTCCTAAACCGCAACAACCTGTTGCTTCAGCGATGCCTGCTGTTACCCCTGTGGCTCCTCAAACCGTTCAGGTTCCCCCTCCTTCTACTTTGACCCATGATACTTTTGCAGCTCTCGATCCTGCTGTTGCCAGTATAGGAAATGTATCGTTCCCCATTCAACAATCGAATGTTGCAAATCCTGGCTTGCCCTTACCTCCTATGATGCAGCCTTCGCAATTATTCGCAAATCCCAACGTTCCTCCACCTCAAGTACCCCCCGTTCCATATCCCACTAATATGGTGTATGGTGCCGAATCAGTACCTCCTGTTCCACTTTTGAACCTTTTTCAACAAGAGGAATTTGCTCAAGCTAGAAGCTTGGATGAAAAGCGCCAGAAATTGGAAAGAGATCATATGCTCATGGCACAATGTGCCGGTTTGATGACTCGCAGTGATAAGTCTTTCATTGCTCGTATTCAGATATCCCAACTGATGTCTGAAGATCCCGAATCGGATGATTTTTACTACCGAGTTTATTCTATAATTCGTGGTCGTAATCCCTCTGAAGAGGATTCTAGTCACTTTATCCAAACGTACTTGGGTCCCAGTAGCAACCGTCGTCGCGGACGACGTTCAGAAAACCCCATGCAAAGATTGCAGCAGCAATTGCAAAAATTGGTTTATTCCGCCAAGGAGCGCCCTAAAACTACTCAGCTATCCCTCGAGGGCGCTTTAGGTAAAATAGCTATAAACACTGTCCGTACCCCTCGACAACTTTTAAATGTGAAACGCCCTTCTGAACAAACAATCAACGCCAAAGAAACCACTTTCAAAGGGTTTGCTACAAAAAAGGATGTTTTACAAGCAATTGAGAGGATTTATGATTGGTTGCTTGATTTTGAACAATCTCTCCGAAAATTATCTGTTTCTAATATTGAGGATGAAGAGACATTTAATGAATGGAAAAGTAATCTTAACCTAAAATTGGAAAGTATTTGGAATGTCCTTCATATCAATGAGTCATTAGACGACGCTTCCAAGGCTCGTCCACCATTTTTGTCTGTTATTTCTCATCCTAAAGGAATGCGTCTTCTCCCACGATTGTTACCTCACCTTTCGAAAGATCAACAATTTGCTATTCTCACTGTAATCGTTTGCAACGTTGATTCTCTTAATATCGTTTTAAAGGGAACTTTTGATGTAAATGGCGAGTTACCTGCCGGTATTGCGACAGAAATGAATGCATTTACTCAATTTGTTATCCCTTCATTACTTACGATTGTGAATGAGCTGGGTATGTCAAACGTTAATACCTTATTTTCTCAGCTCCTTGGAAGATCCAATGCATTATACCTAATTCAAACCAAAATTGGACTGTCGTTTTTAACTATGCTAATAAGCCGTGCTGAAATTCTTAAGCAAACCGGATCGTGTACTGAAGAAGACAAAGAAAACTGGTATGTATTTTGACTTGACTGTATTAGTTGTATGTACTAACTGATTTTAGGGAGATGATATTTAATGGTTTATTTGACCGTCTTAAAGACCATTTTGCGACTGTTTTTCCTCCGCCTAATGCTCGTGCTTATGCTGATGAATCGTATCCTTGGGAATTTTTGGCTGCTTGTGCTACTGCTGCTTCTTCTGATCAACATTTCGTTTTGGTTTCTGAAACGAGAGATAGAGTCCTCGATAATATTATTACAAGCAAGCGAGCTCCTGAAGAGATTGCCGTCGTACGTATTGCGAATGTTAATCTATTTTTGAACGCCATGGGTCTGGATGCTCGTCAATTGAGTGCCTAAACAATTAATTTATGGATATGAATCGTTGTGAATTATGAATGGAAGGTGTTTTTATCATTATGCTACGTGTTATCATCGCTTTCTTTGAGCAAATCTATGCTACCAAAATTATATGAATATTGGTTTGAATTATTTTTTGGTAAAGCCCCTAGAAATTACCATAGATGTATGTAAATAAAAGTGAGAGATTGTAACAAACAATGAAGGAAAAAGATAAAAAACACACTGTATCAATAATTAATATATCCGAGCGTCAATTATACTAGCTGCCATCCTTAATCGTAACTCTGGCATATCTCTTTGGGAAAACTGTAAAGGAACATTCCTAGCCAGACATTCCGCTGTCTTGCAGGCAAAGACACCGCAATCATACCCATTCTGCTGTCTGGGCGAACTATGATCGACGTAGTTTTCCCAATTTGTAATATCAACAGATCCTTTAGTTTCAGCAATGTAGTACTCTCTTAGTAGATCAAAGACTTTACCAGGACTTCCGGCCAGCGAGTCCCAATACTCGAATCTTTTTTTCTTTTTATTAATTGCAGCCATGCACCAATGGACGTCTAGATGAACAGGAACTAATACACAGTCAAAATCCGCAATTCTCATATGGGCCTTTCTGGCCCACCGACGGACGCCAGTATAACCCTTTTTTTGTAGTGTCGTGTAAAAAAATGTGTTAAATACGTGAACCTGAGGTAAGGAAGGATCAGAGCGAGAGCGATCCGAAAGCAAATTCATATAGAAATTGATAACCTCATCATTTAGCCAATGCTTATTTTTCAAGGTCCGAAGGTCTCGTATCATTATTGGAATATTATATTTAGTTATTATAGGCTCTGTGTAAGCCGAACGAGGAAGGTCGGCATCATTTAAAAGCCGTAAAGCCCGTTTCTTAGCATCCTCAGGGAATTCTAGTAGAGATACAAATTTGGGACGAACAGGAGGGGGAGTAATGTGAAGACCTTTCAGCTGCAAGAAATCAATTTCATTCCAGTCATGAAACGCTTCGGTCTGCTTTTCCTTAAGTTCACGAATCAATCGCAAAAGAGAATTTTCATTATCTAAGTCTGATGATAAAGGGGAGCGCGAAGGACGGGGATGCTGCTCTGTAGATACAAGACGTGGAGGAAAATGCCAAGGTGTTGAATTTTTATCGATAGTTCTTCTCATTGTAGCAGTAAAAGGTAAGTGAGAAGAGCTAGGTTGTAATTTTAAATCATGAATTTGTGAAGAAGGGGTGACAAATTTGGATTCATGAGATTTTGGAGTGTTTTCTTGTTTAGAAGTGGCAGGAAATAGGGATATGTAAGGAGTAGGGATTTGGGATGAGAAATTAGAAGAAATAGAGGATGGATCGTGAGAGCTGACCAAACCTTCAGTCTCGTTTCGTTGAAACGGGGAAAGGACGGAAGGAAATGAGGACTCAGCTGTTTCTTGTGATACGGCTAAATTTAAGCGATCACTTATTGATAAGCGTCTAACAGATCGATGAGGACGAGGGATATATTGTAGACGGGACGCACGAAAACTTTGAGGAGACAATCTCTTAAGTCCATCAGAGTTGGAGCTATGAAGGCTTGGATCGAAGAGACGCTGTAGGGCGATAGGATCAAGTTCCTCATCCCTACTCTGAAAACGGCTATGGTTCTTTGATTTGATTTGTTCATTTTTCCCTGAACTTGTTGCGAGGGAAGCAAGCGACTGGCCGTGCGTATTTTCTTGGACTTCGACAGGGTCTGAAGGATGATTATCCAAATTCTCAGATAAAGATGAACTAGTATTGCCAGCAGTACTGTCCAAATCCGTCATTGAAGAGCGCGTGAGGAAGATTTTCGCATATGTTACAGTACGGGAACAAATGCCCACAAACTTGTTGAAGAACGTCTTCTTTCGCTTTCTTTGTTCTTCTAAAGATGCAGCATCATCTGGATGCGACCGCTTTGTCGCATTACGTTTGTGTGTCATTCACAAAAGCAAATGGAGTAGGAAATAGGATTGCTGATACTGGGGGAGCAGAAGTGAAGAATAGACGCGAAAATCGCTTAGATACCTTTCGCTAATCCCAAAACGACAAAACTTTGACTAAAAATACCACCTGAAAGAGAATTCCCAATGTGTAGTGAATGTGAAGAGTTTGAAATGAACAAGCACTGATGTAGGTATCAATGCTACCTTGAAGGGAAATTTCCAAACTTGAAGGGCGCCGGTGAATTCAGCTAATTTGAAGAAAATTAAAGAAAAGGAAAAAGAGAATGAACAATTATCTATCTTTTCTGTGTTTTGAAGACTTTGGCGAAAGCGAAATCAATATCATGTTAAGTTCATATGATAGTGTCCTTCATCGTCTACCCTTGTAGCATTAGTGGTAGTTGTAGTAGTGTATGTAATTAAACAAACCAATTCTGAAGAACCCAAAGTCGTTTCAATATACTTCAATATTCATTTTTCTTCTTTATTTTCTTTTTCTCTTCAAAGCTTACCAATGAATTCGTCAAATATGAATTCCAGTGCTCAGCTTTCAGCTATAAACATGTTGGTGATCATCTTGTAAGGATAGAGAGACTGAAAAAATAAAAACAAGTAAGAAATATAGGAACAAAACGGTAGATTGAAAAGACTCCGACAGAACTCCTACAAACAGACGAATTTCCTCCTTTCTGTGAGTGTAAGCAATGAAAATCACTTGCGACTGAACGGTTGCAAAGAAGTGAAAGCTCCTGAAATTTCTTCTCAATTGAACTGCAAGAAACAATTTAATACTATCATTCACCTTGGCAAGCGCTAAAATTGTTGTACCCCAAGTTTATGATTGGCACAACAGGAATATACCGCTTGATGAATTGGGTTCCATAAAAAAAAGAAAAGCAAAATACGGAAGAGAAAAAATTCTTTTCAAATTCTTCTCTTCTCATCTCGTCTTCTTTCTACTCCCCACTTCTGTCGTAACCCAAGTAACCCAGGTAGTTGCTTGTCTACTGAAACCTGTACTTTCTGAAACTCAAGAAAATCATCCAAACCACAGTCTATGTGACTTTCCCTAGAGCATGACAGCTCCCTGTACATATATTAAAAACTTTTCTCCAATTGAAATTCGTCCGTTGCCGCATTTGGATTTTCAAGCTGGCTATAATGGAATCCCTGCATCAGCTCCTAGAATCGTAGGCCTTGTGCAAGTACGAAGCAAAGAGATTCATCAACCATTGTCTATTATACAAGTTGCTTTGGAGCTTTGGAAAATCGAATCTGTTGCCGTTCCTTCTTTAGGCGTGAGCAATCATTTGTCTGAACCAAAGCGGTTAGTACAACAAGTCTTGTTTCCTCCTCCTTCTAAAAAAAAACATACTACACCCCTTCGCCTTTCCGAAAATTCCGAAGCCAGTGACGACCTTTTGTCTCCTTCGTCTAATACTTCCTTTTTTAATGAACATTTTTACGAGTCTTATATACCCGATCAACCTGTCTCACATCGTTCCTCAAACCAGCCGCCCATACCCCCTCCACACACTCAAAATGTGTTCCGAAGTAGTTCACTGCCTTCTCGTGTTCTTAGCCAAACTTCAGACAATTCGTCATTGCCCGCCTCATCGCTCTTAACAGACTCACTTAGGTCACCTACAAAGTCCTCTTCAGCTTATAGAATATGGTCGATGGATTTACCGTTTGAAATGAAGTATTCTGAGGGAGAAGTGCTCACTCCGACATTCGACCTTGTTCGTTCCGGTATTTCTTGCTCAACAACATACGAGATGCGGGCTATTCTTACTCTTTCTGGTTTAGAAGATGTTTGTACTTGCGTTCCGATTGTCATTCATCGTTACGACACGCTCTCCTCTTGGGGTATGTATAATTCACCAATCTATATAAAAGAAGCAAGCATAGACAATAGAGTCATCGTGGAGGCATCCATTCCAAAACAATGTATTGGGCCTATGGATTTGCTTACGGTGTTCATATCCATTAAGCCTTCTAATGGATCCAAGATCCGAGTGCAGCAATTGTCACTGTCTTTGGTGGAATGTGTCACTGTTCGTCATCCGTCTTCTACCTCCTCGCCTATTGTTCGTACAAAGAAAATACTTAAAGCTGAACAAGATCTTGACGATGTGCGCTTGGGAAAGGATGGTCTTTCGCAAACGCTGTCAAAAGTGTTTCCTGATCCTGACTTGGATGATTCCTCTATACAAGGGTTCACTACTTCTTCTGATCTCTATAATGTCACTTACATGCTTTTACTAAAGGTGAGGCTTTATCGTGCTAGAAATGTCGAAATTTCTTATCCCATCACCGTTTCTCCTGTCGCTCGTTCCGCAAGTTCTTCTATCCTAGGTGATATTCAAACCAGGGTTTTAGATTCCCGGCAGTCCCTAACCGGCTCTGTACTAGATACTACTTGCAATATTGTCCGTGCCAATGATTCTACAAAAAATAACATGTATAGTTATTCAGAGGATCGTATGGTACTTTTGGATTAAAAATGATGATTTTTTGTTTTCTATGTTCATATTTATTTATGTTTCTGGGTTGTTAATGGTTTGATATTTCCTTGTCATCAATAGAAATTGCTATGTTTGTTACCGACACTCACATTTCTCTAACTAATCCTCATACATGTTTTTCCTGCATTTCCGTAATAACGTTTTTCTTTTACAAGTACTCATGAATATCATCAACCTTAAGGACGCATCTCATGTTTGTGGAGCTCTATTTCGAAATCGTCAACAAAATGAATTTCTCCGAATGAAATAGTTGTACAAGTTTCATAGTCAAAATAAAAAACCTATAGCAAATATCTTTAGTTACAACTACGAATCAGTTACCATGAAAGATTATGTTCTATTCTTGGGCTAATGAAGGATCTTAATGAAGTAGAAATAAATGTTGTAGAGCATATTGCTTTGTTTACTGTTTCTTTTGATTCTTTTCGAAAATTGATATCAAACTTTGCGTACTATTTTGAAGGTAATTCGATTTGATTCGTTTTAGTTGTTAGTTCAGAAGGAATAAGTAATAAATGTTTCTATTGTTCATGAACTTGAAGCAAGTATTTTTGATTAAAAAAATGGAGTTTCGCTTCACAGCAGCATACTCCCAATTTTGAACCACAGCAGTTACCAATTTGTTCACAGCAACTGAAATTTGCAAGGCTAATAGAAACGTTTAGGCTGAATTTATAATTTAACTAGTTAACAAACATTCTAGGAATGCAATAAAGAAAAGTGCAAAACAATAGAATACAGTCGCACATGGCGTTCAAATGGTTAACATCGCGAAATATCCAAAAAATTGCTAAAGTACATTACTCATTACCGAAAGTGCTTAAAATAAATAGGAATTACTGTCATATATTCCAATGGCGACGTAAATTCGATGAAAAGCATGGCCTTCGATGCTTTGCTTCCAACTTAGCATCCTTAGAGGCCGCTCAGCGAGAACTTGATCAAAAGATTAAGGACCTAGAAAAAACTTAGAACAAATAAGAAATAATCGAATTAACGACTCGGTATGCTTTTAGCGTAGGTTGCTTCTGCAGCTTATTTATGCTATGACTTTTTGTTTACAAGGATATTTATTAACAAATATAGCCCTCTATTGACTTATCAGAAAAGGACTTGGAGCAAGTTCTTTATTCTATTGAACAAGCAGACAAAACCAATGCCAAAGTTGCAACTCAGGACGAACAAAAAGCTTTGCCTGACGCTAGTTTCTATTTGGGACCTATTCTTTCAGAAAGGCTACAACTTGACCATAATGATACCGACACATATAGTTCCCTAACAGCTGTAGGTAATGATCGCAAATGGTTGAAGTTTAATGAGAAAAGTAAAGAAAAGTTTGACGCTTGGAAACAGAAAGTCGTTGCTTTACTAAATGACCCAAATTGCTTTCAAGGAGTCTCTAAATCGCAAGTAGAATACTTTGTCGCAGCATTACCTACTACGTTGAAGGTAAATAATATGCAGCGAATCCTTGAGAACCTTGGAAATACAAATTTAGGCATTTGGCACGAATTATGCTATCAGTTCATGGTTGCGTGTAATAGAAAGAAGTTACCTCTTATGTCTTTGGAAGTTTTGAAACGATATAACAACATTGGTTCTACCTTACATTCAGATTTGTGCTGTGCACAAGCAATTGCGTTAACCCAACTTGAACGCTACGACGAATTAATGGAGCTTGTCCAGCGTTATCAAAATGAAATGAAATTACCTGAGCATTCGTTTTTAAGCGTTTGCTTGGGCTCCTTTTGCAAAGCTCAAATGACTCAACAAGCAATGTCTCTATTTGACTATATGAAGTTCGTCTCAATTAACACAGCTCCAGATAATCGCGATTATGATTCCTTAATATATCTTTGTGCAATTCAAAAAAGACCAGAGAAAGCTCTCGAGCTGTACAACGATATGATTAAGCGACCTATAAATCCATTGAAGCCAACCGAGCTTACAATCAATAACTTAATTCATGCTTTATCGGCGGACAAAAAGTATCATCCTTTTGCTTTTGCTTACCTATCAGAGTTCTCAAAGTTCGGTTTAACCCCGAACGCACAAACATCTTTTGAGCTTTTAAGATTTGCTGCTCAAAGCGGTAACGTCAATGCTTTAAAAAACCTGTATTCTGAATACTGGGTTCAAAGTCCAGTTTTACCTAAGATTTGCAGTATTGAACGATTATTCAATTTTGCTTACAGAGCTTACGCAAATGCCAATGTACAGGAATCTTCTGTGATTCCAAGTTTCGATAGGATCCGGGAAATTGCGAAAAAAAATTTAGGAGAAGATGAAAGCTATAGGTTGCCATTTGGTTTACGGAATATAAGTACGAAATCGGATTTATTTTACGCTGCTGTGTATACACGCGAGTACACGAAGAAGTATCACCCCGAAGTCGTTACCAAAACAAGTTTATCTTACTTAAATGTATTTTCAACACAAAAGAATTTAGAACTTTTCAAACATGTCTATTCTACAGAATTTTGTCAACCTGATTTCATCGAAAAACTGGATACGGAAAAGCAATTTATCACAAAAAGGAACATATTAGTCTATTATTTCGCAATTTACGTTTCTATACAATGCAATGACTTTATTTTTGGATATGGTGCTTGGCAAGATTATTACCGGTATAAGGATACGGGTATTATACCTGCTGATTTAAAGGGATACGAACAAAAAATTACTACGCTTATGATTTCTCTGTTTTCTAAGCATGGGTTCTTAGAATTAGCAAGGAAGTTATTAGTAGCTAGTCTTAATCAAGGATGGGAATGGACACCTCATTCATTGGGACATCTAAGAAGGCTTGCTACTCTTAAAAAGGATCATGCAACAGTACAATTAATTGACGGTATTACCGGGAGACAAATTTTAACTTAGACAAGAAATTTATTAATATATTAACATATTAATATATATATATATATATATATATTTATTCTAACTTGGTAACGAATGTACTAGTGAGTAAGTTCTTTACAGCACCATTCAGCAAAAGTAGCTACGATTACCATAAACTCCTCAAAAGATTGTAAACAGCGTGTAGCTCAGTTAGGAGATGGTAACGATTAAGATGTATCTTGGTGTTCTAAATCCAAATCTATGTGAGAAGTGGTGAGCGCGTGCCAATCAGCATTTGCTTGCATTAAAGCAGCATCAGATATATCGACATTATTAGAATCATTCAGAGATTGGGAATCAAAGAACGTATTATGAGAATTAGAGGCTCCTGTAGTATCATTAAAAATATTAAGATTCTCATTATCTGCCGACAATGAAATTTCAGGTATTGTATCAGAACAAGTATTAGGGCTAAAATTATCGTCCAAACAGTTATAGTTTTCAATTTCAATAGAATGGGAACGAGGCTCAGGGGGAATAAATGGGTTAGCAGATAAACTTTCTATGGTAGAACCAGAAGATAAAGGACTATTATGGATATAGTCGAAGTGACCATCGATGGAAGGATGTGCGGTATGTATACGGGTAACTTTTGGTTTCGTCGTGCGCCTAGTTTTTAACGATTGTGTACGCTTTATAGAAGAATACTCAGGGCGACTTCGGGAACCATAAAGGGTACGTCTAGAGTGAACAGAAGGATATTGTGGAAATTTGTCAACATCCATAGGGGAATTATTATGTTGAAGAGCAGGAGAAGGTGATAAGATGTCATCTGTATTCGGTAATGGAGAAGTCCAAGATTGATCCGAAAACGTATTCATCCAGTCGTTAGGTAAAGCATCGACATTTGATCCTCTAGAAGAAGGAGAAAATGGTAGATCAAACGATTGTGCGGAGTTTGTATTTAAGGGCGGAAAAGAATTGTCTTTCGGTTTCTCTTTCCTGGGAACAGAATGATAGGAGGTGGAGGACTTCATAGCATAGGGTTGACTATCAAGATCCACAGGAGAGTCTATAAAGTCCTTGCGGGACGGTTCAGCTCGATATGTAGTCACAGAAGCGATGTAATCATCCTGATTTTGCCAAGAAGGAAGCGCCTCACCTGTCTGAAGATTCTGGGGACTATTATTACGTAAAGGGTCGTTTGTAATGAAGTCTTTATCCAAAAATGTACGCAACATATTATCACGCTTTTCTTCGGGCTCTTCTGACGAGTATACATGGCAGGCATTTTTGGTGTCATAAACCAAGACCACGACTTTGGCGTCACATAATACAGAAAGTTCATAAGCTTTTTTGAATAACCCTAATCTACGGCGATTGAAGGTAAGAGACTTATTTTTCGCATCAGCAATACGCTGGATTGAGCGACGAGGAGACGAAGGGGTGGGAGGTACTTTAGGCGTTGACATAATAATAAAATATTTAAATAATCAAAGAAAGAGAGACAAACGAGATAAGGTCAATGAGCAAATTGAGAAAAAAAAAACCCCCCAAAAATAAATTGTAAGGATACTGAAAACGAAGGTTTCAAATAAAAAAGAAGAATTGATAGAAACAAAAAGTAAACAGAACACGAAATCAAAGAGTGTGCAAATATCAAAAGGAAATCAAAAACAAGTAATTCCTTCTAAAAGGAAAACCAACCAAAAGAGTGACAAATGTAGAAGTGAGTATTATAAATTTAACAAATTAAAAGAAAGAAAAGCACAAAAACGCAAAATCGATAAGAAAAGAACCAAGTCTATATACTCAGAAAATGAAACACGGAAATAGAATGCTTAAGAGGAAAAAGGGTAAAAAAAGAAGATTATAAATCCATTAAACATACAGTACAATTTTATTATGGTCTTATTATTCTCGAGTTTCTCTCAAATTTCAAAGTTATTAGTAGCTTTTCGCAACAAGAACCGAGTTTTGGGAAACTTATCAAACAGCTTTCGATGAAGTTAATAGTTATTATACAATCAGCCCAGTTATAAAACGAACGCGATCGTTTCCAAAAAGAAAAAATTAGATCAAATATCAGTAGTTGGTAAGCATCGACTGACGTGTACCAAAAAATAGAATAAAGGTATTTCCTTACTACACACTATACACAAATCGGTACTGAAGTACATGCGCTGAAATAAAAAATAAGCAAAGTTGTTTGGTTTCACTAAACAATATAATGGTACTGTTAAAAATTGTTGAAGCTTCACTATCACCTATTATGAAATTGCCGAACAAAACTGTCAATATCGTTCAACGACTTTATTCACTGTTTACTACTGTTTTGGTTACTATAAGAAGTAGTTTAGTTAAAAAATAAAGTACACTCGAATGTGAGCAGAACTTGGCAAAGGGTACATAAAGTGTATAAGTTGTTTCTAATAATAATTTTAAAATTAGATCGTGGATTTATGCATATTCTTCTGTTTTGGAAAGCGCTTTGTATCTGTAAACACAATTGTCGTGTATAAAGAAAGCGAAATTTATTCTTATTAGGTAAGTCCGTAATTGAATGTTAACTGTGAAAGGTATATTGTTTATATGAAAGCGGACGTTTTATCGCTACATTTCCAATAATGTTTGAATGTATCAGAAAGAGATGCGATGAAAAAAAGTTAATTGGGCATTTTATGCTGAATCTTTCCTATAAAAATGCAACCCTGCAGCCTCTTAAATAATTCGGTTGATCTTTTGGTTTAAAAGTAGGTACTGTTTCTGCTCTCTGTTTATTTATTTACAGCGTTGCTTGTTTACATGACGCTGTTAACGGATTCCTTCCTCTAATTCGCTCGGATGCTTAAGCAGGTAACGACCCCTGGTTGTTCTAAGCCTGCATTATGCAGCTGCAAGTTCAAACAAAGAAACCTGCACTACCCTTCCTTCTAGGCTTAAGCTAGGTAAGGAAAAACCCAGACCCAGGAACCTGCAAACAACAAACTAGGAATTTGGTATCTGTTGGCAAGAAACATTGATTTGTTGATTTCTTGTTAGTCCGACCATTTAAAAAAGGACTTCAAGTCATCTATAGAATTGTTATTGCTCAACATCCGGTCCTTGCTTCTTTTTCGACTTTTTGTATTTTAGAAAGTGATTTTGGTCCGTGTATCGTCTATTTAGGGAATAGATAGCATTCGGTATATCTATCTTGTATTTATACAGATAGTTTTTATCTTTTCCTTAGGTGAGGTATCACGGTTTCTCTTTCTCCGGCATAGAGAAGAAAAATTTGACGGACCCGCGTTCATTCCCTTCGTATAGCTTATTCATTATTGTTACGGCTTGAAGTGATTTACGGATTTCTTTCTTTTCTGAGTTCGTTCTTTTCTATTTATCCCAGACACTATCTTTTTTCTATTTTTCTTTCCTTTGTACACTTCGAGTACGGCATATGCTGAAAACCTTCCTTTTTTAAGAAGAACTGCTCAACACTTGCAAAGGTTTTTATTGCATAAAAGCATCTATCTTTTTATTTTGCATCTAAATCAGCATCGAAAGTTAAAGATAAATCTTGCATTTCGGCATCGTCTACGATACTTTTGTAATTTATTTATCATATTCTAGCTTATCCACTTTTTTTCTTTTTTTCAATCGTATAATTGTTCTTGGCCATTTGAGGACGTTTCCTGATCTTTTTGGCTTCTGACATTTCGTGCGGTGTATGTTCAGAGCTAATTTCTAGGTGAACAAGTACGCCCATACTTACGTTTCTCTACAGTTTTCTCTCTTTTTTATTCGATTAACGGTCTTTCGTTATCATTCCTTTCCTTCTTTTGTGCATCTTTTATCATTTTTCATTTTATAAACTTTTGCTTTTTCTGGTATATCCATTTTACTTGATTTTCATAAAATGGATCAGTATTGGCGAGAGCAAGAAGGCCGCGGCCTTTTTGAAGACGATGCTACGAGTTACACGTCTGAAAATGATTCCATGAACTCATTGCAACGCTTGATTTATGATGATCCATCTGTTCATGATGACCTTCAGTCTGATTATGATAGTAGCTCCTTTAATGTCGACGCTAGTCCTGTCGCTTACCCTTCATGGAACCAAGCTGCTGAAGAACCCCCGGTAACTATGGAGGGTGTTCAGGAAATACTACTTGACCTTACAAATAAACTTGGATTTCAAAAGGATAATATGCGTAACATATTTGATTATATCATGGTTCTACTCGATTCTCGTGCCTCTCGTATGTCTCCTTCCCAAGCACTCCTTACTCTTCACGCAGATGTTATTGGTGGTACTTACGCCAATTTTGCAAAGTGGTATTTTGCTTCACATTTTAATGATGGCCATGCCATTGGGTTCCATGATATGTCATCACCGATCGTAGAAAAAATGACATTAAAAGAGGCAGAACAAGCCTGGAGAGATCAAATGGCTAGCTTTTCTCCTCATCGAATGATGGTCCAACTGTGCCTTTACTTTTTGTGCTGGGGTGAGGCTAATAACGTTCGTTTTATGCCTGAATGTCTTTGCTTCATCTTTAAATGCGCCTACGACTATTATATTTCATCTGAAGCTCGAGACTTGGATTCGGCTTTACCGAAAGAATTTTTTTTGGATTCTGTAATCTCTCCTATATATCGGTTCTTCCATGCTCAGCTCTTTGAAATCCTGGATGGTAAATATGTTCGCCGCGAACGAGATCACGCTAACAATATTGGTTACGATGACATTAACCAATTCTTTTGGTCTTATAAAGGCCTTGAAGAAATAAAATGTACTGATAAAACTCCTTTGTTAGATCTACCTCCTTTTATGCGTTACCGCCATTTAGGTAATGTTGAATGGAAATCTTGTTTTTACAAGACATACTACGAATATCGATCATGGTTTCATAATATCACCAACTTTTCTCGAATCTGGGTTATGCACATTTCTGCGTATTGGTATTATTCTGCTTATAATTCCGCCAACTTGTACACTTCACATTTTCATATACGAATGAATAATAAGCCTCCGGCAGCTTGTCGCTGGACTGCATGTGGCTTAGCAGGTGCAATTGCTACTTTTATTACTCTTCTCGCCGTTAGCTTTGAGTATCTTCATGTCCCAAGACGCTATCATTGTGCTAGACCTTTATGGCCTAGTTTTCTGATGCTTCTAACTGCTCTGTTACTCAATATAGCACCTACTATTTTTATTTTTGCTTCAACGGACCATCAACAGACTTATGTTTCTCGTTTAGTGGTTGGTATCGTACATTTCTTTTTTTCATTGGTATGTGTGGTTTACTTTGCTGTCACGCCATTAAGAAATCTTGTAGGATTTACCACAAAAAGCTCTGGTCACGATTTAGCTAATCGATATTTTACTTCTAATTTTACCTCAACCTCTAAGGGTGGTGCTTTCATTTCATGGTGCTTATGGATTACGGTTCTTGTTGCTAAGTATCTTGAGTCTTACTTTTTTCTTGCACTCAACCTTTCGGATTCCATTCGCTTCTTAGGTGCTATGCGTCCTTACGATTGCGGTGATTATATTTTAGGTTCTGGCCTATGCAAGGCTCAACCAAAAATTCTTCTTAGTTTGCTGTATCTTACTGATCTGTCATTGTTCTTTCTGGATACTTACCTATGGTATATTTTAATTAGTACCATTTACTCCTTAGGTTACGCTTTCTACTTGGGAATTAGTGTGTGGACTCCTTGGCGTGAGCTTTTTTACCGTGTTCCTAGAAGAATTTATACCAAGCTTCTCTATACTAATGATATGGAAATTGCCTTTAAACCCAAGGTATTGATTTCTCAGGTTTGGAATGCTATAATCATCTCCATGTATAGAGAACACCTTATTTCTAGGGACCAAATTCAGGAGTTGCTGTATCATCAAGTCCCTTCTGAGAAGGCTGGATATCATACGCTTCGTGCGCCAAATTTCTTTTACTCCCAGCAAGTGAAGCACTATAGACAGGATCTTTTTCCTGCTAATTCTGAGGCTGCTAGGAGAATTTCATTTTTTGCTCAATCACTGGCTGAGTCAATTCCAAAGCATTGTTCTGTGGATGCTATGCCTACGTTTACAGTCTTAGTACCTCATTATTCAGAAAAAATTTTGCTGTCTTTACGTGAAATAATTCGTGAAGAAGACCAGCTTTCTCGTGTAACTCTTTTGGAGTACTTAAAGCAATTATATCCAATTGAATGGAAAAACTTTGTTGATGACACGAAGCTGCTAGCCGATGAAAATGATTCAGTGGACTCAACCATAGATGGTGAAAAGAATGACCTGCAGGCTAAGGCTTATGATCTTCCATTTTACTGCATTGGTTTTAAATCTGCTACACCGGAGTACACTTTGCGAACAAGAATTTGGGCATCTTTGCGTACTCAAACGCTTTATCGTACAATCAATGGATTTAGTAACTACAGTAGAGCAATTAAGCTCTTATACCGTACTGAATGCCCTGAACTCGTTGAATGGACAAACGGTGATCCAGCTCGATTAGACGAAGAATTGGACGTGATGGCTAACAGAAAATTCCGTTTTTGTGTTTCCATGCAACGTTATGCTAAGTTCACTAAAGAAGAAGCTGAAAATGCAGAATTTCTTCTCAGAGCGTACCCTGATCTTCAAATTGCTTACATGGATGAAGATCCACCTACTCGTCCAGCTGAAGAAAGAGGAATTTACTCTGTACTGATTGACGGCCACTGTCCTATAATGGAGAATGGTAAGCGACGCCCTAAATATCGTATACGTCTATCTGGTAATCCAATTCTCGGTGATGGTAAATCTGATAACCAAAATATGTCAATTCCTTACATTCGCGGTGAATATGTTCAAATGGTTGATGCAAACCAGGATAATTATTTGGAAGAATGTCTTAAAATTAGAAATATTCTCGCGGAATTTGAGCAATTTACCCCTCCTATGCATAATCCTTATTCTGTGAATGCAAAGTCCACGTCTAATCATCCAGTTGCTATTCTTGGTGCTCGAGAATATATTTTTTCCGAAAATACTGGTATGCTCGGTGATGTCGCCGCAGCCAAAGAACAGACTTTTGGTACTATGTTTGCTCGTATTTTATCTGTAATTGGTGGCAAGTTGCATTATGGCCATCCTGATTTTATCAATGTTTTGTTTATGACGACCCGTGGTGGTGTATCTAAAGCTCAAAAAGGTTTGCATGTCAACGAAGATATTTATGCTGGTATGACCGCTTTACAGAGGGGTGGTAGAATCAAGCACTGTGATTATTATCAGTGTGGTAAAGGTCGTGACCTTGGTTTTGGCTCGATTCTCAACTTTACTACGAAAATTGGTACTGGTATGGCTGAACAAATGCTTTCCCGTGAATATTTTCATCTAGGTACTCAATTACCTTTCGACAGATTTTTATCGTTCTTCTATGCCCATGCTGGTTTCCATGTTAATAACATGGTCATTATGTTTTCGTTGCAATTGCTTATGCTGGTCATTATTAACCTCGGTGCGATGTTTAGTGTGGTACCTGTTTGTAAATATCGCCAATTTAATCCGGTTACTGCTCCTCTTAGTCCTCAGGGTTGTTACCAACTTCAACCAGTTTTAGAATGGCTTAAACGTTGTATTTTGTCAATTTTCATTGTCTTTGGTATTGCGTTCGTCCCCTTAGCTGTTTGCGAGTTGAATGAACGTGGTGCCATCAGAATGGTAATCCGTGTATCTAAACAAATTTTCTCTTTATCACCCATCTTTGAAATCTTTACTTGTCAGATTTATGCTCAAAGTCTGATTGCTAACTTGTCATTTGGTGGTGCTCGGTACATTGGTACCAGTAGAGGATTTGCTACTGTTCGTGTACCATTCGCCTTGTTATATTCTCGTTTTAGTGGACCTTCACTGTACTTTGGTTCTAGACTTATGTTTATGCTACTTTACGGATCTATCACAGCTTGGTTGCCTCATTATATCTATTTCTGGATTACTTTGGTTGCTCTTTGTGTTAGTCCATTCTTGTATAACCCTCATCAATTTGCCTGGACTGATTTCTTTGTTGATTATAGAGAATTTATTAGATGGATTTTCCGTGAGAATTCTCGCAACCATTCCAATTCTTGGATTGGAAATTGCCAGCTTACACGAACTCGCGTTACTGGATATAAGCGTAAAATATATGGAAAGAAAGCCGACAAAATTTCTATGGACTCTCCTCGTGCTCGCATTACGACAATGTTTTATGGTGAAATTCTAGGTCCTTTAGGTACCGTGTTTTTCACTTGCATTCCATTTTTGTTTGCCAATTCTCAGCCGGGCAATGATAATGAATCTGAAAGGACTAATGCTTTCATTCGGTTGATTATTATGTCTTGTGTTCCTCTTGTCCTTAGTGCTGGTATCGCTCTTCTCTTCTTCTGTCTTGGTATTATCTTACGCCCAGTGGTTGGTGGTAAAGCGAGAAAGGTTGGAATTTACATGGCTGGAGCTGCGCATATCCTGTTTGTATTTATAGATATTGTTGTTTTTGAGGTTCTTGGTTACTTAGAAGGATGGACTTTTAGTACGACATTGCTTGGGTTCATTGCTATTACCTCCATTCATCGCTTTGCCCACAAAATCCTAATAATTTGCTTCTTATCTAGAGAATTCCGTCATGATGGTGCTAATTTAGCGTGGTGGTCAGGTTTATGGAATGGACAAGGTTTCGGATACATGGTGCTGACTCAGCCTTGGAGAGAATTCATATGTAAGACTACTGAAATTAACATGTTTGCTGGAGACTTTCTTCTCAGCCATCTGTTACTCTTTCTTCAGTGTCCCATCATTTTAATTCCATATATTGATAAACTCCATTCAATCATTTTGTTCTGGCTTCGTCCCAGCAGGCAAATTCGTCCTCCTGTTTACACCATCAGACAAAGCAAGTTACGCCGACAGATCGTGCTCCGCTATGCCACTCTGTACTTTACTTTATTTGCTATATTTTTCCTTCTCCTAATTTTACCTTTCGTGTTTGGCAAGTCTGACGCAGGAAATTCGTTTGATAAGTTTAATATGATTCAGCCAGCCATTCATAAGCACCGATCTCTTACCAAGAATTCTTCAGTTTAAACATTTTCTCTTTTATTTTCTTCTCTTCCTCATTGGGATGTTGTATCTGGATACAATGGTTATAAAAAGATCTGTACAGATTTATTCTATTAATTTTACAATTTAATAATATAAAGTTAGTTCATATTATGAATGAGCAAGAGGTGTTGGGGATGTTAATTAACTGCCGTAAATAAGAAAAAAGCCATTAATAATAAATCATTAACCAAATTATATTTCAGCATGAATCATCACATTCTTTTTATTTTTTAATGATAGATCATCAAATTTCTGCATCACATTAAGGAAACCAGGAGAGTCTGATTTCTGGGAATCGATTGACATAGCGAGTCGATATTCAGAAGCGACTTTGTGCATTATTTCTTTGTGTGACAATGTAGGATATTGTCGTTTTATATTTCCCATATTCTCCTTCATAAAAAGCTGGAAGGGATTAAGAAGCCTAGCTACGGGAGCAATTTGAAGAAGTCCAGTTCTACAAATTGCACAAACATGCCTCTTCGGATCAATAGACTTAGAATGCCTTTGGTACAGTTTGTTACAAGCCTCATTCATGCAAAGCCATTTGTATTTATAATCAATATCATAATTGTGCTTTGAGGTTACTTCAATTGATGGGAACTTGTTCATCAAACGTTTTGCCCTAAGACATCATCTGGTTAGTTTGCGATCATATATTTACACGAAACAACTTACCAAGCCTTAAAACATGCTCCATGAGGAGATTGCATTTCTTTGTCAATTAACCAGCAAGCTAAATGGCACGACTCATGTGCTAAGGTATTATAAAGCTTATATTCACAGTCAACGACTTTTTCTGAAAGCTCAATGTACGCTTGAACACGTTGACCAAGGAAGGTCCTTGACCGTGGTTGTTTAAGAGTAGCTCTTCCTGCCGTAGTATTGAAGGACTTGGACCACGATACTTTAACTTCATTATCAAGGGCCGACTCAGAAATTTTATCATGAAAGACTTCCTTGTCTAAAGCATGAAGGAATTGCCTTGCTAAGAGATCCCTATTTCGTTTGAACAGTCTTTTTGAAGAGCTCGTCACTTTATCAGTTATATTGCTCTTATTAACACGGTCTACAATGGATTCGTATTCAGTTGAAAAGAAGTCTCTTTTTACTGGAGAGTTAGGATATGAAGGATTCGCTGAATACATTGATAACGTTGCAAGAGGGGAATCGTCTTCGAATTCCGAACCGGAATTTTCATCAACGTGGTTTCGCGACGGGTATGTGTCATCACAGGAAACTACTGAACAGCTATCGGAATTACTGTCTACTTCAGACCCAGTATGAATTATTGTTTTATCTGCTTCCAAAGATTCGGGGATTTCTGAAGGTTTTGCCAAAGTTGGGATACTTTACAAACTATGTTAGCGAATGCCGCGAATTAATTAAGGAACAACTTACTACCTCAAAAACTCTTGTGCTTCATGAGCTTCGTCGACTCTATACTCGTACCCAAAACTCATTTCACTGAATACTTGGATAATGGTAATGAAGAGACGTAAACAAAAGCACATTTGTAAACAAAGAATGTTACCCAATATCAAGTAACCTTCATATTTGTGACTGTCTTTTTGGGTTGCGCGAGAAAGGTGTTATGCGGTAGTCGCACTCATCCAGCCACTACCAACAACATGGGTAAAGTTCACGGATCTCTCGCTCGTGCAGGAAAGGTAAGAATTGCGTGAGAATTGTTACATGTAGAGAGACTAACACCGTTGTTAGGTAAAATCTCAATGCCCCAAGGTTGAGAAGCAAGAAAAGCCTAAGCAACCTAAAGGCCGTGCTCACAAGCGTCTTGTATATGTTCGCCGCTTCGTTAACGTTACCAACATGGCCGGCGGCAAGAGAAGAGTAAGTTGAAAAATGGATCTACCGTCAAGTGAAATAAGCGTTAGCTTAATGCCGTAACGGTAATTTGTTTATGACTAGCGCCTTGATGGGATTCAGTTGTACAAAACGGAAGACTAGTTTATTAACATCTATAGATGAACCCTTCTTCTTAAGCAGATAACTAAAGCTTAGGGCTTTATAATTAAGACTCCTTTGCATATTTTACGAAATGAGTTGAATAAGAGAATCTGCTCGCCATTTTTTAAACTTTCTTTGCGTAGTTCATTTTGTTTGTCTTGTACAATGTAACCAGTAGATAGGAGATGCTGCCTCATTGTACCAGGAAGTAGACCTATTTAAAAGGTTAGTAAGCCATTGCAATTTTTGCATATTAAGTCCAAAATATTCGCTCAAGGAGCAATATGTTCGACGTACCGTGTTTGAGGTTTGGAGTAACCCATTGGTTGTGTCGTTCAAACGCAACGTTGAAGATGGTGCCCTCGGTTACAAACCCGCTTGAATTGTGTAACAAGACATCCTGGTGTTTGGCGTATTCGATGCCTGTTCTTTGTACCGCATAACTGTAGATATCTCTCGAGGTAGTTTTATTAATGCATGTAACATTGTTCTGAGTATCACTTGGCTGGGTATCCAAGAAAACAGTATACAAAGGCTGTTCGTTCGATACAGCGACAGGAACAGCCTTAACATGAATTTTACCGTCTTTCGAGAGCTCCCATCGTAACTATTGAGCAATTAGCAAGTCTGTGGTTCACGTAATCTAAGAACCATCGCGGCATACCCTGGCTTGGTCAAGTGTTTCAGTAGCATGTAAGAGTTTTTCTTTCACTGCTTCTTCCCCAGGCCAATAATAACCCAAAGTGGAAGCAGAATGTTTCATGCGACCAAGATGCTCAGAGAGTAGAAAGATTTCTCCGTTTGCATAAAGAGTAGTCTCAAACAAGTTCATGATTTTGTCTGTAGAGGTAAGTGACAGAGACAAGCGATATACAATAATCAATCGTTGGAAGCTTTTTGGTTAAAGGATTTAGAAAAACGAAATAAACGGTTCTTTAACTGTAAGCAGGACTAGATAACTATTGGAACACCTTTTGTAACGGCTTTAATCTATTAAAATTAGTGTTGATTCCAGTGAAAGAAAATATGTAATAACTGGATGTCTGCCACTTTTTAGCCGTTGATATTGTTTCAAAACTGTTTTTCAATCGTGGAACAGTAACCGAAGTTTTAATCCTGTCTAATAGAGAATAAGCTAAGAAATGTCGGTAAATGGATTTTAAGTCCAAAAATGAATGCTAAAATGGATGAATTATTTTGAAGTTAAGAACACCGTAAATGAATCAAGAGACTTAATTTGAATCGTTTTCAAAGTCCGTACAAACATATACATACTAGTATAACGTATGTTTCGCTGTGAGAATATTTTTAGAATAGAAACTTTTGTAAAATGTTAGGAAATATAAATAAAAATATATCAAGTGAAGGTTCAAGTAGCAAGCATAAAAAACAAGGTTGTTTCGTTGAAAGGTAATTTCAGGCTGTCTTTACCAAACTCGCCAGCTGGATTGGCAGTACAATACTTCATTTCATTTCGGTTTCGTTCTATTTTATTTTTTCAATAGATAATTACATATTTGCAAAGGTTAAACGATTGCGGTAGAAAAATACTAAGGTCTTCTTCTATCCCAATTTTTCAAGATGTCTTCCAAAAGCTCAAATAGCGCGTCTTTGAATGGTACGCTTTGATTTTTTGATGCAATGAAGCATATGTAACTAATATTCTCTTCAGAACGGACCGATGAGTCTCGTATGTTTTCATTTTACGAGAAGATGCCCAAAGACTCAAACACGCTACGCGTCTTTGATCGTGGAGTAAGTATTTTAACACTATAGAAAGACAAAAGAAACAGAATTCGAGGTTGACGTGGTTTAATTTTCTGATTTTTGAAATTCCTGGCAGGAAATGAAGAACTAGGCTATTGTCTCTGGAAATTTACTTATGCTCGTTTTTCTTTTCATTGCTTTAAAATACATTGTACTTATACTAAACCTATTTTTAGGAAACATATGTGGCCATTGGAGAAGACGCTTCATTTGTTGCTCAAAATGCATACCATACGACTTCAGTCCTGAAATATCACAATCAATCAAATCTCTCTTTCTGTACTATGTTTCCTTCGTTGTTCATAAAGTTCGCTGAAGAAGTTTTATCAAACTATGCGAAACGAGTCGAAATTTGGGGCTCCAACAAAAGCAAGACGGGGTTTGATTTGCTAAATCAAGCAAGTCCTGGTAACATGCAAATGATTGAGGATCTATTAATGAACAGTGATACAACAAAAGATCCTACCGTTAATGTAGATAACTCTGCAGGCTCTATATTGCTAGCGGTAACAACGCGTGTAAAACAAGATCAACGTATCGTTGGCGTAACTTTTATAGACCCTTTTACAAGGAAAATAGGTGTCTCTGAGTTCGTTGACTCGGATTCTTACACAAATTTTGAAGCGCTTCTCGTCCAAACCGGTGCCAAAGAATGTCTTATCTCTCAGCAAGACGGAGAAAATACCGCAACGGGTACATCGATTACTAGTGCTGAATTAAATCGCCTCAGAAATATTATCGAAGGTTGTGGTGCGTTGGTTACCGGAATACGAAGTTCATACTTCTCCCCCAAAGACGTTGAATTAGAGCTTGCAAAGGTTTTGGATACCCCCGTCACACATGCACTTATTCCAGAGTTAAGTCTTCAGCTTGCTATGGGCTCATGTAATGCAGTACTTCGGTATTTAGGACCAAACCTGGTCGACCCAATCCCTTCGGATGATGTTGAGTTACAGAAGGATCTTTCACGAAAGTTTCATCTATATCAACATAATTTGGAACAGTATATGCGTCTCGATGTAGCGGCTGTACGTGCATTAAACTTGTTACCCCCAGCAAATGGAAATGCGCATCGTACGATGAGCTTGTATGGTTTGTTGAACCATTGTAGAACTCCCATGGGTGCGAGACAACTCCGACGATGGATCGTTCAGCCTCTCTTAGACCCAAAGGCGATTACGAGGAGACACAAGTTAGTATCTGCTTTTATTGAGGACCCAGAAGTTCGTCAGCTTTTGTTAGACGATGATCACCTTCTCCGATCCATCCCTGATGTTCCTAGACTTTGCCGACGCCTTATCCGTGGGTCTTCAAGTTTGGAAGATGTTGTTCGTATTTATCAAATGGCCAAAGCTCTTCCGAATATTGTCACTGCTTTAGATTCCTTAAAGAGTGTACACAAACAGTTAATCGATCAAGTCTACACGACGCCACTATCTACCCACTGTAAAAATCTAACAAAACTTATTGAGCTGGTGGAAACCACTATTGATTTAGAGGCACTTGATGCTCATAAATATATTATTCGTGCCGAATTTGATGAAGAATTATTGGATTTACGGCAAAGGCTCGAGGAACTTGAAAATTCAATCTTTGACGAACATAAGCAAGCGGGTGTTGATCTTCAACAGGATACCGAGAAAAAATTGCATCTTGAGCAGCATCATTTATATGGATGGTGTTTGCGTCTCACAAGAGCAGAAGCTGGTTGTTTACGGGGACGTAGTTCCCGTTATTCAGAATTATCAACTCAAAAAAATGGAGTATACTTTACTACCAAGCGTCTTCATAACCTCAATAGTACATATATGGACTATCAAAAAAGTTATAGATATCATCAGAATGGCCTAGCTCGAGAAGTCATCAAAATTGCTGCAACATACAGTCCTCCTTTGGAGGCAGTTGGTCAGATTGTATCACATTTGGATGTTATAACGAGTTTTGCTCTTGCAAGTACGCTTGCGGTTACCGCATATGTGTGTCCAACAATACTGGATCCAAGGTTGGAAGTGGATACTGCTACTGATAACCAAGAAAAAATGATTGATGTCGTAGGCTTGGAAGAAAACCCTGATATTAATGAATTGCGATCCCATTTGCGCTCTTCCCATTGCGCTTGTATCGAGCTGAAGCAAGCAAGACATCCTTGTTTGGAAGCACAGGATGATGTTAATTTTATTCCCAATGACATTTTACTTAAACAGAAAGAATCAGAGATGCTTATAATTACTGGACCAAACATGGGAGGAAAGTCAACTTACATTCGACAAGCTGGTGTTATCACAGTTATGGCTCAAATTGGTTGTTTCGTTCCTTGCGACTCAGCTACTATTGACGTTGTAGATGCTATTCTCGCCCGTGTTGGAGCTGGAGATTCTCAATTGAAAGGCGTCTCCACTTTTATGGCAGAAATGCTGGAAACTGCCACGATTCTGAGGTCCGCAACTCCGCGTTCTCTTATTATAATTGATGAATTAGGAAGGGGTACTAGCACTACGGATGGTTTTGGCCTGGCATGGGCTATCACTGAGCACATTGTGAGAAAGATAAATTGCTTTTGTCTTTTTGCTACGCATTATCACGAAATGACTCGAATGTCGGAAGAAATTCCAACAGTGAAAAACTTACATGTGACAGCCCATGTAGGAGATACTAATGCTCGCGATGTTGCACTGTTATATAATGTTCGCGGAGGAGCGAGTGATAGAAGCTTTGGTATACATGTAGCGGAACTGGCGCATTTCCCAGCCAAAATCATAGAAATGGCACAAGCGAAAGCGATGGAGTTGGAAGCAGAAGATGAAGCTCAACCAATGGAAAATGGTGAAGGACAGGCAAAGAAAGAGGGTATTGCCATAATTCGAAAAATTATGCTAGAATGGCAAAATGAGGTAGGAAAGAATATGCCAAAAAACGAAATGCTGCAAAAGTTTCAGCAAATACTAACGAGTCATGCTTCTGATATTGAAGCAAACTCATGGTTGCAAGCAAAAAAGGGAATGTGAAATAACTATATAGGGGCTTTCTTCTACGAAACCTTCACGAGGCATAATTTCTATGTACACTGACGTTCTTTTATCGAAATTTCTCTATAAACACTAGATAGCATTTTAAATGGTAATTTTATGAACCTGAGAGTGTCATCATAACAACGTTTTCATTTTTGATTGAGTTTCCCGACATGGTTAATCACCACTAGCACAACCTCGACAACCTAAGTATATTATTAGTAAAAGTGCGGATTTAAAACAAGACATACCACAATGTACACAAGTACTAGGAGCGTCCTTGCCAAGCTTGGCTTTAGGAACTCTACATATGCAAGTAGAACCAAATTTAGATTCTGTTGTTTGTATACAACGAAGACAACAGAGCTTTTCATAACCAGCCTGAAACAATTAGTAAATGAAGTCAAAAGTATTTGTAATCGTACCTTCTTCCATTTGGCAATCAAGTTAGCATCAGCATAATTTTGTTTCAGTAGCCAGTTGTAAAGCTCCGTAGAAATGGCCTCTCGTTTGTAATAAAGATCGTAAACATAGCGACTGCGTTGATGGTGGAGTTGAAAAATAGGAGCCAAAGACTCAGATTTTGAGCCTTTCCCGGTTGTATTTTCAGCTTCTCTCATCCTCTCTTGGAATTCTAGTAGCGTTGGTTCAATCTCTTCGAATCCTTCTGGAGGACTAAATAAGACCAGTATTAGCACTTTAGGACCATGTTTTGAAATGTGTATAACCGTGAAAACTTACCGTTTTGTCCGTGATGTTCTTATACGTGGCATTGCAAAAATTTCTTCTGCTTCTAATGAATCCAGGAATAATTAGTTTTAGATGTCCCTATAATTATCAAAATTATATATATAAAAAAAAAAACAAAGAGAGAAATGAAGAGGTTTATAATGAAAAAATCAGTACAACGAAGAGGATTTTAGGTACGACACTTCTATATTCGTGCTGGTTATCAGTAAGAATATTATAAAGTATAATTGAGTTATCTTAGCGAACAATTAGGTTTCGGTAAAAATGCTTATTCTATTAACGTTGGATAATACGAACGTGTACCAATATTCCCAAAAGGAAGGCTCTCTTAAGCGTTTCTTGCCTAAACTTGTAAATGGAGTTTACAGATGTCTTTTATTCATTAGAAAACGAAAAACAATTTTGGATTGGTAAGTGTTTGGTGTGGATCTAAGGGATTCATTTACAGAGCAGTTTCAAGGAACTGGTTCAGTAGGCAAAATTATAGGGAATTGAAAGCTGATTAAAGAGAATTAGAAGTAGACGAACTCGTTTCAACTGTATCGAACAAATTAGAGGTAGAAGTTGCTACCTCTAGGCTTATTTCTTTCTTTTTAAAATATGGAAGTACGTTGTGTGAGCACAAAAGTTGTCGGGAGAGAGCGGGTGGAATGGAGTTTTAACTGGAATAGAGCCGTATTTAATTACGGAAATCCAATTACAAACGGCCGCTGAGAAACTGATTCGTAGTCCATTGTTCAAGTTGGACAAGAATACAGTGCAAACGATCATGTTAGATTGCTTCTTTTTCATGGAAGACATCCATATTATTAAATTTATCGTTGTATTCTTTCTTTTAGATATTCGGTTAGATGACAAGTGTGTGAAGCTACTAATTGCAAGTGGCTTTTTTGGTGCTCTTGTGCAAGCAATCATTCGTTTTAGAGATCCCTCAGAAAAAGGGATGTATATATCCTTTCGCTATGGATTATGTTTGATGTATCATTTGTGTCGTTCTCAGCGACTTCCTCTTACTGATTTGGTGACGGCAGATGAATCGTTTTTAAAAGGGCTGCTTGCTACAGCCGAATTTACTTGGGCGGAAGAAGACGTGGAAAATTTTTCTATGTGTATGCATCTACTCTTGAGTTTGAACGAGCAATTTATGCTCGTCAAGCTTGCCTCTACCGGTGTCGTCGAAATCCAAAATGGGGTCATGAATTTACTATCAGCTTCCAAAGTGGATACAGGTGTTTACAATGAAGGACTTGTCTTTATGTTAAACAGAGAAAGTATGTAATGAGAGTATTTGGGACGAAGAAGACTGTGATGATCAACAGGAACGGGGATTTCAAGATGGAAGCTAACTAGGAACAGGAGATCCTCGAACTAGGATGCTAATTTTAAAGCAGCTGTATCTCTTATTTACTACTCCGAAAACATATGAAATCTTTTACACTAACGACCTCAACGTACTAATTGATGTATTAATCCGGGAAATTAATGATATTCCTAATGAACTAGCAAAGCTGAGATATGCTTATTTACAAGTATTGCTCCCTTTATTACAAAATACTCAGGTCAGACTCCCCCCTCACTACAAAACTAAACAAATCATTCGCGCCATCCACAATCTTTTGATATCTCATAGTCAAGGAATCAACTGTGTGGATGCTTCTACCGTTGAAGTGTTGAATCAGATCTTACAGATTCCATGGTTACGTGAGGAAGCAAACAAGCTCACAGTGGCTCCTGTGTAAGTTACTTGTTTGTTCTTTCGTTTTCCTGTTTGCTTTGTTTTCGTCCTCAAAAATGATCGTGGGCATTGATTTATTTATTGTATGTCACAAAACAGGATGGAAACTTATTATTTCTTTAAGTAACGATTAAAGATTTATATTCATGAAATAGGTAAATCTATATTATTCCTAGTTGCATATAGAGAAGGGGTAGTCTGTGGTACTTCATCAGAAGACAGGGAAGAGAAGAGATTGTATGTAGCAAATAATTCCAAAAAGGAGAAATTATTTCATTCAAGCAGAGTTTTGGTTGAAATTTGAAAATGAAGGAAGGAAGGAAACTTTCATTATAAACGACGGGCACCACTTTCCTCGAGTTTTCGAATTGCTTCTTGTTGTTTATGTTGTTGAACACGAAACTTACAGAAATAATTTACCCAAGACTGGACGCAATTGGACTCAAAATTGTTCTTCTCAGAGTCGCATACCTGAGACGCCCGTTCACTGTCTTTCAAAGGATCCAAAATGTCGTTTTTATCTAGGCATTGAAAATAAAAGTCTCTTGCTTCCCAGCATTTTTCTCTAGCACTTCGCTTGAATGAAGATGTATTACCAGACATGAGGAAAAGGGAAAAGAATAGCAGAAGTGCAAAGTTGAAGTCACAAACAAACCAAAATTTTTTGATCAAAATATGTTATAAAAGAGAAATGAAATGCAATGATATTTCTAGGAAAAGATATTGGAAGCTGGATCTTTTGATGTACCATATAGAATTCTGTGGTGGAAGTGCAGTTTAAAGCATATGTGATTAAAATAAATAAGGATATGCTGCAAACGAATTTTAAGGGGAGGATATGATATAAATTGACATAATAGAATTGCAATGCTTTTTTTTTCACCTAGTAACTCACTGCTGTAAGAGTCTTTACTTATAATGATTGAAAGAAAAAAAAATTGGAAAACGATCTCATGTATAGAATAACTTTTTTTTCTTTTCTGGACAATTTCCATAGAGACCATGTCATCAATACTAGCATTTCTCTACCTCTTTTTTTCTTTTCATGATCCTTTGTTTACATTCCAAATACCAAACTGCGTAACACAAACTTTAAAAAGCTCAATTACGCTACACTTTAACTATTATACTGATGCACTCCAGTACGATGTTCAAGTAAACAGTAGACGAACTTGTAAACTCAACCTACTTGGTTTTCTCTTTTCTGAATTGCAAACAATTTATTCTAAATGGTACATACTTCTCAAAGTAGAGTTCCCTTTTATCACTAATTTGTAAAATTCTATTTGTTTTGTTTATTCTTTGATCTTTTGGAACGAAAAACGCGCACGTTAAAGAATCGACGCGTAAAACTTGTTCATGTCATCCTTGGGTATGTCTCGTTGCCATATTCTCTCCCAAAACAACTATGAAAAACAATTTAATCATGAGAACACTTTGTTTCAGTAATTGGATTCTTGTTCATAAGCATGATTTCTCAAATTTCAGACGCGGATTCTTCGAATGATCTTTTATCTAATTCAATTTCCTTTCAATTGACTCGCCTCTCTTCTTTTTTTTTCTTTTTTGTTTTTCCTTCTTTTTGTTAGAAGCGCCTTACATACTATTTTTCCATACCCTTTCTTTCCTCATGCCCGGCCGACCAAATATCGAATTCAGAAATACTATAACCTCGCTAAGAAAATTCCACAATACATCTTACTCGGTTCTTAATTGTACTGCTTAATATAAAGTGAACGTTTTGGGGATTTCCCAGCTTACACAAGGCCGGTATACGTCACCTTGAACACATCAAGACCTAAAGACCTATTCTCTTCCTTTGCGATCGGTGTTTCTCTTATATCATGGAATGTAAAATCAAATGCGATCTACGTAAGTAGTATACGTAGTAGACCATGAAGAAAAATAAAAGCAAGCAACGTATGATGATGTTGTGGTGAAGTATACTAGTTAGAAACAAGAATGTTTTCGATTATCCGATGGCCTTTAAGTATATATAGGCCCCGCTCCCATAGCCGGGGGGCTCTGCAAAAGACAATTGCATCAGATTTTGCATTCTTTCGTTGTCGATTTGATTTATTCATACACTGGTCCTTGTTAGTTATTGTTTTTATTGCCAGCTTATTATCTTAAAACGTTTGTCAAGGGTTTATCATTGTTTGTTTTCCTTTTTGATCAATTTTAACAAACGTTTGTACAGTTCTTGTTCTCGTCTTTTGTTGTTATACATTTAGATCGCAACAAAACGTTTCCGTGCGATTCACGACTTTTCACATAACGAATTTTTTGTTACGACTTCTTTAGACCTGCTATTACTTATATTTTGGGTTTACTGATTGATTTCTATTTATTTACGATTTCCAACGGTTAACGATTTTCTTTTATTAAACTTATTATTATTATCCCATTTTTGTGTCCAATATGAGTGCTGACGATATCCCCAATGCATCCCCTGAAGCTTTGTCAAAGCAAGTTGAAATTGCTGAAAAACAACCTTTTCCTCCTAGCATGCCTTCTCGTCTTCCTCATGAGTTATCTTGTCTTTATGTTCCCCTCGATACCTCAAATATTTCGGACGATGAAGTCGCTGCCGTCGATCGCTACCAGCGAGCATGCGACTACTTGGCTTGCTCTTTAATTTTCCTCTCCAAGGACATTTATACTGGTGGTGACCTTACCGAGGATGACGTCAAGACTCGACTCCTGGGCCACTGGGGTACTTGTCCCGGCTTAAGTATCGCCTACTCTCATTGCAACCGTGTGATTAATAAATATGACTTGGATATGATCTTCGTCGTTGGTCCTGGCCATGGTGCCCCAGCCATCTTGGCAGCTTTGTTTTTGGAAGACTCACTTGGTCCCTTCTATCCTCAGTACCAATTTAATCGCGAAGGTCTTAAAAACTTGATAAGTACCTTTTCCTTACCTGGTGGTTTCCCTTCACACGTAAATGCCGAATGTCCTGGCTCTATCCACGAGGGTGGTGAATTAGGTTATGCTTTATCTGTTAGTTATGGTGCTGTTCAGGATCACCCTGACTTGATCGTAACTTGTGTTATAGGCGATGGCGAAGCTGAAAGTGGTCCTATGGCCGGCTCATGGCAAACTCACAAGTTTTTGGATCCTGCCGAGTCTGGTGCTGTCATACCCATTTTGAGTTTGAACGGTTACAAGATTTCTGAGCGTACTATCTATGGTTGTATGGATGATTTTGAACTATTGGCTCTTTTCAGTGGTTTCGGTTACCAAGTTGCTATTGTCAACTATACTGATCAATTCAATCGTGAAATGGCTGCAGCCATGGACTGGGCCGTTGAAACTATCCGTGATATTCAACACCATGCTCGCGTGAAACGTGAACTAATTAAGCCTAGATGGCCTATGATTATCCTTCGCTCTCCCAAGGGCAAAGGTTGCCCTAAAACTTTGAAGGGCACATTTTTGGAAGGAACCTACCATGCTCATCAAGTTCCTTTGAAGGCCGCTCGAACCGATCCTACTCAGCGTAAGATGCTTAAAGATTGGCTATCGAGCTATCGCTTTGATGAATTCTTGGACGAGGAGGGACTTCCAACTAGGGGAATTCGCGAGTATATTCCTCGTGTTAATAAGCGTATGGGTCAACGCCATGAAACTTATAATGCATACACACCATTAAATGTAACCGACTGGAAGAAATTCGGTGTACCCAAAGGTGAAAAGACATCAGCTACTCAGGTTGTTGGTAGATATATGGGCGAACTTGTACGCGCGAACAATACCACCTTACGTATCTTCTCTCCCGATGAACTAGAGAGTAACAAACTTGATGGAGTCTTGCAATATACTGATCGCACTATGCAAACTGACCCAACATTGATGACCAAGGGTGGCCGTGTCACAGAAGTCCTTTCCGAGCACATTTGCCAAGGTCTCATGCAAGGTTACACCCTTACTGGTCGTACTGCGATCTTCCCCTCATACGAGGCCTTCATGACAATTGTCGTTAGTATGTTAATTCAATACAGCAAGTTTATCAAGATGGGCCTTGAATTACCATGGCATGGAAAATTTGGAAGTTTGAACTATGTGACTTCCAGTACTTGGGCACGTCAAGAACACAATGGATACTCTCATCAATCACCAAGATTTATCACTACCATGCTCTCCTTCAAACCCGGCATTAGTCGTGTTTACTTCCCAGCTGATGCAAACTGTTTCTTGGCTACGATGGCCAGATGCATGCGTTCCGAGAACACCATTAACTTGATGGTTTCTAGTAAGAATCCTCAACCAAGTTATCTTTCTATTGAAGAAGCTGAAGCACACTGCACTGCTGGTGCTAGTGTTTGGAAATTCTGCAGTACTGACAATGGCGTAAGTCCTGACGTCGTTTTAGTCGGTATTGGTAATGAAATTATGTTTGAGGTGGTTAAGGCTGCTGAAATGTTGACGAACGATATCCCTAGCTTGCGGGTGCGTGTTGTTAACGTCACTGACCTTATGGTGCTTTCCAGTTTGCATCCTCACGGAATGACTCAACTTGAATTCGACGCCTTGTTCACGAAGAATTGCCATGTTCACTTTAACTACCACGGTTATGTCATGGACTTGAAGAGCTTGCTTTTTGACCGCATTGAACCCTCTCGTGTTACCATGAATGGATACCAGGAAGAAGGTACTACAACCACTCCTTTCACCATGATGATGGTTAACAACACTTCACGCTATGATGTTGCTAGACAAGCATTGCAACACTCTCTTCACAACCCTGTTGTCGCCGTAAACTGCCATAATTTGAGTTCCAATTACTCTCATAAGATGGATGAAATCAAGGACTATATATTCAAGTACAAGGACGATCCTCCGGAGACTTATGATGTTCCTGACTTTAAGGATAAGCGCACCATTTAGACTGAATAACTGTTGTTGACAGAAAAAGAAAGGAGCTCTTTCGATATGCAAAGTCAAGAAGTCATCATTTTTGAAAATAGATAATATAGTGCTAATAACATTGGTTTTACACTAGACCTTGTTGATACTAAGTTGGTAATGTGTAATATTATTAAGAGTAGTATATATATATTGGTTCAATCAAATATATAAGAAGCCATGATAAAGTGTTTTGTAATATACTGCTTATACGCTCATGAAGTTTTTCATTAATTTATCGTATTCGAATGTTAGGACGATGGAGTTAGCCATTTGGACGTTCTTCTTTCCGCCTACACCACCTCTCCTTAGGTAATGTCTAAAATTCCTGTGAGCTGCAGGATTTTGTTTAAAAACTCAATTATTTTTTCTTAATTTAAAGGCTTCTTTGCCGTATAAGCTTTCGTTAAAAAGAAAAGGAATTCTTTCTGACGGACGGGGTCATTCGTTTCGTTGGAGAATAATACAAATTTGTATAATTTAGTGATTTTTAATTAATTCTAGCGCTTATTAAGACAATTCAAGATTCCAGGCTCAAAAAATAAATGGAAAATAGAATCGAAAGTTTTTCATTCCTATACATATGATCGCACGTATAATAATAGCTACTTTTAAGATTTATTGGATGTGATCATTAATATATTTATATTTGAATTCTTTAGAAGTTCCTTACTTCTGCTATGCGCCATCAAACATTATATTGCTTACTATTAGTTGATCTTGCAGGCCTAACAGTCATTTGTCGCTGCCCGTTGCAACAATTTTGCCATTTTTGAATGTAAATAGCTTTCTAAGAAGGATTGAGTTTCTTATTATACCGCTGAATGGTTTACGGATCAATACAAAGTTTGTTTTTTGGTCAATTTCTTTTAGATTCGTTGCCTTAGTGTTCTTTCCACTTTGTAATATGGATGTCATCTTTTCTCTTGGACACTTCTGTGAATTGGAAGGCCCGTCAATAATTTTCTGTACTCAGAAATTGCGCCGTTCTGAGTTGGGTGATCATTTTGATACACCCATTGCTACTAAATCTTCAGCACCATCGGAAGATAATGCTGAATCTGAAGTTTCGGAAGATCCTATGTTAAGTTCTACAGAGTCTTTGTTCAAAAGTGACCCTGAAGACAGTAATCAGAGGCAGTCAAAAGCAACTGAATCTCCTCGCATTCATTCAGCCGGCTCAGTTTTCTCAGCTCGCCAAAGTCCTTTATCCCGAAAATCCGCTTGTGTTACTTGCAGCACAGTTCTTCCATGTGAATTTATACAACCAGATGTTCCTCCACGACTTTTTTCCCTTTCTACCAAAAACCCTGACATTGTATACATATCCAGCCAATACCCGCGAAATCAGAACAAATACTCCATTTTGAGGAGGCTGATGGTCCGATGCCTTAGTTGTGAGTATTCAGTGTCGTCGAGTATTTCAGAATCCATGTCAAACCCGCTATTCTTTGGAGACGACGAGAATGGATACGTGATTGCTCAGTCCTTTTCCTTGCATGATCAGCATGCTCGTGGAGGTTTGCGACGGTATGCATTCGTTGCACTGAGCAAGAATGAATTCGAGTTAATAAACAGATATAGCTTCATTGTTGAAAAATTTTCTCAGATGGTTCAGTTCCTTCGACTGTCGTCTACGAAAACTACCACAAACTATCCCATGTCGCACAATAAATCCTCCTCAGCCGGTGGGACATTCGCTTCTCCAACTTCTAATGCCTCTTCCTTATCTAATTCCTCGAATTTACCTAGTCAGACACCTTATGGTATGTCACCAAACAGTGGCACAACGGCATCTACATTTTTGTTGTCTCAAAGATTGCCATCTTTTAGTTTTTTACGGAGGCGTGATGGAGTAGGAGAAGGACGAAATTTGGCTGATATCACATGCTGGGATGGAGTCTTCATCGGTCTCCACAGTTCGTTTAGTTGGATACTGGACGTTTGGGATCGAATTGACTTAACAAGCTAAATATAATTAATTTATTTATTTATGGATATATTGTGAAAACTGTATGAGAGCTATTTGGTGTAGTAACGCAAGAAAGAAAGAATAGTTGTTTCCAAAATTTCAGTCAAAAGTCTCGTCCAGTTTACCAAATGGCTTAAAAGTATCCAAGTCTTTCCGTAGGTCTTGAACATTAGAAAGATATTTTGAAAGATAAATTTGTTTATCCTTCCGTGTTTTGCGATATGGTAAATCCTCAATATTGTAAGGTTCAGGAGATAAATAAAAGTAAAAGAACTCAAGGATTTGCAAACGCGTATCCTGGCTCGTTTGTCTATGCTTAAATAACATGCAAATTTGATGCAGACCACCAATGGACTCAAATAGTCGGACAACAAGAGGGCGGTCCACCATGACACATACAAGAGCCTTCAAAGCTGCCACTTGAAGGCTTGTAATCTGGTTTGGTTCTAAAACCTGTATAAATAGATGTAAAGCAGTTTTATCCTCGAAAAATGTTTGGGAAAGGGGATGGATTAGTACCAGGCCCTCAATCACATGTAACAAATCATCCATAAGGCGTTGAATAAAGACGTAATTTTCGAAATAGGCTTCTTCATTCTGCTGGTAATCCAAAAGGCTGTCCAATGCATAGATACAAGGAACAACAGAGTTGTACAGATGAGAGTCTTGCAACTTTAGAAAAATCTCTTTGGGGATTTTATCATTAATGTTACTAGGTCGTGCAATATGATGTAAAATAGATTCTATTTGACGAAGACCAATTCGAATCAACTTGGGATTCCGCATACATAGATGGTGTCGAGCATTAATTAATAAATCCTCCATCCCGACTCATAGCTATTTAAAGAGCGTATAATAAAAAAACTGTATGTAAAAAAAGTTACATTAAGTATGCTATTTAAAAGAAACCCTCTTTACTCTCAATGTCTTACGGTTTTGACGCTCGAGGATAGTGGGTGTGGAAAAGGAGGAGACTGTTTCCAAGCAATTTTGTAATTGAGTATCTTTAGTATATTTTAGCAGATAGAAATAATTTATGTGTCTTCATATTCTTTTAATCGTACCATCAAAAAACGAGCACAATCAGCAGCTAAAACCTTGACATCTGTGAATAGAATAAAGGATTACCATTCAGAGCTTCACGAAAGATACTCATTTACAAAGTTGCTTGGAGAAAATGTTTATACCTGTTATAAAACTGGCTTGTTTTGACCTGAAAGGCTAAAAGCCTTTCAGGTTTCTCTCTAGACTAACACATATTGAAGCAAACTCGACTTAGGAACGCTATTAAACAGTAGGACATAATTAGAAAACGAATGAAGGTTTAAAAAAAGGAACATATAAAAGAAAGGACATTCATTGATTTACAAGAAGCCAACTTGATTCGCATTCTTCAGTTCTAAAGTAAAACAAATTTTTGAGACTGAATTCTGGTCATTCTCGCTTATGCATATTTACGTGCTACTTCATATGATTTTTGCAGCAGATGCCTTCTCCTCTCGACGGTGATTGTTTTTACTTTGGTCGAATGTTTTACACGAATTCTCATACACTGGTTTGTTTGTTTACAAAATAGCGTTATCGAATGCAACGTGGTATCAATTGATTGGAAATTGTAAACGTCCAAATGTTATCTTGAGAAATTATACACAAACAAGGTTGGTGATTAGAAGGAATTCAAGGGCTTCAGACATTATACCTTGTATTTAGAGAATGCTTTACTTTTGACGGAATCGTCACATAACATCCTAACATATAGTGTATCAGCATTCTCGTAAAACGCTAGCACGTGAATCGGACTTGTGCTCGTACTCAAAAAAGTCTTCACTATAGAATAATTAATAATATGAATGAAACAGTGGACGAAATTAGTCCAAGAACAAAAGGAATGCCCAACTGTCGGTATCAACAAAACTTAAGCGTTCAAAAAGGAGGTAGATGCAAGAAGAGTGTAAAGAATTACAGGCAAAATATATGCGACATAGAGATTCAATGAGGTTTTAAGTAAACAGCGCAGTTACTTGAGGGATCACTAGTATGATTAAATAGTATTTTCATCAAAAAAGTCATTGTCTTCCTCAAAACATTAAAGATTGTAAATTATTTGACATAATTGTATCTTGAACGGAAACCATGACTCGCTGTAGCAAACTCGTATCTGTAGCAGTAGTAAAATGACAATAACAGCTACGAGAAGCAATGCGATTTAAACTTTCAAACTTCAAGTAGAAATAATACATACCACTCCTTACAGCATTATCAGAAAACGGACACTGGGTTTGGACAAATGTTGGAGTGGTTGGTGTTTCCTGGTAGTCAGGGAAATACTGCTGAATCGGAGATATATGAACTTTTCGTTTGAATAAATCCAATTTATTAAGGAACAAAATCATTGCGGATTCCGCAAACCAACTTGAATTACAAATCGAGTCCCACAATAACAACGCTTCTTGCATCTGATTACCACTATTATCTTCAACTAAGCACTGATCGTATCCAGCAAGTGAAACAAGGAAAAGTAATGCTGTGACGGACTCGAAGCAATGGATCCATTTTCTGCGTTCCGAGCGTTGACCACCAACATCAAAGAAACGGTATCTATGACGGTTTAGTAAGAATGTTTCTTCAGAAATTCCTGTGGTCTTAATTCGGCAATGCAGAATATCCTGATCAGAGGGCAAATACTGTGGGTCAAAGATTCGATCGATATGGTCCTGGTAATAATAAAAGTTATCCAAAAGAGAAAGATTAGAGCCGCAATTTTGTGCAGCCCGTATTTTTGGATCGAGCGTTAAAGCCCTCAATGCCTCGTAAAGATCCGCGGGAAAAGGTTCATTCAATTGAATGGTGTGTTTTCTCAATATGATCGGTCGATATTTCTCGTTTTCTGGCAATAAACTCATGCCACTATTTTCCATGGCTTCTAAAAGTAAGCACACAGATGTAATTATGTTCTCAAAAATCATGATTCGATATTGCCTTCTAGCAGCCTGGTTAAATCCTGGACTATAGAGAAGACGCATCTGCTTCATAATCGTTGTCTTCCCGCTATCACCAGCACCAAGCAATAAAACTTTGATTTCATTGCCATTTCCATTGGCGTTTGACACAGCCGCATTCGAATTCTGTGGTTTACCGCGCAAGACGATATTCAACCAATGTTCCTTTACTGTATTTCTTTCGCTTTCAGGAGAAGAGACTCTTCCTGGGTTTTCTAATTTAACTAGCTTTTTTTTACTAACTTCTCCGCCTGAGGAATCTGTATACTTACTGGACATACATCCCATGTTGTAGCGTAGTAAAGACAGCAGAAATAAAAGAGATTATTAAAGAATTGCTTTATAAAAGCTATAGTCAGCTTTAAACGCACAAGGTATGGATTCTCAAAAAAGAGGGTGAATGTATTCGGAGGCTCGATTTGTTACTGAATATGCAATTATAGGGATAATTGGCATGAAAAGAGAAGGGAAAACAAATAATTTTTAGTAAATCAAAAGAAGAAAAGATAACAATTTCCAAAACATCAGAGCAGGTTTCTTTGAGGATTTGGAAATTATCCAGCCTATATCCCGTTGACGAAGATACTTGAGGGTCAGACTCCGTAGCTCAGTGAAGCGCTTGAGAGAAAGTCCGTTGATATAGGATTTAGAATTCTAAAGTTATTGATACTAAAACAAGCTAGTCCGATTGGCGGCGGATATTGTAATCGATGTTTAGAAATCAATAGAAAGATTGGTGGAAATTGACGACTTCGAGAGAGCAGTATGAACACAAAGTATTATGAAAAAGAAGAAGGAACTCTTTGATACTTATCTTCTTTATTAGCAGTTCAGGTCATAATACTTCCAGAGGGAGTGTATAGAACGTCAATATCAGTTAGAAGCGACCAAAAAAAGGAAGAACCAAAGCTTTTATAGATAGAAAATACCCGATATCTTGTTGATAACAAACCGACCTGATTCCCGACAACGAATTGTAAAGCATTGTGATGTATAATACGTCGATGACGAGACAAGATCGGCGATAGGAACCTTTGAACAAAAAACAGACAGGCTGACTAAGAAAACTCATTGTTCAAAGTTGTGATAGCTTCCTTAAAAAGACACTGTGCGTGTCCTAATTGAATCTGCCAACGGCACAGCCTTGCGAATGGATGGAATACTTCACGTTTAAGACAAGCATCTTTCTTTTCTTCACAAGAACTGTTGAATTATAGAGGTCGGTAGCAAGATAGAAGAGTCCTAATCCTTGAATATTTCAATCCGCTTGTAAAAAAAATCCCAGACAATACATCCTATATAGATGTTTGATTCTGCGTCTTTGATTCTTAAAGCGCAAACTAGCAGTTAAGCAAGCTTTAGTTTTAGTACATCATATTTAAAGAGCTTCTTCGACTGTTTTCATTATGATATGTCGCGACTGAACATCCTTGAGCGATTAATGACTCTTCGGTTTTTGGTTTAAATTAAAAAAGGAGCGTTCTTGTCATAGAAATATACAGCTTTTCAATTGTACAGTGTGCGTGACACGCGATTGATAAACTTTCATGAAAGCGTGATTTTAAGAAATAAGATTACCTAAAAAAGTCTTTTTTTTTATTTGGAAAAAACATTGATTTTCAGACTAATATACTATGCGTTGTAGGTATTTGCTGAGACATGGAAGTAGATGCAGATGACAACTTGCAAAGACTAATGAACTCGTTGAACTCGAAAAGGTTCCATTTGCAAACCATGATTGCAGTCAATTTATTATAGAGTAGAAATACAAATGAAAACTTTTATAGGCTGTATAAGAATCCTACATGATTTTACAAAATGCTACCATATGTTGCAAGCCAAGATACAATGTTATACTTGGTTAAAAAAAGGAAAGAAAAAAGAAAGGATTGAATTATAAATATAAAAAAGGAATACCAAGGACAACTACATGTTTTGACTCAGGTCTGTGGTACATGAGGATTGGCAAGGAATGAAAGAAGAATTCGTCTACATAGCGAAGATCATAAAAAACATGGGGCTTCGAAAAAGAATGCACAACAGTTAAGCAGAAGAATTAGCTAGGAATTGTTTAGCCAATGCATCAAATTCTTGGGATTTTTGATCTAATTGCTTTGTAAGAAATGCACCGCAAGAAGAATTTTCATAGAGTTGCTTTGTATCCAATGGAGCTAAGGGACCAAGAGCAAGAACGGCTGTCTTTAAATTGGCTGCCGCAGGTGCATAGTTGGATTGCAATTCAAGGGCAGATCGTAAAGAACTGAGAGCTTCTTGTGTTCGTAATAAACATAAATCAGAGCAAGCCATACAAGTTAAAACACGAGGATTGCTTTCACTACCGTTCAATTCTTCGTAAACATAAAAGGCGTCATTATACGAGTCTAAACCACCTCTAGCAAGCTTTGCCCATGATTGAGCAATTTGTAAAACAATTTCTTCATCTGCCCAATCCAAACATCTTGTAATCGCTGCTTCTGCTGCTTCTAACTTGTGTTGGTAAAGATGGATATAAGTTTCCAAAGCTACAGCTTCTAAGTTTTCGACAGACTTTTGTAGCAAACTTAACGCCTCATCATAAGCTCCTCTGTGGATTAAATAGATGGCTCCTAGTGTTTGTACAGCAGCATCAGAATCCCCATACTGCTCAATTAAAAGGTCCATGTTTCCTTCACCTGCCAACGCCAAAAGAGCGGCTCCTCCAGCGGACTTTTGAGTAAGCGTGCCTTGAATAGATTCAATACTTTCTCCCAAGGCCAACTTTGCTCTAGCCATATACAATTCTGTTAATTCAAGTCCCTTTTCGGATAAAGACGAAGTATCGATTTCGAACAACTTGTCATAGCTGCCACTATAAAAGTACTGTCGGACAAAATACAGTTCTATTTATGTTAATAAAACATTCATAAACGACAGTTTCTTACCATTTGATAAACTTGCCTCCCATGAGAACATTTTGTGGGTCAAGGGCTTTGGTAGGTGTAGAAAGAAAGTAGCTGGCTATGAGACAGTATGTATTGACATGCAAACAGATTCTAATACACACTACAGAGAGCTGTAAGACAAACATGAGGATAATCTAAAAGAAACACAGAGCATTTTATTTAGTTTAAAGTCTATCAATTATTGTACATTGTCTGCTAAAACGCGCTCTCTTCAACGGTACGATTCCTTTCGTTGAAACAAACAGGATACCAAATGGGAGACAATACCGTACAGTAGAAACTTTATTGCATTACTATGTTCTGTATCATAACTACAAGCGTCGATCTATGCACCAAAATTATTCGGAATTAGTATGCACAAAATATTTTAATAAACTCAAAACTTTTGATGGTTTTCATGAAAATTTCTTTTTCGTCTAATATTTTAAATGTTAGAGGGGTATAACACAGATTCGGCATAAGCAAAGGTATCCTTGACGGAGCGAGGAGAAACGAAACGTGACAAGATCATACCGCTACCAGCTTTGTCGTTGGTACCACTGGCACGAGCACCGCCGAAAGGTTGTTCACCAACAACAGCACCGGTACATTTATCGTTAATGTAAAAGTTTCCGGCAGCATTACGGAGACGCTCAGCGAGCTTACGAACGACAATACGATCTTGGGCAAAGATAGAACCAGTTAGACCATATGAGTTGGTAGAATCAACCAAATCACAGACCTGCTCCAAAGAATCATCTTCAAAGACATAAACAGCGAGGATCGGGCCAAAAAATTCAGTTTTGAAAATGTCATGGTTGGGGTTCTTGGAAAGCAGAACAGTGGGCTCGACAAAGTAACCAGTAGAGTCATCAGCCTTACCACCAGCCAAAACTTCCACTTCGCTGTCAGTAGCAACGCGCTCCAAGACACCCTTTAACTTGTCGAAGCTGCCACGGTGAATGACAGGGCCGACAAAATTGGAAAGGTCCTCCAAGGGAGCGCCAACCTTCAAAGCTTTCACTTCCTGCACGAGTTGGTCGCGGAAACCAGCTTCCCAAGAAGTGCGAGAAACATAAAGCCGAGACAATGCAGAGCATTTTTGTCCTTGATATTCATAAGCAGCACGAACAGTGTTGACAACTGCCGAACGAATTTGAGCGGAGTGGTGAACAAGGTGGAAATTCTTACCACCGGTTTCGCCAACAATCTTAGGATAAGTGCGGTATTTACCTTGAGCAACATTTTCACCAATGATTCCCCATAAAGAACGGAAGACGTTTGTGCTACCAGTGAAATGAAGAGCGGCAAAGTCATAGTGGTTGAAGCAAGCTTTGGAGACTTCAATGGCATCACCGGGGACAAATTGCAAAGCACCGGCGGGAAGACCAGCTTCAAGGAAAATATCATAGACGATGCGGTTGGACAAGACAGCATAATCGGAAGGCTTCATGAGAACAACGTTACCCATGAGAAGAGGGGCAGCAGCCAAGTTACCTCCGATAGCAGTGAAGTTGAAGGGAGTAACGGCATATACGAAACCTTCCAAAGGACGATACTCGGTGCGGTTCCAGACACCTAAAGAGTTTTCAGGAGGTTGGACGGAGTATAATTCGCTAGCATACTTGCAATCGAAACGCAAAAAATCGATGATTTCCATGGCAGCATCAATTTCAGCTTGCCAAATGTTTTTACCTTGGCCGATCATGGTTGCAGCCATGAGCTTATAGCGGTATTTGGTGCTGATTAAGTGAGCCGCCTTCAAGAAGACTGCTGCCCGGTCGGCAAAGGACAAGTTTTCCCATTCCTTCTTGGCCTCAAGAGCTGACTCGATAGCTTTTTGGACATCAGAGGCGTTGGCACGATGATAGCGAGCTACAATCTTTTTGTGGTTAAAGGGGCAGCGTTGTTCGCCAATGTCACTAGTCTGTACATCCTTTCCGTTTACACCAAGGGGGATGGACAAAGGCAATTGTGACTCTAATTCTTTGTAGGCGGCGATGAGTTGTTCTCGCTCAGCACTGTTAGGTCCATAATGCTTAGGTGGTTCATTTTTAATGACGGGGAGTTGAAACTCTGCGAATTTCGACATGATGTCAACGATCGTTTTCTACGAATCTTGGTCAGTAAATCTTGAATGCCACAAAGATGAGCGATTGTTAACAGATAGTTTCAATCTCGCTTCTATCACGTAAAGCACCACCGTTCCGTTTCTTACTTACCTATAGTTTAATGTGCTGCTGATGAATGATCGCCAGATGCTATAATTGCGAGGGCAAGAAGGACCGTATATATGAGAACTGGAGAATAAAAGTCCGAAACTCCGGAAATCCAAAAGAACACAAAGAAAAAGTAAAGTCCGTGGCGATTGCAAGGAGATTCAACAGAATTCCCTTAGTAGCTATTACGAAATTCTCTTTCTGTTCGATGCTTTGTCATACTTTCTCCTCTATATATAAGAAGCGATAGGACGGGTGATTTAGATAAACAAACGAGATAATCAATGAGATAAAACCATGATAAAACAAATGTACGGAACGTAACGTTGTTGAATTTACATGGTCCACTTGTAGTGGTCTCCGCCTCGTTTGTTATCAGTTTCTTTTGAGTCGATACAAAACAATGGAATTTGTGACTTGGGGCTTGTAACTTGAGATAAACAAATAAAAGAATTTCAGGGAAAATCTGTTGTGTATGGACAGTATTGAAACAAAAACAAAGACAATAGAGTATTTATTTTTCTATTTTCCTTATTTAAAAGTTTGGTTTTGTTTTTGTTTTTTTTTCTATTGTGATGATGATTAGCCATAGTATCAAGTAGCTTGATAGTGTCCCTGTTTAAAAAATTGTATTAACGAGGGTCAGGAATATGATATTTGTTTACATTTATGCTTATTTTAAAAAAGTAAAAGTAAAGAAAAAGGTAAGGTATTATAGAATGGACATTTAGACTCTCCCCTAGTCGTAAATTCTGTATCATACTCCTTCATTTCTGTTGATTCTCATTCATCGAGGTTAAAGATGGGCTTATAAAAAATTCCCCAAGAGAATCTGGTGCAGAGATTCCACAGGTAAAAGGTGTCGTCCTCCCGTAGCTCGAACATGGACCTCACACAGTTTTTGTTCCTGAAATTGGGAGCCTACAATAACCACAAAAGGATAACCGATTAGCTCTGCGTCCTTCATCTTATATCCAAAAGAGTGGTTGCTGCGATCTTCCAACAGTATGTTGTCGGTGCCGACTACATTCGCAACAGTATCATACACGGATTCTGCTGCCTGCATATTTTTAAAAGACGTCGGGACCACCAACACCTTCCAAGGAGCAACATTCGTCGGCCACACAAGTCCCTTGGAATCCTTAGTAACATTTGCAATTGCCGCAATCATTCTTGAAACGCCGATACCATAACATCCCATATACAATGGTTGGAGCCGCTGGTTCACTTCTACGTTTGCACCTAACTTGGATGAATAAACCTGTCCCAGCAAAAAAGCATGGCCCACTTCAATGGAAGAGGACAAAGCCAACTCGTCTCCACACTTAGGACAAGGGTGCGCTGTTTCTGGTTGTATCTCCTTCAACAGTTCCGAGTTCGTTGAGAACTCACACGAAGGACAAACACATATCGTATCCTCTCCTGCCTGACTGCGATAATGAAACTCGTGAGAAAGCTTTCCACCGATATTCCCTGTATCTGCATTCACCATCGAAAACGGTAACCCTACTGCCTTGAAAAATTGGTGATATGCACTCAAAACCTGCCTGTAGGTTTCTTTTGCTTGGTCGGCATCTATGTCAAACGTGTACAGATCTTTCATGACAAACTCCTTTCCACGAAGCAATCCACCTCTGGGTCTTGCCTCGTCTCTATACTTGCGTCCAATTTGGTATACCCGTATCGGCAACTGCTTTTGAGATTCTACAAGATTGGCTATGCATTGGGTAATATCTTCCTCATGTGTAGGAGCAAGGCATAATTCTCGCTCCGTTCGATCACTCAATCGGAACAACTCCCTGCCACTCGTTTCCCATCGATGGCTTCGATCCCATACTTCTTTACTCGATAAGTGAGCCAAACTAACTTGAGCAGCTCCAACGGATTTCATCGACTGTTGGATGAGCCTGCATATCTTTTCCTGTACCCTCAGCCCAAGGGGTAAGAGGTGAAACACACCTGACATGGACATATGGACAAACCCTAGGTCTTGCAGCAGTTGTCCTGAAGACTCTGGCACATTGTATTTACGAAATGACCGACTTAAGAGCTCTACGGAAGCTCGATTTCTAATAAATTGTAGCATCCCATTCAAATTTCATGCTAATCTGTACATAAATTCGTTCCAATAAGAATTTAGTCTTTTTTTATAAAATTTCAATTATAAAAACCAATCTTGCAGACTGCGTTTTGTTTCTTCCTCTAAAAACTCGTTTGATAACCAACAGCTATAAAATTTGTAAAATTATGTTGGAAGAATAGCAAAGGCTAGATAAAAATATAAACCGTAAAAGGAGAGCCTACAGCACCCCGGATTCCCATGTTGTCTCCAACCATAGTACTAACGAGGCCCTCAGACGCTTAACTGCAGTGATCGGACGGGAACTGGTGTTTTCGCCTAGGTATGGCCGTAGACAATTGTAAGCTAGAAAGAAGGTACTTGTTGGTGTTTTTAACTCTTGAGAGCTTTGGAAAATGAAGGTTGCTATTTTATTATAAACTGACTTCAAAATTATTTAGGTTTAAAAGTTTTTTTATATCAGGGTATCAAAGAAGATATAGACAATGCATTTTGCAGTTTCCATGTATTGCATATTGAAATCTTTATTACATGGCATGAAAATTCAAAAGCCATGTGTAAAGCTTAGTTATAAAGCCGAGTTTTTCTACTTTGAGGTTGAAAAAAGATGATGAATAAAAAGAAAAACTTCATGAAAGAACCCTAGTGGGTTTGTTTATGTAAGTGTAAACAAACGCGAAATCATAAAATTGTTACTTGTCTTTGTAACTCAACCCTGCATAAGTGATGGGAAATTTCCTGTTGGGGAAAGCTTTTTTCCTTTAGTTCCTGCCAATTGAGATTTATTTGACATTTATTTTTGCTAAGGATTTTCTAAAAAAAAGAAACCCCGATCGTAACTGAATCCGATGACTTTATTGCCCTCGTAAACAATTACTGCAAAGCTTCAGAACTAATACATTCTTATTTTCTAAACTAGAACTGTTCACATTCAAAATATTTTATTTTTTCTAAAGTCTCGTCGCTGCTGTGCGTATTTGCAATATCATGGTAATCCCAATAATATACAATAGCTATCAATAATCTTCAGCAGATGGGCAACAATAGAAGTTTGTTGATGTTGTAGGCTTCCATACAGTGTACAGGAACTATCGTTGCTGCCTTCTTCTGTAAGTAGAACATTTCTATTTATCACATATTGCTACTGTATGCTAACAAAAAGGGATATCCGCTTAAACTGTTCTCAGAAGACCCTTAGTATCATTGAATATTTGTATGGAAAGGCATATAATATTGCTAATAATTGTAATCTGCAATTGAGTATAAATAAACAAAATCCATCCAAATAAACGAAAATAAAAGTATCCCCTCGTAGTATCAAATTCTTTGTACAAAGTCAGTGATTTCACCAAAATTCTCACCAATCTTCCTATTATTTTACAGCATACAACTGAAATAGAACCATGCGGTAAGTATATTGAAACGATCAAACAAAACTCCACCCTATCGCATGTACTCTTAGTATACAATAAATTGCTTACTCCCTCCTAAACTTATCACGAATCGTGCATATTATTAGCCTTTTAAATCCCATTATAACCATACACTAAAACCTATTATTCCCCAAAAAAAGATTATAAGCCATCAAATGCAATCGAAGTGGAACCTCGTTTTTTCTTTTCTTTTTGCAAAGCACGATAATCATCTTCTAACTCGGAAAGATTTTCTTCGTCGGAAACGTCATCTTCTTGACCATGCTTTACTTTATCAGAAGAACTATTCTCTCGGGTTCCTTGCTGTTCTTCTTCCATTTTTACTCTCTTTTGTGTTTTATCAAATTCCCGTCTTGATTTCCGCTTTTCGCGACGGACAAGACGCTTCTCTTTCATCTCCTTTTGTTTTGACCAGGCTTCAGCTTTTGGCTTCCTTTCTAATTTTGGTTTCTCCGGTTGACTCTTTTGTTCCTCAAGTTTCCGTTGGCGAGCTTGTTCACGAGATGAGTCAAGAAAAGCTATTGCTCGGGTATCAATATCAACTGGCTGAAAAACATCATTGGCAGTCGGAGCATCTTTCAACTCTGGCATCTTAGGTAAGTGTAACAAAGAATAAGCTGTTGCTAGCTGATGTAAATCCATGTCTTTTATACGAAATATAAAGGATGCTTGGTGCTTGGTATATGCACGCACATGAGAGACAAATCCCCTTAACCCTTTCTCGTAGATATCTCGGTCTTTTGTAACAATACTCCTTAGGTTTTTAGTTAATTCGTCAAGATGCTTTCGATCCAACAGTGCTTCAGGAGTATCCATTCGTTTAATAGGTACTTTACGTACCCTCAGCAACTCTTCATAATCTTCTTCCCTTCCTTCATTTAGAAAAACAAGAGCTAATCCAGAACGGCCTGCACGTCCTGCTCGACCACAGCGATGTGAAAAGGATTTAGGGTCCAATGGTGGATCCAGCTGAAGCACAAGGTCAACATTTGGGATATCTAAACCACGGGATGCGACATCTGTTGTAAGTAAAACACATTTTTTGTTGCTTTTTACATATTTTTCGTAATTTTTACTTCGATTCGACTGAGCTTGTTTGCCATGCAAGGCAATCACTTCAAATGGAAGTTTCATCTGAGACAACAAAGAGTAGAAATATTCGACAGTTGCACAAGAAAGAAAGAAAACAATCGCCTTATCATACTGTTGATTTTGGAGCATATGAAGCATTCCTTGGGTCTTAAACATGGGAGGTAAAACATATGACTGGATTGACAAAGAGGATGGTGCTCTGGTGTCCTCTTTCTTCAATGTAACTGTAACCGAAACACGAACACTATTCCGAAGGCCAGCTACTTTTAAAAATGATGAAACCGTGTCATTCATAGTAGCACTGAAAAGACCGGTACGCCTTTGCTTTGGTAATTGTGCGATAATGGACTGCAAAGCTTTTTGAAAACCCATGTCAATAAGAGTATCTGCTTCATCTAAAATTAAAATAGCTAGATTTTTACTGGAAATTTGTCCCAACATTTCGTTTAAACGACCTGGTGTCCCAATAACAATCGTAGGATTTTTTTTTCGAAAAGAGGTCAAATCATTTGACAGTGTTCCTTTTCCGCCAATATACATATCAGGTACAAGCTTTTTCTGATCCGCAAGCTCTTCTGGCTGATATACTAATAGCTCTTCAGTGACATGAAAGATTTGATTTGCCAGCTCACGAGTAGGAGCAACTATAAGTGCACCCAAACCGTGCTCATCAGATTCTCGCTTCAAAATTTTGTCAATAGCAGGTAATAAATAAGCCAACGTTTTTCCTGAACCAGTTACTGCTTCCACGACGACGTCTTTGTTTCTCAAAAAAAGAGGAATGGTGTTTGTCTGAACAGGCGTCATTTTAGTAAACCCGCGAGCGTGAACCGCATCTTTTCTACATAAAAATTAGTCAACAATGAAATTTAAAACGAAAGCTGGATGATTTCCTCAAAGTTTCTGACTTAATTTCTGATGAGAAAAAAAACCAGCTGAACAACATATAAGACTTACAGCCATTGATCAATTTGCAAGTCTTGAAAACTCATTCCTTGCTTATTTGATTCCAGACCTGTGAAAGATCTTTGTAAAAGCTAAAGGACTATGTGGTGTTAAAGACAAGTGTGAATTTCTCGTGCTACTTTCCTACTACCACCCACCCTATTATCCAACAAACAAAATTGTCAATCCGACAGGAATATTATTTATATAATGCTTATTAAAGTAAAGGTAAAGGAAAATTATTAAACTTGTAAAAAATTAAAGATGCAGACAATTATTAACAAAAACTATGATAGACGTTAACAGGCAAAGAGGTTGGTTTATACTCGTAAAGCAGAGTCGTCAAGGATAAGGACTAACACGAATTGTTGACAGATTGAATTGGATATTGATCCAAATGACAAAGTTTCTCGTATCAAAGAAAGAGTCGAAGAAAAGGAAGGTATTCCTCCATCCCAACAGCGTTTAATCTATGCAGGAAAACAAATGTACGAAGGAGGATTTGAGGATGATTCTAATGGTAATTTAGGGCGGACGACAAGTATGCTGAAAGCTATCATTTAGAAGGCGGTAGTGTTTTGCATCTAGTTTTGGCTCTTCGTGGTGGATTTTAAATGTAAAAGAAAAATAAGAAGCAAGTTATGAGGCAGATGAAATCTATTTATCAACATTAAAATTGTATGAGAGGTTGGACCTGATAAACATAATGTCATTGAACAAAAAGAGAAAGCAGTCGCTCATCAAATATCCCGAGTTCTTCTTTTTTTGGATATAGAATGAATCTTTTGGCATTGCATAAAGCTATCTGTAATTTCTTGTTATTGAACGCATTCGCAGTTGCCAAGTAATTTCATACCGTTTCAAGAGCATGATTTCTGCGTAGCGAGCAATACAACCACAACGTCGTAGTGAAATTTGACCTTTTCCTTAGATGTAGAAAGCACTTGCATGAAAAACATTGCAAATGCTTGAGCTATAGAAACCAGCTCGCGTATGTGTCCTTAAAACTATGCGAAAATAACCCAGTTTTTAAAACGAAGGAGGACCGAAGAGAGACCTACCAAAAACAAGGGCTGTTCTGGGAATCGAACCCAGGACCACCATCACCCTAAGATGGTATCATACCACTAGACCAAACGGCCGCTCTTAATCTCATGTTTATCATGGCCAATATCATACCACAAGATTTACTTGTCTTGCTCGACTTTTGAGTATCGGTGAGATTCCTGAGAAGGAAGAATGTTTTGCCATGAGAGATTTTGCCGAATCCGACAGAATGAGGGTTTTTTTGAATTATAAAAATAATTCTAAAAAAATATAAGTAATAGGATGTCTACGACCACACCTAGGCGAAAACACCAGTTCCCGTCCGATCACTCTTGTTAAGTAAAAATGTCTGAAGGTCTCGTTCGTACTAATGTTTGGAGACAACATGGGAATCCGAGGTGCTCTAGGCTTCTTTTCCTTTATCACTTTTTTTACGTTTTGCTCGCTGCTTATATGAAAATCACGGCATTTACTTTTCTGTAGACATTTTCTCCAATCCATTGTTAATGTTTTTCATTTAACGAATAGAAACACAAGCAGCAAAAGTTGTATAAGGATGGTTTTGATTAGCGTTAAATCGAATCGTCGATACTGCAGTACGGCAAATATGTACTAACTACCCTTTTACAAAGTCTCGTCACGTCTCGCAAAAAGAAAGAAATGACTTTTCCCATCTCATCGTCGCATTCTCTTTTTGCACAAAACAAACCTCAATTGGAGCAAAAAAGAGAGCTACCTAATGGTAAAATAAGGGAAAAATTGCTAAACTCGGATTTATGAGACTTCAGGTTCATTTATAAGTGAAGAGCGAGAATGGACGAACGAAGCTTGGAAAAATGACAATAACGTAGGAAAATGGACCCCAACGACATCAATTTCACTGAATACGACAAGTCGAGGAAAAGATCAGTTCAATTGGATTTGCCAAGTTACTCAAAAGTTTGTTATAACAGTGGAGATGATTTGGAGAAGGGTTTGTTTACACCTATTCCTCCTTCCTACGAACAACTTCAAATGAGTAATGGAGACGAATCCGGTGATAATCGAGTTCATGCGAATGAAGCGCATGAACGCATGACAGAAACAGTGCCAGCCAGATTATGGAGAAATTCTTTCCTCGAATTCATCTGCATGCCGGTACGTCCCCGACTAGCTCCAGCGGGCACATTGAGAGAAGCAGGATATTTTCGATGTTTTCTGTGTTATGTTTATACGGCTGCTTTTATTTTCGTTTTACTTTTCAAATATTCTGATAAATTGTCAGAGTTTATAAAGGATTCATTTTTGTCTAAGAAAATTATTTTACCTTTGCTTGGTGGATTGATTTTAGTTTTATTTTTTATTTCCGCTGTAATAATTTCTCGTAAGTGATTTGCATTCATCGGAAAAGCAAATTGAAGTACGTTGGATTTCTTGCTAACTTGAGTGTTTAGTTGCGTTGGACATCATCGTTTGGTGTATATCTATGGTTCCAGATTTGGCTGTATTTCTAGGGCGTGACTTATGGAGAAAATTTATACTGCCTTTGACAATCATTTTCGGTTATAGAACTAATCAAAGCTTCGGGATTGATCCAGACTCAACAAATCCCGTTCAACTTGACGAGCTAGAAGCTTGCGTTGAGACTCCAACAACTGCACCTAACAATATTGAAATGCCAAGTTCTCCTCTTGGGAAAAGCCCTACCAAAGCAAACCTTTCAAAAAAGTTTGTTGGGCATTCTGCAAGAGAGCAAGAAATAGATATGCAAACTTTTGGAGATACAGGTTCTCCGACTTTGAACGACCATACAAAGTAATGTTTTTATGCTATGCCCATTTTATTGAATGGTTGTTATTGTCAGCGTCCAGTTGAGATTGAGATGTCTAACGAGGAGCTTTTGTTTATATTTTAAAGCATGCGTATTTTGTTTCCGTAGTCGCGATTGTTAGTTAGCCTGGCCCTTATTAGCTACTCACTTTCCTGTTGTTTTTGGTGCTTATTTACGGTCATCTCTGCTTCCTCCTTTTTGATTGAAGTTGTTTAAAGTATCAATGGCTAGTATCAATCAATACAACATATTATTTTCTATAGGCTTTGACCGAAAGATGAAATGGCAGTTTAAGATGGCGAGTTTGTCAAAAAGTAATACAATGACCAAGGATTCTATTGAAATTGCAAAATCATGAATCTGTTACTTTTCATTTGAAGACTTGATTAAAAAGTTTATGACTCTATAAATGCTGCTTTTTCCTCTGCTCTTTACGCTAAAAAAAAAGTTTCGATTGGAATAGTCAAAATTGAATCTGCCAAATGACATGCAACCTATGAGATTAAGAGCTTACGAGAAACAAACCCATCAGAATTAAGAAATTAAGGAAAAGAAAATAGTTTGCGATGAGAGAACAAAAGATGATTATCATTTACAAAAACATTGTATTTCGATCATCAATAAAGAATATTGATATGAAATATAGGAATTATGATGACCACCAGGACTTTGACAAATAAAACAGATTGCGTTAACTGTATCAAAAGATCTATATAAACTGTTTGTCTACAGTCAGAATCTTCAGATTGGAATATTAGACTAGTGTGGATAATAAATTCCATCGTCTTCAAACTTTCATTTAGTTAACCAGATCCTGGACATTATAGCTCCTAAATATGTAATACAACCAAATGCAATTCAAAAAACGATACAACTCAAGTTGTTTATTATACTCGATAAACATTCTCATATCGGGTGAGATTATTATCGTGACCAGCGGCGTATTCTAAGAACCATAATCTTAACAAATTATCTTTCGTAATACCGACAGCAGCATACTGTCCGACGACCATCAATGCGTTAACAATCGTTAAACATTTAACAAAGTTGAAGGAATCCCTCATTCCACTTATCTTTTCGCCTCGCAACTCCAATAAACAAACATTGTGACCAATAGCTGCTACACACTTCGCTTTCGCTGACCCTTTTTCAAGAATGAGTCAAGATTTATTTACGAACCAATTTGGAATTCCTCCACCATCTGATGATTCTTATGCTTCCTTAAGCCGTTTCATAGCTGAATTCTCACAGGCGATTCCCCAGGATCAGTTTGATTCGTTTAGAAGCAAATTGGTGAGCCTTAATGAAGCAGTTATATCCAAACTTCGAGGAGAGACTCTTACACAAGATAACTTGTCTGAAATTCGTGGGATGTTGCAAGAGCTTAGAGAAGGACAAAATAGCATCACTGAACGTTTATCTGGGGTGGAAGGACGTTTATCTGGGGTGGAAGGACGATTATCTGGGGTGGAAGGACGATTATCTGGGGTGGAAGGACGATTATCTGGGGTGGAAGGACGATTATCTGGGATGGAAGGACGATTCGACGCTTTTTCTATCAGTTTTTTTTCCCATAACGGTGAACAATTATCACGCATCAGAAACATTGAAGCCAAAACTAACAAAACAAGGACCTCAGCATAGAGATCTGAAAACATTATAAAGACCTACCCGAGTTGAGAACTATCTCCGACATCGACAACTTAAATCCACAGCAATTGAAAACATTTTTGGAGGGATATGGTTGTAACTATGATGAAAATGAGCCTTAAACGTCTTCCAAAAGAAAGGTTGCGGATGCCAATGGATTTATCGAATGTTCTCATGATAATTTTTACGAGTTTTCAACACTCCAGGAAATAGGAAATCAAAGTAGTATACCAGATCGAAGACTTAGATCTCGCCATCATTGATGGATGCATTGACCGAAACTGAAAGCTTTTTCTTTTTATTTTTACTATGAAGCTATTTGAGATCCTTGAGCTGTGCTTTACGATAAATCAGAGTACCGCGGTCGACGTGAAGGCTCAGAGATTTCAGCTGTTTTATTTATATTTTTTATTTGCATAATCGCCATATTATTATTTCTTTTTTAAGGTCAAACCCAGTTCTCTCGAAATTGAGAATTATGTTTATCATTGTTGATTTATAAGTGCAACCTATACGAAACGTTACAACTATTGGATAAACTAGATAAAGTAGCTAAATTCATCGTTGGCAAAACAGCTGTTATTCCAGTCCTTTACTCTGCGAAAAATGAAGAAATTGGTCTTTAATAAGAGAAAATGCAATGAATGACAAAGAAAAAATCTTGCAACAAAAATAATCTGGCTATAGTACCATCGGGAATAATGCTACGAATGTCTACGGCCACAGCTAGGCGAAAACACTAGTTCCCGTCCGATCACTGCAGTTAAGCGTCTGAGGCCTCGTTAGTACTATGGTTGGAGACAACATGGGAATCCGGGGTGCTGTAGGCTTTTCTTTTGTTGCTCTTTACTTTTTTATTTTGTTTTTCTTTTTTATACGTCTACGACTATTGCTTGCAATCGTTTTCTCGAAAGAATTTTTGCAAGCTGTTCCTTTACAAGTGACAAAAGACTAATTACAAGTTCAATGAAAAGAAATGAAACGATCGTATTCAATTGCAATTAAGAATAAGAATAATAGGAATAATAATAATTAAGAACCTAGTATCCCAATGATCTCAGATTACGGTTCCTTTCAATGCGCGGATTGTATGCATGCCTTTCTATTGTCCACTTTTCTTCGTCGCTTCCAATTCATGTTGGTACAAGGATGACTTTGTAGTCAAAATTAAACACAAAAATGCTTAACAAAGGCATATAAATAAATACTTATCCGAACAAATTGCTTGTAATGTTCTCTTTTTCCACTTAGTGACTTTCGATCGGAAGAGTTAAGACTCATGAGAAAAGAAAGGTAAACAAATTAGCATTAACTTTGAGTTGTAGGATTGCTTTGCAGCTCTATTTCTTCGTTCGTAGTTGTCGGCGGAGGAGCTAGTGCATCATCCCTTTGTTGATATCTGGGAAGCGTAGGCGAACCGGTGTTTTCAGCTGAGCTCTCAAATTTCATTCCAAGGCAAAAAACAAGAATGTTATAAATTCCCCAAAAGATAGCACCAACGAACCATGCAAGACCAACCACGATAAAGATTATAACTTTAGCGACAATCCGCACTATCAATACGATAATCCAAATAAATTCTAGGTTTTGTTAGTAACACACACACATTCTAATAGCGTTTGCTATTAACAACAATGCTCCACTTACCATAGAAAAGAGCAAAGAATATTGCCCATATCACAAGCCAAATGCCTAAAGGTCCAAGAAGGGCCCAACTGTATCCATTTTCCATATATACTTGTTTCAGAAAAGAAAAAAGTTCGAAACGATAGGAGATTGCTAATGCACAAAGCAATGATAAAACCGATATCAAAAGGTAAAACATCCGTTTACGTTTAACGACTACATTTTCAGGGAAATAATGATCTGTCTTCTTCCTAAAGTCGGTAAAGAAATCATTGAAGCTATCAAATTCAGTAATTATCGTTTTTTTGCTTTGTTTGGCTTTGACAGAAGTTGAATTGGAAGTTTTGTTTATGTCTTTTGGTGTATACAGAGGAAGTCCCTTCTCAAGGTCAACATTGTAAACATCAGCATGGCTGTATGCAGGAGGATCGCTTGAATCGAATTTTAGCTCCTTTTCCGACATCCTAAAAATAAATAGAGAAATTTCAACGAATAATTAGAAAAAGAGCGTCAAATAAAAGCTGTTGATCCCTATTCGATGCAAAAATTTCGCAAACGCAAAACTCATCAGAAGTAGCAGCCAAAACTAAAGAAGCTCTACCTGGTCATTCCAAAAGCACAAAATGGAAGTCAAAATCAGCCCAATTGGCAGGAATTGAAGAAATAAAAAGTTGGCTCCAGCAAGAAATTTCGCATCACTTACGCAACATTTTTGCTCAGGATAGTGATATGTTCAGTTGCGCTATCTTTTATAATGACATCTAGCATAAATCGTTGAAGATACATTTGAGTCACAAAAAACAAGTAAGAGGTAGCTTCGCGTTTGTTTACACCTCTGTAAACAAAGCAGATCTCACTTTTCTGTGAACTGTTGAACAACTTTTTGCACTTGAAAGTGAGTAACAGCCTACAGCCAAAAAGTAGCCCTCATGGGTTCTTCAGGATCAAAAGAAACCTATGAATTTCCTTTCTGAACTGAAGATACTGTCTATGGGCGTACCTAGGCGAAAACACCAGTTCCTGTCGGATCATTGCAGCTAAGCATCTGAGGGCCTGGCCTCGTTTGTACTATGGTTGGAGACAACATGGGAATCCGGGGTGCTGTAGGCTTCTTTTTTGTACCTTTACATTACACTTTTTTTTATCGATGCTTATTCGATTTTTTGTCTTGGACTCATCTTATATTTTAGCCTATAAAACGATATTATAACTTGCTTAAAGTGTAAAAACAAAGCCAGCAAAAAGAGTTTCAAGTGCAAAGGGAAATTTTTGTTTGTTTCAAGTTTTGTTTACTAATGCAGCCCAAAATCTACTCGGTTTTATGTGTAAATAAAGTATATGTAGAAAGTAGGTTTCTATGAGGATTCTTGGCTTTATTAGAATTAAAAAGAAGAAAGTAGTATGATATTTATTTGGTGTAATTATCATTTATGACATGCAAAGACTGAGAATGTAGTAAATGAGCCCTACTCAACGGAATCTTTTATGCACTTAGAGGAAACACAAATTTTGAATATTTATTATATCTCCAGAGTCAAATCACTCATAGCAAAGCCTATATATATTAAGAGAAAAAGCCCATGAAAACCAGAAAACGAAATTCTTCTGTAAACCTGCGAGTGACATTGCTACTTGCTCTTATTTACTTGGCGAGCTAGCAAACCTGGATATAGCAAACATCGTCTAAGGAATTTGAAACGCGTCGCGGATACATTTTGACACCATTTCTTTTGTAGAATCTTTTTCTACAACGTAAAATTGAATTATCTTTATAATTTTGTGCAGCTACCACCGATATAACCGTGATATATTTTTGGGTAGTGTTTTTCCCTTCATTCAAGAGCTAAATATAGAACGATGAACTTACAAACCAGGTTCACGAAAGCATTAGATGTTGGTTACAAGAATTTTCTATCAAGAGATGCTGTTAAAACCATCTTTTCTTACGATAATCGTTTGAGGGAAGAGCTACACAAAGAATGCAAGTTACACCAGATTCCTTACAAAGTTCCTTCCGACTTAATGGTTCAGAACGTAAATGATCCAAGAAAAACCAAGGTTTTTAACTACTCTAGTCAGTTAGTCAACCATGACTTCTTCTTTTCTGGTATAATTTCTCAGGATCGATTTTCTGAGGATGCTGATCTTGGAGCAGTAAATTTAAAGCCGGGAATCGATGCATCCTTTGGATCTTTCAATGAACTTCGTACTCAGCTAATTGAAGTTGGCAACTCTATTTTTGGCGATGGATGGCTATGGCTAGTGTATAGTCCCGAGCGCTCTCTCTTTTCTCTACTTTGTACTTACAATGCGTCCAACGCTTTTTTATGGGGAACAGAATTTCCTAAAACCAGGACAAAAGAAATAGTTCCATTATTATGCGTTAACCTATGGCAGTATGCTTACTTACAAGATTATGGCATTAATAACAAGGAAAAATACATCTCCAATTGGTGGAACTTGATTAATTGGTCAGTTGTGAATAATCGATTCCAAGCCAGCCGTATGGAACCACTTTGAGTTTCTTTGATACAAATTTTATTTTTGGCAAGAGATTAGCATAAGCAAGAGTTGGAATAAATTAATGCTCAATTCTCACGAAAGGACCCCAACCTTGCTGCACCATTACCTTTCCCATTCCTAGTTCAGTGTGAAGTATAATCTGTAATAAAATTGGCAAGAATGGAATTTTTTGCAATATAGGAAAGCGCTTCTCAAACTTAATAAAAACGGCATTTATCGCAAACTGAAAAAGTATTCCTGGGTTCGAATGACCTATGACACTCCAGAAAGCAAAATCATGGTACAGACCTGAAACAAGAAAAGCGGCTAAACTTCCTAGAAATTTGCTCTTGGTGAGCTTGTAAACAGGTTCCCATCCTAGTGTTCGGAAGTATGGCTTGGTCCATACATGCCAGTCTCTCGACCAGAAATCGTGAACCGATTTCGTCTTGATTAGATTTTTCATCAATGGTGGAAAGTCGCGTATGTCCCAAATTCTAAGTGGAATACTAAGTACAGTCATCGTATAATAACAGTTATTCAAAACCAAATAAACGTAAAGTGATCTAATAAAAGGGAGAAGTAAACGTAAGGGCCAAGTATTCACTTCATAAGGTGTCTTCGACTGCGAATTATACCAGATCAAGAAAGCCACGCAAAGCCAATAACATGCCCCATATATAATAGTTCGAGTCACCCAAGTTCGGTAAGGAAAGTATGGAGGATCGAATTCAGGCACAGCATTGTCGGTCCATCCGTATTTGCGAACACTACATACATATTGTACAGCGTCGTAATAAGATCCTTTGGTACCCTTCTTGTTGATCATGCTATTGACGCGACGGGGAGTTGTGTTTTGCAAGCAAATAATACAGGTCCGCAAACTCTGCATCATGAGAAACCCATACACCAAGGAAAGGGCCAGATAGTCCGTATCACGATAATGATGGAACACCTTACATAGACGATAGCATTGGGTTTCGACTAACACACACAAAGCAGCACATACCAATCTGTTTGCTCGAAAAAGTTGATGCGTTTGCAGCAAAAAGAAGAAAAATGGTGAGCAAATACGCAAGATGCCTCTTAAATCTGGCTCTAAGTATAGCTTGTCGTTGGTATCAAAACTAATTGGATACATTGGAATATTTATGATTTCAAGCTACTGTTCAAATCACAAGTTTCGTTTCATATAAAGTTATTCAGGGAAGGATGGATACTTTAAGAATCCCTGGCAAATATTAGGCCTTGAAAAAAGAAAAAAAAAGAATTTGTAAGAGAAAGGGTTGAAAGAAGGTAAAACCAATCAACAAATGTTATCACTTAATACATATAATTGGAATGGGAAGTAAAAATCAACTAACAGCACCTTCTTAACAAAAAGCTTTATATTTCCAGAGCAATAAGCGTACTTCCTTATTATAAGTATGGTTTTGGATAGAATGGTGTATTTCGGAGCTTTGTTTCATCCAAGGCCGAAATTTTTTTTTTAGCAGTAAATAACTTTGGCCGGTTTCGTTTATTTATAAATTTTTACTTTACATAATAAAAAAATCCTTTGCGTTAGGTATTATAATAAATTCGCACAAATCTCTTTTGAATTCGTTCTATTCTAGGGCTTTAAAGCGTCTTTCCCTTGGCAGTTATAGCTGTCTGCTTTGTGTAGAGTATAGGTAAGGCCTCTTGGAAATAAACTCTTGGATTGTTCTATTCATGTAGTCATATTTTCGCTCAATGTATAGTTTATTTCTATGTCGGTTTTTGTTTTTCGCCTAATCAACACTCCACAGCTTTGTTACGGATTCTTTGATAACAGATTATTTTTTTTTTTTCAAAAGGTTTGAAATGGAATAGTTAAATTTTCATATATTTTATTTTATTTTTATTTTTATCGACTTTTCATAAAATTGTTCGGTCGTAAAACAAAAAATTACAAGTTATAATGATAATGAATCTTATAATTTCATAGTTTAATCCACGGGGCTTCGCCTTAGCGGTAGATCATTTGGCTGTTTCATTCATAATCGTATCCATCCATCAAATAAACGTGTCAAACTTTTCATTCTCATACGCTCGTAAATCATTATGTAATAAAAGACATACGCGTTTATAAAAGATTGTACATGCGTCTAGTCATTTCGTCTGCTACGGAGAAAATGCAACACAGGAACGCTTGGGTGAGTCAAGGATAAGCTGGTCATCCTTGCAGGCTCCATTGCATCCGGTAACACCTTATCGGAAATCGCCATCATCGCACTTTGCCAGCCGCCCGCAGCGATTGAAGTACAAGTTGCATTGAGAAATATCCTTCGAGGCTTCAGCACCGTCACTCGACGACCATGTACGTCTATTAAGACGTCGTCCCCTATTTGGTTATGCAATGTTCCTAATCCCAGACAACCAGAATTCGACAATTCCATTCCCCAGGACCAAACCGTTCCATCATTTTTTAAAATGAGATGATGATAATCTCCATGAGCCAGCTGCTTTAACCCCTGATTTTGTAAAAAGTCGTGAACAATTGGCTTGGCGTCAGATTCTTTCGTAGATTCATTCCCCATGTATACCGTGTTACCATCATTAGAGATACAACTAAAGGTATAAAAGCTCCCGAAAAGTTTCCATGGACCATCCTGAATAGGAATTCGAAACTTCGTCAGTTCTTTTGCTTGCTGTTCATAATTCCCATCGAGATCAAACCGGAAAACCGTCGATTCTTCTTTTGTCGTAAAGATAATAAATCCAGCACAAAGAACATAATCTGAAACATCAAACAGTTCTCGTCCCCGAAAAATTTCATATCTCATAGGCTCAAATTCTTTTCCAGTTTTCCATAGTAAGAAGCCTACTTGGGGGACGAATGCTGAAAGAGAGTCCCAACCACTTCGAAAAATCGTAATCTTTCCTCTATACTCCGACAAAACGTTTTCCTCTGTCAAACACAATGTAGAGTTCACGCCTACCTGCCATAAATTACCCCCATCAGTCATCGCTAAACAGTATTCCCGACCAGCATGAATCCAAAAAACGCGATCCAACTCCGGTACGACTTGTGAAAATGAATTCGTCCGTTTTCCAGTGATGCGCAACTTTCCGTTCTCGTCCAGCAAAAATATTCCGTAGCCACTATTGTTTGTTAGCATTACATACAAACCACAGTTATGATTCACATAAAAGTAGAGACATACCCGACTGCTACTTGAATAGCTTTCACCGCAAATGAACCTGTTAAAGCAATAGGCTTGTGATGAGGAAAATGTATATTATTTATCAATCGTCCCAAACGATTCCAGCTTTTCTCTCCCCAAGTATAAACATATCCTTTCTTCTTCCATCTTAGATATAGTCTTTTATAATTTGCATCTTCAGTCATGTCAACGTTCACTAATCCTTCAATTCGTTTACATAATCTTAGCCAAACTGTTTTGTTCTCAAACACATTATGAAGCCGTTTACATGTCTTAATTAGATGAATAAGGTCTTCAGCATCAAGATAGCTACCAATTTCAATTAAAATATCTGGTGATAATCGTAGCAATGGAGTGCTCAACATAACAGCCTTCGTTTCAAAGTGATGGACAGTGGTAAAGAGGTGTTTCTATGCAATCAACATGCAATCAATTTTAATAAAATGAATGAATTTTCTATCGATCGAATATGATCTTGGAAAGGTTTGTGAAATTAGGATGATTTTTTCATTGATGAATGCTGAAAACAAAATACTATCGACGCTTCATCACAAATGTATAATGAAAAGGATTCCAAAACTAACAGAAAAACTCTATAAAAGAATGAAAAAGAAAAAAAGTTGGGATATCTAGAAAAACACTTGAAAGAAAACTTCTATAGATAGATCAAGCGCATATGAACCCAATTTCAAAAAAAATCGTCCTTCATCCGAAATTGTTGCCTAAATGAGCAAGTTATCTACATCAATTAACGTTTTCAATGCTCATGCTAAAAAGCGCTCTTGTTCAGCCTTGTTTATCCCCAATAAATACAAAACACTTTGTAAAGAAGTCTGATTAATTTTGGAAGAAGCCTTTAAACACATTAGTACTTAAAAATATATGAAACTGAAGAATGGAACGTACCATAAGTTGTACTTTGGGCTTGGCATTGTATGCAACCCCTAAGCCGGATTCTCCCATCATGATCAAGTCATTGGCGCCATCTCCAACAGCCATTGTCTCAAATACATCCAATCCAAGTTCAATCTTCTTTTCACGCAGAATTTCCGCCTTGCGCTGTCCATCCACAATGGCACCTTGTACTTTACCAGTCAAAAATTTTCCGTCATGACTGAATTCCAACTAAGTCAAGTTAGTAAAAGAGATATAGTATGGAAAATAACAAACCATATTAGCGTAAGCATAATCCAAACCGAGCTGCTCCTTGACATAATTTGCCATAGGGATAAATCCACCGCTAGCAACAACAAGTGTAGCACCCAATTTTTTCAAGCTGCGACACAATTCCTTTGCTCCTGGTGTAAATGTAATCTTTGCAATGATCTTCTCAATAACATCGACACTCAATCCCTCCAGTAGGGATACACGACGACGAAGAGATTCCTGAAAATCAATTTCACCATTCATTGCAAGAGAAGTAATGGTGGAGACCTCTTTTTGAATGCCAGCTTCGGCTGCAATCTCATCAATGCACTCTTGTTGAATCAAAGTTGAGTCCATATCAAAAACTACCAACTTCTTCTTGGTAGAAAACGCTTCATATTTTAAGCAATTGCAGTCTACTTTTTCTTCACTAGAGATATGGTCGCATTCTGTTTTCGCGTCTTCAAACGAGCTTAAAAGTTTTCCAGAGATTTGCTTCCATCCATCACCAAGTTCATGTAATTGTGGAGATTCAAAAAGACGGAAAACAGCTTCTACAGCTTTTGGTTCAGAAGATGAAAGGACTACGACCGCTTGCGACATGCCTATATATGTTGTCCCTAAATTCTGGTTAAAGTGGTAATAGGAAGTGAAAATAAAAAGACGACAGACGCAATACGATGCACTCAAGGATTGTTCATGTAATAAAGAGTAGTTTCCTTCGAAGTAATTTGGAAATTAAATGATTAGTTTACAATGTTTCTTAAGCAGATATATTACTATTGCAAAGAAGCTTGATGCACGTTACTAGGTATGAAACAGTTTCACAATATAGAAAAAAAAGTCGTATATCCCATTTACGGTTACAACATAAAACAAAAAAAAGATTTGCATTAAAAAAAGAAGCAAGTTCAATCGCGCTTCAAAACAATTTATTACATTTTAATTCATAAAAGAGATTTCGATGTGAAATAAAGAAACTCATAAATAAAAAATATAACCTAAGATCACTTATGAAAAAGTCATAAACCACGAGCATGCATAACCGTCCCATTCTACTTGGAAAACCGTTCAATAAGTTCTTGAGGAATCCCCTTGGTAGTCACCGTACTATATTGGATTGGAGCTGGTGACTTCTTTGGTTCCTTGGATCTGTCTCCTCTAGGAAAATACTTGTAACTGTAAAGGAGACTTCCTTGATCTTGATTTGGGTCCTCCCAAGGATGTGCGTTATCGCGCGGAATGCGAACTTGTTTATCATGTTCAGTCAACAATCCTCGTTGTCCTTTGTAAAGTTATTAACAAATCACATTTCATGAGAAACAATTAACAAAGGTTTCACCTTTTGAGACATACCAAGCATGTAGCCAGCAACTCCAAAGGTATATGTCATGACACACCAGGTAATCTAGAAATCATGATTTAGTTTCATAATCCTTTTGACACAATCTAATTTAATTATTCTCTTATTAAGATTATTACTTGCAAACCACACAGTACATACAAATAATTCAGGGTATTCTTTTGTCCATCGGACGTATCGATTCGACATAATGCTTCTTAATATAGTAGCCATTGTACTGGATTTTCTTGGTAATTAACTTCAAAAGTTGTCGACGGGAATGTAACAATTGGTAAATGTAAACTTTGGATATAACTGGAAACCAATTTCAAGTTCAAGTTCAAAATTCAACACACTCACACTATATCTTTTCTGAATTCAACAACACAAATTGAGCTGTTGACTTGCTTTTGAATCAAGAATGATGAAAGAGACATCAAGTATTGCAAGTGTCACTATGATTGCCACTTACGCATTCAAGACGTATAGGTAGTACCGAAAATAAAAACAAATCTTTTTGAATACATTCGTCCAATCCAGGTATATGTCTTTATGATATGCAATGGCGTCTTTATTCTCTGATGCAATCCTTATGGACAGCAACAAGTACTTTTCGCATAGACGAATGGATTTCTAATGCAATTCATAATTAACGAACCAAGTTCTTTCGCTTAAAGAACTAGTGCTTTCTTTTATAGAAATATAAAGTTAATGGTAACAACGACTTTTGCCATTTTCCGTATACTCATAAGAGATGTAAATAGTAAATATAAACAGGCAGTTGAGCGAGTGTGTTTTCAATAGAAAAATCAATAGAGAAACGATGCAGATCTAACTTGGAGGTCTTGTATGGTAATAATTGAGAGAATGTGAATTTCTCTGAGACCAAACATGATATGAACAGAAGATACTCTAGTATACCTCAGCCAACGAATATAGCCTCAATTTCCTATCTGTAGATAAAAAACCTTTGATTCTTGTCGGTCATAGTTGCACGACTTACTTCGTCCCATTTCATCCCTATATCCATTGCAGCAAACAAGAAACCCTATTTTGCAAGAATCATGTATGTAGAGAGACGCTGGCGCTTTCATGCGCTCAAAATGGAATTAAAAAACAGCGTCCAGAGTCTCACAATTATGAGCGTCGTTTTTCCCTTGTATTTACACTATGCATCCTCGAAACATTCTTAGCGTATCATCATTTCCTATAATTCATTCAGCGTTTGCCGCTGTTCATTTTTAAATGTAAGCATCCCCATTTCTTAGTTTTTCGTTTATTTTATTCCACATTCAGTGTAAACAAACATACTTGCCTGTTTGCATTTTAGTGTTTTGAAGTTACTACCAACTCGAGTCGCCATACTCGCGGCAATAGAACACTACTCACACAAAGAGTACCGCTCTTCTCACAATTTTAAACAAACTCTGTTTTACAATGATTTGTATGGACTAAATTCCAAGTATGAGTCCTCATCATCTCCCAAAAGAGACTGCCTTGAGATACCCATGGAAACAACCCTGGAATCCGGGGTTTTCAGGTCTTTCAGATCCTACTAATCCCATTGTATACGATGAAAAGACTGAAAATCAACAAAATGTTACTAAACAGACGCCGCATGGATCAGATGTGCATCAAATTGAGAGACGTTACAAGCACTTTCCAGGCAATAATGTCTTTTTCTTAGGAGGGAGATTCCAAATGTCTACGCAATTTAAAGCATTTGCACTTACACTGTTTGCCTTGCTTTTTCCAGGTGTGCTGTTTTTCGTTTTTAGTGCCTTTTGGTTATGGCATCATGTGTCACCAGCTATTCCTATAACATTTTCCTACATCTATGCATTAGTATTGGTTTCTATGCTGAAGTGCTCTACTTCTGACCCTGGAATTCTTCCTCGAAACTCCAACATTTTAATTTATGATCCTACGCATCCTTGGTCGGTGATTCCAGAAGATAAAAGAATTCTAGTCGGATCTACCCGTTCTGATTCAGCTTTTTTGATTACAACAGTTTATTGCCATACATGCCGTCTCTATCGCCCGCCTCGTGCTAGTCACTGCCATTTGTGTGACAATTGTGTTGAATACCTCGACCACCATTGTACCTGGCTTAATAACTGCATTGGAAGAAGAAACTATCGATACTACTTTATCTTTTTGCTTTCTTTGTTTTTCGAAGCTTTGTACCTGACGGTCTTGGGGTTTTATATTGCATTTGCCAGCTTTCGGTATGGCTCTGATGTAAATTTTGCCAGACATTTACAAAGACCGTGGGCCGGCGTGTCTTTTTTTCTTGGAATATATGCTGCATTGGGATCCATCTTTCCAGGAATTCTTTTGGGTTACCAGTGCTACTTGATCGGCTGCGGCCAAAATGTTCACGAATTTTTGCGTTCTAAAAATACTGAAACAGAAGACTTTCGGCCTTATCATAACAGCGTATGGATCAACTTTTTGACAGTTTTGTGTAGACCCAAAAACGTTAGTTATGTACGCCCTCGTCGAAAAGAAATGGTATAAGTTTAAGCTACCTTTTAAACAAAAAAGAAAGGATTGTGTCTGACTTGAGTCCAAAGGTTCCTATTTAGATCTCTTCTTTTTCTTTCTCTCATTCCTTTATTTTATATAGAATTTCCGACACTGCTATTTTTTGAAGCTCAAGAAACTGCATTCCAGTGCTTTTTCGTCTGTATCTTAGAACACTTCAAATAAACTTTTTCAAAATTGTCCTTCCCGAGCCTGGAGTATTAGCAAGACTTATTTCTACCCAGTCGTCATCATCTAAGAACGACGACTTCTCTTTCTTTTTTTTTTTATTCAAATGTTTATTTCTTCTCTACTTAAATTCTTATACATTTTCTTGCCCTGGACTTTTGACTGAATCCTAGTCATGTACTACTTACTACCTACATTACTGCCATCTACCACTCACTGTATATTTCCTCTCGGCTAGTGGAAATTTAGTACTTGATACGAATAGCTAAGAAAAACAAAGACGAGCTCATATGACTTCGATTGCGCAGCACATTCCACCAATTCCTGAGCCTTTTTCCTTGACGTTACTGGTAGGAACAAGAGAAACACCAGTAACCTTTTTGATTCACTACTATCTTCATCATTGCATTCGTGAACATCTGAAAGTTTGCTTTGTTTCATTTAGTAAAACAATAGATGAACATACCAATGCTCTTCGAAAATGGGCAAGTAATTTTGAGTAGCAAAAAATTTGTCATACTAACCTTAGGCATAGGGAACGGACGTAAGGACGAAGCCGAATTTTTTCTATGTTGATGGATATAGCATGTTGTTTGCTCCTGCTGTTATTCCAAGTAAAGTTCAGGCCAACGAGGTGAAAAACAATCCCAAACAGTTGTTTGCGCCTATTATAGCCTGCTTACAGCAAAATGAGTTTAATACAAACAATTCTATTCTTATAATTGAAGATATTGATGTACTTTTATCAACGAATTCTCTACAGGCAACTCAATTACAAGAAGCTGTCTTTGAGTTGCAAATGACATCAGGTCGGGCTGTGATCAACGTTTCGGTTGGAGCACCCCTACCTCGCCAAATATCCTTTGCTAAAAGTATAGGTCATCTAGCTACCAGATGCATTTCGTGTCGACCATTAACAAGTGGAAATGCTCGTCGAATTACTGGATTCATGAGGGTTACAAAAGGACCTAACCACTTTTTGAAACGAAGCGCGAATGAACTACCTGAGGATGATGACAAAGAGGTTCTATATGAGGTTACTGAAACACATGCCATTGTTCATCCTAAAGGTCAAGTGACCTTGCAACTCTAGAGCTTTTTGCTGTAAGATATATGAAAGATTGCTCATTGACCTTTTGAAGGACTACTGTCTTTTTTCTCATTATTTTGTTGATTTTTGGGAACCCATCGTTTTACCATAAAGACCCGTTGTAACTTTGAATTATCGTCATCTTCATTGTCCACATCGTTTTCAGCAGAGGAGGTTTCTACGACTACAGGCACCCATTCACGACTCCAATGGGTACTATTTTTATCTGAAGGAGTAGGTTCCACGCTTTCTGAGGTTCGATTCATCTATTTGAGCTTGACCTTTATTTTTGGTGGTAGTCGGTGAACTAAGTACTGCGAGTAATGAGCAAACTTCTCTTATTCGAAAAGTTTTGCAGCTTTTGAGTCATTTTTGTCTTTTTTACTTTTAGAAAGAAGTATTTGAAAAGTATATATTATCTGGAAAGTAAGGAATAATCGAGTTAGACGCTTTTGCTGATATTGAACTTCTTTGTCGAGCTACATTTGAGAATCCATAGTTTTTGAATTTTATGGAATCGAAAAATACATTGAGTCCTTTTTGGGCTGAAAAATACAAACGGGAATCCAAAAAATCATGGGATAAATTTTATAAACGAAATGAGACTCGATTTTTTCGAGATCGACATTGGCTGGATAGAGAATTTGATAAATACTTTGGATTACCTAACAAGGATCCATTGAGACTATTGGAAGTAGGCTGTGGAGTTGGAAATTTGGTTTATCCATTGCTGGAGGTACAACCAAATTTAAAGGTTTATTGTTGTGATTTTAGCCCCCGTGCCATTGAGTTTGTAAGAAAGCATGAGCAATTTAATGAATCCAAAGTTGTTCCTTTCGTATGCGATATAACAGAAGATCGGCTGGAACAATGGGTCTCACCTGGTTTTGTGGATACTGTGACAGCCATTTTTGTACTTTCAGCGCTTCCTCGTGAAAAGCAACAGAATGCTATTCATAATCTGTCATCAGTATTGAATCCCAAAGGACATCTGGTATTTCGCGATTACTGTGATGGAGACTTTGCTCAGGAGAAGTTTCAACAAAGCTCCGATCCTTCTCTCATAGATGAGCGAACCTTTGTTCGTCAGGATGGGACAATATCATATTTTTTCGTTGAACAAGAACTTAATCAATGGATGGAGAATGCTGGTCTTCGTTTAATCTCGCTGGATCGAGTTAACCGAACGGTCGACAATCGTAAACGAAATCTTAGTATGAATCGAACATTTCTTCAAGGGGTTTGGGAAAAAATGTAGACAAAAGACTCTCTAAATTAATTTTTATTAAGGTTAATTCTGATACTTCTCTCGTTGTAAGTAATCTTCAAACTTCATTTTCATATTACGTTTATGATAAAGTAACCTACAAAATAAGTTTTCCAAATGAGTAACTGTCAAAATGATTTCTGCATTTCTAAAATAAACAGTAAGTTATGAAAATTGTGGATCCTTCGATCTGTTGAGCTCAGTTATCGTCATTCTAACACAGCAACTTTCGTGAGCATCCCAAAAAACACATCTTCGATATTTTTAAACCCTTTAGCTGATACAGTGGGATACTAAATTTCTCAATTGCTGTAAGTAAAGCGATGGAAACAGATGTAAACGTTTTTGTAGTTCACAAAGAAAAAGAGTGGTTTGAACACAATGTATTACCGGGATTTTGGGACTCTGTGATTAATGAAGTGAAAGAGGCATTGGAATTGGTTGAAGGAGAAAGCCCTACAGTCCTTGTATTCTCATCGCCAAAGACAGATGCCGTGAAGGGAATTGTCTCTAGAAAAGGAACTTTAATTGACCGTATCAATCTTACAATAAAAGTGGGAAGGTCGACTCATATGATCAAGCTTGAAGAACCAAATACTTTACGATTAGACCAAATACTAAATCTTGTAAACTACCTGCGATACTTGCTGTACGTTTTACTGCGAATCAAAGAAAGCACCGGCCGCGCAATACAACAACTAGAGGAAATTTTACGAGCCATTGTTTTCTTATTGAATACGGAAGAAGCAGAGTCTAAGTCATCTGTGCCAGACTTAGTGTCACAAGCGAGCAACATCTCCATGCAGCCTTCCTCTTCCCAGTCATTACCGTCGACTTTTAGCAACCCATCCTCTTCCTATTCTCATCCACCATCACATGTGCATAAAACAGCCGCTAATAACCTATTTACTCCTCCATTACCACCAAACCTTGCGCTGAGTTTCAGCGTTTCAACATCTTCTGTATGTCTTCACCTGTTCCGATTGTTTGGCTCAAATTCAATCCTTGACTCTTTGAAATCTAGCAGTCTTGATACAAGTAAGATATTGCCATATACTTCTCAACGAATCGATGCGTTTTCGCAAGATCCTATTTTACTTGCCGTAACTGCGAAGCTTTCTGCTTTGCAAAAGAAAGTAAATGATATTTCCTACAGACTAAAAGTTGTTGAGTCTTCGGTTGATCTTAATGGATCGGCATAAATTGCCAATCGAGATGCAAGCAATCTTGCACAATCGAAGTCGAAACTTTGGTTGTAACGCTCGCTTCCTTGTTTCTGTAATATATTGTTCTTTTTTATTAACTATTTTTTTTTGCGACGACTTCATCCTTTTTAAATAACTTTGATGTTTCCATGTTGTTGAATGGGGTTTCATAGAATCTGATTATGTATATACGAACAGAAGAGTTCAATATTATGAGTTTATAACTTTTATGTTGCGAATACTATATGAAGATAATAAAAACCAACTCCAAACTACATCTGTAACAGCAAGCCGATTCTACTGAATCCATCTGGGGTGAACGATCAGGACAGTATTTTCTGATGAAAAGTCCTTTTACTATTGATTCCAAATGTAACAAGAATTCTTCTAAATAATACATAGATATTGTTGTGAACGTTTTATGGAACGAAAACATTTCCTTCCTCTTTACACTTTCAATACAGAAAAGGAATTGACAACATACAATCCTGGGAATCTTCAAAGTTTGGTCGTTCGTTTTCTTGCTTCCCATTTTTATATTTACATTCTAATTTCATTTGTTTTTTTGCAAAATTACAGAGCAACTGCATCGTTTTAAAGGGTTTTTATGGTATAGGAGATGTCTGCCGTAATTACACTGACTCCATTGAACGATTCTTTTCAAACGAAAAAACTAGTGCTCTCACCATCTGTTACTTACAAAGTAGGAAGACATACGAATAAATCGACCGCTCCAGCATCATCCAACCTATACTTTAATTCCAAGGTGCTTAGCCGACAACACGCAGAAATATGGCTGGAAAAAGACACCCTTGTGGTTTACGTTCGAGATGTAAAGTCTTCCAATGGAACTTTTGTTAATGGAAATCGACTGTCTTCTGAAAACAAAGCTTCTGCACCTTGCAAATTGAACTCAGGAGACGTTTTGGATTTTGGTGTCGATATCTACAATGAAGAAGAAATCATTCATAAAAAAGTATCTGCACAAATTCGAATACTAACACGTGGAGTTCCTGCTTCAATGGGCCCTGGTCGACCTCTAGAGACAGAAGTCATGTTGGACTCGATCATGCGTCAAATGGCAATTCAGTACCAGAGATGTGTAGAATTGAATGAAAATTTAGAAAGTTTAGAGCATGGTGTCCGAGGTATGTCAACGACTGCTGGTTTCATCAATAATTCTATTTATTTAGACAGAAAGTCTTCTCTTCGAACCTCTGATAGCATCAAGTCTGGCGAGTCTTCATCTGTCACTCGTGGATCCTTATCCACATCGTCACCAGATCAAGATTTACTTTCTCCTTCTTCTTTTGAAGATCCAAACAAGTCCACTAGTACTTCTTCTCCTCTTCCATTGTCCCATAAGCATACTACAGATGCTGCCATCAGGGAAGCTCAATTGGCCAAAGCGAATTTAGAGTCTTGGAAAGCGCGTGCTTTTACAGCTGAAGCAAAGCTTTCTACGAAACGAGGCTTCTGGTACAATAATCGAGCTTTCTTCCTTTCCCCCTTCTTCATCGCTGTTGCAGGAGTTATCGTATACCTAGGGTGCTGGAGGTAGGCGTTCTCTACCGATCCTTTTCCTTAGTTCCTCTGTCCATTCTTGATTCTTCCGTAATTAAAAATTATCTTATACCTTTGTTTTTTCCCTCTTCTCTTACCAAATTCCTCTCCTTTTGCATTCGCATTGGCTTTCCATATTCCGTCTGCAACGAATACTTTTTCCTTAAATCATTTTAATGAGCTCTTGTGAAGTTTGACAAGTATTTAACGAGACGGCGATAACAGCCATATTTAGAATAGCCCGTAATAGTGCTGTTTCCTTTATTAATCTTATATTATTTTAAGCTAATTCTAAGTTTCGCCATATTATAAATAACGGGATTTAGGAAGGCACGTTATATCACATCTCATGGTTTTTGCTTGTAGTACCCGGGAAAAAAAAGGTTTCTTTAGCAATCCCAACACTAACTCCTACATGGGTCTTGTGTTTTACTAGGGGGCTTAATGCTATCGCTGGAATCAAAACAAGATGTTTTGCCGAATCCGCGAATGCATAGAAAGGGACATTATCGTCGTCATAGCTTGCATTCTTTACAATCCCTGAAATTCAACACGGAGCCCATTTCCAAACAACTACTTACTGTGCCAGACGTAAATACCTCTCATAGAAGACATGAGCGCGTAAACAGTCTTGACGGTGCTAGTTTTCCAGCGAAACCATTCGGTGATGCATCTCGTGCGTCTAACAAAGTTACTCATCCTTCAATTCCCTTTGCATCTTCCAAGTATCTTTTTCCTATAGGTCGTGATTCTCCACCAAAAGATAGCTATTTTTCTGCGATTACTGAAGAACAACTGGAAGACGCTTATGCTGATTTTTGGAAGCCGACTGTGTCTCTCTCGTTGTCGTCGAAATCAATACATGATATGTCAGTATCCACGCAGGTAGTCTCAAAGATTAAGGACCAAGGGCCATTGTCTTCTGCTTCTGTCTGTGTGAGAATTGAGAAAAGTTTGTTGGATCATAATTGTCTGGTTCGGCAATTGGTCGAACTTGGGGCCACCATTCATCAGAAACCACAATTTAGTAAACAAAAACCAACGACTCACATGGTCCTGCCAAAAAACAGTACGCTAAATTTAGTGCTCGATACCGTATCCTCGGAAAGCACAATAAATTTCGTCTCGCCAGAATGGGTCCTGGCCTGTTATTCAACGAAAAAATGGGTTGACGAGTCTTCCTTCCGCATGAATTTCAAGCATTCGATACCAAGAAATATTTTGACGTCTTCCAAAGCTATGCCTGCAAGATCCCAAATATCTAGGATGAAAAAGGAATCGGACCCTTCTTTACAGAATCTAGATGTACTGTCTCGTCACAATCCGAAAACTAGCTCCAACAAACCGGGAGGAATTGAATATGTTTTGAATCCATCGTTTGCTGAAAATGTTCGCTTGGTCAAGGAAAAGTCCATGTCTCACTTAAATGCAACTTCTCATAATGTGGCTTCCACGAGAAAAAGATTAAGTGTAAGGGATGGTGTTTTTCGCTTTCAGGAAACCGGTACTTGGATAATGGATTCTCCTTTTAGTCCATCCAAATTATCCAAATTATCTCCCCGTCAACGAAAACAACTGGAATCTGCCAAGAAGAAATATTTGGCTTACGAACCCATCGTTGGATCACCATTAAAACAAAAAATTCCTTTCTTCGATCTTTGATTGTACACAACTTTTGGCTATAGCGGCCGCCTCAATCGTTTGGCCAGTTTTTCGCTCTTTTTATCCATATATTTATCTTGTATTTAATCTTCTTTCGTTCATTTCTCTTTGTTTTCTTCGTTTCAGTGACACATTCTTTTCCTATCTCACTCTTTACTTTTCAAGCTGTTATTTGTTAATTTTTTTTTTTTTTTTTGCTCAGACGATGGACCTTATACATTTACTTCTACGTGTCTTTCACTTTGATGAGTTTATTGTTATGGTTGAAACTTGATTTTCCCAAATACAGTGTCAATGGACTCCATATTCTAATAAATGCCATTAATTTACTCTGTTTTCTCTTGGACTATCTTTCCTGCATGGTTCTGTATTTTTTATTACGTTCGTTTTCTTAGAAAATTGTTAAAAATGAGGTTCTGTTACTCCCCTCTTCTATACTAAAAAGAAAAAAAGAAAAAAAATTCCATAATGTTTATTTCATTCTCATCATTAATAAATGTAAAATGTATTGTTTAAAATAAGTGAATATTGTTTTTATTTATTTACCTATGAAACTGTTTACTACGATAAGGACCTTGACTCACTTGACTACGTTAAACTACAGTTTGTGTAATTACGGTGGAATTTACTAGTCTGTGCAAACAACGCAAATCTGACTCCTTCCTTCACCAACATTTTTTTTTAGCTGGATCGAATACACTGAAAGTAGTGGAGGTTCAATCTCTCTGATATAAAAAAAAAAACTCATACGATATCGTTTCCAAGATGGCGTTGGACCTCCGAATTGGAAACAAATATCGCATTGGACGTAAAATTGGAAGTGGCTCCTTTGGTGATATTTATCTAGGAACAAACATTGTTTCTGGTGAGGAAGTAGCAATCAAGTTAGAGTCTACAAGGGCCAAACATCCTCAACTGGAATACGAATATCGAGTTTACCGCATTTTGTCAGGTGGAGTAGGAATCCCCTTTGTCCGTTGGTTTGGAATAGAATGTGACTATAATGCTATGGTTATGGATCTTCTAGGACCATCGATGGAAGATTTGTTTAATTTTTGTAGTAGAAAGTTCTCTTTGAAGACAGTTCTTCTACTTGCTGACCAGTTGATATCACGAATCGAATTTATTCATTCCAAGTCGTTCTTGCATCGTGATATTAAGCCTGATAACTTTTTGATGGGTATTGGAAAACGCGGTAATCAGGTTAATGTAATTGATTTTGGTTTGGCAAAGAAGTATCGGGACCACAAAACCCATCTTCATATTCCTTACCGTGAAAACAAGAACCTTACCGGTACTGCTCGTTATGCAAGTATTAACACTCACTTGGGTATTGAACAATCGCGCCGTGATGATTTGGAGTCATTGGGCTACGTATTGGTTTACTTATGCCGCGGAAGTCTTCCTTGGCAAGGGTTGAAGGCTGCAACAAAGAAACAAAAGTACGAAAAGATCATGGAAAAGAAAATCTCTACTCCTACTGAGGCTTTATGCCGTGGTTTTCCTCAGGAATTTGCCATTTATTTAAATTATACTCGCTCTCTTCGTTTCGACGACAAGCCAGATTATGCTTATCTTCGCAAACTCTTCCGAGACCTGTTTTGCAGACAGAATTACGAGTTTGACTATATGTTTGATTGGACTTTGAAGAGAAAATCTCAGCAGGATCAGCAAAATCAACAGCAGCTGCAACATCAATTGGCCGCATCAGCGCAGGTTACGTCGCCGCCTGAACGTTCATCCTTCAAAAACTATCAAAAACAGTCATTTGATGACAAAGGCGAAGTGAAAACTACCGCTCCTGTAATCAGTGATATGCCTACACCCACCGCTCAGTATATTCAAAGACCCAACTAAATTTAATAATTTTAGCCGAATTACTTATTCTTTTACCTCATTTCTATCTTATCCCATCCAATGTCTCCTTTGATCACCGTTTATGTGTGCTGTTTGTTTTTAATTAGAAGCAATGACTTATTTTCATCCAGCAATTCTGTGGTTAGTTATCATGTGTTCTCATATGCTTTTTTCCTTTCTATTCGAATGACTCATTGATTTTACTGCCATCAATTTTTGCTTAGAATTGGGTTTCTCTTATTTCTTACTTAACCTGGGCTGAATGGATGCACCTTGGATACTTCATAGTTCTTTATGAATTCTCCGTTTAGTATTGAGCCGGTGAGTAACGAAATGCGGTTCTATTTTTTTCACGAATCTAGGGTATTATGAATTGATGAAGGATAATCTGAACGGATAACCTAGCCTTTGATTTTGTAACTTAAATTTTTCTTCTGGTAAAGGGTAGGTTCCCATTGTGTACGTTTCGTTTTGACATTTTTTATTGTCCTTACATTGAGAATATATACGATATGAGTGGTTTGCCTAATAGTTTCCTAATTGAAAGCTACCCATGAATAGGTTGCTCTATTTTAATGCTTTGATTACTGTAGCGGCTTCCAGTTCTATGTTATTTATTAAATAATTCAAGTTTGTACTTTCCAAGGTAGATGCGCTTATCGTTTTTCAATTTATGTTTCAGTTTATTTTGTCCTGTGAAGTCAATTCTTATCGCATAAAGTCAAAGCAAGTATTCACCATTCAGGTAAAATGATTTTGTCATTGCTAAATACCTTTTTCTTCTATACACTAATAGTGTTCATAAGTAAGCTATAACTCATAGTATTCTATAATACAGATTAATTGTATATTATTAAAAGTTTAGTATTGAAGGTCTTTTTCGTTGAAGGATAATAGGAACTCATATATAGCTCTCTTACTCTCCTACAACACAGTCTTAACTAAACATATCGATTAAAAGCGAAAAGGACGGTTTGAGAAAGCAGTAACGTTACAATAAACCATTTAAGGAAATAACTTTTACAATTTTCAAATAATTTCATGAATATCGGGTCATATGATCTCAATATATAAGACAAGCATTGACTCGCTTTCAATAGAGGTTGCATGTTGAACCTTTGACCTTTGCAATTATTATTTCTTAAATTATTAATTTGCTTTTTTGTCTTGTAAGACCTTAACTGTCATGACTGAAAAGACCCTTACATATTCGAAGTGTGTTGAATTGATTTCAATTATTATAGGATGCGATTCAGAGGCTACATTGTTAAAACAGTTGAAAGAGTTTCATTATTTAATGAAATCGGAGATCTCTAGTTCATTTTTTCCGCAACTGTTCATACGAGATCATGGTTTTACCGCAATAAAAAAGGCTTTGACAAAATTGACGTTTCATTCATTCCAAAGCTTAGAAGTTTTTGAATGCTGTTTACAAATTTTGAGCATCGCTACCTCATATACGATTTTACGTTCATGGCTGTTGACAAGAAAACATATAGATACTTGGATTGAGTTAGCTGTCCAAAGACTACTTTTATCTTACGAAGAAAGTATTGAAGGGCCTGCTATATCTGCTTTGAGTTCCGATTCTTCCACAAATGAGCTAAAACGATTAGATATTTCTAATGGGTCGGACAAAAGCAGTTTGACAGCTAGTTCAAGAGATGATGACTTTAATTCCCCAGATTCCAGTGTAAAAAACCCTTCCACTACTTACCTAAAGTGCAGACTTATGCTGACAATATTAGCATTTTCTGTGAATGACAGTAACCTTTCATCAGAGAAAGGTACTTCGTTTTTTACTTGCAAATCAAACTATTCGTCGTCCGAACTTATAAATTCAGTAGAATTGTGCCTCCAAAATGCCGCAGAAAAGTATCTGGCTTTTGCGGATGTTTTACCCCAAGTAATTCTCTTATGCCCCTCGATATCCATTCTAAACTTGCTTTTACATCATCTGCAGAAATTGGTCAAATCCTCTCCGGAAAATGCTATTAAAATATCTTCCTCAAAAGTAATGGATTATCTCTTGATTTATTTATTTGATCCTCCAAACAATTATACTATTACTGAACCTTTGAAGGACTTGCTTTATGATATTACATTGAATTGTGCGAGTTATGGGCTGTCAAACAATAATACTGCAAAGATCCTAAATATTTATATCAATGGAAAGTCTCCTTTAGCACGATACTGGCTCGCCGAAGCTTTGTCAAAGCCAGTATCTCCGGCTCTTTATTTCAACCCTCTTGTCAAAGGTTACTCCTCCATTGATTTCACTTTAAGCACCCCCGTAACTCCTGACAATGGATATTCGATTTCTTTATGGTTACACTCTGGATGCTTGATGGAAACTCTTAATATAAATAAGAAGTTTGTTCCAACGACAATATTTTTGGTCACCGATTTTTTGAAATCTCCTTTGCTTCGTGTAATGGTTGATCCATCTACAAATTCAATCAGCGTCCATTTCGGTTCATATGCCACAAGCAAAGACGCTTGTATTATCAATTACTGTACTCCTTTGACGAGATCTTTTTCAAAAATTTTTAACAGTGTTAAAACACCTACTTGGCGTTTGATAACTCTCGTTCATAGAAACGAAAAGTTGTCTTCTATGCTTGATTTGTACATTGATGGAACATTTGTTGAACGTGCGCCCTGTTCATATCCTTTCATTCAATCTTTACTTCAACCACTTTATATTTCTCTAGGTCCTTCTATGGGTTCCAAAGGCTTATTTCAAACGTCTGCAGATAACAATCAGCGGAAAGGTGGTTCTCTAAAAAGTGATATATCTGAAAAGAACAGGGAGACGAATGATTCGTCTGCTAATTTATTACCATTAATGATCGGAACGACTAGATTTTTCACGGAACCATTACTTTCTTCTCAGATTGCTATTATATACGGTTTGGGCCCCAATTATACTGGTTCTTTTCAAGGTTCCATAAATGAGTTTTTAACCTATAAAGCATCTGCCGAATTAAGTTTAGAAGTCCAAGCATCGAATTTGAATGCAGAAGATGTTCTGAGAAATATTAAAAGTATCTCGTCTTCTTCCATAGCTTTCACCGCTTGTGCTAAAAACTATATCAATATAAGTGACCCACGGTTATCTGACTTCAGTTCATTTAGCGTTTTGGATACACTGAAGAACTTGCAAGATCAGTTTTACTCCTATGTGTATATAAACAGAGCAGTTCCATCATATAACCAAATCTTTTCGATAGATCAGCCTAGTTTTGGAGTTTCATCAGGTTCTGTTACTCCTGTCGTTATGCCATCTTTCAGCGATGCTCTATATAACGTTGGTGGTTCTAGTATACTATTGAAGCTAGTTTCCATAGCTGAAACAGAGGACGAGCTCAATTTTGGGTTGTTGTTTTTTCTTTCAGCGATCGAAGACAATTGGCGCTTTTCGGAACAAGTTGAACAAGGTCATTCTTTCGAAATTTTAGCTAAACTCCTTCGTTCAAAGTCACATCTATTAATTTCCGAGGAAACACTCCGATCAATTTCGTCCAAAGCCGGTATTCATCATGAACGTTTTAAACATCCCTTCATTATTAATCCCCTTCTCTTTCGTTATCTCATGCTTGATTTTGACCTTTGGTCTAAAGCAAAAAATAATCATTTAGTGATTCAGCAACTTGGCTATATTGTTTCACTCATTGAGAACAATGAGTATTCCGCTTTGAATATAAAACGGTTAATGAGGATGCAAGTTTTAAAAAAGTTGCTTGCTGCAATGAGAGGTCGATTATTTCGTTTGGATGTTCTTCCCCTTCTAAAAGTTGTTCTGAAAATTCTATTAACTGCTTCTTTTGTTTCAGATAATGTTCGAACGATTGTAACGTACATCATATATGCAGCTTTTGCTACGAAAAGAAGTTCTCGAACAAACCGACTTTCAAACGCTTCTCCAAACTTTAAAAGACCTGAGGAGGTAGGTGAGTATTTGGATATAAAGGAATCGGGCCATGCGGTTTGTGAGGTTTTTGTAAATCTTTTAATTGAGAGTGATCAAGAACCATCTTTTCTTCGGCGTTTCTCTTCTATGATTACTCCAGCATGGTTACTATTTCTTATAAGGCAACCTGATAGTCATTATTTTTTATTTGGTTTAAGATTGCTAAATCAGTCCGTGTGTAGTTTGGGCTCCAGCTTTATTTCAAAATTCTCACAGAAATTTCACGGATTTTTAATTTTGAAAAGTAGCTTGCCTAACCAAATTCATATCGAAGAGGTGTGGTTGAACTTAATCCTTTTAGCATTAGGTCTTGGTGTTCGGGGAATTGAATTCAAAAGTGATTGCACATTTGAAGAAAAGCTTAATTTCATGCTCTTGAATTACAAAGATCGAATTTTTCCTATTTCAGAGATGATAGTGATATTACTGGATTCTGTTTATATGGTGCTAAAGAAGTTAAGTCTTTCTGAAGCGGATGTGCAAATGAACGAATCTTTGTATTACGCTCAGCAAACATTACTTCTCTTGACTGATGCTCAGATTTCTTATTCTCTTAATATAAGTCTAAACTTTGATTTGAATGAACACATAATTCGAATGGTGTTTCCTTTTTTCTCTCCTAAAGAAGATATAGTTCCAGAACAAGAAATTCGTGAATTGATGGAGCATGTTCGTCACCCACTGCCTCGTAGCTCATCTTCGAAAGCGTTCAGTCAGGGCATAAGAAGATCAGTTAGGAAAATGTCAGTAAGTGGATCTAACAGACGGGTAGTAACCCCTTTAACCAATCGTGTCCGCCAGGAACTGTTAAATGAACAGCTACAAAAAAGTAATCTACAGCCTAGTTTGTCACCAAAATTCGATACTACTGCGTTCTTCGAAAATACTGTTATAGATGGATCTAACTCAAAGAAACTGATTAATGGTCTTTTTATTTCCTTTTTGACTAACGCTTATGATCGAATCGTCGCGGGTCAGGGGTTAAGCCTCTCCAAGTTAATAGTTTCTTTGCCCTCTAGTACAAAAGCGAAAAAATCTTCATTCGTTCGGGTTGTTTTTCATTTGATCCTTCAACAGCTCATTGAGTCAGTAAAGGACGATAAGATGTTTTTAACGAATCCCCATGTGTTAATTAATTTCAGCTACATGTTTACAAAGTACTTAAGGTTAAGACTTGTTGGTTTTATTGAAGAATCCTGTTTAAGCACTATTGATGAAATTGGGTATTTGCTTGAAAAACTTGATTCTATAGAGAACCATTTGGAGTTTTTCCCTAAAAACGCAAAGTATACTATTAGTAATTTATACGGGTGCTTTTTAAGGTTGATTCTATTAGAGCTTGCTCGAACGAAAGAAAGGAATGATGGAGCTGCCATGGAGCATGTTATGAAGAAAATACTCTACTGGCAAACACCTTTACTTGTATCTAAAAGTTATCAACCAGAACTTTTCCCATTTCTTTGGTACAGTATGTATATAGTACTAAAATTCGGCAACGCAAGGGCACGTTTAAGCGCTGTCGACGTTTGGCGTTTGCTATATATCCAATCTCCATACTTTTTAGATCAAGTGAACAAAAGTTTCAGAACCGAATTCTCGTTTAGTCAAAATGTGCAAACCATTACAGGATTACAGTCTGACCAGTTTCTTTCTTGGCTACAAGAAAATACGGCTGAAGCCGATAAATTTATGCAAACGTGCTTCTCTTTTCATTGGGAAGATTTTATAAAGCAAGAACATAAGGCTGCTGAAGACGAACTGTCATCTTTAAAATTAACACGATTAGAATTTTTGAAGAAAAGTTTGACAATAGCTTCCAGCGAACAAAATCTCATTAATGAAATGTCGCATTCTTATGAGGCTTGGATTTCAAGTCTGTATTCGTTGGAATGCACCCGATTTCGGAAGCTATTCCAGGATCAATCAGATCAAGAGAACTTTGTAATGTCAGCTGTATTTTATAGTCAGAGTGAATTGGCGGGTGAAAACTCGATTCTTTCTTCAAGTCCCGATTTATGGGAACTGGATTCTACTGAAGGATCAGAAAGGATGAGGAATCGTTTGAGACCATGTATCCTTCCTCCAAAAGAAATGAATCCAAAACAGGAATTAGAACGACAAACGTCGTCAACTGCAGGAAATCGGAGCTTTGATTCTTCTGTGAGCTCTGAAATTCCCCTTCGCACACAAGTGAAAGAGGATATTACGCTAATGGTTCCATTTAATGAAGATACTTTACATGATTCGGAGGCTGATACTACTAATGAACCAACCTTTGGTAAGGATGATGAAGACAATGAGGATGAAGAGGATAAAGAAGATAAAAATAGAACCGTTATGCGCTCCATTGTTCCGGGAGATACTATACAAGACGCATATAATGTTTCTAGGATTTTTGGTTTAGAAGCTATGGAAGGTATTTTGCTATTAGGAAAACAATATCTTTATTTGATGGATAATTTTTTCTTGCGATCAGATAATGAAATCGTCGATATAAACGATAGCAGCGTGACTGATGAAAAAGATCCGTACCTACAGCTTCTTAATATGCAATCAATAAACTCTTCGAGGAATACGCTTCCTACTGTTTCTAGAGAAAATAGCTGGTATTGGAATTTTTCTGACTTATCTTTAGTGCTCAAACGCTTTTACTTGTTACGAGATGTAGGAATTGAGCTTTTTTTTAAGGATGGGAGAAGTTTTTTGACTATACTTTCTACAGCTAAGAGCCGAGATGCACTTTATCAAAAGCTAATAGCAAAGGCCCATGGTGCGGATGTTCTTTCAACTAGTCATTTGGCTACATCGATGAGTCGTGATCTTGGAAAAGCTACTAACAAAACGAGCTTTATTGGGTCAAGGCTAGCAAATGTTCTATCTTTTAACAGTGGACATCCGGCTACCAAAAGATGGGAAAGACACGAAATCTCAAACTTTAATTATTTGCAGATAGTGAACACGCTTGCGGGTCGCACGTATAATGACTTAACCCAGTATCCGGTTTTTCCTTGGGTGATTGCTGATTATACTAGTGAAGAACTCGATTTAAGCAATCCTAGGACTTTTAGAGACTTATCGAAACCAATGGGTGCACAATACCCTCCCAGAGAAGCTCAGTTTAAAGAGCGTTACGAATTATTATTAAGCTTAGGTGACCTGCAACAAAAGCCATTTCACTATGGTACTCATTATTCGTCTGCTATGATTGTCTGCTCCTATTTGATACGCTTAAGACCATTTGTTGATTCATACCTCGCTCTACAAGGAGGACAATTTGACCATGCAGATAGGTTATTCTACTCAATTGAGCAAACTTGGAATTCTTCGTCTAAGGAAAATATGGCAGATGTTAGAGAGTTAATTCCTGAGTTCTTTTATCTTAGCGAAATGTTTGTCAACAGTAACGGCTTTGACTTTGGAGCAAGGCAGAATGAAACAAAACCAATAAGCGATGTCATTCTGCCACCATGGGCAAAAGGTGATCCAGCTATTTTTGTCCAAAAAAATCGTGAAGCTCTTGAAAGCAAGTACGTGAGTTCACACCTTCATGAATGGATTGATCTTGTGTTCGGTTATAAGCAGCGGGGTGATGAAGCAGTTGAATCGACAAACGTTTTCCATAATCTTTCATATCAAGGATCAATCGACCTTGAAAATATCGAAAATGAGTTTGAATTGGCGGCTGCAGTGGGAATTATTCACAACTTTGGGCAAACTCCCAAGCAGGTTTTCAAAAAGCCACATCCTCCTCGCGGGCCGGATTTTACAGACACTCCTTTGGGCCCTTACTTATTTGGCCGTTTTGAAAATAACATGGGATTATTATTTCAAAGCGTTTCACCTATAATAATAATATCGAAAAAAATTGCTCATATCCTGTATGACCCTACGAAAGATACTCTTCGTGCCTTTTCTGCTGATTGTGTCCCTTTGTCGTCTTATTCCAATTTAATATGGAATGGTGTAAGTAGTGATGTAGAATTGGTAATGGAGCAGACCGATTCTAAATTAGTTGTCTTTGAAGAGTTGCATTCAGATAAAATCACACATCTGTTAGTATGTGATGAAAGGACTTTTTTGACTGCATCTTCTGATTTAACCCTTCGTCTATGGCAATTATCGGACTCGAAACCTGTACGATTATCTTCAAAAAAAGTTTTATATGGCCATAGGGCAAATATTACTTCCGTAGCTGTTTGTAAAGCGTTCAGTATCATTGTTAGCGGTGATGAAACTGGTCATTTAATGGTTTGGGACTTGAACCGTGCAGAATTTGTCCGATCAGTACGTGTCTTCAGGCAATCGATACAGACCATATCCGTCAATGCAAGGAATGGGGAAATTGCTTTTTCAGCTGGTCATTGCTGCTGTATTATAGATATAAACGGCAAAGTCCTTGTAAAGGATACTCTTAGTCGAATTTACAATTCGAATTTAAATGAGGACATATGCTCTTCTTGCTTTTATACTGGTGCAAATTCAGAGTGGTTGAATAAAGATTTATTTTTAACTGGCCACGAGGATGGTATTGTACGCATTTGGGAAAAAAGGCTTGAGTCCAAAGTGAAGTTGGAATCCAATAACTTTTTTGATAAGCCGAAATGGCGTTTGCATCTTATTCGTCAACTTCAACACAAAAGTGGTTTTGGCCGTAACAAAAAGCCTACCCGCCAGACTATTACGTGCATTACATGTAGCGGTCAAGCTCGTGGTATATTCATTGGAGATAATCTTGGTCAAGTTCATGCTTGGATGTTACCGGATACCACCTCCAACGTACATGTTGAACGTGATACGACAACTGATCTTTGTTCTTTATGCGATACTCGATTTTCTCTGATGGAATGGAGAAGCCAATGTCGTGCATGTGGAAATTCCAATGTATGCAGCGATTGCATTTCTATCTTGAAAAATACTAATATTAAGACTTGCTATGAATGCCACAGACAATTACCTTCATGCTATAAGGGATGAAAACGTTAGAAATGATGCAAGCTTATGACTAATGATGAACATCCATTCAAACTTGAAATGGTATAAATATAATATTAGATGTTTATAAGACCTTTAAAGGATACAATAGTATTTTTTTTTTTTTACTCGTTTATAAATGCAAAAATTAAATAAACTATTATTACCCTGACGTCCATATGATAACCAAACTTTCAAACTGTGCTTAGAGATTTTCTAAAAGTAAAAGTATTAAAGAACCTTATTGAGAACGTTTTCAACTTTTCTTTGCTCATTTTCGTTTTTAGGCATAACGCGTTTATTGGTAACACTTTTTTGATCGAAGAAACGGCGCATTTCTTTGTTGGAAGGGCCAGTCTCAACGGGAGTATCATTATTAGAGGAAGGGACTTCAGAAGAAGCAGTTCTCTCTTTTCTCTTTTTCTGAATACCCTCAATCATCTTGGCACGTTCAACGTTCTTCATGTACTCCTTTACTTGCTTACGGCCCTGTTCAATCTCAACCTTCAATCGGCTGGCCCTGGCAGCATTTTCTGCGGCGATCTGTTCGGTTAAGTGATGCCATTTAAATTTAGGAAGGTATTTCATATTCCAAATGTCATCATAATACCAACTAGTTTTTTTACCGCCAATTTTTTCGGTGTTTAACATTTCAGCGACGGTTTTCGCAACACGCTTGCTTTCAAATTCCACCCAGCCCTCTTCGTACATGGTTCTCTTATTTCCGCCGCCTTTCAGACGTTTGGCACGTTTTTGAGCAGACTCCGGAGCAAGGTATATTCTACCAATTTTACCATACTGGGATAAAAGCTGGCGAAGCTTATTGGGTGCCATATAAGGAGGGACTTTCGATAAGTAAATAACTCCCGATCGTTTAGTAGCTTTCTTTTTCTTTTCGACTTCTTCTAAAGAAATCTTATTCAGTGGCTTTTCTGATTTGATAGCTTTTGCGTTCTCTTTATCATTCTCTTCATCAAAATCGCCTCCAGTGTAAAGTTCGACATCGCTATTGTCTTCAGCATTGTATCTTTCATTTTTCTCTTCGTCACTTTCATTATCGTCCTCTTCAGACACATTTTCTGTAAAACCTCTATAAGCGCTCCCACCGCTGCTTTTGTCATTTCTGGAGGAACGAATTGTAGCTCTAGAGATTATATCATTGTCTTCCTCTTCACTTGAAAAATGTTGAAAACGATCGTCCTCTTCTTCTACGGCACCAAAAAACTTTGCTGCTTCAGACATTTTCTCAGCGTGAAAACGAACGATATATACTTTTCAAGAAACCTTTTTGAGTTTTAAGAAGAGAGAAACAAAATAAAAAAGACGAAAGAACGTACTAATACAGCCTCTTACCCCAAAAATCCTTCTTGTTTGGTTTTTTAATGAGTTTGGCTGCACCCTTGCATGCAAAGGACATTATGCTTCCCAGGTAACTGTGTTACCTGGGTAAAAAGAATAAATACCAAGTATGAATCGAATTATTTGTTTATTCAATAGGAAAAAGAAAAAAATAAAAAGAATGCATTCATTTTAAAAGATTCGAGAAAGGAGATGGGTTCCGCTGGCTTCTGTTCAACTTGTCATTTACTCGAGGAGTAAGAATGTAAAAGGCATTTGGTGAAAGGACGCCCCAATTTGCTGAATGAGCTTCAGACAGGTCCTAATTCGATTAAAATAAAGAAAGTAGAATCATCAGTACTCCTCTCAAGGAAGAAATATCAGAAAGTTGGCAAGGAGGAAAGAGGTTGAAAAAAACAGATTTCGTAGACATGCAAAACGAACGAATACTAACATAACCTCAATCAGAAACATTTGGGATTGGAATTTTTTCGATCATAGAAAACAAATTAGAAGGTGGTTCAGAGGTCGAGAAAGGGAATAGGGAATTATAGTTACGGACAGAGAAATTTAACAAATGGTTCAAAAAAGTATGGAGTGAAGGATCGTTAACATGAAAGGTTGCGAATTTCAAGAGTGTTTTCATGCAATGGTACTTTGAGATGATATTGGCTTCTAAAGGGGGAACATTCAAATATGTTGTAGGAGTAAAACAAGTAGACTGATACAATGCATCAAAGCTTAGAAGAGACGTTTCTAAGTAAGGGAAGAATGGTAACTTCGATATTACGTCTAGCCATAAATAGATGGCATTCCTCTTCATTTGAGGATTGGGAAGGCTCTTCGTCATTAATACCATTAAGTCACAGACCTGTTCAGTCAAAAATTGCTTTGTACTTTGAAGTTTTGTCTTTCCAAGAGGTTCCATATTTAGAAAGTGATCCAATTCTGGCGGTAAGCAACTGACTTCTTGAAGTTTTGATATGTCCCAGTCGAAGTTTGGGCTGGTTGGCATTTCACACAGTCTTAGGTAAGGAAGAGAGCTAGTTTGAATAATATTTTTCGGTCTGTTCGTTGAAAAATTCTGGAACTTCCCTAAATAAAGTTTGGGTCGTTTCAGCGGATCTTCAAATATAGAACTGTATTCCATCCATAAAGAGATATCTTGATTTAGCAATATGACAGAGCTCTCTTTATGTAATAAAGACTTCATCATCTTTATTGTTTTCCGCGTCTTTGTAATACAAGAATCCACTAGTAAGCAATCAATTGCAGGCATTTTATGTGTCTCTTTATAATCTAATCGGCCTACCTTTTCTGGGGGATCGATGACATTGGAACCTTCTCTGTAAATATTTAAAAAGTTACGAGCTCTGTAGCTCCGGAATGGTTTCGGGTTAAACAGAAAAGGTCGGTCAACTTGGTCTTTTAATAAAGAGGAATAAGCCAGGGTATATCCTGCATTCACGGGCCCCAAAATACACTTTCTGAATTCTTTTGCCATTCTACTTGCACCTTTAAGGAATCATACAGTTATATATGAATTTTTTAGAAATACTAAAACATTAAAATACTTCTTTCAGCTCGAACTAATAAGTTTTCCTGTATGTCCTGAATGTTGTGAGTCCGAGAAGTGGTTTCTCTGCCTGCAGACGGTAAAGAGTCAAGACTCACAGAACTAGTTTATTAAAATAAACCATGTTTCCATTTATACTTTGTCTTTGGTAGCTACTGAATATATTTGTAAAAATAAATAAAAACCATATAAAAAAAAAGACAATTAAAGACGGAGTAAACTAAAGGAAAAAAGTCAACAGAATACAAATAAGAAATGAAATCATTAGATTTTGTGCTCATTTTAAATTAATTAAAGAAGGTATTATCAGTAGGAGATATTATTTGGTTGGAACTCCCATATAAGTAAACACTTGTTTAGTAGTGTTATTTCCAAAAAGATATTCTGTTTTCATTTGAAAAAGTGAAGCTTTCAAACCTTATATGTATGAAAAAGCAAATTATATAACGAACGACGTGCATCTGGGCAGAAATGAATAGAAGCAATGCCATTAGTTAAGCAGGGCAAAGATCGTAATTTGTAAACGTTTTTAAAGACCAGAAAAAAAAAAAAAGGAAAAGAATGACATGGAAGACATAATAAAACATCGTCTTGCCGGCTTGAGGTAATCAAGGAAAGACTTCGTCAGCGTAATCTATTAAAAAGGAAAGAGCATAATTCTTTATTGTCATGTCAACGACATCACGTTCATTTGCGGGATCTCGCACTAAGGTGGGAGAGAATACGACAGCTAAATTCTTAGAATTCATCAAATTTTCAGAGCTATACTTAGCAACCTTGGACAAATGTTTTATAATCAAGCGCAGGATTGTCGAGTGAACGGAAGGTAGTCTTTCAATAACGCCTCTAAACCCTTCAAGCTTTTCTTGAAACGAGGTACAACTTCCTGCTAAAATAAAAGAAAAGTACTCTTCAAAGGTTATAATAGGATTTGGGAGATTTCGAAGGTACTGTTTTAGTACAGAAGTCACAGCAGAAATGTCATCTGATGGGTGGAGAGCAACGTCTTCTTCTTGCAGCAATGTCCATATTCTTTTCATTTGGGACGTTGCACCACTTTTCCGATAAAGACCTTCATAATCCAAGCCATAAGTCTCAACGAAATTTATGCATGCTGGAATAAGAGAAGGAACTTTAATCAATGTTTGATTTACACTGTCAAACTGCTCAGAGTCTAAAGGTGCAGAAGAAGCTAGTTAGGTTAATAACAATATGAAGTAGTCAAAAATGAGCGTACCATTGTTTCTTTGTATTTGATATTGCTGATCAATTGTGGAGCTGAGACAATCCTGATAATGACCTCCCAGTTGGGTCGAGTACTTTCCACACAGTTTACAAAAGCCAGCTTCAGGAACGTTATCTTCCTGTTCTCCTACTCCAGTCTCCTCAACGATACTTGAAGGTGTAGGAACTCTTGATTCTCTCTTCCATTGGAATTTTTTCGATAGACTTTTTCTAAGATCAAGTTTCGAGTTACGTTTAAAGCCTTCATTATCTTTATTACTTTCCTTATCTTTAGGTCTGAACCCAAGGCTCGAGGCAACCATCTGTAACCTAGACGATGATTCACGCGGAGATTGAGAAGGCGAAGGTGAATAGCTTGAATTGCCAGATTTTCTACCAAACAACCCAAACGATGTTTTTCTTTTACTCTGGGCAGATTCTCTTAAAGTCGAAAGTTCTCTCTCCAATTGATTATTTAGGCTCGCTAATTCAGTGTTCTTAACGTTCAGATAGGCAGTTTCTTCTGTTGCTGTGTTATATGCATTTTGCAATTTTGTAACGGTAGCTGACAAGGCATCCCGTCGTAACAGCAAGGATGTTATTTCCGACTGGAATGATTTCGACAGGTTATCAAATCTTTCCACTAAATTTGATACTAACTCTTGCTCCAATAATTCAGCTGGCATACACGGGACGGTATCAGTAAACGATGCTAAGGTTGAAATTTCCTGTAATAAAGCGCCCCGTTCTGTCTGAAGATATGATACTTCCGCAACTAGATCCTTGACATGTTCTTCTGTAAACTCAAAAACGTTGGATGAAAATACATCACTGGCACGAACCAAAGAACTGCGTCTTCGACTACGCTCAAACATATGGTTTGCGTTGCCTTGAGATAAAGTAAAGCTTTTAGCACGGGGAGAAAAAGTCAAAGAGGAAGGTGTTATCGCATTACGTGAAGGTTGAGTGCCTAAGTCATTTGAAAGGCAAGGGTTCTTTTTTGACAATCTGGATGGATATCGAGGAAATTGACCTCTTGTCGGTGAATAATCTTGTTCTCCAAAAGTCTCTTGTCTGAGATCTCTATTGTTCGAAATGCTATTCCGAACATTAGAGGTCTGGCCATTTATATTATTGGTTACGTCTCGAAAAGCGGTCCTTAATTTGCTAGGTGACGTTTCTGTACGACTGTTAAGAGCACCATGCTTGGAAGGAGAATTGGTAGCAGATTGAGATTGAAAATAAAAAGGAGCAGCTTTTTGAAACTTCGGATGTACAAACTGCTCGCTTCTTGGAGAATGGATTTGCATATCTCTCTCAATAGAGTTTTGAGTATTAGGATGGAGAGATTCGGAAGCTAGAAGGTTAGAGTCGATAGTATTGGAAAAGCCAGACTTGGCAGACTCAAAAGATCCAGAAAGGATATTATTCGTTTGGGCACCTGGAGTGATAGGATTGACAGGAGAAACGAAGACTTGTGGTTGACAGGGTCTTGGCTTAGACTCCTGATTATCTAAAACCTCTTGAATTGGTTGTAAAGGAACGGAAGCATTTATATTTTCAGGCGATGACGTCTGGATTGAAAGCTTAGGACGAAAACCACTGGGAGAGTATACTTGTTCAGAAGGTGAAGAGGATGACTCTATAGTATTTGAAATTTTTTGAGGAGTCTTCTCCAAATGACAGATACCTGATGAGGTGAATTAGTTAGTAAAATATCCAGACAATGAAGAAAAGCGAACTGCTAAGAACGTACCTTCGTAAGGATTCGAAGGAACCCGTGTTAATTTATGAATAACGTCTTCAGTGGATGACTGGGGATTGATCTGAACATAGCGAAGACAGGGTAGACAATACATATGCCCTTTGGATCTTGCATACGTGCTACTATCCAGATTATTATGACAATTTGAGCACGAAAAACAAGATGGATGGTAAGGTTGACCTCCTGCCATTACGGTAATCTCAAGGATAGGAGATTCACAGTAATTGCAGAGCTTTACACAATCGTTGCAATACAAACTCCCTTGTTCAAAAACATATTTATCAGATGATGAATCCAGAATTTTATCACAACAGCTACATGAAAAGCTAAAAATTATTAGCATATCCTGGCCAAATGATTTGAACTTACCAGTTTACATGCCAGTATTTTCCAAAAACGAAAACTGTGGAATCGTTTTTTACTTCCTGTAAGCAGCGGAGTTAGTCTAATCCCTCCAAATGGAACTTTTTCAGAAATGTGGTGGCATTCAAAAATGAGAACTTACATTCCAGCATTTAGAGCAAAAGTTCAATGGCTGTGTAGCCATCCTAGTTTTATTTTAGATAGAAAAAAGCTGTACAAAAAGAGAATGAATGAATAGCAGTAAGGAAGGATAAGGGTAAAGAGTGACAACAAGCAAAATAACCAAAAACAGAACCAAAATGAAAACGAAAAGAACCTTCAAAATCTGGTAGAAGGATTCCTATTCACCAAAAAGAGAAAAGCAACTGAAAACAAATAAATATGACAAAAATTTCCTACCAAAAAAAAAACTTTAAATATATTTTCCTTTTCTTATTTTTTTTCCTTTTTAGTTTCTCAGTACTCGATAAGCATTTGCCTAGTCAAGAGACACTAGGTAAGATGGTTGGGAAAGGGTAACTGAGCTTGAAGTTTGGTTATGGCGCTCTATTAGGATGGTGCTGCTACCCTAAAATTATGGCTCAAGCATTTTGCAACTCAATTTAGCTTTCTCGTTACGAGGGAGTTTGTCTGTCGATTAATCGAATGAACGAGGGTACATTGAACTTTGCTAATTCTGAGAAATTCTCAGCGACTATTCTATTAATATCTATTCAAAGTATAAACTTTCGTAACAGTTGAGTGATATCAAAGCTTATGCTCTTCTCATAACATTCGTTCAAGTCAGGTAGGGAAACGAAGAAGGAGTGTGCTTTTCTCCTTTCCAAAGTTTCATTGATATACTTCATAGTATGAATCCATTTTTGAGATGATACCTGCTAATTCAGTTAAATAAATAATAATAAACAAACGAACTTCTTTACACTCGAAATATTGTTTGTAATGACGTAAAGTAACAGCATTTGTCCAATCCTGCATCAAATGCGACAATTTGAAAGACAGTGAACTTTCCAAATTCGGTAATGTCTCATCAGTTTTCCAAAGTTCGAAAGAAACAAAAGTAAATTTCGAGAAGGCTATATCATTCATGGGGGCTATTGAGATCTGTAAAGTTATCTACCCTGTAAATTACGCGTAGCTGCAACTCACTTACATTGCACTAAAATCACTTGTACTATAGCTTTATTATATAATGAAAACGGTCTGTCTGGTCTCGTTGAATTGATCATTTCCAACTTTGACAATTTTTCAAGCCTTTAGTACTTTGGCTAAGACACAACTCTGTTTGATTCAATTCTTTACTATAAATCCCAAATGGTTCAAAAGGAGCAGATCTTTTACCTATACAGGTTAGGTTGTTCTCTTATATGGTTATCTGCAATGTGATTTACCCAAGAGGAGCTCTAAAATGTTGAGATTTTTTTTTACTTTTGTATTTTATTGTAAGAATCTAACCATCGAATATTTTTGCGTTTATGAATTTTTCCAAGGATTTCCGGTTATTTAATTCATGACTTACTAGGAAAAAAGGAAGTAATCAAATCTGGGAATTGGCATGTATACCTTAGAATTTACGATTTCAAATGAAATAAAGTCTAATCAAGGAAAGGAAAGTTACAACATCGTGTACAAGAACATCACAAAAGGCATTTGAGGTGTGTTCTCTTATCGGTTCAAAACCAACATTCGCATGACATAAGACGGTAAAAACAACGCTCAAGAACAGTATCTGCGCGAAATTGTCATCTATACTTAGACAGCATATAAATACTTAGGGACACCGTAACCTAGTCCTTCTGCGGTTTTGACGAATAAAGACCGTACTGCCCATAAATTCTCGGAAAACTTTGACGGAGTTCTTATAAGAACATTGTGTCCGTAACAGTCAAAGGGAGTCGTGGAAAACTCTATATAGCTGTTGTATAGCTTCGTCACTCTTTGAATTTGCTCTCCACGGAACCCAATAAGTTTCTTGTGTATCTCTTCTGGAATAAAAAAGTGCATTTCTGAAGGAAATTCAAGAAGCATAGTATTCATTCCCTTTATTACTCTTTCTAATTCATCACCATAGATGTCGACTGTGAATATAGTCGAAGACATTGGACAGAAAATAATGTCTCCGTTATGATAATTAAACTTGCATTGTTGTTTCACTTTGTCCAACTTGCCATTCTTCTTTCCAGATATGAAGTCAAGGTCTTTGGCTGGGGCGTCAAGAAGAATTTGATGCCATTGGGAAGATCCGAACTTGTGAAAAACCTTGCTTGCTTTTTCCATGGCAATAGGTGTGGTGTTTTCCTGGCCCAAATACGTGATTTCATTACTTTTTAGAAGCATCTCTACTCCAGAAGCCATTGTGATAATTGCTAGCTGAAGCATGTATTCCGTAGGTGGCACTAGTAATTTTCCTGGTGATTGCAATGATGCACTGTTACCTTCAGTAGAGGAACTCACGAGTGAAGTGGCAGAGGAAGATTTAGAACTATATGTGTTCTTTTCTAAAAATGCTAAATCTTTCCAAGAACCTCTCTTTCGCAAAAACTCTTCGCTGTCATGAACATCAAACTTTGTTCTGCCTTCAACATATTTACTCGATAATTTGGATAAACGAAGAGCGGTTCTTTCGGCATTAACAAGCGTTGAGGAATAAATCTTGATGTGTGAGTTTTCTGTGCATGAGCCTTTTCCCTCTTTGAAGTAATCGGGAAATCTTATAAAAGAAGAATTTTCTTCCATAATAAGTCGTAGTTCGTCAATTTCGTTCGTTAAAAATTCGATAAGCTTGGTGAAAGATAGTTCCATAATGTGCGTGAATACTTTTAAATGTTCTTCAGCATAATAAAACGCTTCTTCTAAACGCTTTAGGCTTTCGGATTCTCCAGTAACGATTAATCTCGACGAATTGAGTTCCGGCATATTTTGCAATCGAGGTAGCATATCAGAAAAGAACGGAAGTGTATACATATTCATCGTTTCAGTAGCTTTTAGCCCTGCAGAGCTGTAATACGCCTTTCCCATAAGAATTGGCTGAAAAGAAGCGGATATGGGAATACTTAAAACTGAAAGACCACGAAGTTCATCAAGAAGAGTCAGAAACTTGATACGTGCATGCTCCACGCTACAGTAATCACCGTAAAAAACCACAAAATATGAGCTATCAGCTTCTTCTTCTCGTCCAAATTCTAAACGTGTAAACTCTAAATGCTTTTGTCGAAAGCTTTCTTGTTCATTCAGACGATAACTGAACCCACGCCCTGTGCTTACTTCAGCTTCTATACCACTACTTAGTGAACGATGAATAAGGTATAGTTTAGCTCCCGTCAATTCTGAGATTGTATCGAAATGCTTCATCGCGTCTTCGTACATGAACCCTTCTTCATCAAATAAGAGGGTTTCCAGAGGTTCATCAAGCAAAATGCGACTAGTTATAAGCTTGGGAAGGGACTGAAGGATGTATATTTTGGCTGAATATACACTTTCATAAGCTCCTGCGATTACAATTACTATCTCATTGCGGGAAACACTTATGTCTGGCGTTTTATGCTTCGCATGTAGATTAACAGTTACCGGATAAAGAGACTGAACTTCGGTACAGCGTAGTTCAGCAGCTTTTCTAATGCTTTCGTAAGGATTTTTTCCATAAAAATTGCACTTGCTTGCATAAAGGGCTGTTTCTTCTGAAGGCGGAAAAGATGGATCTGGAACCGAAAATGACAAAACGTAAGAATCCATATTCAGGAAGACTGCAAAATCGATGGAGTATCAAAAAAGTTATAGGTTTAGCTTATGGAATGACGCTAGGCTTACTGAAGAGAGCAACTTGTAATGATTGAGATGACTGTCAAAGTGGGATTTTTCAAGGGATTTCTTTGAAAGAGTATTGGCTTTTCTTATTTCGTCGACGTAAGAATGGTTTTGTTATAAATGGAGATTGGCGATATTGTAAACAAATGGGGATTTCAAAAGCCTAACGTAAATAAACAATCCGCTGTGCCCAAAGCAGTGAAGACTAGGCTATGAAAGCTTTCGATTTTTGTGTTTATAAAGAGAGATAGAGAAAAGAGGAGGATTGGGGAATATATATACATCCATACTCTCGATGACTGGTCAGTGATGCAGACTTGACTGCTTCTGATTATAGGTTTACAGTTTACAGTTCTAGACAGGACTGTCTCTTTTTAACTGTATTCACTAAAGCCGTAAAGAAACCAGTGCCAATGGATGTTTTTATGTGTCCTTAAGGAAGGCCGTTCTCACATAGGCTACTATTGTTTATAAAAGAGCGGACAAGGATAAATATAAACATAGGTTAAACCTATAAAGTAGTTTAAGAATATATATCTCTCTTAAATACTTCTCAAATTTCAAAGTTTCGGTATTTTCGTTGCAGAAGTGAAGCAGGAATTTCAACGCCTGTAGCTCAGCTCATATTCTTAGAAAATCGATAGTTGTAATCGTAATCAGAGCTTTTTTAACAGTACAGAGACAGTAGAATTTCAATAGTTTTGGAAATTCTGATTGTCGGAGGAGGGACTTCGTAGCGTTTGTTTACAGCTGTGGAGAAAACCAACTTGTGACAGAACCGCAGATTTTCGTAATTGAAAGGAACCGTAGCAAAAGTCAATTCAATGGATTCCAATTATTGTCAAATACATATGAACCAACCAAGAGTGGTTCTTTTTGCTTCGGAATGGCGAAAAGACAAGCTGCCCATTGATGATGTAGAAGTTCGTCTCGAATACCTGCCTCCCATGCCAGAAGATGAACTTACAATTCAGCATTCAAGTGCGAATTTAATTCTCATGAGAAGTAAGCAGCTACGACATGAACCGGCTTGGAAGGATATGGCTTTGGATGATTTGGTCGATCAGTTTGCTTTTGTGCAAGGATCACAATCTCAAACGGAAGAAGTGTCAGAAGGAAATCAAAAGAAGAATCTGTTTCATCCTATCCCTATGGCTAGCTTTTTACAAGCAAACCGAAAGCACCAAGGTGAACACGCAAGTATACGTTATATTCGGTGAACCATTTACTTTTCTCCAAAACCGTGAAAGGATTCTGGTAATCATTCTTTACGTTAGAATGGCAGACTGTTGTTTTCTTCTTTCATGCTTATTCGTGCCTTCCGCTTGAGGAAATTCATCGAATCCTATCCATCTGCGAATTTAATAGCTACAACCGTTGCACCTTTACCACACACCACTTTGAAATTTTCTTTTTTCAGAGGTATCCACATGGCCGATTCTAAACCAGAAACAAAGAATGGCTCCAAAAAAGGTGCTCCTTCTTTTGTAACACCAGAGTATATTGAATTGCAGCGCCAAAAAAAGGCAGAGAAGATGGGTATGTTACAAATCTTTTTGAGCTTGACCTACTAGTTGAAGCGACTTTTTTATAATTCTTTCTCGTTTGTTAACATTATTATAGCAAAAAAGGCTGCTCTTAAACAATTCATGCCTCAGCAAGATCAACCCCGTGCGTTCAATACCGATTTTATAAAAAGAGACATGCTTACCTTACCAAATTTCGCTCCTTTTGATGAAAATAAATCACCTGTAAATATTAAAGTCATGACCTATAATGTGTTAGCTCAGACAAATATTCGTCGCTCCATGTTCCCTCATAGCGGAGAAGCCCTGAAATGGAAAAACCGCTCAAAAGTTCTTGAAAATGAATTCAAGTTTTATGCTCCTGATATCGGTTGTATGCAAGAGGTTGATGCCGAATTCATTCCTTCTTTTTATAAACCTCTGATGGAAAGCATGGGTTTTGACTTGGTTTTTCAAGCTGCTGAAGGAAAAACACATGGAATTTTAATTTTTTGGAGAAACTCTCTGTTTAAAAACCTAAAAATAGACGTTATTCACTATGATGATCACCATGAGTTACCAGGAAGAATGAATACAAAAAATATTGGCAGTTGTGTTACATTAGAACGTGCTGATAATCCTTCCAGAGGTATCTTTCTTGCTACTACTCATTTGTTTTGGCATCCTTATGGCTCTTACGAAAGACTTCGCCAGGGTGCTATTTTAGTAAAGGAGGTGAAGGCTATAGCTGAGGCCCATCAAGATTGGCCTGTAATTATTGCTGGCGATTTCAATACAGAACCTTTTGATACAAACTATCCTGCGATGACTACGAAGCCTTTTTCCATTTGTCAGCGTGCTACCGATATTATTGAACGCAGTATGAATTACGTGTTTGGAGAGTCTGAATTAGAAGGAAAAGAAGAAGCTGAATATCAATCGCCAGCTAAGCAATCAGAAAATGATACCGAAAGTGATGTTTCTACTCCTACTTCCATCACTTCAGCATCTACCCCATCTAAAAAGCGAATCCTACATGTGCAGAATGAATTTGTACCGCATTACAGTTCTTTTTATGAGCAACACAAACAAAATCCTAGACTTGTTAGCTTATATTCTTATGGTTACAAACACGTCGATCCTGAAAATGCAAAGAATACATTTGAGCATCCTGCTTTCACAAATTGGGCTAATACTTACCAAGGCCATTTAGACTATATTTTTGTTATGGACCGGAATTCTGGAACAGAGAAAACTGTAAATGAAGTTGTTGACGGTATAAAGCTGAAAAGTTTACTTCGAATTCCTCATTCAAACGAAATGAAAGAGGCAGAACCTCTAGAGGGTAGATATCCCAGCGACCATGTTGCTTTAATGGCCTCCATTCAGTTAATATGAGTTTAAGTATAATTCTAATGTAAAAAAAAATATATATATATATATATAATAATAATAATAGTAAATCCGTTTATTGTTAAGTTGGACTGAAATATCATTACATCAATTCGATAATTGAAATTAAATTTCATTGATCATAATAATCAGAGCAGTTTCTAACTGAAAAAAGTTATTGTTGAGCAGAAGGTTCAGGAATAGTTTCACCTTTCGTGGTATCTATGATTCCTTCTTCAATACTAAGCATGCCAGTGCTGCTGAGTTTTTCGACAACCTCCTCGGCATCCTCAATGGGCATTTTACCAAGGACAGCATTTATTTTATCAAGGTTATTAGATTCCAAAGCTTTTTGAAGGTTAGGGGGGAATGACTCAAAAGTCACGCGTGCAGCTTTCACCTCAGGCTCTGTAGCGTCTTTCTCGGGAATTATGATGGACAGCTTGGTATTGGCATCCACGGCACAGAGTTGAATCTGTTCAACACCTTCTCCATTTTGAGCTTGTTCATTTGCCATAGCGTGACTACGCTCGTGAATGCGGTTATATGTACTTTGAACATCTTCCAAGAATAAGCGCCGAGCTTGGTGATTGGGATCTTGAACACTACAATTTCTGTTAGCTCTGAAGTTTTGAAGTGTTGTGAAAAAGCATACCGTTGAAAGAAGATGGTAATTCCACCAGGGCCAAGTTGTCGGCAATAGTTGAGTAATAAGGCTTGATGGACAAATTGCTTAGCTAACCAAGGTTTACCTTCCAGTTCAGCGTTAAAAGCCTCAAGTAAAATTGAATCAGATTCTGATTCCTCAGCTAGCAGATGAAGATGTTCCTTTAAGAAAGATTCGGAAGCAGCATAGTCACCAAAAGCAATTTGGGAGAACTTAGTTCCATCAACAGACAATGAAACGCTATCCGAATCAGATTCCTCTTGTTCAGCCTTAGTAATGGCGGATGAAGATTGTGCTGAACCGACCTCTTGTTGATGAGTAGATGGACTAGGATCGTTAAGGGATTCGATGACTTGAACAGATTCTTTCTCTTTCTTTTTATTTTTGGACTCTTCCTCTTTCTTTTGAACGTGTGTGCTATCAAATCCAATGTGCAAATCTTCTGAAGTAATATACTTCTTGCTCTCGGACTCAAGTTCATCGTACTCCTCCTTGGCTTTCATCATCAAATCGTCAAGGCGTTTCTCATGGCTCTGAAGATGCTTGATATATTGCTCGTTAATGCCTAGCGAAGAATTGTTCTCCTCTTCAATAGCCTTCTTAATGGTATCTAAAAGAGCAACTAGCATCTGATGATAAGACATTCCTCCTTCTACGGCTTGTTCAGAATCTTCTTGACTTTTCGATTGCAAGAAGGAAGAAAGGTAAGTCAGTGGTTCGGATGGGGAATACTCCTGAAGATAAGTATACATCTGAGCAATGCGATCCTTTAATCTTTGGTTCATTGATACAGCGCTTTTGATGTCTTCCATCTTTTGTTTTCTCATTGCACGCTTCTCGTGAATGTCACGTTGGCGCCAGCGAATAAACGATTTTTTGTCAACATTGGGATGTACTAGAGAAAATTAGAAAACTAAATCCGTCATATATAAACGAACCTTCAATATCACTACAACATTTGTTAGTAAGGTTTGAAAAAAAGTCCTTATGCATCATTCATAAAAGTAGACTGCAGCATACCAGCGTCAACCTTGAAAAAACTTATTGGAAAGTCAAGCTGGTTAAACTCCGTTCCATGAACGGCCACACTGCTATCAAGAAAAGGAGAAATTACACTTACCTATCATCGCTCAACTCAAGTTTGTCCCTGCAAACATGTTAGTCTAGCACAATTGAATATTATGTGCTTCGTTTATCTTTCTTCTTTCCTAGCTGCATACCATTTACTATAATCTATTGCCATGATGCACTAAAGTAATGAATGCAAATTGTAACACAAAAACAACAAATAACAAATGAGCTCTTTTCAAATTCTTATGAAAAAGAAAAATTCGACGATTTTACCGTTTGGCGAGCTTTCAAAACGTAAAAGAAGCAATTATTCAAAGCAAGCCTGTATATCAACGAAACCAAGAGTACAAAGTATTACTCAAGGAAATAGTTATCAAGGATTTCACCGTTTTAATAAAATTCTCGGTTTGAAGTTGAATTAAGAAGGTTGCCTTCAAGTTTCGGTATTGGCTTATATATACTAGATTTCTCTGGAAATGGTGAAGGCAAGACTGAAAGAAAATCGTCGAAAAAGCAGACATACTAGATGATATTTATGTGAATAGAGATTGAATTTCATAAAAAACTTTTATTTTTTCAATTGGAAATGAACATGAACTTTTCAGAATTGTTGATTAATGGATCCAAGAATTCACGAAAAAGTGAGTTTCAACGTTTTGTTTTTGCGACAAAACGTTGAAAATACGTGAATAGAAAAGAGGATTTCAAAACATTATGACTAGTTAGAAGATAAATACTGTGTACAAAGGTAGTATTTAAATTTTTCCTCCAGAAATGAACGAGATGCCTAACCGTTAAAAGTAAAGATCAAACGGACTAGCGTTCATTTTATTCTTAGACCTTATAAAAATTCCACTTAAGGAAACTGAACAGTCTTTTGTTGGAATCAAGCTTGATTGTCGAATTACATCTTTACCACAACTTTTGTCAAGTGGTAAAAAGTGAAACCTTCCATTTGTCGTCACAAGAATCCATTTGAAAAAGGTGAGCTGAATTTGTTTTTATTCATTCTTGTAAGTGTTTATACTCTTCCTGTCTTCATGTATAAAGCAAATGGTTGTCGACCTTATTCGTAAAAATGCAGTCCATCCCCGTCGGTTCCAATGCCAATTTCTTTTGAATAATGTTGGTTCGTTTCAAGTGAACTTTTGCTCCAAGATATCGGTTCCTACAAAGTATTCTCTTTTGAGTCATGCATCGTTTGTAACACAATCTTTTCCTGCTTCCTCTCACTCGAAGGAGTCTTTTCAATCGAAGGATAGTATTATTTCTCCTAAAAACTTGTATCGTATGTTCTCTGTCCATCACCATGCATTCATGAATCCGACCTTGCGAACATCTTTGCCTTTCTTACCCAGGTACCCACTTCAGTCTTCCTTTCAACCAATTAAGCACTTCCCGTATCCTTCCCTGCCCTCATATGGCATCTATTCTCCATTCGTTCCCACAACTTGTATTCGATACAACTCGACACTTTCTTCTGGTTCCAAAGGATTACGCAATCCGAATATTCCTCCAAATCCAAAAATTCATCGATCTCAAAATAGCTTTTCTAATCCTAGTAACCCATCGCGTCCAGAAGGACAGAAGCAAAGCATTAGTCAGTCTTCCGGGGAGTCTGTTCCCAAAAGTCCTCCCGAACCTAAAAAAGTAAGCTTTTTTAATATTCTTGTCCTTGCTAGAGGTCAAGGAAAGAAGTTTACCGTTGCTGCAATACTTCTGTTAATTTCCTCTTCAATTTCCATGTCGATTCCGTATGTTGTAGGTAAGATTCTGGATGCAGGATCTGGCGCTACTCAAATTGGATTTACAGAAATCATGGGGATTCCTTCCAACACCTTTTATATGGGTCTACTTGGTCTGTTTTTGATTGGTTCTGCTTGCAATTTCGGTCGAATCTTGACACTGCGACTTCTAAGTGAAAATATCATATCTCGACTCCGTTCTCGTCTCTTTGCTAAATGCCTTACTTTAGATGGGCGTTTTTATGATTCTCACTTACATGGAGACATCATTTCTCGCTTAACCACTGACAGTAGTATAGTTGGAAAGTCACTCTCTACATATCTTAGTGATGGATTAAGAAGTACTGTTAGTGCTGTCGCTGGGATTGCTATGATGTTGTATACATCTTTAACGCTTACTGGTTATATGTCCTTGATTGTCCCTCCAATAGCGTTAGGTGCTTTCTTTTATGGAGAATACGTTCGTAAATTGTCACGTAGAACCCAAGATGCTTTAGGTGATCTTACTCGAGTCTCAGAGGAAAAACTAGCAAACGTCCGTACCACACAAGCATTCTTAGGAGAACGCCAGGAGGTCCATCGTTATAATAATTATATTCGCAATCTCTTCAACCTTGCTCGCAAAGAAGCCTTGGCAAGTGGTATGTTTTTTGGCACCACTGGTTTTTTCGGGAATGCAACCGTTATTGCTATACTTGCGTTGGGTGGTAAAATGGTTGCTACTGGTGACATTACTGTTGGCCAGCTAAGCTCCTTCTTGCTTTATACTGTTTACGCTGGAGGAAGTATCATAGGTCTTTCTGGGTGTTTTACAGACATAATGAAAGGTCTTGGTGCAGCTAGTCGGTTGTTTGACTTGTTGGATAGTGTTCCTCAAATTACTCCAACCACTGGAACACCAGTTCCTAATTCCATTCGAAATTCAGTATTGACTTTTGAGAACGTTGGTTTTGCATATCCTACGAGACCAAAATCTACAATTTTCAAAGATCTCTCCTTTGAAATACAACCCGGTATGAATATTGCTATTGTTGCAGCTAGCGGAGGTGGAAAATCAACCCTTTCTCAGCTTTTATTGCGATTCTATAATCCAGTTTCTGGAAGAATTCTTGCTAATGGAACTGACATTTCTACCTTTAATGTACAACAGTGGCGCCGTCACTTTGGTGTTGTTGGTCAAGAACCAGTTCTTTTTACAGGAACAATTAGAGATAACATTTCTTATGGTAATCAAAATGCAACTCAAGAGGAAATAGAGGCAGCTGCTCTTCGTGCTGATTGTGGGTTTATATATTCTTTTCCAGATACTTGGGATACCCAAGTCGGAATGCGTGGTTTGCAACTCAGCGGAGGACAAAAGCAACGTATCGCAATAGCCAGAGCACTCCTTCGGACTCCTGCATTCTTGATTTTAGATGAAGCCACTTCTGCTCTGGATGGAGAAGCGGAGGTCATGGTTAATCGTACTATCCAATCATTGATGCAGAATCGAAATATGACTACAATAACAATTGCTCACAAACTAGCTACCATACGAAGCGCTGACCTAATTTTAGTCGTTGCTGAGGGTAAGATTCTCGAAAAAGGAAAGTTTGATGAACTCTCTCAACCAGGAACTTACTTTTATCGATTGATAAAATGGCAGTTGGGGAGGACTGATGATGTAGCTCCTCGGTAGGTAGACAATTACTTTTTTGGTTTATTGGATTGACTTGCTCAAACCGTGCAAGCAATAATAATAGACGAACTAGAAGACGAATGCCCAGACGTGAAGTTACGGCTAACGCGTTCAGTTATCCTTGTTTTGTTTTTATATTTAATAGATATTTTCATTGAATTATTAGCTAGTAGAGAAGCAGCATGAGATATGTTCAATCGTTAATTGAACGGGTAGACTTCATTAAAAAAATTGAATCCACACCAGGAGTATCCTAGATTTATCTTCAAAAAGTATCAAGGTTTCGAGAGACTATAGCTTTTCTTTTACGAGTAAGGAGAGAAGTCGAAGGGAAAATCAACATTATTGAATTTTATTCATTGCGAACTTTCTCAGACCATATCAATTCCAGAACGAACGAGAAAAGGTAAAATCAGCAAGTTGTATATCATGTAACAGTACACTAGAACATAATGACATACCGGTTCATTATCCATTACTGAATTGACAGATAAGAGATATATAGCGGTATAAAAGTAGGTTACTCACAAATGAAAGAGGTTCTCGTGATACAAAAAAGAAAGATTCAGAAATGTTTCATTGAACATAGAAAAATATCAAAAATGCGCTTAATTAGAAAAGAGATACTTGCAATATTCTGCCAAACAGGGTTCGAACCCTTGCGTACAATTTAAGCAGACAAAGCGTTTCCGCCAGCTCCAGGGGCAGATTCATCTTTAGCAAGACTAGTAAGCAATTCATGGAAACGTTGAGTCGAGCGGCCGCTAGCTTCGGCTTTATCAGACAAATCGACAAGCTTCAAAATACGTTGCCAGCTAGTAGTGCCTGAGGAAGCAGCTTCATTCTTTTCTAAAAGGTTCTTTTGTTCCTCTCTGGACTTTGCAACGATTTTGTCCTTTTTGTCGTTATAGTTCTCATAAAAGTCATCAATGGCTTTTCTTGCCTTTTCTACGTTGGATTCATAAAGTCTTCGACTTGCTTCGTCCTTTTCACGAATTCTTCGTTCGTTCTCTTCTTTCCACTTGTGAATGGGCTCCGAATCCTCTGATTCATGTTCAGGAGGGTGCACCTCCGCTTGGGCCATGTAAGGAGTTTTGGGAGCCGAAAAAGTGCCAGAGGTCTGCATTTCAGTATCGATAGGAGGAAAGTTTTTCTCAAAATTGTTCTTTTCTGCTTCTGGATCATTTTCAAAGCCTAAAAGCGCATCTTTGTCTTCTAATGTTTCGAATTGATTCGCATCTTCACCAAGGGCCAGTTTCTCCCGTTCAAGGAAGTCAGTTTGCTCACTTTTTCCTTCAGGAGCAGATCCTAATCCTACATCAAAATCTTCTAATGCTGGAAATTGAGACATGGTGTTTGGTAGAGGGTAAATGATTTCATCTTGTCGCCGTAGTCTACTCGCGTTACCCTTGAGCTTGCAATAGGGAGGTATAAGGTATAGCGTAAGATTTACCTTGTGTTTACTTAGTAAACAATAAGTACAAGATAAAAATAAATATAAAAGCAAAATAAGGACGAAAGATATTTTGAGAAGAAAACAATAAAATGAACTGAACCTTTAAATAGAAATAGAAATAAAAATTTACGTGAATGGTTCAAAAGCCAGCGAAATTTGCCAATTCTTTCTGCTGTTTTGCATGACTGAAGGGTCCATATTGAAACTGTCGAAGGGACAGGAATCAAGATTTCTTTTGTTCAATAATTTGCTTTTATATATATTTGAAATTTATTTGTCAAAAGCGGCACTCGCTAGATTCTTTTAATTTTGTATCCATGTCAGAAAAAGAGGAAGGCAAACAGATTGTACAAAAGCATCTACATTCTAACAGCGGCCGTTTGGTCTAGTGGTATGATACCATCTTAGGGTGATGGTGGTCCTGGGTTCGATTCCCAGAACAGCCCTTGTTTTTTGGTAGGTCTCTCTTTGGTCCTCCTAACATCCTTTTTTATACGCCTTGCGGATCTGGATTGTAAATATTTCCTACAGAACATTCTTCTCGATAACCAAACCAAATTGAACCCAAAAGTCTAAATTTATTATATTACACAAAAAGTATCCCAATCATCAAAATAACCCTTTTCTACTTCACATAGCCCTTTTCCCTAGACGTTTATGAAGACTCGTCAGCGGTAGTGTACTCTGCAACCCTCTCCAAACGCTTAGGTAGCGTCTTCTTCAAAGCAGTATTTTTTGTTGTTTTCCTTAACGAATCAAAGGGCAAGTACCAATCAGCTTTAGGAACCTTTTCGTCAAAAGCCTTCGTCAGTTCTTCTGTCCAAATATCTGCTAGGTGAAAGAGGATGCCGTTGGGATACGAAAAATTGTTAGGACTACACAGGTTAGCAAATTAATTTTGAAGAAATTAATTCATCAAATGAAAAGAAGCAGCGAGACAACGACATGGCGCTTACTTGCTCCTAAACAGCAACATACTTGAAGGGAACCGACATCCACATTTCATTGTATTTAGCAACCATTTGCTTCAATGAATCCTCCGAATCACTTTTTGCTTTTATTTCCAAGAAAGCAGCAGCGCAGAATCTTCGCATCAACATATAGAATTTATTCGTGCGCAAAATATCAATTCCTGGCCATTCTCGACCCATTGTTTCCCAAAACGTAGCCTGAAATAACATCCTGTTTTCCTCATGCACTATTGCAACCAATCCGGCTAAATTATCGGCTAATTTCTGTTGATACAAAGGTTTGTCCGACATCCACATGCCTAGTTTTTCGCGTTAGTCGACCAAATTTTTCTTTCCACCAACTTTTCAACATGTCAACGTACAGTAAAAGAGACCCTTCCATAGTTTTAAAAAGTCAAGTCGCTCAAATTTTTTCTTTCGACTCAAAAACTTTTGTAGAGAAATCAAGGCCTCATCTCTAGTTTTTCGATCTTCCCTATTAGTTACTTCATTTCTTTCCACTTCCTTTCATACCGTTTGCTGCTAATTTCTTAATAAACGGTGAGGATTCTGACATTTTGAACTTGCTTGTTCTTGTTCCATGCTTCCCTACCAGAAAAGTATCCAACATGAACTCGCGCAAGGGTACCTTATTTTAGTAAACAAAAGAAGTCAAAAATCAATGGATATTCAAGATTAGAGCTTTTATTGAAATAGGAAACGATTTTCTTTCTACTTCCATACTTTTCGTTCCATTGTAAAGTGTTTTTTAGGAACTGCTTATATCCAGAGCAAATTGAGCTTCTTAATTTGCTACTTCAATATGAAATCGTAATGTTCTGATAGATTATTATTTAGAATACAGAAAGTAAAAATCGTCAACTTCCAGAGCTACTATTATGGCAAAATGCAAATCATAACGCAATCCAAAATTGTACCCTTTATTATTGTAACAAGGTGCATCGGAATTCACATTTAAAACTCTTTAATTAAAAGCCATCTAACAACTCACAATGCGTTCATTAAAGGAAGATAACATCGAAAAAGAAAGGATGAGAGCGGGGAAAATATAGCAAAATGCTTTGTAACATAATAAGCGTGTCTTTCCAACAGTTACTATTATGCCTTTTCATCTGGTAAAGCTTCATAGGGAAACCGCTGATCGCCGTAATAGTGTTCCCGTAAATTGACATTTGACAAGTACCCACGGTTTTCGGGATTGGTATAGTACAAGATATCCTTTTTCGATGAAGGAAGCGACGCGCGAGGAACGGTACGAAATCGCTCTGGATGCAAATGGGCACGAAGTCCAAGAGAATTGAAGTATACCGTTTTAACCGTACCTCCAGCCTTTTCTACAAAGGATATAGCCTCTTTGGTGGCCTTGGAGACTTCAATATGAATTGGGACATCCAAATCTTGAGATTTACTGTCTGATACCAATTCAACGCCATCCTTGATGCCCCGACAGCATCGACTATCTAAAAGCTCTTTCATCGTAATTGGCTTCGTTGAGTCTAACCTGCCATTCATAATCCATGCGCGAACCCGGCCAAGACCTAATGGGACATAATGTTTGATTTCGCTAGTACTTCTCCCTATTTTAGGAAACAGTTTTGTAATCGGGGTTTGACCACCCTCAAAGCCAGGCTTAATTCTTCTACCCCGTCTCTGTCCGGATCCTTTATGTCCGCGGGCACTTGTCTTACCTTTTCCACTTGCAGGTCCGCGTCCTACGCGTTTGCTGTTTTTTTCATTAGGACGATTATTGAGATCACTCAGTAAACTCAGCCAGCGTATTCCCAAAAGTTTGCTTCCTAGAGGAGAGCAGCTTGCTCTCCATACTGGCAGAGCTTTTGTAAAAGAAATCAGCATTTCTTAAATGAAATTGGGTTGCGTTGCTTTCAGCTTGGTACCCTTCCTCTCTTACTGTGATGAAGCTATGAATAGCGAGCTAGAACGATGATTAAAAAAGATATTTTCGATATCACTAGAATTCAACAAGACATCGTTGTTACCTATCACATCCTTCCTGTATGCCTTGCTAACCAAAAGCCAAAACCGGTGATTGTTGAAAAAGTAGGAAAAACTTTTTAATTATTACCATGGAATCTACTCAGTCTGTAAGCGAAATGTCTGTTAAAGCATCTAACGAATCTAGGTTGCTGAACCACTTGATTTGGTTCGCCTTTCACTTGATGAAAATGTTTATGTGAAATTACGCGGTGATCGTGAATTGAATGGACGTCTTCATGTATGTATTTAAGAAAGCAGCGAAAGGAGAAGAAGCATTGTACTAACTAGTTTTCCAGGCTTATGACGAGCATCTGGTATGCATTATTGCGCTTCCACAGGAGAAGAGGCTGAATGGGTCAATAACTTACTGTTGAATTTGTAGAATATGGTTCTAGGAGATGCCGAAGAAGTAATTACGATTATTGATGAAGAAGAACCTGCTAAGGGAAAAGCATTAAAAAACATTCGAAAACATTATGAGATGCTTTTTGTTCGTGGTAAGTTTTCCACCTTACTCAGTGGATTATACATAAAAGATTTTGAAAAGTAATCCCTTATCATTGGTCTTGTTTCTAGAAGCTTGGGGTGTTCTTTCCAAGGTTCCATCATTCTTTTCCTTCCTTTACCGGAGATTTCCAATTGGAGAGCAAAAGACCATGCTTCACTTTTCATAGTTCTCCTTTCTAGTTCCTCTCTTGTCTAACATTTCTTCTAGGTGATTCCGTTATCCTTATTGCACCCCCTCGTACCTAAAACTCGAGTTTCCGACACCATAACACTCTTCCTTGCAATCTTTTTGATCTGTTACTAATGTGATATGTTATTTCCCATGGTTTCCGCATTTGAGTCCCCTTAATAGATTCTGTTATGTTTTGCTAGCCTGGGATAGGTCTAGTTTTTGGGAAATAATTGATAACTGTCGTTATTTATTTACCTTTCTCAAACGAAACTAGCAACTTTTGATTGGTTTGCGTTCTCTTAGAATTCAATTTGTATATTTCCTCTATCTTTCTCTACCAGCCCTTATAAATCTGCATGCAACCTTTCAAGTAGACTTTTTTTTTCTAGCAACGTAGGTCGCCAACAAAATTCAAACCAACAACTTTCTAAATTTTTTCGTTTTCCTCCTCATACATTGTCCGTTTCCTTATTTTTTAAAACTCACAAGTGAACCAAAACAATCACACCCTCGCACCATAAATGTAAAATTTCCATTCCCTTTTTTCAACCCACTCTCTTTTTTTCTATTTTATCTATTTATTTCTTCTATTTAGTTTTTTTTTTGTCTTATTACTTATTACAAAAAAAAAGAATAACTTTTTCCATTCCAATAAACGGTTTTTAACGTCCTCCACGGAGTTCTTTTATAAACCTTCCCTGCATTCATCTTTCTCTTTACCAATACCTCCTCTCACCATGAAAGCAGTAAAAGCAACCTCTTCGTTGCTCTTCCAGGGCTTACGCCAGAATTGTTCTCGCTTAACCAAATTCCCTTTGGCTACAGGATGTTTTAACAAGTTTACAATTCCGTCGCGTTCTTATGCGGATGACAAGGTAGGCTCGCGAACAATCTCAAAGGAATAAGGAATACGCCTTCACTCCTTAAGTTTTTCTTCATTTATCATGTCACTAACTTTTTTTTTTCTAGATGTTCGTCCGTAAGAAGCCCCACGTTAATATTGGTACCATTGGTCACGTTGATCACGGAAAGACAACTTTGACCGCAGCTATCACCAAGGGTTTGGCTGAGCTTGGCCAAGCCAGCTTTATGGATTACAGTCAAATTGACAAGGCCCCCGAAGAGAAAGCTCGTGGTATTACCATTTCTTCCGCACACGTAGAATATGAAACTGCCAACAGGCATTATGCCCATGTTGATTGCCCCGGTCATGCTGATTATATCAAGAATATGATCACTGGTGCTGCTACTATGGATGGTGCTATTATTGTCGTTTCTGCTACTGATGGTCAAATGCCTCAAACTCGTGAGCATTTGCTTCTTGCTCGTCAGGTTGGTGTCAATGACATTGTTGTCTACATCAACAAGGCTGACATGGTGGAACCTGATATGATTGAACTTGTCGAAATGGAAATGCGTGAACTTTTGTCTGAATACGGCTATGACGGTGATAACACTCCAATTATTAGTGGTAGTGCCCTTTGTGCTTTGGAGGGTCGCAATCCCGAAATTGGTCTCCAAAGTATCACCAAGCTTATGGATGCTGTTGACCATCATGTTTCTACCCCTGAAAGAAACGTCGACATGCCTTTCCTCATGGCCATTGAAGACGTTTTTTCCATTTCCGGCCGTGGTACCGTCGTCACCGGTCGTGCTGAACGCGGTACCTTGAAGAAGGGTGCTGAAATTGAACTTGTGGGTTACGGAAGCCACATTAAGACCATTGTCACTGGTATCGAAATGTTCAAGAAGCAACTTGACGCTGCCGTTGCTGGTGATAACTGTGGTCTTCTTCTCCGTTCCGTTAAGCGTGACGAATTGAAGCGTGGTATGATTGTCGCTGTTCCTGGTACTGTTGCTCCCCACCGAAAGTTCAAAGCTTCCTTTTACATTTTAACTAAGGAAGAAGGTGGTCGCCGAACTGGTTTCGTTGACAACTACCGTCCTCAACTTTTCACTCGCACCTCAGATGTTACTGTTGAACTCACACATCCTGACCCCAACGATTCTGACAAAATGATTATGCCCGGTGATAACATTGAATTGGTTTGCAATCTCGTTCATCCTATTGTCATAGAGAAAGGTCAACGATTTACCGTTCGTGAAGGCAAAAACACCGTTGGTACTGCTCTTATAACCGAAATTTTGGACTGAGTTTTTGAAGTAAAATGTTCTGTAATACTTGATGTATTCAATTAGTCTTAATTAACAAAAACCTCTACAATCCTTTTACTTAATTCCCAGAATTCCTACTCACATGAAGCCTTTTCTTCATTTTGTTTGTGCATACATAAATAAAATTCCTTATTATACCAGAATTCTGTTCTTTAACGCTCGTTTTAAAGTAAGCATTGTTTATTCATTAAATCATCTAAAAAAAATCAAAAAAAAAAGAAAACAAAAAAGGGTAATCTACAAAACATAACAACCAGAGCGAAATCTCTCAAGGATTAGACGAGATTTAAAGATAATTATAGCGACATTTCCTTCTAAGCCACATAAATTAAGCAAATAAGAGTATATAACAAAATCGGTATCGGAAAAGAAAATGATTAAACAGATAGAAATAAAAGATACCGAATCTAAAGCGAGTTTCATGTAACGATAAGGAATGAGCATAGCATACCATATATAGCAAGTTAGCCAGCGGTTCGAAAGTTTAAAAGATAAGAGAATCACATAGTCATCAAGTACTGGTACCAACAACCAGATATAACAAATATTAGCATCGTTTGTAATATGCACGATACATTAAATCCAAAATTCTATGAATGCAGAAGCTAAAACGAATATAGAAGGCGACAAGGTTAAACGATAGATTTAAAAGGTACTCCAAACCCAATTATCGGGAACAGTTCCTAAAACCAAGCTTTCAGAAGGAAGCTCAGTCTTCGACATTCCAGCATCAACCTTGGGGATAGGTACAGAAGTAGAGACTTGCTTGTTTTTATAAGTAGATTCAGATGGAGCATGGGGTTCAGTACCCACAATGACATTGGAAGCAGAACCCAACTCAAAAGATTGTCTCCATTTTATGTAATCGTAAAAACAAGATACACAGGCTCTAAAAAGCTTCGCGGCCGATAACGAGAAACGAACATCAAATGTCAATGGAATTGAGCGATTACAGTGAGTAGAACAAAACACATCGCCACAACAACGACAATGATGCCTCCTTTCGAATAAACCAAAACGAGCAGTGCAAGAAGGGAACGCACAGACGGTTGCTTCAGAATCCGGTTTCCAGTGATCTTTCGATATAGCAGCTTCTTTAGAAGGATCATTGGTAAGGGAAGAAGTATTAGAACAATATGGAGGGACAGGAGAAGCTGGTAATGTATGCAAATTACTGTTCTGCAATGCTGATTTCGTCAAGTTTGCAGGTCGATTGCGAGAAAGATTGGTTGCAGCATTTGCAGCTTCGATTTGTTCCTGTTTTGACTGGCGCGATGCTGGAGTCGAAGTTCGTGCACTCAACGCAGGAGATATAGGGGGAGGGATATTATTATGGTGTTTCAGGGGGAGAGTGGGTCGTTCAGATGATGAGATGGGATTAACATCAAAGTTGGAGTTAACAGTAGATGTTGCTTGACGAGTAGGAGCTTCAATTAATTCGTATGACGGACGGACTCGATTTGTGTAGGGGGATGAACCCGAGCAAATTTGGAAACGAACAGCAGAAGCAGAATGCATGTTCGACGGTTGGACAGTAGCCATAGCTTTCACCGATCAATAAAGATCGCAAAAAAAAAGATAAAGCTAGCAAAGAATATTAAAAGACAACAAACGGAAACTTAAACCAATGCAAATAACGCTCAACTCGTCTTTCAAGAAATTAAAGGACAATTATTAGGTTATTAAATTAGGGGGGGGAAGGGGAGGATAAAAAAAAAAAACAAAAAGAAATCTATATAGTCTATAAATTGATGATACAGATTACAGCCTTCGACGCCTTCGACAAAACTATTCAACGTCTTTTGAAGGAAGCGTAAATGTAAAACCCCCAATGGTTTGTTCGCCACTGTTACAGCGTAGAAAGGGAAAAATATCAACTCAGCAAAAGTAACTTTCGTAACTGCAGTACCAGCAGCGAATGGAAAGAATCGGATCCAACGAACCTTTTTAAAAAACGGCTATCCAGAGAATTGAACAATCACAAAATTGTTTCAGAGCCCGTAAAGCGTAATTTTAGTGAATTTCGACGGATTAAAGGAAGGACTTTGAATCAATGCTAGTGGCGATGTGTTTAGAAGAGGATAAGTACGAATTAGAGCGAATGCGGTTGGTTCAAGTCCATCACGGTGGTTCCATCCAATAAAGTTAGCGAACACGTTAGCGAAACAAATATACTTCGTTAACTCTGAAAACAATAAATAAGGTGCTCATTAAAAAAAGATACAGAAGACAAACGATAACTTAAGAAATGCAGGGAACCTCCGTATATGATTTTATGCAATTGTAGTGTTCAATAATTTTTTCCTGCAGACAACAAACATCAGAAAGATTGGGGAATTGGTTGAACTTTTTGTGGAAATTTCATCCGCTCATAAGGACTCCGTTTCTTTAAAGGTTGTGGATCATTTGTGATCTTCCAAACTCTTGACGTTTTACGCGATCGTTTCTGACGGGATTTGAAACGAAACGGTCTGCGAAACTCATCATTCATCATATTTTTTTCTTGTTGTATCAACTCGTCGGTACGTTTTACCGCCCTCCTGGCGCTTTTTAAGAAAAAAAAAAAGGTGTTGGTTGTATACTCTCTGACTCGACGGTGCATGTTTCTCTGTATTCATTCCTAGACCGACAGGTCCCGTACAAACATCGTCGGTTCCGTTATTTTTAAAAGTCATTGCTTTTTTCTTCTTGTTTTGTTATTGTTGCTTTTTTTTGTGTCTTAAAAATTATCAATTTTCCTTTGCGTTATCGTTGGACGCAATTTTACATATCTCTTTAAAATTGTCTAATTTAGAATTTATGTCAACAATTAGTGATATACGCACTTTCTTTCTATATTGACACTCATTAGTATTCTTTTGTCTTTGAGTGTAGATGCGCCATACCTGTTAATTTTTATTTTTTTTTTTACCGATTCCCATTGCTCATTATTTGATCGACTTTTTTATAGTTGCAATCGCTCTTGCAGCAACTTCTTTAGAATAACCTAAAATTTTTTTTTGATTACGATTTCCTTGGTTCATCCTTCTTCATGCCTTTGAAACTGTCTCTTCCCCGTGCGTCTAGCCATTCCCGTGATTCCCATTGCCAAATGGACGTACGGATGGAGTCTCCTCCTCTTGTCCTCTTGGGCCCTCCGGAAACTTCCACCGGCGCCTTGGCATCTGGTATTTTTAAACTCACAATCCTTCATCAACCGTTTGTTCATGTTCACTCATTAATACTTCAATTAAAACAGAAAATCTCTGTTCATCATCCCCCTATTTCTCATTGTGTTGATTGTGGGGGATCTACGGAAGTGTTACAAGAGTGGATGTTTATTACAAATTCCAAACTTCCCACCGGAACACACCATTGGCCGTTCAGTTGGCTTTTTCCTGGTACTCTACCTGCTACATTATCTACACGGCATATTACTGTCGAGTATTACTTGGAGGCTATGTTTTGCTACGCTACACCTGATGGAGGTCTTTCCCCTTATAAACCCGAAACCATGAAGTATCCCTTAGAGCTAAAAAGAGCTTTCGTCCCTGGCCCAGATACGATTCACAAACGGATTTTTCCTCCAACCGATCTTGTTGCTAACATCACCATGTCTAGTATCCTACACCCTCACACTGTCGCCCTAATGGAAATCACTATGACTGGTTTTGTTCAGAGCGATGGGAGCGAATGGGGAGTTACTCGGGTTACTTGGCGCTTGGAGGAACATTTAAATTATACTCCCAAGCCTTGTGACCGTCATAAAGAAAATGTCCGCTTTCGTACAGTCCAAGAGAAAAAAATACTAAGTGCTCAAGACTTGCAATCTGGATGGAAATTAGTTGATCATCAGTTTTTTTTATCTTGCCAAATTAACGCTGCAGGTTTCCGGGAACCTACTTGTGATGCAGAACTTTCTGGTCGATTTAATCTAAAAATCTCTCATTTTTTAATCATCGAAGCTATTGTTAATCGACGAAAGGGAGCAACGAGTAATATGGGAAATGCTCGTATCTTACGAGTGTCAATTCCTCAACCGCTTACAAGCCCTGCTGGTTTGGGCATTAGCTGGGATGAAGAATGTCCTCCGGTATTTGAGAGTGTAGGACCAGCTCCCCCAGCTTATTCTTGAAACAATTATTACGGTTTTTGTTTCAATAATTTTCAAAAAAAGTATTTAAATTTTTTGTTTAATTGTTCGATTTAATTTTTTTTACGATACGGTTGAGTGGGTATTTTACTAAACTCATTAATAAATAATACTGTCTCTTTCTGTCTATTTTCATGATAAAAGACTTACTTCAATTCTAGTAAATGAAATAACTAAGCTGTACTAACGTTTATGTGCAGTTGAAAATGGGGAAATAATGAACACGAGGGTAATAAATTAAATTAAAGGCGCACATAGTAGGCTAATTAAAATGAAACAGCTGTTCCCAAGAGACAAGAAAATAACACCATTACAACACAGAAATATCATAAAACAGATGTGACTTGAACAAAAGAAAGATGTTGTCCAGAAAGAATAAATTGTAAAAGTCTTTCACAATTAGTCATTATATCTGATGGTTGATCGTTAGGCAAGCCATAATGAGCCAGAAGAAATATAATATTATGGTTAAGTAGATAAAGAGCATGTTCAAATGCGTGGGGAGCTCGTGCAGCGGGATATAGAGGAAAGGAACGGTTCACTAAGTTGGGAGAAAGAGGATCCAATATTGTGGACCTAGAACCAGCTGGAGAGACAGGATAAGGAAAATCGTACTCTAAGTACTGAGATATGTTAAACGCCAAATGTGCCAAAAAGCCTATCGCAGCAGCCAGTTCCGCTGGAGGGACTGTATTTGGAAGCAGACAAAACCGAAGGTTACGTATTGTAAATAAACGGGGCTGATCATCAATTACGTGAACTGGATAAACAGTGCAAAGTTGCTTAATGTGAGATCTGGTTGCATGAGCTATGAGAATTCGGATTTCTGAACTTGTTTCCCATAACGCTTTTAACCGAGCAAAAGCTTCCTGGTATTGAGTTTCACGCAACTTTAAAAGTGCTCGATGCGTTTCCAATTGAGAGCGCTGATGCGCAACTTGATCTTTTTTCTTTTGAAGATCATCGCTTAATTTCTGAAATGCTGCTAAATACTTCGACAGACGGTAATGCAATTGAGAGAGAAGAAAAAGGTGTTTACTGTAGGTAAACTTTAAGCAATGGCTTTTTTTTGAAATCTGAGTCTCGCTCGTTACTAGGTCTTTACGAACTTTCTTCTGCGTAAGCTCAAGTTCATGAATACATTGAGAGAGATTGAGGATACGTAGTAAGGCCTGTGAAGAGTATGCGTCTTTCCGTCGATCCAACGACATCGTAGACATACTTTTATCAAGACTATCTTCGGTATCAACGGTGCGATGGTCCGTATAGAGATATACGCCGTCCGCAAAGTCACATACCAGGCCATTGCGGATTTCGCATACGGCAGATATAGGCTGTAAGTTAGTAAACAGTTATTAAAACCTTTAGAAAAAAGCAACGAACGATAGCCATAGCCAAAAGCTTAATTAGATATCGCTGTAACTTTTCTATTTTCCTTACATCATTGCCGATATGAACAAAATGCTGTCCTCCTTTTTGAATATTCCATTCTCGATGCAAACGAAAGGGTCCTTCAGCATGCGACGAGCACCAGCTTCGCAGAATAAACGAAGAAGGATTCCGATATTTCTGGAAAACCTTGCGTCGTATCTTCTCGTCTATGTAGAAAATGTGGTTCTAGAAAAAGAGATAGTTAATAAACCTTTCTTTTACATAAGAAACACCACCTACTGCGTTCTCGCTACATTCAGTAATATAAACCGGAAAACTCATACGGGGAATATGAATTGACAAAAAGACGTGGAGTGTCCCTCGTGAAATAGCATACTTAAGCTGCTCTTGACGCTTCCATAAATCCTGTGCAGTGTCTATAGTTAACGCATGTAAGTTTCGCTGATCCTGAATGTTTCTTATTTGAACCGATTTAAGCACCGAAACTCGGAAACTTCCTTGCCAATCATGAGACATTCTAACATGGCTACAAACACTCCAGCTTTTTTCTTGATAATTGAGAGATGCTCTTTCGAGACCGGTTGTTTTATTTTTACTTACGACCTTGGATGCCGGAGACTTCGGTGACTTTCCTTGTACACCGGGATATATTACCGAAGTATTCACCGAATGCAATAGACTCATTTCATGTCTTGCTAAGACAGTGTATACCTGGAAAGCTGTAAGGAGCCCTCGAAAATGAATTTTGTGCCTAAATCGCTGTATTTATTTCGACATATACAAACAAACCAAGTTTTGTTTTCTATGAGACAAGCTTTGAAACCAACACAATTGTTTCAATTGCCATTCGCAAAGAAAGAACAAGGAACTGCTCCTAACGGAATGCGCCCTGCAAGGCTTCGAAAGGATCACTGGGTTCCAATTTTGAAGGCAGATTTCGAAAATGAACGAGTTGTTACATCCGTGGTATCTCAATTACTAAATTATAGGCGATATCGGTCTGTTCAACCATTAAGTAAGGAACTGTTGGCTATGCCCATATCACAAAGAAACCGCTTTGTGATGCAACAACAGGTTCCTAACACAATTGCCGACCTAGCCGATATTTTGAGAAGAAAAAATCTTGCGAATGAATCCGTCACTATTCAATGGAAAGACCAAACGGACAGTGAATACGCCGACTGGCCCGAATGCGTCAAAATGGACTCCAAGAGGATCACTACTACTCGCGGATTCCGGCCCTCTTATCCTTCCTCTTCTCCTACTATTGAAAGCAGTGAACCAGTGGTGAATGCCTAATGCCTTTACGTGCTCCGTATGCACTTGCCAATACTGACTCTCCCCCTTTTCTCTCTTGTTGTATTCTATCTTATATACCTTTCATTTTACCCCTTTTTACCTCTTTCATTTTGGTTTTGACTCTTTCAGGCCCTTCTGTTTTTCTACATACATTTCAACATCATGTTTATGTAGGAAAATCAAAAAATAAATAATTAATTTCATGAATAAATAAAGTACAGTTATTCGGTATAGTTCTGCCAAAAAATCTATAATGCTGTCGTAATGGTCAGGCTTTTGGAGTGGATTAATCCACATGGAGGTAACCCCTTCATAAAGATAAGCAAATCATCCACATATTGTTCAGACTTGGTAAAGTTTTCATGTGTTTTGGCGTGAGGTGCCGGTAAAACAGTAAATAATACTGCTGTATTCTCTGTGTGTTCCCGAATCATTTCATTCATAACGATGTACTGGGCTCTTGAAGAAAGATTATTAAAGGTTAACTCAGCGTCTTTATCTGAATTCTCTTCTTTGCTTTCTATGCTTTGATCATCATAGTCCTCAGGTGATTGCGGTGGAGTGTCATTAGGTAATTCAACAGTACTATCAGAGTAATATCGATGAAGTTTAGGAGGAGTATAGTATTCATTTTCCATCGAAGATCGAGTAAAAGGGTGATCTGGTTTTAGGGATTGACCAAGTCGGAAACTCAAAGGAATGCTCAATGGCGGAGCAGTTAGTTGCCCAACACTAGATGATCCAAAACTGTAATTAGAAACCTTTCGTTGAATTATAGTACTTTTTGAACAGGTCGTTGAATTATTACGGTGTCTAGAAAGTTCATTCCACCAAAGATCATCTTTCAGCAGGAACTCTATATTAGCGGATTTCTCAGCTGAAATGGGCTCATTTTTTAGAATATACCTATAAGCATCTAAATTGCTCAAGCACAGACATAAGACTTTTATCTCAGCTTTCATCCGGAATGTCTCTAGTAATTGCTGCAAACTTTGTTTTTCAGCCTCAATTTCATCTTCATGTTCAACAATAGTAAGTAGCCGTAATGTGCAACCTTGCTTCCATTCAGGTGACGTATGCAATATCCAACTTAATTGGAAAACCATTGTATAAGTCTCTAAATTGGTAGCATACATGGGCCTTGTTTTGTTCCTATTTGATTCTAGATTCGACGCCATGTGTACCGGAAACATATCAATGTATCGCTTTGTTCCTTTTGTCTGAGGCCATTGCAGTCGATCAAATCCATAAGTCACCATCACGTCCACGAGACCAGCTAAAATATCTTCCAAAATTTGAACCCATTTGACAGGTAAAATTGCATGTTCGGCTATCTGAGATTCTGTCATATCTTCCGTACTTGAGGAATCATCATCATCCTTGAGACTTTTACGTTTAGCTGCATCAATTTTTTTATATCTTGTATTAATAAACGTGAGTACGGCGATATTTGGTCGTATACCTCCCAAACCAGCCGACGAAATAAGACCACGAATTCCCCACACTTCGTCTGGTGCAACAGTAAGATCAACAAACCCCTTAATATCTCTCTCAAGGATGAATTCGTGCCATAGTTGCTGCTGTTTTCTTAATTCTTCCATACTTCCCTGAAAATCCTTAGACACAATAACATGCCCCAAAATGTAAAGAGACCCTACATGGTTAGCATATGCTTAGAACTACATTTAGATTTACCTTTTTTCAAAGAATTGCAAAAGCGAATTATATTCTCCGAGCGGTTTGGGTTGTTAACGAGCAATAAAATTTGAGGACGCCAATATTTGATATTCTCTTTTGCTTTATTGGTGTGCAGAAGATACTTTCGAAGTTGGTGATAAATGATTCCTTGCGAAACATCTCCCCAATTTTTTGGGGGACTCGTGAAGTATATAACGAAAATTAGTAATCCCGCAATTAGAAACGAGGCAAACGCATTTATTCGGTCAATATAAAACATTATGCCAAATGACAAAACACAACCGAATCCGGTAGTGAACCGATTGAAGAACGAAAAGGTAGGACGAAAATTAGGAGTGCTGCTTAATCTTAATAAAAGGCAAGCCAAGTTTATAAAGCCAAAAGTTAAGAGAAAGGTCATTGTTATCATCGAAGAAAGCATGTTTATGTCCCAATAAAGACTAATTTGAGTAATGAAATAAGTTAGCAAAATGGCTCGAAATGGTATATCTTGCTGTCCAGAGCCTTTGGCAAACAGAAATAAACCAGGGATTAAATCGTCCCGGGCAATTGCTTGAAGCAGTTTTGCAGCACCAAAGATTCCCATAAAAGAACTGAAGGCACCACTGGCTAATATTCCAGAAATGATAAGCAAAGGATGCAAACTGATATGTTCAAGGACTTCCATGTCGAACAAAAGGCCTGATCGAGTAACGGATGCACCGATACAAAGGATAACAGTCAAGTATAAGAGAAACGTTGTAAATAAAGAAGAAAGAGTTCCTTTAGGAATTGCACGAGAAGGAGCCTTCAGATCACCGGACATACTCGCACCAGCTAATAAACCAGCGCTTGCAGGAAAAAAAACACCAAATGTACTTTTAAAAGACTCTTGAATGTTCGTATTTAAATCCTTTGTATATGAAGAGAAAAGGTTATCAGTTAAGGTTGACAATTTCACTCCTGTAAAAAAGAGATCTAAGCTAGGATTTTTGAAAGGACGAACCAATATAGCTGAAATAGGGATGGATATGGTAGAAAGGATGATAATAAAAAAAAGTGCGTTCGATGCTCTTGCAAATGTCGCAGAACCTAAGCAGCACAAACTGCAGCAAAGGATTAATACGACGGTAGTATAAGCAAAGTTCCACCAAAATCCTTCAGGAAAAAGTTTAATAATTGTTCCAGAATTCTTTCCGATTAAGCCAATAACGGGCTCAACAAATCCCGAAATGTTCATACCAGTATTTAGAATCTGACCGATATAAAAAATAAAGCCAATAGAACCACCCATTTCAGGGCCAATGGACCTAGAAACGGCATAATACGCACCTCCACCTCGTACCATACCATTTGTGCATATTGCTGATATCGATAAGCTTGTGAGGAATCCTATGGTGTAGCTAATAACTAGCATTAATAATGACTTTAAAACCCCTGCTTCTCCTACGATCCATGGAAACCGCAAGTAGAGCAAAATAGATAAGACATTTAAAGTAGTAGGAATAAAGCAACCTTCAAACGTTCCCAATTTTATTGCCTCTCCAGACTGTTCATTTTCAGCAACGGTAACACTTCTTGATAATGGAGGTAAATCTGAAATATTAAGACTGTTATAGTTCTCAGGTGGTTCTTGTAGTAAAGGATTAGACGATTCTAAATTCTCTTGAGTTTCCCAAAAGTGTCGAGCATTTCTTCTAGAAAGCTGGTTGGATAGAAAATCAATCACTTGATTGGATTTTGTTAACAGCCTTGCCATCTTTTTGAATTAAATAGGCGTTAAACACCAAAATCAAAGAGGAAAGTATGATTTTAATTTGCCGTCTCGGCTACTAGTCCTCTAAGTTGGTATTTTGATAGTTGGTAAACTGTGGTAGGATAGTTGAACAGTGATCCTAATGTGCGGCGGTTTCACAAGTTTTAATATCAAGCACCCAAGTTGTTGATATATATAACAAACAAAAAGGAAAGAGAAACTAGTAGTGTAGAATGAATGTAGAAGACCCAACAATGCCTTGTTGGTTCATTGAACGAAATTTATGTACATAATGTAAACATTCATAATTCTACTCAATTAATATTTAGTAACACTTAAATAGGAAGTTTAATTCAATTTTAATGATTCATAATTAGTTGCTTAAGCAATGCACTTCGTTTCGAAAGACATTTACGTTGTCAAAGTAATGAAAATTTTGAACAAGAGAGTAGGCAAACCGTCAATTGTTTACTCAGCATTTAGTCAAACATTTTTATAAAGCTTCTTGAAATAAATATTAGGCCTGTACTGAACAAAGACAATCACTGTTTATCTTTTCAACTAATCAAACATTGGTATCATTCCAAGCAATATATATATAGTTTTTTCTTTCGCTAGATGTTCTAAGTAGAAACTGACAAAAATAAACTCAATTACTTTACAGGGTCTTGCGTGGTATTGGCAGACAAAAAGTTTCCACCGCGTATTTCACCTTTGGCTTTACTTGGAAAGGTAGGGAAAAACCTTGGATCTTTTGGTCGAGGGGATTCGTAGAAAAAGGGATGTTGGAGTGCTTCTTTCGCAGAAATTCGCTTCGCTGGATCCAGAGAAAGAAGGCGCTCCATCAAATCATAACCGTTAGCTGTTAAGTTTCTAACAACATCGCGTAACCTAGGCTTTGTTTTTACCGTTGGGAGCTTTATTTTATTTGCATGAGGTAATAGTCGATATTGAGGCCATTGCTCTTCATCAGGATACCCTAAAACATTAAAAATCTAGTGGTTAGCAAACTAAAAACGAAAGTATATTGAGAAGCACATACTTTATGCAACTGATCCAGCTCATTCTTTCCAGGAAAAAGCGGAGTACGATTTAGCATTTCTGCGAAAATACATCCTATGCTCCACATGTCGATTTCCCTTCCATAACTTGGTGTCCCTAATAAAAGCTCTGGAGCTCGATACCAAAGGGTAACGACAACGCGAGTCAACTTTGGTTTTGGTTCGGACGTAGGACGAGCTAAACCAAAATCCGCAACCTTGATCTCTCCTGTGTTATTCATTAATAAATTTGACGGCTTTAGGTCTCGATGAAGATACCAATGATAATGGATGGTTGCGGTAGATGACAACAACTGAAGCATTAACGTTTTTACTTCAGATATAAGAAAATCCTCCGGCATGTCATCCAGAAGAAACTTTAAATCATGTTCCATAAACTCCATAACTAAATATATGTCTTGTAAGTCATCACCAACCACAACTTTCTTCAGTTCCATAACATGGTCATGTCGAACAGTGGATAATGAATGAATTTCCCTTAGACTCGTGATAGGAAAACCAAACCCATTAGGATTAAATTTGATTTTCTTCAATGCAACTAATTTTTCTGTCGACTTCTCCTTTGCACAATAGACAATTCCGTAGGATCCTTCTTCAATTTTGTTAAGAATTTCATAATCCTGAATATTGTCACAAGACCCCAATCGCGGGACAGTTGCTGATAAATACGACCTGTACGAGAATATATTTTTGTCTTTTTTAGTTGCTTCCTCTTCTAGTAATTCACGTTTCCGTTTTCTTTCAAGCTTGCGTTTCTTTTTCCATTCATGCTCTGACTTTTGATTTTCAGAGGCAAATTGGTCATTTTCTAAAGTTTCCCATTTTGATTTTGCCATCTTCTACCTTCTATATTTCCTAAACATAAATTAACATTCCTCTCGGTAGAGGGATCAGACAAAGATTCGCTCACAGCTGAAACGTGTATAAATGCAGGTCCGTAGTGTACTTTAGTTTACTATCTCTTAAAGCATTCTTATTTTAGCTTCTATAAGCGAATATAAGGAAAAAAATACAACAACATAGAGTTTGCATCGAAAGATATTACTCTTCCCTCGCCATGGACCATTGTAATCTCATTCACTTGTATACATCCATTCAAAGGTAATTTGTTTTAGTGAGTTACGAACGAAGCTTGGCTATATTTAAACATTCTACAAATTACTCTCTGTTCACATTTCTTACAATGATAGCTCTATAAGTTCTTACAAAAATGAAAGTCCATAAGTGGTAAGGAAGGAGAATCAATTGTATAGATACATAATGAACAAAGCCAACCACTTTTTAACGGTAAGACTTTTGTTGACGAGCACGAGCACCGTGACCACCGAACTAAATATAGAGTTAGTAAACAAAGAAGAAAATAGTGAGTACCAAAACTGTCGTTTTGAATTCTCCATAGCAAATCACTTACCTTCTTGGGCTCCATGCGACGAGGGTCGGCAACCAACAAAGTACGGTCGTAAGTGACGAGGGCCTTCTTGAGTTCAGCCTTGGAGTGCTCGTCAATGAACTTTTGGTAGTAAGCAACGATAGCCTTGGAGATGGATTGACGGATGGCATAGATTTGAGAAACATGACCACCACCAGAAACGCGGACACGAATGTCAACGCCGGCGAACTTATCAGCACCAGCAACCAAAATGGGCTCATAAACCTTCATACGCAAGATTTCGGGTTGAACGAGAGAGAGAGGGGCTCCGTTGACTTTGATCAAACCCTTTCCGGCCTTGCAGTGAGCGACAGCCGTGGCATTGCCTTTCTTTCCAAAGCACTGAACTGACTGCATATTGGCTCGTGGATGGTGGTTCTACTGTGGTGAACTGCTGAATGAGAAAAGTTTCGACTTTGGGATCCACTCGTAAAAGCAGTCACAGTTTATTTTTACGAATAGAATACTTGGCTAGGGCACACTAATAGCAATAGTGTAGTGTAACATATGAGAGTTAAAAGATTAATATGAAAGAATGCCTTCTATGTAGTGATGAGTTTGTTTGGTTTGTTTACATTAGAAAATCCTAACAGGAACAAAAAAAAAGTTGTAGGATGGAAGTTTTTGAACTTGACTATTTCTCACTAATAAAGGGCTTGAATTGCCTGTTTCTATGCCTTTTGGGGTCCTCCATTTTCTTGATATAGCTCAATCTATTAATATGATCAATAAGGCATCATTTTTCCTCCCAAAAGACACAGTAAAGAAATATTCATATTTTCAAAAATAACGAAAATAATTCTTAATTTGTCATAGCTCGTCAGGCGTGCAAATCTCAAGGTCATAACACTTATATTTTTTTGTTTACTCCTATGAAATGCTACCTACAAGTTCAAGAATCCAAATACGAAGATAGTAGAAAAAAAAAACTTTGTTTTTATTTTTATTCATTGATTCTTATTTTCTCTTTCGTTCTAGCGAACCTCTGAAGATGCCAGGTGGTTTTTTCTTCTAAAAAGATTAATAAGTAAACAAAAACGGTGGACCCTATATGGAAGCCAAGTATTTGAGAAGGATTTTATGACATGAAATTTTCCTTTATTTCTTTTTTGATAAAGTAGGCTAATTTAATACAACACTAATAATAGAAACCAAAATCCGAGGAAACATTTTTAGTAAAGGTTAGCCTAAATAAACGTGACTTTATGTAGTCAAATACATATATTTTCTTCAGATGAAAATTACAACCCAAGTTTCCTTAAGTTAAGAAACAGTTCCACAATATCTTCCTTCCTGCAGCAGCCACTGCAGGAAAGGTTTTTTAATTTTCTCACTTCATACTTATTGATCTATTCAACTTGCATTTTTCAATCTTATACAATCCTACGTACCTTTGAACCGGTCCTTACCTACTAAATAAAAGAGACTTTACAATACTCACTCTTTACAATCTTTCATCTACTTTTGTATTATATCTGCACTTTGCATATTTCAGCAACATCATAAGAAAGGATTTCGATACTTTATTTTATTGTGTGAATACCTACCATCAAATCAGTTGGTACCCTTTTGTAACAGCAATACATAAGGTATTGCACATATACGACAAGAGATTTGATAGTAATAATCCAAAAGTCCCAGAACCCAAAACATATTTAAAGTCTGCGACCACGGCGACCACCCTTTCTGCGAGTAGAGTCGGTAGGGATGGGAGTAACGTCTTCGATACGGCCAATACGCATACCAGCACGAGCCAAAGCACGCAAAGCGGCTTGAGCACCAGGACCAGGGGTCTTAGTAGCAGTACCACCAGTAGCACGGATCTTGATGTGAAGAGCAGTAACACCAACTTCCTTGCACTTGACAGCAGCATCCTGAGCGGCCAACATGGCAGCATAAGGAGAAGACTCATCACGGTCGGTCTTGACCTTCATACCACCAGTAACACGGGTGATAGTTTCCTTACCGGTCAAATCAGTGATATGGACGAAGGTATCGTTAAAAGAGGCGAAGATGTGAGCAACGCCAAAGACGAGCTCTCCAGAGCGGACTTGAGGGCCAACGTTGGTAGCCATTTCTGTGGTTGGTTCCGGATACTTTACAACAACGTGTTTTCTTTTCTCTGTAAATTTCGTGTTACCCTACCCAAAAAACAGTCACGATATTGGGACCAAACTTTGTGACTGCTCTTGGGGAAAGTTGTGGTCTTTGATTTGGAAACCAAACTTCACCACTAGACATCCACCATCATGGCTGTAGCATCGTCAACGGTCCCTTCCAAGGAGCAAGTCTTTGCTCCCGAGTCTCTTTTGAAGAAGAAGAAGACCCAGGAGCAATCTCGTGAACAACGTGTTGCTGCTGCTGCTGAAAAGAAAGGTGTAAGTAAATGCGACAAAGACAAAAATTTTATCTGAAAGGGATGAATCAAAGCATAGTATGAAGTAAAATCTTTTTGCTTGTTTATGCTTAGCAAGCAAAAATTTCGTTTTATGCGGAAAAACAACATGATGACAAAAATTTTGGATAGCTAGCTTTGCGATGTGCTTCCAATAATACCATCTTTCGGGACTGAGTTTGTTTTTCTCTTCATTTATATACTATGTCTTATCAAGAAAGACTTGCTTTGGTTCTACTTTATTTTCATTCATAAAAATTTTATTTGAACCCTTAACTAACATCATTCTAGCTTCGCCAAAAGAAGCGTGAGCTCATTGCTAAGCGTGCTGAGGCTTATGATGTCGAATACCGCAAGGCTGAGCGTGAGCAAATTGAACTCGGTCGTAAGGCTCGTGCCGAGGGCAACTTCTATGTTCCTGACGAACCCAAGTTGGTCTTCGTTATCCGTCTTCGTGGTGTTAACAACATCCCTCCCAAGGCCCGTAAGATTATGCAACTCTTGCGTCTCATTCAAATCAACAATGGTGTTTTCGTCAAGTTCAACAAGGCCACCAAGGAAATGCTTCAAGTTGCTGAGCCTTATGTTACCTACGGTGTCCCCAACTTGAAGACCGTCCGTGATTTGATTTACAAGCGCGGTTTCGGCAAGATCAACAAGCAACGTATTTCTCTTACTGACAACTCCATCATTGAAGCAAACTTGGGCAAGTACTCCATCATGTCTGTTGAGGACTTGATCCATGAAATTTACACTGTTGGCCCCAACTTCAAGCAAGCCTCCAACTTCATCTGGCCCTTCCAACTCTCTTCTCCTTTGGGTGGCTTCAGAGCCCGCAAGTTCACTCACTTCATCGAGGGTGGTGATACTGGTAAGCGTGATGAGCACATTAACACTCTTGTTAGAAAGATGCTTTAATTTTGGTGTAGATGTTCAAAATAACTATATCTTTTCTTACTTCTATTTCATCATGTCGCATAGTTTTGTAGCAAGCATTTTTACATATTCGTATGCTTTTTATTGTAGCGTTTCATTCATTACTTTATAGATAGCGACCATCAGCTACGTTTTTTGCTTACAGGCTTCTGTTATTATAGGAGTAAATTGTTCAAGACATACTAGACTGGTACGTCCCATTAGCAATCCCTCAGATGCAACTACCCATTTTTCTCCGGTATTCTAGAAATTTGGCGGGGATTGTGTCAAAACTTGGGAGAGTTCAGACATTTCATACTGCATTAGTTACACAAGTCAGTAATGCGAGAAAGTTAGCTCGAAAACGCAAAGAAAAGCTGATTTCAGAGCAAGGTTCCGACAAACAACCCATACGTCGATCAAAGAAGCCAAAAGATGACTTAAATTTAAGAAATGAAAGCTATAAATTGGCCCAAAAAGTTGCCAAGTTAACAAAAGGAGAACAGCCAAAAGCCGCGCTAGATTTAATTTTAAAAAAATCGTTGGCTAAAAAAACTGTCGCATACAATCATTTGTTAGAATATCATTTGCGGAAGGGCGAATATAACACTGCTTGGTCTCTATACAATCTAATGAAAAAATCGATGCAAGCACCGAATGAATTCACTTACACAATTTTGTTACAGGGTTTATACTCTCTGTTGGTCAGTGATTTAGCTGTCAGTAAGGAGAAGTTGACTGAATTAATTAAAAAAGTCTACGAAAATTTATATCGACCCAATTCCGTGATAGCTCCAAATGCGATCCATATCAACGTCTTGGCTCAATGCTGTTTGAAACTTAAAGATGTCGAACTTGCGAACGATATCCTTTTACATCCCAAAACAAAATTGGACTCATCAATTGCTTCAAAATTTATGTATCTTTATCTGGATATTGCTCAAATACAGCCTGATCGTCTTGAAGAGATGCACAAGTTTTCTCGTGATTTGTGGGAATTTACAATTTCTAAGTACAAGGAAAATGAATTTGCAATTCATGAAGACCTCCTTTGCTCTTATGCAAGAATTTTGAGCACTTCTAAGCACGAAAGCCACAAGTTTTTGGCTCTGAGAATCCTACTAGAGCAAGTGGATGCTCCAGTACAGTATCCTGTTCAAGAGCCTCATCCTACGCTACCCGGCCAATGTTGTGCGGTCACTTCACGATCATTAATCACCGTACTTTTCATTCTCAGGCAACTGCGCGATTTAGCATCCGCTGACTTCTACTGGGCGTTCTACAGATCAAAGATTCCCTGGCCCCCTACGATTCAGGCCTTCCATGAACGTCTTCGACTTTATGTTGAGTTGAATCAAATGGAAAAAATTATGTCTTTATTACGTGAAATGAAAGAAGTTAATGTTTTACCTACGGCTCAAACAATTGCAATTGCTATGTCCTTATGTCTTCGACACAAGTATTCCAAATTCGCTCAAGACATTTGGGAGTTAGCTCCTCCTAATACTGAAAAAGTAAAATGGGTTAAAGATTTAGTTCCTTCTAAAGCATAATATAGTTACATTTCATATCGATTGTCTACTGAATAGTCCATGTAATCAAGTTTTGATGCCAAATTATACGCTGTATGTCAAAAATGGAGAGCACGACACTTCTTATTTATTGTAAGTTACGCGATATCACTATATTGTATCGTATCTATTCATTAGGTCTTACTCGAATTCTTAAGAAACGTACTGGATTCCAAGAATCCTTCTACCAACGCATAAATCTACAGGATGCTGCAATAATATACAAATATATAATGCAAGGATTCAACATGGGGAGGTATTACCCTCCTGATGAAGAAAATAAACCTAGAAAGCGGGCAAAAACTAAGAATGTAGTTCGATTTGAGATGCCTTTTGCAGTATGGTGCAATCAATGCGAAAATTTAATCCACCAAGGCACTAGGTTTAATGCAGAGAAAAAACAAATTGGTGCTTATTACTCTTCAAAAGTGTGGTCTTTTACTGTTCATTGTCATCTTTGCTCTAATTCTCTTGAGATACACACAGACCCAAAGGTAAGTTCCATAGCATAAGTTACAAGTTGCTAACGCAACATGTTGCTAGAACACAGAGTACATTGTTTTCACTGGGGGAAAAAGGAAAGCTGAGGCTGCCGATACCGTAACATCATCCAACGTTGCTACTGCTGAAATTCAAGATCCATTAGAGGCACTGGAAAAAAGTATCGCTACACAGAAGAAAAAAGAGACACGAAATACAGAATTGGAGTTGATTTATGAAAGAAATGAGAGGCAATGGGCAGATCCTTTTACCGTTTCCCAAAAGCTTCGAAGAGATTTTAGGGTATTGCGACTTACTGTTTCGTATAGACTACTAACATTTTATACAGATAAAAAAAAAGATGATAAAGGAACAAGAAGAAAAAGAAAGTGAGTTTAAGAAACAGGCTGGTCTTGGACTGAGTCTTTTACCTCCTACTCCTTCTGATGAAAGAATCGCTCAGCAGTTAGCTCGTCATGAGCGTACGAGCTCTCAAGCATTAACAAATCCAGATTACCAAAAAAGGTTAATGAAAAATAAGAAGGCAAAAAGGTTTGCGAGTTTCGATGATGTATTCACTCCAAGAGGTTTTCTTCGAAATGACCCTCATTTTTCGAAAATATCAATTGTGGGAGATGTAAACGAACCTAAAACAAAGGAGCAGACAAAGCATTCTGGGAACAATTCTACGAGAGCTTTGGTTGAATATGGAGAAAGTGATGAATCTACCTAATAAACCGATACAATGTCTAGCCTTATTCGATTGTATTTTGTTCTATATGCTATAATCATAAAAATTTCATTATACTTTTCTTGAGCTATAGAAACAGGGTTGTATTCCATCATTCGTATCAAATAACTCTCTTGTATTTTCTGGGGTCTTTTCTACTCATTCGAATTGGATCTCTCATTCCTTGTCCACCTTCCCAAAAAGCACTTTTTTGGCGACGTGTTGTGAAGTTTCCACAATGTGAGCATGTTCCTTCTTTGGTATACATAGATTCAAAGGAGCAATAACCGCAAATAATCCTATTTGCATACTCATATAAATGATCCTGATCGATGTCATGACACTTATCGCAAGGATAAATTCGATTACAGCATGGAAAACGAAACCCTATTATTATTAGTTGAACATTCTTTGAGAAAAATAGTGATACATACATCGATATGATTTCTTGTAGTGCTCACAAGCTCCACGATTAGGAAGAGGCGTACCCTTTACAATCCCAAGATTTTGTTTCTTGTTTCCTTTGGAAGGCTTCTTGGAACCGAGGGCTTGTTCTCGTTGTTTAAGTAACTGGAATTTTGTATCCTGATACTGAACTAATGTCCTCGTCTTACATGACCTGCAAAATTGGACCATAGGCTGCATGGAGGAAAGACCTTTAAAAGCCATTATTTGCTCATCAGTGCATTCCAAACAAGAAACAAAACAATCAATGGGTAGAACGTCAACGGGTGCACATCCGATCAAATCAAGTACACCCAATCTAGCTGAATTCACATAAACAGTTCCTGGTAACCATATGATTTGAAGACCATTATTGCATCTTGAACAGGATAATGAACATTTTTCCTGGACAGTAGCCTCATTGCCGTAGTGACAGCGAACACATTTTACCACCAATCGCAACCTTGGTGCTTTTAGTACACCAACGTTCAGCAAATTGAGGTCTGTTAATTCAAGAGTGTAGTCGTTTCCTTCAAGTTGTACGGTTCTAGCAGGTTTCGGGGTCTGAAGATTTTGAGAAGAAGTGACTTGATGAACATCATCCTGATCATGACTTTCCCTTTCAGATAACACCTGCTTAGAAATTGGACTATTTGGTTTTAATAATTCCCTTCCCAAGTCCTTTTCCTCTCTTTCATAATCTAAAGATTGTATCCTCAAATTTTTGGAGCCAGAACGGAAAACCCCGTTGGAGATATCTTTCTGTTTGATGTTCAAGTCTGAAAACTTATCTGAAACTTGGTCAATGGATTTTTCATGTCCTTTTTCAATGGTGGAAGCATCCTTTTCACCTTGTTCGTGCTCTGAAGTAGATTTAGATGAATTCAACCTTGCTTTCGCAAAAGTATCCCATTTTTGTAAGCATGAATTGAATAAGCTGGTTATAGTTGTATTTGGATTTTTGAAAGAAGAATTCACATATTCATTGACTGCGCTTTGCACATTCTCCTGGCCTTCTTCAAGAACAAATTGTACATGGTATGGTACAAGTTTATCCACAATCAGCAAAATATGGCCTTTATTTGTTTGCACTGTTAAGTAAACTTCTGTATCTGAGTCACTATGTATAAAGGCAATCCGTTAGTTATAGTACTCGTAAGGCCTATGCCTCTTCTGAATTCAACTTACACTATTTGGGGACGTAGCCTTTGACAGAATATTCTTATTTGTAAATCCCAATTCAGTGTCATTCAAACTTAGTTTGTCGTTAATCTGCGAAATACTTGGTGTTTCTGTAGTTTAGCTTTGTGTAAGCCCTCGCACCGCCAGTTGTATAATTTATATGGAGTAAACTAGCACTTCGGATATCAGATGTCCGATGATTATTTTGATATATTATTTGACAAAGCTTTCGTTTATATTCATGACGATGAAACAGTGCAAAGCTGCACATTTCGAGGACTTCAATGGCTCGAAGAGGTAGGTTTCTTCAGACAACGATTTTCAAAGCTTACAGCGCAGGCTATAAACCTAGAGAAAAATGGCTTACTTGTAAAGTCTTATATTTATTATCTGAAAGCTATCAAGCTGGCATATGAGATACCGTGCCGGTTTGAAATCTCAGTTCGATCTGCTGCTTATCCAGAATTTAAGCACTTCCAAAAGGTACGTTTTCAAGAGAGGAAATGGGATGGAACGATTCTTTTAAAATAGGTGTTTTATACGTCCTCCTACTGCAGTATCAGCAAGTTCTGCTTCCTTCTCTATACGTTAATTGTCTCTCATTAAACTAATACAAATGTAGCAAATGATGGTTTTCATTCAGAAAATACTTGCCTTAAAAAGTAGACTTGCAGTAAAACATTTCCTGCCTTGTACGTCAATCCAATCAGCCATGAAATTGGCTAAGGATAAATCGAGTAAAGTCTTATTCCTCAATATTTACTCTGAGGAAAGTTCTAAGGAGTATAGTTTTTCGGATTCAACCATCTGCATTCCTGTTAGGCTATTTTCTTCTGAATCCGTCGCTGAAGTTCATGATTACCTTAAAAGAACCCCGTTTCTTCCAAATATCGTTATATGTTATAGCATAGAAAACTACTTGGAAGACATAGATGTTTCATATCATATTTATTCTCTTCTAATATCCCTAAAATGGAAGCCTCAGTTACTTATTTCCATGTCAAATGGCCAGATTGATGAAAATAAAAACATTCCCGAATATCTGCCTATTGGTCTTACTAATCTTGGGAACACTTGCTATATGAACTGTGTTTTGCAATGTATTTTTGCATGCCGAGAGCTTATTGCCCCTATATATCAGAAATCTCCTTCCCTTGGAGCCATTAACACTGGTAATCCATTGGGATCTGGTGGGAAAATGACTTTTGCTTTTCACTCTTTGGTTAAAGAAGTTTTTCAAAGGAAAGGAAAAAGAATCATCTCTCCAAAACGATTCCTAGATATTGTTCAATCTCTAAACAGAGATTTCAGTGTAGATGGTCAGTGCGATGCTCAAGAGTTTCTAAACTTTGTACTCGATAAAATTCATGAAGACTTAAATTCGAATGCCTCTCGCATCCCCATACCTCCTCTTTCCGATGTGCAATTAAGTGCTCGAGAAAAACTGCCTCTCTCTTATTTTAGTCATGTTGAATGGAATTTGCATGTTCGACATAATCTGAGTATAGTTGAAAAGATTTTCTCTGGTCAACTTTGTAGTCGAATACAGTGTACAGTTTGTCAACGAACGTCTACTACGTTCGCTCCTTTTACTTCTCTTGCTATTCCCATTCCAGATGTACCTGGTTTTGTTAGCTTACATGAATGTCTCCGAAGATTTATGGCTTTTGAAGTTTTGGAAGGACATAACGCTTGGTGTTGCCCTGTTTGCCAAAAGCAAAGGCCAGCAAAGAAAATTATGAACATATCTCATTTATCTGATTACTTGATAATACAGATACAAAGGTTTCGCAACACGATGTTAGGCTGGAAAAAAATTGATACTCCTCTACAATTGAACTTTCGGATTCCTAGTAATATGCTCATTCCTCCTTGTTTCCAATCAGGGATAAATTATGATCAATGTAGTTACGATTTATTTGCTTTTGTCAGTCATTATGGTCAACTTGAAAATGGTCACTATACATCAAATGTTTTTAGCGAGAATCAATGGTATCGAATTGATGATTCCATCGTTCAAAGAGTGGATGGCTTTGCAGCACTTCAATATGATTTTTCTTCTTCGTACATATTGTTTTACAAAAAGAAAGAAGGCATTAGTGAATTGGAAAAATAAAGCTGAAAGCTACTACTATGGACGAAATATAGGTCATACGATCTTTTATAATGATTTAACTTTTTTTTCTTTTTTTCTGATTCCCTATGGGTCTTTTGCAAGTTCGTCCTTAACATTTATGGATATCATGTTAACTTATAGAAAAAGAGCACTTTCTATTTATAAAAATAATAAAATAAATAATTTCTTTTTAGATTCTTAGTTCTACATGAATGGGAACGGGAACTTAATCTTTAGCCCTTTTAGCGGATTTTAGATTTTGACGGGCAGAAGACTTTTTCTTTTTGAAAATTACTTTCGGCTCTTCCTCTTCCTCTTTTTGTTCTTTGACTGTACTATCTTTAGAGCTTTCCTCTGAGTCTAAACTTTTTTGCCTTACTTTAAAATGAAAGGAAGCCTTCTCTTCATTTTCGATAGATTCTCGATTTCTTTTTAATGAAGAGAAATCCTCTTTTTCTCTAGATTTTGAAGTATATCCTTCCTTCTTCTCTTTTTCTGAATTAGTCGATTCGTCATATTGAATGGCTTGAGTCTGTGTAGGAATGTAGCTAGTTGAAGAAGAGACAGTTTGATTACTATCAGAAATTTCCCAATCGTCTAGTGTATTTTTCTTTTTTGCAGGATGTAGTTTATGCCTCTCTGTCTTTGGTTTTTCATAAGATGCATAGAACGGCTCTGGGGTATAAGCAGGAATCGAAGGCGAGCTCTCTTTAGCTTGACTTAACCGCTTCAGATTAGATGAATGAATATCATCCATAAACCGCTTTAATGCATTCCTGTGCTTAAAACTCTGTTCATGTTCCCGTCGAATGAGCTGAGTATCTGTAACAAACTAAGTATAGCATTAGTATACTTGGAATGTAGCTAGCATTGCTTAACTTACTGTTTGACAGTATTTACAAAAATATTTGGGAATGCTTTTCCAGTATTCGGCCATGGCTTTTATGTTGAAAACCAATCCTCAGTTTCGTCTGTCCACCAATGCTTTAACAAAACGGTTTGAGTTTATAAATTACAGAATGACAACAATTCCAATAACATATGACTTATTATCTTCAATAGAGCCCAGAAAATGGTTAAGAAATACAGAATCAGGCGGTGAAATTACTTCTGTAAGTTTCGACGACAGTGGAGAACTTTGTTTGGCGTCTTCCACAGATGATTCATTAAAACTATACAATTGTGTAACAGGAAAGTAAGTCAAATAGCTGAAACTTTTTATAAAAAAAATATTTGCTTCTAACGGATTTATGTTTATTAACTTCAGTAGATTCATCAAAGAGCTCGCCAGTAAGAAATATGGTGCACATTTGGGTCGGTTTTCTCATCATTCTAATTCTCTAATTCATGCTTCTACTAAAGAAGATGACACAATCCGCTACCTTGATGTAGTTACGAATCGATATCTTCGGTACTTTACCGGGCATAAACAAGCTGTCACTTCTCTTGATGTTTCACCTTCTGATGAAATATTTCTTAGTGCCTCGATGGATAATACGATACGACTATGGGACTTTCGTTCTCCTAATTGTCAGGTATGATATGTGTCGGTAGCAAAATTGATGATCCTTGTACTGACTTTGTTTAGGGATTACTAAATGTGAGCTCGCCTGTTGTGGCTGCCTTTGATGCTACCGGCTTAATTTTTGCATCTGTGAGTGAAAGGAAATATAAGATCTCTCTTTACAACATAAAGACTTTCGATTCACGGCCATTTCAGGAGATTCCCTTGACATTCCTCCCTCCCCATGTAAGCATTTCGAATATAGAGTTCAGTACTGATGGAAGATATATTTTGTTGACTACTGGAAATGATTACCATTACGTGGTAGATACTTATAGTGGACAGGAATTGTTACGTGTACCAGCTAGGACAAATGCTAAAAGTGCTAGTAAAAGCCTTTCTTTTTACTCTTCTGCTTGTATGTCTCCAGACAGTAAATATTTATTTACTGCAAATGATGAGAAGCACCTGGCCATCTACGAATTGCCTGAGATGAAATCATCAAATCAACATTCCGACACTTGGAATATGCATGAACTAATGGCACAGGTCAAGGATACAATACCTTCAGTTCCGCAAAGCTGTATTCCTGTGACTCAAAAAGTAGAATGTCCTGAAGTGCCTTCTATAGTCCGTTTTAATCCACGGCATGCCCAACTGGTGACCGCTCATTCAGGCGTAGTATTCTGGGCTTGATCAGGTATATGGTTTACTCCATCAGTCAAAATATTTTTACGATGAAGGGTATAAGGTTAATCATACATCTTTTTTAGACATCAGATTAAAAATAATAAAGAGAAGAAAAATTAAATATGCAACCAGTCATGAACGAATTTTCGAAATTTTACAGAGCCTTTAAGGGAAGACTTTTTTCTTTCTTGTAGGCAATCACGCCTCAAAACAATTATTTTTCCAGCCATATTACTAACGATGATAATATCAATGGGGCGTAGATCAGCGGTTTTCTCTGAAACTTTGGAAAACGCACTTTTCCAATTCTTTCCAGGAAAGGAATATCCTTCCGAGCGGGCAACCTCTACAGCTGTTCTCGAGGGGGCAATGATCGCAGAGGTAAGTCTTTCTGTGCAAATTCGAAATGTTTCCATTGGCAAATGACGCACAACCCCTCTTCGTTTACTTGTTGAAGACAGAAATTTGTATGGGAGATGCCATAATGTAACTTCGTTGGAGTCGCTTCTGCTAATAATATAATTATTGTCTTCGTTGAGACGAGAAAGTACTTGCCTATTTATGCGGTGATCCTGATCCACTTTCAAAATCAAAGATCTATTTTTAACATCAAAAAGTCGAATAGAACTGTCGTTTGTGGAAACCAAAACATACGCTTCGGAATCAAGTTCTCCAGGGGTGGCATTCGTACATTGTAATCCAGTTATTCTACTTTTTCTATTTCGTGAAGATGACCGATGAATGAGCCATGAAGAAACGTAACGAAGTTGTTCTGTTTCAAACAATGCACACATTCCGTAAAACATCCCGACGATTATCCGCTGACCATTAGGTTGAAAACAAATGGCTGAAATTGAATATTCTAATTGATTCCATTGCAAGGTTTTGTGCTCTAAGACAGACCATAGCTGGATCCGATGGTCCAATGTACCTGATACAAAGAAACGATCATCTGTTGGGTGAAAAGAAACGCATGTGACTATTTCATTATGTTGAAAGATGGCCAAGCATCTGTTTAGTCTAGGATGCCAAAGGCGAACGGTACGGTCGCTGGATGCTGTTAGCAAAAAGTCGTTTTTGCTCCAAGATACGCAAAGAACCTCAGCTCGATGGCCAGTACAGCTTAAAACTGGTTCTGGCTCAAAGATACTGAAACCGCTAAAATAAGATTCTTTCCTTTTAGTCTCTTCTTTAAAAAAAGAACTACGATCTTTTTTAGACTCAATGACTTTCCATACTCTAATATTGGAGTCCTTTCCTGCGGTCGCTAGGTATTTCCCACTTGCACTAACTTCAGAAGCCCAGAGAGAACTCTTGTAATTGGATGGATCATACTTATTAAAGCGTTTCCCTAATCTCTTTCTATGATTTGGTATTTCAGTGGAACCAGTATTTATCACTTGTGCGACAAAAATCTTTTGGCTAAGTGTCATTTCTTTTTTTGGCATTCGCCTCTTATGAACAGGAACATAACGTAGATGTTCTCGACTTGATACGGGATGATTTTTATGTTTAGGGTATAGGGATTGAATTTTTCTTTCATCAAGCTTCGTTGGCGACTCCTCTTCATCAGCAACCTCAGCAGCAGTAGAGGAAGAATTTACAGACGTGTTGGCCAAACTGATATCATCCGCCTCATCTGATTCATTTTCAGACTGGCCGTTTAGTGAGGATGAGGTATTCGGGGAATCATCATCGGAATCATTATCAATTGAGTAATCCGTATTTTTCTCTTCAGTATTTCGAGGAGCCACAGTCAACAGATTTGGTCGAGTAGGTCGTTTTGGTAGTCTCTTCGCATTAACAGGGCTTCTTCTTTTAGGAATTCCTTCGTGGCTTGATGGTGTCTTGCTCCGCTGCGGGTCTTCTAACATATTTTCCTTGATGTGCCCATCTTGCAAAAGAAGTTCCATTATGGATTCCACATGAATGAAAATCTGTTTTGCATAGGACTCTGTTGATGATTGCTGATTCGGACAATGTTAGTACACCAAGGTGATGATTTAAAAAAAAAAAAAAAAAGAAAAATGATGATCTTTAGACACCAATGAACTTAATTATAATACAATTACCTCGAGTGATTTTAGTAAGAGTAAGAGTGGAAAAGGAGTAGAGAAAACCAATAATTTTCTATCCAGCAATATGTCTAAAATATGATACGTTCCGAGCCTTTTATTTTCTTTATTCCTTTATAGTATTGGTAGAAAGTAAATTAATTGCCATAGACTTTATCGATAATTATTCCTTTTGCTGAGAATGATCGCAGATTTGTTGTTGCTACTCAATTTGTCACTATGATGTGAACATTTAGTTTGAAGGCTGTATTGTGAATAGAGACGATTGCAGACTTTAGGGATGGTCACAGTATCAGGTAAAATTTATGTTCTTTTGCGTTGTTCTACTGTTAACTAAGAATGAGCGTGCAAAAGGTTTCTTTCTGTTTTTCTATAGCTAAGCTAGAAATAGAAAATGTCTCTTTTAGAACCATGAATAAGATGTAATCTTTAAATATTAGCTACATTTCAACTTAAGTTTTTAGTTTATGAAGAGAATTGGGCTTCTACATTGCATTTTCTTTGTAGACGATCACTTCTACTTGTTTATTTACAGTACATGATGAGAGAAAAGCGAAAAAACGTGAAGACAAAAAGATGAATATATTAAAAATAATACAATGAGAATTCCCTTTTTATATCAAACAAACAAAATACTTTCTTCATTTCTTTATGACTTTAGTGAAGGTAAATTTTTGATACAAAATTTGCCGGATGAAAGAAAGAAACTTGCTCATAAGAAATCATCAACATATATTTAGTTAGTTAAAGCTAAAATCTAAAAAATATATGCTCAAATTGATTACATTTGATGTAGAATCTCGAATCTAAATAATAATGCTTGCTTTTTAGGCCTTGGTGTTGTTTTTTAAGAATAACGATGCCTGTCTTTCGTTAAGCTCAATTGCGTCAAATAGTTTGGTTGCCTAGCCACTTTACCATAGATCACTGTTGGTCGGTAAGCGTTTGTTTACACTGTTCGACGCGTAGTCGCCTGTTGTCCTTTACCATTCAATTGCAATACCTTTGCTTGTAGAAAATTTGTCAAAAAGCTCATGTGTGAAAGAGAACTATTGAAATCGGTAAAAAGCAATGATTTGTTTTTGGGAATCTGCTAGCTGGATCATTGGTTTAATCGGTCTTTAGATTTCTTGAACTTTTTGTTTGATTATTTCACTCCGACAACCATAAGTACTTGAAAACTCTATGAATTTACCTTCATCAATTCCCAACAGGATTATTTTTTTTAGAGAAACGTGACGATATTGGTTTGTTTACTTTACCCAAATTCAATTTGTGATTTAATTTCCTCATATTAGGCTAGGGGCAACACCTTCTATACTCCTTTTTTGTGTGCATATATGCGGTTTTTCAATCATTCAACCATACGGTTCAGTACAGGGACGGACCTCTATGTTTCGAGTTCTCTACATTGAAGTTAACAAAGCTATAACGAACACTTAAATTTATTGTTTGATGACACACAGTGAAGCAGATTCTGGTGAATAGAACGTTTCATTTCGTTATATAACCTGTGTAGATCTGGTTTGCCAGGATCTTTCGTCGGCATTTGCTACCCAAAATCCTAAATGGAGTAGAAACAAAGAAACTTTTCCACTGTTTACGTCTATATTAAGAACAAAATTATGAATGTATCTTACGATTGCTCAATTTAAAAAGGAAAAGCAATTCTTCTGCCTTTACAATGCTACTGTTTCTAATGGCACTAACAAGGTGCACTGTTAGCAGGAGGATTAGAAGCAACTAAACTAACTCATTTTAAGTATACCACGTGTATTTTCATACTTTAAACTTTCGTTAAATTCATCTCATGGTGACGGAACGACACAAAAAAAATTTGATTCAAATTTACGTTGAGCAGTCACAGTGTTTCGAGGCATATCGTAACAAACTTAAGCCTGACCTACAGGAAACGTCTGAATTGTAAAAAAACAAGACAGAACGGTTTTGACGAAAAGAGCAAGACCAAAAGATTTGAATTTATAATGGGTTAGTGAGTAATTGTTATGATGGATTGTTAACAAAGAAAAGGTCCAAAAAGGGTTTGTTAGCGCCTGAAACGTTTGTTTTAACGCTATTCAGAATACGAAAATGAGCCTCACCGCCTTCTTGGGTGATGAGCAATTTGGCTCGACTAGCTGGGCTGACGACGTTGATGATTTGCCTTCTTTGCGTAAGTATTATTGGTTTTGAAGAAACATTGGGTGGATCCTTCCTTCGAATGCAGGAGGGGTCAAAAGGAAAGAGAACGTTTCCTTTTCTAAAGGATAGCATCAAGTTAACCACTTTTTATTCTAGCTCAAGAACGTCTTGGCTTCCGTAATAGCCCTTCTGTTGCAGAAGCTCCTTCTTCTACTTACGAACCAGCCGGCAGGCCTATGGCAGGCGAGGGTCGCCGCGACATGGGCTTTCAACGCGAAGCCGTGCCCATTCCCACAGAGCCTCCTTTCACCGCTTACGTCGGCAACTTGAGCTTTGACTTGACGGAAGCCGATATTGCCGACTTCTTTGGTGAAGGTGTCACCAGCGTCCGCCTTGTCACTGACCCCATGACTGAGCGCTCTCGTGGCTTTGGCTACGTCGAATTTGAGACTGCCGACCTTTTGAGCTCCGCTATGGCTTTATCTGGTGAAAACCTTATGGGACGTGCTATTCGTATTACTGTCGCAGAGCCTCGTCGTGCTGCTGCTCCTCGTGATGATCGTACTTCCGGAGACTGGGTTCGTCGTGGTCCTCTTCCTCCTCCCGAACGCAGAGACAGTGGTTCCCGTGATGGCTTCATGAAACGCCGCGCTGTACGTGATCCTGCACTTGAAAGCCCTCGTGAGAGTCCCCGTGAGGAGCGTGATTGGGTTCGTCGCGGTCCTATGCCCTCTCGTGACCCTAGCACGCGTCCTCGTCTTAACTTGAAGCCTCGTTCTGCTGCGAATGAACAATCGGAGGTTTCTTCGACAACCTCAAATCCCCCTACGAAGCCTAAGTCCGATCCTTTCGGTGGTGCTAAGCCAGTTGACAATACTCCAGTGCTCAAGCGCGTTGAAGAAAAGCTTGCTAAGCGCACTCAGACCGTCCGTCGTGACAGTGCAACTTCTACTAACGATGCTCCTAGCGAGAAGAAAGAAGGCGATTCCGTAGAAACTGTTGCTGAACAACTATCAGAGGTTAAAGTAACTGATCAAAAGGAGCCACCTGTGAATACTGAAGCTGAAGCACCAAATACTGTGGAAGCTGCCCCTGTTGCCGAAGGAGAAGATGAAGGTTGGACAAAAATAGGAAAGGGTCGTAAGTTTTAGACAAGCCATTTTTTTGGTTCCTTTTTGATATAATATTGGAAGTAATGATCATAACTTGTTTCTGGTTTCTGAATTAAAATACAATTGTTTCGTTGATCAATTTGACATTCACCGGCGTAATATATACCTGACTGTATGATGCATTTCGAGTTTTTGTTGAATTTACTTCATTTTCAATCTACGTAACGACAGCAGATAGAGAAACCATTTTGAACTGTCAAATTTTATACAAAAGGACATTTAACATTTCCATAACAGCATGAAAGATAAAATGCTCTTACAGATCAATTCTATTACTTGAATGTACTAATGAATCGGCTACTACTACTACTATATACAACACAAGAGCAGCTTCTAGATCTAAAGTAAGTATATATTTGTGATTTCATAAAATGAAATTAATGATCTAAATTCGGAATCATTAAAAAATCGAATTATTTGTATATTGGCTCTCGCTTTTTCCATAAGATTGTACGCTTATATGGAATAGAAGATGAGGGACACGAATCTAGAATAACAGTATGCTCATTTATTCGCCAACTCCTTAGTTCTTTAATTTGCTTTATCTGTTATTCATTTTTAGCTTCCAGTCCTTGGAGGATTATTCAACAAAAATGACCACTAAGTGACTTGAACACTTGACTTCAAGATTTGGAATCTCACACTCTACCAACTGAGTTAAGCGGCCTTCTCTGTAGGTAATAGAAATAGCAGCTATATATTCAAGTACTCGGAGTTCAATAATAAATTTGCAAATCATTAAAAGACAGAAATCTTTTTACCAAATTAAGAAAAAGATGAGAGTAAAGCGAGTTTTACTGAAAATTTAGTAATACGTATGAGTTCAGTTAATTTGTTGTTTTAGCTAAAGCATCCAAACGGAACAGCTTTCCAAAGAATAAGTAGCATGCGAACAATGATTAAAGTCTTACATCTACTAAAACATTTTACTTGGAAATTGTTAGCAGCATTACTCTCCAAAGAGCCGAGCCAACATATCTTATTCTTTATTCGTATACATACAGAAAGGAGCGAAACGTGATTCCATTGATTACATAGATAAAATTTTTAAGTAAAGAAGTTGGTCACCTACATCAAGAACCCAAAATGTATAAACGAATCTTCCACATGCTCATTGAAAATATGGAACGAATTTCTTGTACAGTACAAGCATAAACCAGGAGAAATTAATAAAACAGCTAAAAAAGAGTTTCCAAAAGATTTACAAAGATCAGGTGCGCATAAGAAAACAATAAGAACTTGTAAATCCAATTAGAAAGCGCAGATCCTTAGAAGAGAATGTTTTTTATCGTAGATCGAAACGCGTAAAAGATGCTTAATCACGAGGCTTAGAAAATTCACAACGAAGAATCAAGTTGTTCCAACCAAATCCGTCCAAACGGTCACGAGCACGAATGGCACATTCTCTATCATAGTAGCTGACAAAAGCAAAGCCCTTGGCACGTCCAGTTTCCTTGTCCTTTGCCAAATATACACGTTGGATACCACCAAACCGGCGGAACAAGTCACGAAGTTCTTCTTCACGGGTATCATCCGAAAGATTGGTAACACGGAGAGTTGCACTATCATCACGCTCACGCTTGAACATAGAGTCACCTCCTTCACGGGTAGAAGTACCACGCATATGTGGAGGAAGGTAGCGCTTCTCACCCAATGCACCAGTGATTCTGTTGGTAGCGGGAGTAGTCTCCAAAGGAGGTTCATCAACGGGCCCAATAATGCTCTTATAAGGGCACTGAGCAGTAAAATGGCTGCCTTTACAAGCACGGCAACGTACAACAGATCCACTCTTGGCCTTGACCTTGGCAGTTGCCAAAGCAGCCTCTTCCTGTTCTTCTTCCTTCGAAGTAGTCCATCCAAGTTGAAGGCGTAATTGAACGTTTTCTCCGACACTGGTTGTTCTGGTGTCTACACCACCGGCCTTGCCTGCTTCTTGTCCAAACTTTTCCCATTTCTTTCTCTCAGCGACAGCATGCTGTACGCGTTCGGTGACAACGGTTTTCTTAATTACTCTCGTAACCTTAACCTTTTTGCCGTTGTCGTCCAGGCGGAACTCAATCATGGTCTTGGTGCCATCTGGGTTGTCAAAAGTTTGAATGGATGGCAAAGAACTACCGTATTCCTCTTCATCTGCCCAATCCAATGATCTGTTGCTATGTTAGTAAAAAATGCGCTCATTCTCTAGTAACTTACGATGTATTCATTTTGAATAGAGAATAAAGGGGTATGGGTAAAATACAAAGTCCGTTGCTTCGAAATTTTGTCAAGAAATAAAGAGGCGTACAGTAAAGCGAAGCTTCATATAACGCACCGCACAGTATCGGTATATGAGATACAGACAAAAGCTGTCCTCTCTATACTTTCAGTGTAGATAGAAGTTTGAAACGCGTTAGATGAGCGATGCTAAAAACAAGCTGTTCAGGAAAGCGATTTCCAGAGTATACAAATTACAAAAATTACCTTGAATCATTACTCGTAGCTAAGTTCACACTTACAACTCTTTTCTAGAATCTCACGAAAAATATCTTATATTTAGTAAAGCAATATGAACTAGCTTCATATTTCACTAGAAAAAAGAACGGTTTCGTACAAGCTTCGTAGCTTCAAAACAAAATAAAAAAAAACCGATTTATATTTATGAATCCAAAGTCTTCAGAAATTCATCCCTGCACAAACAAACAGTCCACTATAAACATTAACACGCATTATTACAACCTGAAAATAATCATTTAAACCTAAAATCATAGCATTCGTTCATAGAGAATCAATGTTTACTCAGCATAAGCTTCGTCAACATCTTTGCTAAAGCTTTCTATAATTTTACGACGCTGAAGCTTTTGAGCAGCTGTCACAAAACCATTTTCTGGGGTAAATTCAATAGGGACAAGGACAACATTTTGAACAAGTTCAATATTCGCAAAATGTTGAGAACGACCAATCTTCAAAAGATCTTCCAAAACCAAATGACGCACCTTCTTGTTCTTACAAATATCCTCCCAAGAGGTGTTTTCGTCAACACCAGCTTTCTCCACGGCTAATTTATGGACAGTGGTTTCGTTGGGGACGATAACGGCAATAGGCTTAACCTTCGATTGATCAGCATAAACGCAAATGTTGGCAACAAGAGAACTAGAACGATATCGAGATTCCAGCTTCTCTAAGGCGATGTATTCACCGTTTTGGGTCTTCACAAGGTTCTTTTTACGGTCAATAATTTTTAGTAATCCATGAGGCGTCAATTCTCCAACATCACCCGTCATGAACCAACCATCCTTGCTAAAGCTCTCTTTATTTTCTTGGTCACGGTTCAAATAACCCTTTGTCAAAGAAGGTCCACGAAGCAAAATCTCACCACGAGGAGGGTTGGAGTTTACGTAGTAAGAACCCTCTTCACAGTCAATCAGCTTCAGTTCTGTACAAGGCAAAATGACACCGGCGGAGTCATCAACGTTGAAGGTAGAAGGAACCTCAATCATGGCAGCGGCACTGACCTCAGTCAATCCATAACCGATCAAAACAGGACAAAGAACGACACTCAAAAACTTTTTCGTATCAGGATTCAAGGCTGAACCACCTGACAATACATATCGCAAGCGACCTCCGGTACCGGCAGTGCGAATTTTATTAAAGACAGCAGCATCTAAGAATGAACTACCGGGTATACCATGTCGCATCAAGCTAAGCTTAGTATGGTAAGCAGCCCAGAAAACAGATTTTTTGACAGAGGAAGCAGCATCCAACTTGCTGGCTATACCCTTACGGACCATTTCCCAAACGGCAGGGACACCAACCATAATAGTAGGTCGGAAAGAAAGGATATCACCATGGCAGTTTCTGCAGTTCGTATCAGTCAAGGTACGAACACCGGCGTAACCAATTGTACCACCCCAAGCCAAACATAAGTTTTCAAAAGCAAATTCTAGAATGTGCGCCAATGGAAGATATGCCAACAGATAATCTTTAGAGGTAACTTCAGGAATGATCTTGCAAACAGCACTTATTAAAGCTACCATATTTCTGTGGGTCAACAATACACCTTTCGGAAGGCCAGTACTACCAGAAGTGTACATAGTGCAACAAAGATCATCAGGAGAAGGGGGTTCAGGAGTAGCGGGTTCCGAAAAAGACTCGAGCTCATTATAGGAAATTAGCTTAATGTCTGCACGAGATTGCTTCAGGGCTTCAATGTCTTCAGATTTAGCTTTACCACGATAAATAATGTAATGCAAGTTGACTTCCTTCAAAGGATTGACAAGGCTTCCCAAGAGATTGGCTTCCGTGAAGATAGCATGAACGTCAGTTTCCCGTAAAGAATGCAAAAGACCTTCTTCACCCAAAGTCTCATAGGCTGTAACAATGGACATTGACTGAGACATAGCAGCATGAGCCATCATGAGCCAGCAACTGGTGGTAGAAGCATACAGTTCTAATTTGTCACCTGCTTTCAAACCAAACTTGCGCAAGCCACCAGCAAGTCGCATGGTCTTTTCATAGAATTGGTTAAAGCTAAGGTACTTGTAGTCAGAAAGCTCAAAGTACGACCACTTTTTGGGGATCTCTTTCTTTTCATTATTTACAACCTTCGTAATCATCTTCTCTTCAACATGCTCCTTAATCAAATCACGATATCCAACAGCGTCGTTATCTCCATATCGTTTAACAGCATTTGCTAAAACATCATACAAAGTCTTTGTCTTGTCGTCTAATGTCGTAGTCAATTCCTTTACTGAATTCACATTCCGAACAATTCCTGTTTCATGGGGTTTCGCTTCAGTGATGGCTATGTTTTCAAGTTAATTACTTATTCAGTAAACACTGTTTCTCCATAAACTTGCAATTGACGTAACATGTTGATGGATTCAAGTGCTTGTTTATGACTTCCAGGGTTACTTACGTTTTCCTTGAACTTTCATTTTTAATAAAAGTTGTTTTCGAAACACTCAAATCAAAAACCAAAGGTTCGTTTTTGATAGTTTTAGCTGTTTGTTGTTGGTAAATTCCTAAATTACTTCATACAGTGACTTAAGAAGTCCCCTTTTTGGTCCCACGGTGCATATATGTTGGTATCTTAGAAAGCAAACCAACAAAAGCATTGGAGTATGTAGATCATTATGTAATGAACGAAAAAGCTAATTAACGAAAGTATCTTTCTGCGTTAATAAACAATAAATAAATAAATAAATAAGTGAGTCATTTGTTATGACGGAAAATTGAATTGCATTCCTTTCTACATGCAATAAAAGGAATTTCTTTCTTTTTTTAAACATCTTGAACCATTTTTTAGATTTTAGTTTTAAATTATACCAAGAATAGCCAACATTATAAACAGGTACTTATGATATCCGAATCTATTTGGCAAGTACAGCAGGAAACGAGATTTATTAAGATCAATCCATCTATCCATTCATACCATATCATCAGTTAACGAGTTGTTCTTTTCTATTTCTTATAATTTCGCCGTCTCTTGAAAGGAGCTATGATGACAATGCGATGCCCTTTGATCGCGGTGAAAGTACCCTTCTGCGATACATAGACGTCCAATCCTGTAAATGAGCACGCAAGCGAGGCATTTCAGAAGAAGCACAATGCTGGGAAAAAGTTTCCAAAAATTTCATCTTCTCTTCTTGGCCAATTGTACCTTGTGGAAGTTGATCCAATACACTCGTCAAGTACTGAATGCAAAGACTAGCATTCTCCATGCATATTAAACGAATTAAAGGAATTAAGACCGCAGAAGCATCGGACACATTGTTACGAGGAAAAATAAACGCCATTCCATTAAATAAAATGCTGAACATTGGTTGAGAATTATTCAGCACTAGCAAACGTAATTTTTTTATAAGTGATTCTGAAACCGGCTCAGAAAGAGTATATGGAGGTGTGCTTAAGGCAAACGATACGAGATCCTGTAAATAAACCAAAACACTGCAAAGAGCTTCGTCTTGATTCACTTGTAAAGAAACTAATGATGCATGAATTAAAGGCTCCAACATCTCACTCATAAATACCCGTTGAGGATTTGCCAAAAGTGCATCCATCATAAATCGGAAGAAATCATCAATTACATCGGGTATTTCTTTTGGTGATTTCTTAGTCATATAATAAAACATATTTGTGCATTGTCTTTCTACAAAACCCCAAACAGACGTTTGGGTCTGCTCATTCATTTCAATGATGCCAAACTCCCGAACGCATGCTCCACTTACCCACAGAAAACAGCCAAACTGTGTACTTTCGAAACCTTTCACCAGGGTTTCTGCAATAGAAGGCAGCAGGACTATAGCTTTTTCTCGAAAAGTCATGATAACATTCTTCAAAAGCTTGCAGATTCGCTCACAGACTAACGCACTAGGAACTATGTCCATCGTTCTAGCCACGACTGGCCATATGTCCAAGCAAAGTTGAATAGTAGGATGAATACCTTGTGAGGAACTAAGGGGATAGACAATTGAAAAAAAGATAATAAGTATATCAACTTCATCAGCTAGCGCTTCAATCTCTGGTTCTGTGTGTCCTGTTTTGGTTTGGCTCAACGCAATTTTCTGCAAAGAAGGAGCAATAAAACTGTGTATTGATTGATAGGTATTCGTAATAGGCTGGATAGCAGCAATGCGCGCTAAGCCCTCTGCAATCTCGAGAACAGACTGAGCATCAAGCGACTCTCTCATGCTGAGATAAAAAGAATGTAATTGAGGAAGATGATTTACAAGATGTTCCCGGCAGTCAGAACAAAAATGCTTCATCGCTTGAGCGGCAGCACTTTGAACTTCTTTACATGGAATTTGGAATCCCTCAGCAATATAATTCAATTGCATTTCCAAATATTCCGGATGCTGTGCGGTCCATTCAGTATATCTGCCCACGAACAAAATTGCAGCATAACGTACTTTATTGTTTTGAGGAAGCTTGGGAAGAAACCTCAGCAAGTGAACAATAACTTTGTCTTCATCATTTGGGACCATACGGCCCATAGCACGTAAAGCGAATAAAGGAGCTTCAATATCTTGCCAAAAGTAAGGAAGTCCTGATTCCTTTGCATCAAGAGTTTCTAAAAGTTTTGTAGAAACTTTAAGTAGACAAGGAGTGACTCCTGCGACAGCACAGCAATCTTTCAAAACATCACCCATTTCATGACGGAAAGCACGAAACCGGTCCTCAGACTCACGATCATCAAAGAAAACTTCAGCTTGAGCCATTTGTTCATTGAGAAGATGATTATCCGCTCGTGGATAATGCAAATGGCTAACCACAATACCAACCAACTCCAAAAAGAGTGGTGCATAGATAGCACGTGCTTGAGCATACGCTTCCAGTTCCAACATCTGTTTCAAATCCCACCAGAAAGCGAACGTGAATTTGATAGCCTCCAATTCTTCATCGTTCGCACATATTTGTACAACGGATTCTACCAATGGGAGAAATTCATTGGGCATTCGGGCCATTAAGACGACCCAAGATTCCCCTGCCTCCGTGAAAAGGCGACCAATTGCACGAAAGGCATCCGGGTCATCTTTATGAGCGAAAATGCTTGGACGAAGCTGTAGTAAACGAGGATAAAGCATCATAATCATTTCCATCGATTCATCTACTTCCCTTGTTTCGTTAAAGTTAGCGCAGAGAAATTCGACTGCATCGTCAATGAGCATATCGTCATCTACAGACCGAAAAGCCAATTCTATCAACGGAGATGCAAGAACTTTGTCGAGAGGTATTTCGCGAAGCCAGGATGTCAAACTGGTCAATACTAGGTTCAAATCAACATTAGAGGTTCCATCAGCATGTGTATTGCAATTCACATATTGTAAAAGTAATTCTAAAACAGCGGGTCCATTATCCCGCAACAGTTCGTCTATACGAGTGCAAAGCTCTTCCCAAGTCAAAGATGTTTTTCGTGGATCAGCTGCTTCTTCCGGCAAAACAGACAAGAATTGCAGGATGCAGCGACCTGAGGGATCATGACTGCTGCAAGCCTGGAAGACATCATTGATTACATTATGCCACTCTGTCATATGCAAAGCAATTGCGGCCATACAGACAGCGAATGATATCAAGAGTGGCCTTGGGCTATCTTTAGAGGAAACGAAAAGTTGCAACATAGAGTCCCGCAATTCGGCATGAACCGTTTTTGGTAGTTGATGAAAGTCATACACAATCTTCTGCCGTAGTGTTTGTGCAGCAAAGAGTTTTGATTCAATCGTACTTTCAGCGGTATTCAAAATTTGAAAACATACTTGCCAAGCTGCAGCCTATAATTAAAATTCAAGTTAGCAAAAATTGTTACGTAAATAACTTATCTGACTCTTACGCTTTTTTGAAACTCTTCCAAGTAGGTATTCGCTTGTAACTTTTGATTGCGATCCGCACTCGCATAGAGGGTTGTTAAAGCATTATGTAACTCTTCCATGAGGAAAGCTGAAACGCTTTTGTTAAGGTAATTTGGTTGATTCCATTTACAAAAACGCGTTCTGGTTATTTACCATACTACGTCTATGGATAACGAGTGTGTTAGGGGGCACAAGAAGCTATTACGAATCAGACAGAAATCGTTAACCTGTAAACAAACTTGGGAAAGCAAAAAAAAATTTAAAGGTTTTTATTCGTATGCAATAAGGATCATATATTTTAAATGATTCTCAACTTTTTAATCAGCTCTCTTTACGAATGAAGAGCTGTAGAACGGCTTTTCTTTTTTTTTTCTGGATAAGTGAGTTCGCATGCTCACTCGTACTTGATTCACCATACGATTCATACTCAAAACAATATTTTGTTGAAAATGAACAGCTAAATACTTTCAACATCTTCTTCGTCCCCCGTTAAAACTTCGACGCTTCCAATCTGTGTAAGAAAATATCGGTGCAGATTAGATGTGAAGAAACAGCTCGTTCGCTCAAAGGCTTCTACAACTTTATTCTTCCCTTAAAGAAGAGAAATAAAATCTTCATCTTATGTAGTTCTTAGTTTATGCGATTTTGGATACTTTGGTAGTCAATTTTGACTTTTGGTCCATTTAATAAACATCTTAAAGGATGTTCCATTTCACATTTATTATTGGCATTGAGAAAGAAATCAGGGACTGATATACTTATTCATTCTTCACCTCCAGACAGTGGTCAGCACTCCTTGCTTGGTTTTCGGATTTTATAAAATTTCACTTATTCTTTAAGTAAGGCGAACCGTAGCAATGCTGGCGAGAAAATTGATCTTTTGTTTGTTAGTTTAACTTCCTTTATTTACGCTAATATATGCACTCATCAGTCGACGAACTTGTGAAGAAAGGTAGCAAATCCTAGGACAATATCCTGGATGAACTGAGATTATAATAAAGTAGCTTTGAAGCATTGAACTCTCTTTATATATTATTTCAACGACTATTCCAACCTTCAGCATTCTGTCTCCATCTCATGAAGCATTATATAGAGGAACACCAAAACAAGCAGCACACGGTAAAACCATTGTCATCATAAAATATAAGATTCATTCTCTTCACCTTTTAGAGATAATAATCCTAAAAGTATTTCGTACCAACCCCTGTTTCGTAGATACGCTACTTGGACACTACCAATACCTTGAAGGACGCAGGTAATTTCATATTTTCGGGTTTACAGGGAAAAAAAACATTCAAGATGTCGGGACGTGTTCAAAAGGTTATGATTCCTCCTATTGTACGTTGAAAGAAATAGCAAATTTTGTTGTCTAACGGCGGTTTCCAGAATTTTGTATTCAAGTTGTTACAACAACATACCCCAGTTCAGATATGGCTTTTTGAACAAGTAGATTTACGAATTGAAGGACAGATTCGGGTATGTATGATTCTGATATTGGAGAAGTTGCGCTTCCAACTGTAACGTTGAGCGATATTTGACACGTCGTTTCGCGCAATTATCTGCCGAAAACATAGATGTACTCTTTACTGATATATAATTAGGGATTCGATGAATTTATGAACATTATCTTAGATGACGCCGTTCAGATTGATGCGAAACAGAATCGACGTGACCTTGGTAAGTTATGCAGAGTGGTTTCTGGGATTTCAAGGAAAGTAAGGCTTGTTGACAAAGAACCGAAAAGGAAAAGAGAATTAATGAATCAAAGAAAGCCATATGGTAGTCTAGTCCCCCCAAAATTTCTCTTGCGGCACTCTGTTTTTGATTTGTGTGTATTCTAGACACTTTACGACTAAACGAGTGTCTTTATGAATGATTACTAATCTACGGCCTCCAACGCTTTCCATATTCAAAATCCCGCAGAAACCCAAAATTTATTGATTGATTAATGAATGCAATTAACTAACACTAAACGTCAAGGTCGAATTTTACTCAAAGGTGACAATATTACGCTTATTCGAGCAATCTAATCTTTTTCCTTTTTACTTGACTTTTTGTGTTTTTTCTTCTTATCCTTTTCTTTTTCCTTATCCTCTTTTCCTTTTTCCTTTTTCTCTCGTGATCTCTTTTTACCTTCGGATCGCTCTTCCTTCTTTTCTTCTGTAGATTGCTGTTCAGTGCTTGTAGGTTCCGTAACGCTTGTAGAAGGTACTGCTTCTTTCGTAGACGGTGTAGTATCTACAGCTCCAATAGGTCTGAAATGTTGTTTTAAATTCTTGATTTGAGGGATCTTTCCATCAGCATCATCAGTTGTTTGTTCCTTTTCCTTGGGTTTTCCATTCAAAAGTAATCTAGGTGTCTCTGATACGACGAAGCCCGTTCTTATTTCGCTGGTAGAGTATGTGCCCTTTTCATCAGGTACAAACAAACGTACAGATCCTAAAGATTCTTGACGCAGCTGAAAAGATTCTGCTGTAGACGAGCTTGCGGCTATCGAAGGCTTTTGTCCCAAGTTCATTTCAGTTATATCTTCTAATGCCATTTTAGGAGGTAAACGAACCAAAAACACACCGGATTCCTGATCTAATCCCTCTTTTGATACTACAGCTTCACCTTCAGCACGAACATACTCGTTTAAAGAATCCGAATCATGGTTTTCGGTAGACTTGGGTTGATCGACTTCTTTGCCATTTTTTCCACTCGAAACCTCGGGAGAATGAGAAGACGCTTCCTCTGCACTGGACACTTCTGATTCCTCCTCAGAGCTGTGGTCGCTCGCCAATTCACTTAGTTTCGCCATGTCCAGTCGAGTGGTGGTGACTCTAGTGAAATTTGTAGAACTTGAATTTGTGGTTTTGTGAAGTATTGTCAGGTCACGCTCAAAGTAACGATTCAAAGGTAACAGAAAGTAAACACATATGAATGTTTTTTTGCTGAGCTGGAAAAAAAGATATTAAGAATGAAAGAATAAATAGCTAGTTCACGGTAAATAAAAATAGTCGCCTATCAATTGATCAATTGTATCAGTAATGGATACTCAAAAACAATTTCTGTAAGTGTTTACTGTATCATCAAATAGAGGTAAACTTGCGACGATAACCGAATTCGACTACTATATCTCAAAAAATATTAAACTTGATCTGTTTATTCGTTTGAAATTCCATACAATGAATCTCTGGAACATACACTACGAACGAATGTCATTTTGAATGGACCTGTTTGCCAACAGGGTAAACATACATTAAACAGTTTTTAAACACAAGAAAAGAGGACTATTCACAGAAGCTTTCGAGCAAGCGACCGAACTTTTAAGTCAAAGGCTTGTGACTTGATGGGTTCATTAGGTTGATAAAAAGGACTCATAATCGTCTTGATATATAGCTCATGAAGTTCCTGGAAAAAAGTTTTAATGCTATCAGAGCTTTGTGCCTGATGAAGGAGCATAAACTTCATATCTAGAATGAGAGTTAATTGTCAGAAACGCCTTTTCCTTCTTTAACTTTTTCTAACAAATTGCTTGCATGATTTGACAGTTTTGAAGAAACTGGATACTTACTGGACGGGGTAATATAGGCAGAAACGTACATCTCGTGAAATTGGTCAATAGAACGGACATAACTAGTGGAGCTCCATTAGAGACTGATAACTTCCATAAAAATAAACATACAATGCATTACTAGTCCATTGTACTTGTTCTACAAGGTCTAAACTTGCATGTACAATAAATTGATTCAGGTGTGCGCCCAAGCCCTAATATGAAAGCGTCAGTCATGAAGGACCATTTTATAAAATCAATATTACCTTGTCTTGCTTTTCAGTTCCTCCTCCCATTTCCAATTCATACACTGGATTGTCCTTAGTTCCAATAACGGCTACATAGGCTGCCATATTCATGTTATCGTTGGTAATGGAAAACGCATGGTTTTATGAGGTTCTGAAGCTTGGAATGACCAGTCCGTTATTCATGCTCTTCAAAAGTTGAGACAGAACAAAAGAACTTTTGTTGATTGCTTTTATTAATCGCCAAATTACGTGGAATATCCTATCATATACGATTTTATCAAGCGTTTTTCAGCTTTACGAGCCCATGATTACACCTGGGAAAAAAAACTTAATTCTATACATATATTCAAAAAATTCCATTCAATCAAATACCTTAATATCCCAAGAAATTAAAAAGCCACAGAACAGCCCTTAAAAAAATTAGAGCCATTGTATTTTATAGTAGACTGTTTTCCCATCCATATTTTTTCTTTCTTTATCATACATCCAGTTTTCCAAAATTGAATTTCCAAAAAAAAAATTTTTTGAATTTGAATTCCAAAAGAGTAAGTAATATGCCAAAACAATCCATAAGCACAAAAGCTTTTGGTGAAAAACAAGATTCATGAGGATGACCTTTATTTTCTGATAGGTGAAAAAGAAAAGCAAGCCATACGCTTTATTGCATGGGGTCGTCTTTGCTATTACCAGCATCTTGCTCAGTTTCAAATAACTGCACAGAAGCATTCTTTTTAGTATAAACACCCAATAATTTGACCTTGAACTCGGCAGCTGTGACACCAAATAACTTCAAAAGACGGGTCTGACGACTATCAAGCTCTTGTCCTTCTGTGCAAAGGGTAAAGTCGGCGAGTAAAGTAACGACACCATTTTTTAACATAGTAGGCATACCCAATTGGCGCACTTGAGGCTCCAAAGTATGAGCCAAGGGAACATCGTCTTCAACTGGAATCTGTCCACCCCTGGAGTATACTGGGCCAGCAGGAATGATATGAGTGAAAGGAGCAACTGTACCGGCACGAGCAAAATCATTTTGGACGAAAGACTCGAAATAGCCAGTTACGTCTTCGGGTTTGTTATTGGTGAAGAGCAAGCCCACCGTTCCATGAAGGAGTTTAGAAAGTTTACTAACATTCTCGGCATGTTCCTCTTCAGCGGTATATCCCAATGCCTTTCCCATGACCTTGGTTTTACCCATATATATACGGCTGTCCTTCCAGTCATCACGAACACGCTTCAAGTAAGTGTTACGCATATTGGCAACATCGAATACCCACATCTACATAGAGTTAGCATCCTTTTCTTGTTTCAAAGACTCAGAAATTTTTCTATGATATTTCTACAAAAAAAAAATCCATTTCCTTTCGGGCTTGCTACCATTCAATGTGCAGCAACCAATTTTTCCTTCTTCCACACACTTCATTTCTCCAATTTAAAACACTATTGTTCCATAAAAACGGATTGAAATATCATCAAAGGTTTGTTTTGCCTTTCATCCTCCTTGTTTACTTACATAGTCAAACTTGTCTAAAGATTCTTGAATGCCAGTATACAGCATTGCTTTACCTTCATGACCTTTTTTATCGGTCTGTGAAAGGGTAACGACCTTTGACCTCCTAGATCTGGGCATTTTTTAGTATTTGTCTAAATAAGCTGGTATTGGCAGAGGTGAAACTTTTCACACCTATGAAATTTACACTTCCTTCTTTTTCTTGATGACTATCTGCCTGACCCTTACCTTTACCCTCGGAAGGACCGAGCACATCCCGGTATTACCCGGAGAGCCCGAAAGTAAACAAAACCTTGAATTTTTGAATTTGAAGTTTTTTTATTTTTTATAAAGAAAAACGGTTATATTTTATTAGGAAATATTGTGACTCATCTACCATTTTTTGCTAAATTAGGATTTCTTACTTGAATACAGATGGATCCTCAGGAAAAAAACAAATTCTGGGAAATTTTTCGTAGCCTACATCCAGAAGGCGGCTATGTTTCAGGAGAAAAAGCTTGCAGTATCCTTCAAAGTAGTCGACTCGGCAATGACAAGCTAGCCAAGCTTTGGGATTTGGTCGGTAGGTACTGCTACAGTGAATGGATGGATGATAACTCATTCACGAACGTCTGCAATTCGAAGGGCTAACATTTTATTTTATTTAAGATATTGATGAAGATGGACAACTGGATTTTGATGAATTTAGCATTGCTATGAAGATTACTTTTAACATCATTAACGGGGTACAATTCGTAAAACAAAATGAGACGTGTTGCTAACAGTCTTTAGATATACCATGATGTTCCTCCAGAAATTCCGGATGAGCTAGTCCCTCCTTCCAAACAACACTTAATAGCTGCCCGTGAAGCCCTCCAAGGAAGCGATGAGGTGAACGTTGCTTCTCAAGAGATAGATGATCCAGAAGACGATATTCTAAAAGATGGGTTTGACTGGTATATGCCACCTTCTGATAGAATGCGCTATACCGATGTATATAGCTCACATTCCGATAAGTATGGCGCTGTTTCGTACAACTCTTTTGCTCCCGTTTACGAACATCTAGGGATCCCTCGCTCACAAATCATGAAAGCATGGAATCTAGTCAATCCTCAAAAAGCAGAAACCATTGACAAAGATCAATGTCTCGTATTTTTACATATCCTCACTCAACGTTCCCAAGGGTTCCGAATCCCCAAGGACGTTCCTTTCGGTCTTCGCGCAAGTTTTAAGAAAGGAAATATCGACTACAATCTTCAAGCTAACGACCCATCGCATACTATGCGAGAGTCGCAGAGCGTAGGTTCCACGTTGACAATTCAGCGTCCTAGAAGCGATTTAGAGACTCCAAAAGACGTAAATGACTCTGACTGGGAAATTGTTGGACTACGAAATGAGCTAGCTACTTTAGAACAAAAGATCACAAAGTTACAGAGAGAAGTTGATGAGAGCAGCATTCTCCAAAGTCGCTCTCAGCTTGTACGAAGAGATTTATTGAAACTTTTAGATTACAAGTACGGCGTATTGGCCGACCTAAAGGCCGGAGGCTTACGTCCCGATTATTCTTTAATTGAGCGTAACTTGGAAAGATTAGAGCAACAAACTGCTCTTTTACAGCAACACTTAGAGGGAAAGAAGAAAGATATACTGACTTTAGAAGAAAACCTACCAGGGCGTTAGTACTTTAACGGATGATTTACAGTTTTCTTGTAAGCAATTAGACTATTGCTTACATCTTTAATTTATGAAAATTTTATGTGTACGATAGAATGTGACCTTCGTTGATTAGTTCGATTTCATGCTTTATTAGCTCAGAAGCTTTATAAAAACCCTTTTTTGTCTAATCAATCAAAGGGGAAAAAAGCCGTATGTAAGAGAAAAAAAAATTTGTATAAAAAACAAACTTGACCATACGGAAATTACTATTATAAATAAAGAAAGAAAAAATTCATTACAACAAAGAAAAAGGAATCATAAGCGACATTAAGCAGTCCTGTAAGCACTATCGTCGTCTGGAAAACAAACGCTTGGAAGCCCAGCCAACCAATGCGGCGGCAGAAACAACTGCACCTGCTACAACTGCAATTCCAATGTATCCTTCCGTTGTGACAGCGTTATACAAAAGAGACTTTAACTTCAATGCTTGAGGGTTAGAGGGATCCTTCGCAAGCAGCATGTTCAAATACCGACGTGATTCTTCATATTGCTTCATTTTGTACTGCGTTAGCGCTATGTAGTACAAAGACTCCAAACGACGTTCAGCAAAGTCTCTGTATATGGTACAAAACAGAGTGAGACCTTGTTGTACTTGCTGAAGATCTTCAGAGCAAACGAGAGCCCATGCCAAATTGAACTTGGTTTGTAACGTTATCAAAGGATGTTCTGACTCATATTGCTCTTTGATTTGCAGAAATTCCTCAACAGGAATAGGCTTCTGAATAGCAGTAGGTTCTGGCAAATTCATACTACTTAGTCTAATTAGGGAATTGGTTTAAATTCGAAAATTGTAAGAAAACTAGGGAATCAAAAGAAAAACCGTAGAAACAAACAATGCCCGCCCTTCTTGGATGTAGAGAGAAAGACTAGAGTTTGTTTACAAGGAAAACGGTACAAGACAAGCTGCTCTGAAAGTATAATGAAACAGAAAAAGAATAACCAAATTCAGAGAACTCAATCACAATTGATATTACGAGCAAAAATTTAAAGACCGGGCCAAAGTTTTATCCAAGAATTCAATTCAATTACAAAACTTGCTTTCCTCTTTGAATTAAATATATATATATATAGGATTATTTTTACTTTTCGTCTGCAAAGGGAAGAAACCAGGTTCACTTTCCTCCCATTATGTACGAACCTGTCTTTGCGTTGCAGTTTGTCCTTAGCCAAGAATAAGCAAATATAGCAAAGCCTCCCTAAACATAGTGCTACTAACAACAAGTACGGTGCTTGTCTGCTAGTTCCTTCTACCATAAACAAACCCAGAGGGAGCATTTGAGATCGTTTTAACCGGTTTTCTTAGATTCTTGTTTATTTCTGATTTTCTTTTCTGTTCCGAAAAAACCAATTTTCCAATTTCACCTTCTATAATAAAACTCTGAATTTTACTGCTTTCAACTATGGAACAGGTGGGAAAACTCTTTTTATGAAAAGCAGAATTGTTGTTCTAACAAAAATGTTTTAGCTGGCAACTCAGATTCAAGAGAAGGCCATAGATTCGCAACAACAATTGCGATCGATTTTATTGCAAGTAACGGCTAAAGAACGCTCTTGTAGAATCAAGGAATTGGCAAAGAAAGAATTAGATGTCGTTGGAAAAGATGCTGCCGTCTACGGCGGTGTTGGAAAAATGTATGTTGTTTGTATTCTTCTGGGGGGTAATGGCAATTTGGGGACAGATTATCTCAGGATTCTACGGCTCCTTTTCCTTTGTTTCTTCTTCTTGTACTAACTTTCCTACCATAGGTTTATTCGTACGGATCTGGATTCGGTTCGTAAAACCATAGATGCAGAAATTAGCAGTTTACAACAAGAACTTGACGCTTTACGAAAGAAGAAAGACTATCACGAAACTACTGCAGTGAATGCCAATTCTCATTTACAAAAAATAAAAGAATCTGTCCGTTAATATTTTCTATGTTGTTCCTTGTGTTTGTGCTTTGCGATTTCTCTTCGACTTAATAAATTACTTTCGCGTCGCGTCGTGTCGCGTCATGCCGAAACAAACTTTGTGACTGTTTCTTTCATCAATACAAAAACGTTCAAATTAGTTCTACTAGCTCTAAGAATTTTTGGAACAGGTAAGTTGTTTAAAAAATTGCAGATAGAAGTTGGATTTTTTTTATTTTACATAAAAAGAAAGAAAAAAAAACTAAATTCTTTGATGATTTGAAAATGCATAGTTCACGCTGAGCTTATTATGCTGATCCTTATTCATTGATTTGCACGTCAGTCTGAGAGTTTGGATCAACTTCTTTTGCTTTTCTTTTTCCCTTTTTTTCAAAATGCTAACACTATTTAGAAGTAAATAGATTGGTTAATATTTTGTAACTGAATGTACTTACACATTGCAATGAAATGAGTTTGAAAGAAAATATCATATTGAAAGCGCTGATAAGCCGTGAAAGACATTTTAATGCTGAATTTTGCAATCTTGTGTAAATTTACTACTCCGTTTAGACAAATAAAACATCCTACTGAAAGCCAGATTGATATCGACAAGCATCCTGTATTCATTATACAAACATGTACATACAAATAAAAATAAAATCACAAATATAAAGTAAAAAGATAAAACCACCGCATTGTATATAACGATTTCCTGTAATCTTTCAATTTCACATCAAGTAAGTATATTAAAACATCTACGGTTTTGTAAGAGGTGTTAACGGCCCTATAGAAAATGCAGGTGGCATAGTATGTGATGATTTAGTGGAAGAAGCAGAAGCAGGTGAAGGCGGAGAGGCAGATAACAAATTATTCACGCTCAAACGAGAGGATGATGATATCTTGCGTATTCGACGGTTAGAAGAAATACGAACGGGTCCAACGTTGGAAGCGTTAGATGGTTTCGCTCCTGTACTAACATTCGACAATGCACTTAAAGAAGCAGACGACGGGGTCCTGGATACCGCTGCTGAAGAAGGTGTTGAGGAGGACAGCGAGTTTGGATCACACTCCAGAGGAGGAATTACGGGAGGCTGGGAAGGACGAAGAGAAAGAGATCGGATAGAAGGTAACTGCACAAAAGACGTATCAGAATCGGCCGCTCTCATCTTTGGAGAATGTGCGGGAGTCATTAAAGGTGTAACATCGGGTGTAGGACTAAAGCTTCTGATTGAGAATGTAGGACTACTTGGAGCAGTGCTACATGGAGAGCCAGGCCTTGAACGACGTTGATATCGATAATGATTGAAATCAGAACCACTAAAGGGCTCTTCTTCACCATTTCCAGAAACACTGGGACGAGAATAAGGAAGATAATTATAATGAGCGTATCGCAAGGAAGGAGGAGCATGCGAGCTAGGCACAAGACTATACATCGAATGTAGTGATGTGCTACTACTCGATCTTGGTGGCAGATACGGTGTATGCGAGGATGCTCCGGAATAGAAGGAGCTATTAGGTTGTTTTAACGGTGGACCGTTCACGAAAGCACGGTTTGAAGCCGGAGCACCGTGACTTGGAGATGAGTCTGAAGAAGACGGAGGCAGGTTTCCCAGAGGATTTGAAAACTTGCTAGGGGAGGTAAGATTGGATAATGACGGCAAAGATGAGGAGGAAGGATCGGGTATTGCTTGTTTGGGAGACGAATTATAAATGGCATTAGGTGCGCCAGCAGCTGAATCAAGTTGGTTAGCGGCAGCTGAAGCCAATATATACATTTCATTCATGGAGGACAAGTTCGTGTCAGATTCTGATTTTTGAGGGACAGAAGAGGAATGAACATCTGCACAATTGGCTCGGAGGGAATCAAAAGCAGAGGCCGCAGGACGATTATAAACAGGAACGCCTACAGGCTGGTGTGTAGTGTTATATGTAGGAACGAAAGCGTGCTGGGGCTGAGTAGATGCTGAAGAGGCAACCGGGAAAGGGTAAGGGAAGGCGACGGGGAGACTGGATACCGGATTGGAGACGGGGGCATAAGTTACACCAATTTGAGGAATAGCAGGATTATAGGGTTGTGTGTTTGGCATGGGTACACTAGTTGAATTGTTATTGGAATGATTAAAGGAGGCAATGGAGGAAGGATCAGACTGATTCACCGGGGTTGGCTCAAATGGTTTTACATTTATGGAATTGGCCATAGCATTATTTCTGCGAGAGTTGCCATTGGTGTGAATGCGAGCATGGCGTGTTAGTTCGTCACTTCGAGAAAAGCGTTTAAAACAACCAGGAAAAGTACAGGCATGGGGCTTCTCACCAGTATGGGTCCGAATATGTCGAGTCTGATGTTCCAACCGATAAAATGCTTTCGAACAAAGTGGACACTTGTAGGGGCGCGGTGCATCAGGATTTTTCACATTCGGGCGCGCATATTTGTTTGTAGTAGAGTGTGCATTATAGTTGGGCGAAGAAGACGAAGCCGCAACGCTGGCCGATTCGTCAGCGGTATTTGAGGGGTTATTGGACATTTTATGGTCAATATAGAAAAGAAATTAAAACAAAAAGGACAAGGAACCAGTTAATAAATTAACGAATAGGAGAAAGCAAAATGGGTAGAAGAGGATAAAATAAAAAAGAGAAAGCGAATTGAAGAGAAAGATACCAACGAACCAAAGGTAAAACGGAAAGATTGCAAATTAGAAACAAAAATACGCAACGCAAACAGGAGAGTTGGTACAAAGAGACAAGAGGGATGGATAGTCGGATGGATAAATCTAAGAAAACGTCTATGGAAAAAAGGGAAATAATCAAAAAAGAAAAAAGGGGAGAAGGAGAAGGAAAACCAAAATAAAAGATATAAAAGATAAAAAAGAAAAATTAAATAAACCAATTAAATACCAACAGAAGGGCACCGAGGAGAAATAAAACTCAATTCAAAAACAAAAATCTTAAAACCCGGGAAGAGAAACACGACAAGAAAATAAACTCAAGAAAATTTCGCTTTAACAAGTAAATATGGATACAAAATTTAAATAAACGGTAAGAAAAGAAAGAGAACTTAACTTGGTGATCCTTGATGAACGGATGAAACCCAATGAATCAAAATGAAAGGCGTCAAAATGAGTATAAACGCAGCAAGAACCGAGAACTTCTCTATATATGTATATAAATATATAAAAAAGATGAAATCACGACAAAGAGTATGTCAATACGCCCTTGTCTTGTCTAGTTCACAAAAATTTTACACTGGCAGTATCGACAATACTACCGTGTCAAAAATCCGAATGGCACGATGAAAAACAGAGAAGGTTAAGGAAAAAGAGAAATTTAACCTTTAAGAATGTTGTTAGTAAAGAAAATTCTTTCTTCTAGGGATTCTCATCCGTAAACTTCTAATGTACCCAATGCTTGCTAATTCTTGGAAAAAGGGAGTAGTCGGGGAGTCGATCCTAATATATATGAGAGAATTAGGCTACGTAGCTTTCTGCAGACACCCTAATGGTTAAGAGACAAATGGGTAAAAGCGGAGAAGCAAATAGGCTTTAAGCAGAACGATGGCTCTTGAAGTGGCGATTCCATACGAGCATCCCATAGAGCAAAAGAGGACAAGAATAATAAGGTACCATGTGATACATTACGTATAATATTTTAGGGGAAAATAAAATAGGGTTCGGTAAATGGGAATAAAGAAGAATAAGACAGTAATGGCATACGCCATTTGAGCTTATTCTTCTTACCATAGGAAAAGGCAGCTTTAGTTTGGCTAGCTGCCGATGGGCCCAGTCTATTTAGGTAACGTTAGGTCATGGATAAGTTGGTAGTCGACAACGAAAATAAAAGGATAAAAAGAGTGATTTTGTGGAAATAAACAGAATTTTTCGAATCCATAAACAAACGAAAAAACGTTTGTTCCTTGTTCCTTGTAAGATGTATGTCAAGACTGCGAATGGAAGCGTTTATTTTCATTTTGAGCCGGAAAATCAACCTAACCGAAGCACTACCGACACGATACGTTTAAGACCTCTCAGGTCGAAGACCGGACCGAAACACAACGACGTAAGATTTAGCTTGATGTAGGTCGACTTTTTTTTTCAAAATCGAAGGATTCACGAAATCTGGTTTACGGAGGCTCCTTGCATAGTTCAAATTTGTAACGCGAGATGATATAGTTTCGTTATTTTCCATAAAGACCACGAGAGAGCCTTACCATTACCGCGTTTGCCGAACATGGACTAAATCATTCTTACGCAGTCCAAATGCTTGGAGGGATGATGAAAGGAGGTCGTGTCATGTATTTGATCGGCTTCACTGACAGATAACCCAAAAGGAATCAAGATAAATTATCTACCGCAGATAGAGGAATGGGGTTTTCTTGTAACGAGCTTGATTTGACGATCAATAGACGACAAAACAAAGCTGACTATACTCGATGTTGCTGTAAATCTCGTTTCAATTGATTATGTACAGATCCAAAAAGACAGACAATAATAGGAAACAAAACAAAGCAAAACAAAAGTAAAAAAAAACTTGCACTCTGTACTCTGTACTCTGTGACCTGTAATCCTATCGAATACTGGTTCGTCACAAGGAACCAACAATCCTCCTCAATGAAGGAAGGATCTGAATGTGTCTCCCCTTTTCTTTTCCCTCTTTCTTGTGGTGGACAAATAGCGTAAAATAGACGATCCAGTAAATATTTTGCGTACTCGAGTGTGCTTTGGTAAATATGTTTGCGTAGACGACTTAAGATTTGCTATTTGCTGTCGAACTGGCCAGACCCTTCGATGATGAATTGTTTGTTTACATATTCAAAACATGGTAAAGCATTGCAGCAATAGCCTTCTTCCACCTTTGTCACAACTTTTTAACCAGCCTTTCATTAGGTTGTTTTTGTGGTTTCTTGGGCTTGTTCCCTTTTTTTTTCCTGCTCACGTCCATTGAGGACTTTATGCAGTTTTTTAGTCAACTGAACTCTTTAAAAGCAGACTGAGCGTACCCCTTCTCGCTCTACCTCTACTTCATCTACTTGTTTTCTTTGCCATCTTTGTTTTGTATCCTTCTCTTCAACCTACGTGGTCAAAGATTCATTTATTTTACTACCTACCTTTTTTCTCGCAAGTCTCATCATCTCATCTACTTGCTCGTAAATTCCTCTTGTAACAGTGCATTCATTTTCTGATTGTTTTACGTTTTCGTTACCCTTTTTGGTGTCCTTCTTCTCCAAACACTCTTAAGGACCCTCAACTTCTTCTTTTCTACACTTGCATCTCTTATATCGGTGAGTTTCAATCTTCAACTCTCCTTTGTTTTGCTCGAATTTCTTTCAGGGATTGTTAATCTTCTATTAGCAAACACCAAATCAGTTCGCTTCTACCCAACTCTATTTGTTAAGCGACCTTTTCTTGCTTTACCGCATTTCGTGCAAATCCTGAATTCGCTCAGGCTCGTTGTTGTCGCGTTATTTCACAGACCTTAGTTTTCTAGATTTTTATATTCTAGAAAATTAAGTCCCATTAAATTGCTGGTGCGCGCAGATTTTTCCTGCGCACAACCAACAACTCAAAAACCACTTTTTGGAAGGTTCAAGCTTTTATCCTTCTATTTAGCAGATTTTTGCATCAAACGAGCTTTTTATTAAGCCTCGTCTTATTTGCAAGCGGAACAAGCATTTCTTAGTCGGGTTTTGTGCTAAGATAGTGTGTGTAAGCGTGTATCATCCATTTGTTTTCGAATAACAAGAAGCCTTTGTTTTCTTTTGTCCCGAGAGGACTCTTTCTGTTTTTTTTTTCATCTATTTCCTTCATTTTTTTTCTTTGGAAACATTCTTGATTCGACAATGGCCTTCTCTTACCAGCACACTAATCGCTCGCAAGCCCAGCCTTCAGGGGCTGCCCCCGGCTATGGTATGTTTGCCCCCGTTTTGTCTAGTAATAATGCAAACTCTGCTGCATCGGTTGCTGCTCTGTTGAGCCATACCCCCATGTACGGGCTTGGCCAGCGTCGTCCGTCCTTTTTGCCTGGTGTTTCCGTGCCCGATTCGTATCCAGGTAAGTCGGGCATTTCTATCCCTTCTTCTTCTACCTCTCACCATCTCCGTACTTCATCCAACTCTTCCAGTGGTGTTCCTGGTTCTGCTGCTGGTCCTTATCTTTCACAGCATAGGCTTCAACAACGCCTACCTGCTCCTGCACCTTCAAATTATTATTGGCCTCCTTACCAGCAGTCCATCCCTGCGGCCGGCCAACCTCAACGCTATTTAGGTCCCGAGAAGTATCCTTTGGCATATCATCCTTCTGCCCAAAATCCTGCTCTCGGAAACCCTTTAGTGTTGAACCCTTCTGGTCAAGTTCCTTATTCTTCTTTAATTCCTGGATCCCGTGGGACTTATTACGATTCTTTAGCAAATGCCGGTCCCGTTAACTGTTATGCTGCTGGTGCTGCTGCTCAAGCCGGTAATCCCGCTGCTTGCGCTAATGCCCCTGCAGCATTAGGCAACCGTTATGACTCAAATGTCTGCAACGTTGCTCCTCCTGTGGGACATCGTATGTCTCCTCAATACCAGGCCGAAGACAGTGCTATGGATCAAGATGAGCTTAGTTATACAGGAGGTGTATCTGCCAACTTGGATTACAAGATGGATCAAATGGTTGAGTATCTTTCTATCATGACTTGCAAACTCTACGCTCGATTTCTTAACAATGCTCAAATGCATTCTCTAGCGAACTCTTTGCCGAGCCTTGTCTTTTCCTTCCGTAAATTCGTTCTCCAAGTCTTGACTTCAACCCGTCTTCCTCGTGCCTCTTGCTTGTTGGCATTGTCCTATATCTCTGATCGCTTGGATGCTGCGTCCCAGTCTTCTGAATTTTTAAACCACTGGACAAAGGAGACTCCCTTTTTCCAAATTTGCGCGTTACTTACAAGTGCTTTAATCCTTGCTAACAAATATTTGGATGACAACACTTTTACCAACCAATCATGGTCTCAAGTAACTGGATTTAGAACCCAACTGTTAAACAAGTTCGAACAAGACTGGCTAGTAAGCATGTCTTGGAACTTAAGCCCGGGTCCTCGTGGTCAGAAGGCTTGGGAATGGTGGAGTGCTTCTTACGCATTATTTACTTCCTCTAATAATGGTAGTATTAACAATAATCATGATCAATCTCAAGGCGCTGGTCAATTTGCTACTAACTCGCCATCAGTGAATCGTACCTGCTCGGATTACAATTACTATTATCCGTATTCGCAGGTGGGATACTTTCCAATGTACACCCGCTATGCTATGACATAAATCGATTACTGATTTGAGTATATAATGCTTCACAAATCTCTTTTTAAACTATTTACCCTGTTGCCCCTTGATGGGATTTTATTCGTTTTATTCTGGTTGAGTGATCTAAGGACATTCAGTTTTTCCTTGTTCTTTCGAGCTAGTTCTGTATCTGAAAGAAAAAAAACCAAAAAAAAATAAAAACTAAAATTGGTAAAAAAATCTTCTTATCAGTATTAGTTACTTATTGGACTTTTGTTTGCTGTTGTTTTGTTCTTATTGGTTTGTTATGAGCACCTTTTAATTAAAATGCAAACACTGGCTTAACCGTTTCCATTCGATATAGATTTTTGCAATATACTGATACTTTATATACATTATCTGTCAATGTCCAGGTGCTTGGGTGAAAGTTCATCCCGAAATTCTTATATTATTTAGTATCGTGAAGCAACTGTGTTTGTTATAGCTGATGAGCTAACTACTTTTCGCAAATTGTTTTGATTATTATTATCTATTTTGTTCCTGCTTGGGAGTAGCTCAACTTGCTTTCCGTTTCCTAAGGATTGTATTTACGATAAAATACGGTTGACTTGATAACATTGATTTCTTTTTATTGTCGTAACTCTGATCAATCGTGAGAGGCCTATATAAGTCGAATTCAAGTTCGGCTTTGCTCTTGCTATATCACTTGTGTATATGAATGGTGGTTCAGGCCTTTGAATCATTTTCGTCTACTAATGTGATGTCCAATTTCTAGCATCTCTAAAGCAATGGGAAAATCGCTCCTCGTTATCATATGATTGATATGAGCTTGAGACTCTAACTCGTATTTCGAGTATAGTTCTTTTTCTAAGAAATCTTTGCTATGAATGTCAAACCGAAAAGTAAATAAAATGTTTTTCCTTTCTGTTTTGAATAGTTACAGGCTAAAACCGCATCAATAGCTTGCGTCGTTGAAACTATATTGTAAGTATGTTGAAGCTAATGTCGAATAATTCTTATTGTAAAAGCTATGTTATATGAAACCGTTTATTCCATTGAAGGATCTGCTTCCCTTTGTTCGCCCGTTTAACGTCCTTGAGCAAAGCATCGTTATATATTGCCCTTACCCTTACCCAGGCAGAAGATTGTTTAAGGACGCGCCACGAAAATTGTAGCAGCAACCAACCACCATACCACAACTTTTTGAAAATGTCTATGGAATTAGATCAATCATTGGATGCTATCATTGCTTCAAAGCCCAAAGGAGGAATTAGAAAGCGCCGTTCTCGTGTTAGCAAACCTAAAGCCCCTAAAGCAAACAAACCCTCTAACGATACTGCTTCTACCATAAAATCGGTAATCTCTGAGGAATCTAAAATCATCGTATCTAACTTGCCTGCTGATGTTACAGAGCCTCAAGTTAGAGAACTTTTTGTAAAGTCTATTGGACCTTGCAAGCGTGTATCTTTGGCTTATGGCCCAAATGGTCGCTCAAAGGGCATTGCTACTGTTATCTTTTCTCGTCCTGGCGATGCCACTCGTGCTTATGAACAGTACGAAGGACGTGTGGTTGATGGCACCAGAAAAATGAAGGTTGAGATTATCCTTGACCCCAGTCGTCAATTGAATTCATTAGCCGCTCGCGTTGCTCCTGCTAAAGCCAATACATCTAGCAAGCCCAAGTCCACAAGAAGAAGAAACATTCGTCGTGGTAAGGGTAATAGCCGTCCCAAGAAATCGGCTGAGGAGCTTGATAAGGAAATGGATGATTACTTTGGATCGAACACTGAGAATAAGTAATTGATATAAAGCGAATCAGGTATTTAGAAATGATCAAGGACTTATGATATAAGGGCCACCTAATTAATGGCTTGGATTCTTTCAAGATTTTATTTTTTTTCGAACTTTAGTAGTATTGGAATATAAAGCTATGTTACATTTGGCTCTCTCATGATCGAGGAAAACGGATGATGTTGTAATTGGAAATTTTGGCGCGATAAAACACTATATTCTATTTATTTATGACGGTGAATGAGGATTTTTGTGAAAGGAAAATCTTCTCACTTGAGTAGTTTTGAGAGATGCTTAATCCTACTTCTCACTTAACCTCCTGTTCTGCAACAAACCCATGTTCGGTGAAGCAATAATGAATGCTTGTCTTTAGTAGAACTCTGAATAAAAAAAAAATTCAGTGAATTATAAAGTCGACTAATGGACTACCTGATTTCGCATGCGATGATGAGTTTTTAATAATCGATTTTTATTATTAACATGCATGTTGTTGGGCATTAGTCTGATGCTTGTTCAGGTTATGACGGCGATTCTAATTTGTTCTGATTTCGATATTTTATGATTATCGGGTGTACTTTCATCTGGAAAATTTCGAAATACTCGAACTTGGATCGTATTAGCCGTTATACCTTACACGTATGAAAGGATTGTATATGGCTCTTGCGTGTAGCTGCTTTCGTATTTGCGGAATGGCTTGTGCTTCCTTTAGAGGTTATATCTCGTTCTCTTTAGTCTTTTTTTTTTCAACAAAAGAAAGGCTGAGGGGATGAAGGTTGGGAGAACGCTTACTTATGGACTTTGGAGCTTACGATGACGATGGTTTATTTGGCTTATATTCCTGGAGCTATTCAAGTTCAGCATTATTGTTTTTATTCCGTATGGGGATGATTATATGTTTTTGTAGTCTAGTGCGATCATCAGGTTGAGTTGGGGTGAAGTGAAACATTCGAGATAAAACAAATATTTGAAACCAATGAAAAATCCATGCTGTTGAAACCCTATAAATTTTGTTTAATTAAAAGTTTTGAAACTCTTTGAGTTTAATCCATTTTAAAGAACAAGGTTATACCTAAAGTACTATGTTGCATTAGTGCTTACTTGAAACGAACGCATGAAAAGTCGATTGGAGTTTTGTTGTTGTCTTATTGGAATAAGATATTGAATATATTGCGAACAGGTGGTAGTTATGCTGATTACTAAAATTTAGAGGTTACTGAGCATTTAAATATTTTTTGTTCATTGTAAACAAAATAAAAATTGAAAAAGAAATTGCCATTGATTTTATAATGTATAAGAAACCCAAATGAAAGGATTTTTTGAACGAAGTGGAGGAATAAATAGGCTTCGTATCGTTAAAGCACAGTAGAGTGCTGAATAAGTATTGCAAAGTGCAACAACGTCGCTTATTTCGATCTGATGCGGTAGAGGTCTATTTGGACAATTAAGTCGAGTCCTCACTCACTGTTAACGAAGAGCCAGCTATTATAACTTCCATAAAAGGTTCGCGGTAAAGCGACGGTGTTTTAATCTCTACAACTGGCAAAACTTCATGGAAAACTATACAGTAGAGAAAGTCTGCGGATGGCTGAAAAAAGTTGGATTTGAAGAAAACATTGACGCGTTTGCACAACATAAAATAGAGGGACGACATTTAATCCGGTTGTCACATCCATTGCTAGAAGAGCTTGGGATTACTGATGCTGAAAGACGTCGTCAATTCTTAAAAGAAAGAAATAGCTTACGAGATACCCCGAAACCATGCATTCTAAGGTTTATTGCTTGCAATGGGCAGAGCCGAGCAATTCAGTCTTTTGGGAATTATTGGGAAACATTGAATCTGGCTTTACGAAAATTTTGCTTGCCGGATGGCATAAAGTATAATATCTGCGTCACGAAAAGTAGTCAAATTCGACCCATCTTTGAAGAAGACTTTCAGGAAATATGCCACAACGTGTCGTCGCCAGAAAGAGAAAGACTTATTATAGTTTCGGAATCCAAGCCTTGCCCTTCTTTTGAAGATCTTCGTAAATCCTGGGAAATAGAATCCGCTCAGCCATTGCCAAGCAATTCTAATAGCCCACAAAACTTTTCATCTTTATTGTCTAAGAACATACAAAAAACCCTCTTTCCTTCGGATAGGACAAATGCTTCTTGTCTATCCATACAAAGACCCCCGAGTGAACTTATCAGTTCACGGATTTCTCACTTTTTCCCTGAACATCAACCAAAGTTATTAGAAAAAACGCTATATAATTCATTTGTTGGGAATCAAAACCTTCATCATTCTCGTGAAAATACATTTGGAAAGGAGATTCTACCAAAATCGAGAAGTTTGCGGCGCCAACATTTAGAGCTTCTGAGATCAATGTCCGCATTAAAAATAAATACGTTAGAGGATTCAAAAGGCATAAATAGAGCGACGCCTTTGAACGAATCGGATATTGATAAGAAAAGCAAACCAACCGTTCCTATAAAAACCCCACCTGTACAAAATTCTTCATTTTCAAAGAAACTTTCTGAAAGACATAGGGTTACAGACTTACAAACAGCTAGCTTACGAAACATTCAACTTCCATCGGTCACGTCCAAAATGTCGCCGATACCGTCTCCGTCTTTCGTGGAACAAGTATCACCTGCCTCGCCTACTCCGACCACCACAAGTGAAGATACAAATGTAACAGAAGAAGAAATTGAAGAACAGCCAGTCAAGTGGATTCGCGGAGCATTGATTGGTTCTGGTTCCTTTGGGCAAGTTTATCTCGGTATGAATGCATCTAGTGGTGAGTTAATGGCCGTCAAACAAATTTGCATTAGTGAGTTTAAAAAATCTAAAGAACGACATTCTAGTCTTTTTAAGTCCCTTGTCAGTGAAATAGCTTTACTGCAGGAGCTGGCTCATGAACACATTGTCCAATACCTCGGATCAAATTTAACTTCGGAGTTTTTGAACATTTTCTTGGAATATGTTCCTGGCGGTTCTGTCACCGGACTGCTTGAAATGTATGGAAGTTTTGAGGCCGGTCTGGTCAGAAACTTCATAAAGCAAACATTAGAAGGCTTGCAGTATCTTCATTCCAAAGGCATTGTGCACAGAGATATTAAAGGTGCTAATATATTGGTTGATAACAAAGGAAAAATCAAAATCTCGGATTTTGGCATCTCTAAAAAATTGGAATTGGAAAATCCCACTGATAAAATTAGATCCTCTCGGCCGTCTTTGCAAGGATCCTCGTTTTGGATGGCTCCAGAAGTGGTCAAGCAAACACAACATACTGAGAAAACTGACATATGGTCACTTGGCTGTTTAGTAATAGAAATGCTTACTAGCAACCATCCGTATCCCACTTGTGATCAAATGCAAGCAATTTTTAAAATAGGACAAAATATCCCTCCTGAATATCCTCCCAATGCCACTCCCTCCGTCCATGACTTTTTGAATAAAACTTTTGCCATTGATTGCCATGAAAGACCTACAGCCTCGGAATTGCTCCAGCATCCTTTTATTGTTAAAATCGGATAATCAAGTGACAGTAAAAATTTGTTTTGCTAATGTTTCGAAAGTAAATGACTTTACGATTTTTACGATACATAATGTTGATGTTTTTTTATTTCTTTTGTATTAACGTCTTGTGCATTGCCGCTCTTTAATTTTTGATTTTCTTTCTTTTATTCTTTAAAAATTATTTAATGGTTAATTCTTTCTTCTTTTATTAACTTTTTTGTAGAAATTGGAAACAGAAAATAATATATGGTTTGTAATTGAGGAAAGAAAGCAGTATTAAGTATTGAAATCAGTAGCTAATTCTTTATGCTAATAGGATTCTTCATGTATTAACGAACATCATCTTCGGGATTGCTTGTTTTAAATGGAATTATGCTGCTTATAGCGAATCTAGCCAATCGAGTATCTTGGGCATTTGTTACGATATTGATATGAAATCCGGGAAGAGAATGAGGGTACATTTCATATACAGCTTCAATTTGAGGAAATAGAGGCAAAGCATTTCCAGGAAGACCAAAAGAGATATTTCCTGTTTGATCTCCAACGCTTGAAGAAATCCCTTTAAAGTCGTGAAGCTGAGGAAGGACCAACTCGGAAAGGACAGACAAAAAATTATACATTGGTTCGCCCTGAAGAGTCACGCTTGCTCCTACAGGAAAACCGGATCGTAATCTCCACGGAGAAACATCTTTTCTAGCTTTTATTATTTCTGGCTCCACACCGGTGATGGAACGGAAAGCCATAATAGTGCTCAATAGTTGAGACTTTTCTTGAAGCGCTTCCTTGACCATAGTACTTATAGAAACCTTGGAGATGCTGGGAAGATTTTCTGGCCGGACTGGTCGCTTAATAGGCAAGAGGGGTTTATACCCACGAAAATGGCGAGGGGGTCGATTTTTGTAATATGGATTGTCACCAGTCCATCGAACCAGTCGATCTGCTGGCTCATTATGGTGGGGAGAAGAATCCGCAAAATCAACATTGTGTTTATAAGTTCCCACTAAGACGTCGGACAGAATCGTATCATTCATATGTTCTTCTAAACGATTGGCCATCGTAGGTCCTGGACGAAAGTATTGTGAGTGGGGATCCCATCCTGGTAAAGGACTATTTTTTCCAAGTTTTTGCTTTGTAGTAAATGCTCGATTCTGTACAAACGAGTAAAGACTTTGACGGCTTTTGAAATGAATCATACTCATGATTACAACAGAAGCCTCCCCTTTCTTTCAAATGAAATCAGATTTTTACGCGTTCTATATTATAAAAGTAGAAAGAGAGCTGATTAGGAAAATTGGCTCGAACACACCAAAAATCAACTATTAAGTATCCTTGTTTCAGAGATTGAGATATTCGGTAAGTAAACTTCAATTACGATCAGTTCCTACCCATCCAACGTTTCCTTTAACTTGGATATAAATATTTTTGAGTATAAAAATGCAAAAAGCAGACGACGCACCGTAAACAAAGGGTAGTAAAGCTGAAGACAGGCGGTATAATCTTCCATAAATAAGCATGGTGTTCAGGTGCCTTATGAACTATTACGAATGGTACCGTTGGTTTTTAAGCACTTTACAACATGCCTTGTGTATCCTTAAAGTAGAATATCTTAAAAGTTGCTTGCCAGACAAGTTTTGATATCATCAGATAATACTTTACATTTGCAACATTATGGAGTAAAATTACCCCTTCCTGATTCTATTCTCAGTTCTATCCATACTTTCAGTATTATTCCGGTGACATTGCCAAGAATATTTTTAAAAAATATTCTAACGAGTAGAAAAGCAATTGTAGTGAAAATTAAATACTGGATTGCAAGGTTCAGACAACGTATATCATATGTACCATTACTTGTTAGATTCAAAATTTTACTTTGTATATGTTCCAATTTCATTACTCTCATATACTACTTTAAGAGTAAGCAACCTTTTGCATGTCCCTTATTCCTAGGAATAATAGTATCTATGCACTTGCTGAGTACTATAAGGATAACAAAACATTTCTTTAGGTTATCAGAAACAGAATGAACGAGGAGTGATTGAAAGAATCTACAATGACAAGGATTCGATTCCCTTGTCATTATAATTTAGCGCGAACACTTCTACGTGTCCTTTTTATTACCATTAAAAAAAATCATTTCCATCATCTTGACAGACAAACGTCGGGTGATTCATACTAATATGCCTTTCCTTAACTTCATTTTTTAATTCTCAAGCGTTACAAGCGGTCATACGCTCCTACCTCATTTCAAGGCCGCTTTTTTTTTAAAAAAAAATAAAAAAAAAGAAAAGAAAAGAAAATTGTACGACAAGCCTCTTCAAGTATCATTGATGTTAATCATTTTCTTTAACAATTCTGATAAAAACAGTTGACGCTGCACATCAGAAGTATCGCTAGAAGAATTTGGCTGTGGCTTAGGACTTCCAATAGGTCGAAATAAAATCCTTTCACCATTCAACGGGGTATTTTGATGAAAATCTTCATTATCGGTTGATATCGATGTTCGATGTGAACGTAAATGTGGATCATAGAAAGGTGTCCCTGGCCTACTTACATCCTTTTCTCGTGTGGCATCAAAAGAAGCCATAAGCTTCGAATGTGTCATCTGAGTCAGGTTTTCAGATAGAGAAGGTGAAATTGGCTGCGATGGTCTAGGGTCGACCATTCTACCAAATTGTAAGCTTGCGATACTCGATGACGGTTGTAAAACAGAAGAAGCGCCAGAATAAAACGGTGATGTAGGTGAAGATTGGTCAGATGGTAAAGACGATGCACTGAACTGAGGGTAAGCAGGAATACCTGTTGACTCCAAAGGCCGATAGAATCCGTGAGGGGTTGCAGGAGATGATACGGACACAGATGAAGCTTGAGCATTTGCATGTCGACCTAACAATATATACAAAGAGTCAATAGATAGTTTCAACGATGCGTGATCCTTGTTTATCTTTTGACGTTCCGTTTCCTCTTTCTCTCCTAGAGGGTAAATTTTATTTGTCATAAGTAATTTCAGCAAGTCGTAATTCACATCATACACTTGTTGCATGGGAAAGAAAAACGGTAAACCAACATCCCATTGAGTACTCCAACTTAAGGATTCCTCAGTAGGTAAAGCCTGCTTTGTGTTTTCAAAAAAGAAGTTAAAACGATTGTAGATCTGTGATAGACCTGCTCGAATATCTTTTGTCAGCCAAGTATCTCCATGCTTTAGGCAGAAAGAAACCAACGTGCATATAGGTAAAACCATTGGGGAAAGGATTTTATTATGCAGGAGCACTCCATAAGGTTGTGGGTGATCTTTGTGCAAAGAACTTACATTTAGTGCATGCAAAGGAAGCTGACCATTCACTGCATCCAGAAGTACTTCAAAAAACATTATGGTCGTCTGTGTAGCTAGTTTCGCAGAAGGAACCCTCTTATTTGCTTCTTGTGTTTCACTATACCCTAACTTCGATGCGAGACACCTTGCAGCAAGCGCACAGTAAGCCATTCTCAATAATGTTTCGTAAGACAACTTGGCGTTTTTTAAAGAATCACTTAATAAAAATCGAACTCGCTTTACAAGTGAGCTTGTATAAGACATACAGTCAAAGTCGGAAAATGCCAGAGCATAAAGTCGAAGAAATAAGGATACAAGAGAATTGTCCTTTTGATACATTACTAAAGATGGGTCAAAAGAACTGGGTTTTCCTAAAATACGCTTAAGTGCAATAAGAAGGCTGTTACAAGCACCTTTTGCAGCAACACCGTTGGGAGAAATAGAAGCCAAAAAGAAATAGGAAATTCCTAACAAATTAGCATCTTCAACCATCGGTTTAGAAGAAGCTTCATTTGTATGAAGCGAGCTAGAAGACGAGCTTTTGTATAGTCCTTGAAAACGACTTCGAGGAGAGTTTGTGGCGGATGAATCAGCATTTTGTACTTCGATTAAACCTAACTGATGATAATGAATGCCGCAATTTGGAACAGCATAAGCAGCCATATAGTAATACTTTCTAGCAATAGAATAATCCGGCAATTTTGGAGAACGAGCCTGAGCCAAATAACGATAGATATCACCTACATAAATAAGAGAACCATATACAGTACTAATCAGGTAATGAGCTTGTTTGTCAGGCAAAGAAGAATCAAATAAAGGACTAAAAACGTATGCAGAGCGTCTAGTAGCTGTCTCAGGATCGGCAGATGTTGATGTATTTTGAATAATGGAACTCAAAGTACCGGAAAACAGATTTTTTAAACCAAAAATAGAAGAAAACAAAGACTTTAAAAGAGTATCCTGCTGCAAAGCACTTCCCGATTCAACCTTTATTTTTCGAGACTTTTTCGTAGTTTTGAAGGCAAGTTGAGTAGCAAGATAAGATGCTAAAGGCTCAAGGCATTGCAAGCGGTAAACTTTAATCAAAATGAAGGCGAAAGAAACGTAAAAATGAACGCAAGTGTCAAGGTAATGAAAATATAGAGTCACTAAAGACCCAAGTACCTCTATATTATTCTTCCTAGACGTCTGAACAATTTTATGTTTCAAAAAGGAAATAACTCGATAATGAACCTTCGTCCATATAAAAGTTAAAGCATCCTTTTCTAAAGCAAAAGAAACATCTGTCAGCAAAATTTCGCCTATAAGGGCAGCAATCGTAGAATTAACAGACAAAAGCTGCTTCCATTCCTTGCGATTTTCCAGTTTCCCAGAATTCGCGTCCGTTGTTAATCGTTTCGAATTCTTTCGCTTCTTCTTGGCTTCGGTTAAACCTTTCGATCCTTCCAATACATTCCCATTTTCAGCGTGAAAACGTATTTGATTCTTCTCTATTAAGGTATCCAACTCATTTCCAATTGCCGTCAAATTCTCTTTTAAGATGGAAAGAAGTGCTGTACTCTTGTCATATTTTTGTTCACACAACTTCCTAAGTGTTTTGGGATCACATGAATCTCGGGCGCTCATATGTAGGAACCTTGCCCTTGACAATAGTCGTCCTTCGTTGATGTAAATTGCCGTAGCTCAAATGCTAAGGCAAAATGAATGCAACGAGGGAGGTTGAATGGAAGTTTTCCAACTGTGCGATTTTGGTAAAGAAAAGTTTCAACCTTACAACGTACGGTAAAATCATTCTGAATACCGCACTTGTACGTTACCCCAACGTATGTGCTAAACCTATCTTATCGAAACAATAAACGTTACTCCTTATTTATTTTTACGCGTAGTTCGCAATAAATAGCCCTACCCTGCGTTGAGAAAACCAGTCACAAAACGAAACAACAGAAACCACGAAGACAAAACCCATACAGATAGCACTAGCCTTTTACCACAACAAAAGTAGCAATGGCCCGCTATTCCGCTTCACCTGCTGTTGAGACCAAGTGCGCCAAAGCCAGCGGTGCTTACTTGAGAACTCACTTTAAGAACTCTCGTGAAGTTGCCTTCACCCTTAATGGCATGAACTTGAAGAAGGCCTTTGCTTTCATGGACAATGTCCTCGAACACAAGCAAGCTGTTCCCTTCCGTCGCTTCAACGGCGGTGTTGGTCGTACTGCTCAAGGCAAGGAATTCGGTGTCACCCAAGCTCGTTGGCCCGTTAAGTCCGTCAAGGTTATCCTTGACCTTTTGAAGAATGCCGAAGCTAACGCTGAGGCTAAGGGTTTGGATATGGACAAGTTGGCCATCAAGCACATTCAAGTCAACGGTGCTCCTAAGCAACACCGCCGTACCTACCGTGCTTATGGTCGTGTCACTGCTTACTTGTCTCATCCTTGCCACATTCAAATCATTGTTGCTGAGGAAGAGGAGGCCGTTCCTAAGGCTCAAGAAAAGGTTGCCCGTGTTTCTTTGAAACAAGGTGCTAAGGCTCGCAACTTGGCTGCTCGCAAGGCTATTACTGCTGCTTAAAATGAAATTTTCATCATACTGTCCTCTTAATATAGTTATAGTCTTCGTAAATATTCTAGTTGTAATTCGTAGTTATGGCTTAATTATTACACGTATTTTTTAGGTTTTGTAACGTATTGCTAATTAACGGGACTTGGGACTATCTTGAAAAATACTGAGACAATACTTTTACTGTTTATTTCAAAAAATATTCTCAACACCAGGCCATTCAAATGATTGACCAGACAATTTTGCCTTACCAGCTTCCTCTCGTACATTCCAGTATTCACCACTGAACTCCCAGTAGTCTTCACCGGTAATGGGATGCTTCTTCATGGAGAACCATCTTGGTCTCCATTCTTGCACTTCTCCTTGATCACGCATCTTTCTTTTTCCTCTTTGTTTCTCCTCAAGCCTGTTCTTCTCTTCAGCGGCAAGATCATATTGTCCTACTTCCATTGCCCTCTGATCAGGCCGTAATCGAGTATCTGTGGGTGGTAACCATGGCTTTAGTTCGTCCGTTAAAGCATTCAAGGAGATGGCGAAAGGTGTCAGATTGAACGGACGGGGAGGCCTCTCATGGTTTTGCCATAGCATTGTCTTATTGCTACCGGAATTATAAGCAAATATTTTATCATTCCAATGGCCATTCACTGTGTACTCGGGAACATCACTGGTGGATTGAACACTTCCTTTTACTTCATAGGCATGGGTACCACGCCAGCCGCGAGGCTTAAAATCCAAGATACAGTTTACATCATCAGAATGATTTTGAACCAACATCTGACCATAATTATCTATGGTAGGATTTCCAGCAATGATTCCCACTACCGAAGAGGTAATCTTTTTCCATGTAAACAACTCCGTCTTGCCTGAGGGAGTTTTAAGTTCCAGGTACCAAGTGCCAAGAGGAGATATGTCAAAGCTTTTACCATAAAACTTCGATTTTACACTTGATTCCCCATAATATTTCCAGTTCACAGATTCTGAGTATGCTGCTCCAACAGGTGGATGGTGACTGACCTGTTCAATCACGAACCGGTATCCTTTATCAGGACGGCATAGTTCGTAAGTTTCTCCGAGCAATGGATTAAAAGGCTTTGCTACACGATTAATGGTACTTGCATATTCTGAAGCTGCAAAAGCAGCAACGTATAAAACACGCCAAGCTGGATCGTCCTGTTGAGACGCTAAATTGAGCAAATCTGTATATTCCATATCTTCTGCAACACGTTGCAAAAGACTAGTAGGTTCATTAAAACTAACGGGTAAAGCCATCTTTGTCATATCTTTACCAATCATTCCCTTCAAAATGCCCCAAAGACTGATTTTTGGGCGATCGTCATTAACACCTAAATTTAATCGAAGAGGTGCTTCATAACCATGGAATGATTTTTGAAGCTCCGAAAAAAGAGGATCTGCTTCAGCTTCATTTGATGGCGCTTTCTTTTCTTGTTTCTCTGTGCCACCTGCAACACCAGGAGCAGAAGAAGGGGGGATATTTTGTTGATCCTCAGCACCTTCAGGTAACTCTCCTTGTAAGGCTGGTTGTTCATTTCTTTGGGATGAAACTTTAGAAGAACTTTGATCACCGGTAGGAGCAGGTGCCTCCGCAGGAGGATAGTGGTCACCGGTAGGAGCAGGTGCCTCCGCAGAAGGATAGTGGTCACCGGTAGGAGCAGGTGCCTTTGAGGGAGGATATTGGTCACCGGTAGGAG